CACCATAACATCGAGTTAGACACCCCATTGCGAGATGAATATTGCCGACCGTTTGCTTCTCTAGTTATACTAACTTTAGTAATGACCGCATGATAGCAATACACAGCGGTCCCAGGAGCCACGCACTGAACCAAAATGCCACTCTATAACCACAAATAATGCTCAGAACAGCACCTAACTTCATTAACAGTACATATGGGGTCCCAGTCGTAGCACTAGTCACCAAACATCTTTTAGTTTTGCCTAATTTCTTTAGCAAAGAGACTAAACACAACTCACCTACTCTCCTCCACTTGTTTGTAGCGAGACCTCTGGCTAGTCCATTACTGACTGCAGCGGGGGGACGCAGCTCAAGGAAGAACATTTATGATCATTTCTTTATGGAAATACAATCAGACCGAGACGCTAAGGCAGAAGAACTACCGCGTCTGCAGTGCAAAATGATTAATATGGTGATTATTACTTCAAGGAAATGACAAAGAAATGATCATAAATGTTCTTCCTTGAGCTGCGTCACCCCACTGTAGTCCGTAGTGGACTGGCCTGGGGTCAAAAAAGCGGGTGCTGGAGGAGAGTGGGTGAGTTGTGTTAAGTCCATTTGCTAAAGAAACAAGGCAAAGTTAAAAAGATGTTTGGTGGCTAGTGCTGTTGCTGGGACCCTGTATGTACTGTTGATGAAGTTAGGTGCTGTTCTGAGCATTATTTGTGGCTATTTGTTATTATTTGTGGCGTTTTGGTTGAGCGCTTGGCTCCTGGGACCGCTTCGTATCGGCAACATTAATCTCTCGACAGGGTGTCTACCTCGCTGCTACGGTGTGTTTGACCCTAACTTAATTTTTTCAGCCAGAATATCCCTTTAAGAATCTGGGAAGTACCAAAGGCGGTTCCCTTTAACAGCCCTTTAATTCTCTCTAAAGTCTATATACAGATTGTGCAGCACTGAAGATTTTTCATGTTTTGTGAGGTTATAAAGAGAAGGGGATTAATGTCAGAGCATATGAAATCACAGTGACATTACTGTGAACTTTTTAAATTGGTTTCACAGGCAAGCTTGACCTTTGACCTGCTGAAATGACACAAGAGAAACAACAGGGGCGTTTTATCCCGAGAGCAGTATCATACACAGTGACAGGTCAGCACGCAGGTTTATTCTGCCTCTCTCTCTCTAAGGATTTACCTTGGGTTAAATATGCTTCTTTGATAGAGTTCAAGATCTGTCTGATTTAGGAGACAAAAAGAAACGTACAATTTTGTTGTCTGTTTGCATTTAAAGGCAAATATCTGCAGGAAGGCTTCAGCAACGGAGGATGACCTTCCCTAACAGTTACACAAAATGTCACAGAAGCTTAATCGGCATGTGAGCAGATGAAAATAAAACTGATTAAAGCTCAGGGGAGTTGCGGTTATAGAGATGTTTAAAAACTTGTCTTTTAAGATTTTCTCTTCTTTCTTTCTTCTCATTACCAACTAGATCAAGTTCATAGTCAAGCCCAGATATGAATCAGATAGAAATGAAGAGGTTATGTGCCCAAATTGGACAAAGCTGTTATCTGACATAGAAAATAAGTGATGGGTAATGATTTTGAGTTCTGATGGGATAGATGTGGTTATGGTGATATTTAAAAGCTTGTCTTTTAACATTTTCTTTGTTTCTTTCTTTTCATTTATGACCAGATCAAGTTCCTAGTCAAGCACAGACGTGAATCCTATTGAAGTAAAAAGGTTATATGCTTAAATTGAACAAAGCTATATTATCTGACAGAAAAATGAGTGATGTGGAGTGATTATGAGTTCTGGTGCTTTTGAGGCAACACTTGCTCACAGAATCATATCTGTGTGAGTAAAAATAAGTAGTTTACAGAGTGAAGTGTGCAAAATAAACTGCAAATCATGAACAAAATGCCAACTATTGTTCATTTGAATTCTTCATGTCTGTAAAATACACCTGTGACTAAGCCATGACAGCTTCACAAAAACACTTTCCATAAGCCAAGTAACCAAGCAAACTCTACCCCCTGCTGTGTTTTATACAATTAATGAGTGTCTGTATTGGAGTATGGCGCTCAGGAAACGACACTAAACCAGGTAGCGCGATACATGGATGGATGGACGGACTGCTGCTTAAAAGAATCGGAAAAAGTCTCATGGGACAAGAGTGGCAGGCTAATTGTTGGTAACCACCCCCTGACCATGTCTGTCTGCACTTGTGGATGAACCGCTGACAGGGGCCGCACGCGCTGCCGTCTCCCTGTAGATAGAGTTTCCACCTTTAAAAAACCACACAGTCCAGAGACGAACAATGAACTGTCAAACACGCACAGACTGCTGCGGTGGGTCTCTACAGTTACACTATTGTGTGGCTTTTCCGTTTAACTGAACCTACCCTTGCGTGGGACCGCCAAAAAAATGTAAACACGTGGGTCGTAATAAAGTAAAAACAGAGTCTTACCTTTCATCTGCGTTATTGGCGTCCTGAAAGCGGGAAAAGCACGAGGGGTAAGTTTTACCAAGCTGCATATAGAAAGAAAACGATGGGTCAATTTATGCAAATTTAGGGATGAGTGGTGAACCCCACAATAATAATAATAAAAAAATCCTCGGTTTTGAATCCACTTTGAACACCCAGATTTAACACCACTATTATAATCGTTGGCGAATAAAACAAAAACCTCTGAAGGCAGGCAACAAGTTAGCTTTTTGTTTAATATTTTTAACAAAACGAGGTTAATTAATGAAAATATGGTATGACTAAATTATCTCCGAGTGAAAGAAATAAAAATATAGAAAAATAAAACAAACCGTGACATTAAAATGCTATTAAAGCGCGAGCCTTTATTCGGCTGCTGCCTGCAGGACTGGTCCCTTTGAAGTGCACCGCAGCTTGTGTCTGTGCAAATGCTGCGTTCAAAGATCAGAGGAAATTTGGCAATCACGATGTATGTTGAAAAACTAAGGGAAATTTGGCAATAATGACCATCGTTATTTGTTTATGTTCACTACAATAACAACAGTGTAGTTTTTAAAAAAAAATTTATATCAATTTTTTTTTTACCTCTACAAATTAAGAGGTTGTAACACAGCACATGTTAAGAACTACAAACTTTCTCATGAAAAAAAAATGTACAAAACATTTATAAATTGCGTATGCCGAGTTACCCAAGAAGAAGACACCTAGAAATAAAATATAATGTTGTACATCTGAAATATTGAAACACATTAAGTGGACACTAGTGTTGAGATGACTGTCTGTCATGATATTGAGTCGGGGCCAGTACCAGATAAGCACATTAAACTATAATCCATAAACGTAAGATAACAATCGAGACCTAATGGTGCTGTGACAGCAATGCGATTGAGTTTGAGACAGTAAAAATACATATGGTATGTTGTATCTGAACTGGCTAGCTTATGAGCTAAAGATACTTAGCACAGATGAAAGTTAAAACAAAGACGTTTAGCAAACTGTTAAAGCACACGAACCATCGCCATATGAGAAATCCAACACTATGGCTCTCCACAAGCTATCCTTCAGGTTGTAAACAATCAGCCGGTCAGCCATGTTGGATATACCGGTAAATAGGACGTCGCAACAACACGCAATATGGTTGGTCAGAAGTGGACACACAGTATGCGAAACTTTAGAAAATTCAACCGTGATTCGAAAAAATTAATGCCGCAATATCGCATGACGGGAAAACGCTGCTGATGTGAACGCTTGTATTGACAGGATATGGGTTCAAAAAAAAATATTGACGTCCGAAATCATCACACGATAGAAACGGTCCCGTGTGAAAGGACCTCTAATCTGTCCTACATGCTTGAAAAGTGATTTTTGACAGAGGTTGTCATCCTTAGCTGTTTGGCCATCACCTACCCCCTTCACAGCAGTTTCAGGCATTATAAATTTAGATATGCAAATCTTTAATCTTGTTGTTGATGGTCTTATTTGTTTTAAGACGTCATGAAAAGGCATCTAAATGGATTTTTGTCTATTTCATAAACGTAAAAAAAACTACTCACATGAGCTTTAATCACTTAATTAAATACTTCAGTCCACAATTGTACACTCAAACAAGGTGCTGGAAAGATCCTGTTTTGTTATGATGCGCCTTATGGTGCTCAATCTTAAGTTAAATTTGGCATAATTAAATAACCCTCCAGGGCTCACCTGGGATCAGACCATGGCTAGGCCTAAATGCAAAACAAGGCCTTACAACAGATCTTGACACCCAATTCAAGCCAGCTTTTCACTTCAGCAATGTTTGGATATTTTACAACATTAATGCTACGAAAAAGACCTTTAATCCACCTCAGTAACAGCAATGAAACATGATTTAGTTTGACTTCCAATGGCTCAAGAGAGCAAACAACACAAAGTCTGATCCATCTGAAACTAACTAGTAATTTCAAAAGCTGGCTGCAAGACAAAAATAAATAAATTATGATTAACTTTTCTTTGTTTACCTCTCAGGAAGGGTTTTCCCTCTGTGTATGCTGATTCCGGGTAAGGTTATTTTACCGCCATAAAATTTCGTAGGCCTCCCTGTCCACCTGTCGGGCACTGCAACACAGCTTACTGTAACTCCATAACAACAGACTTTCACATTGTTTTACAAATATGTTCAAACTGGTTCCAAACGTAAAAACAAGACCCCAGCGTTGCGACAGTGTGACCGTCTTTCACTGGAAGTTAGCCATGGGGCATTTTCGACGACTTGCTACCTGGGGGAGTTTTTTTACGGACACATTTGAACGTAACACGCGTTCAAAAGCAGCAACTGGCAGAGGTGAAGCCGTGGATAACATCGTGGTTTCTACAAGGAGTTTAAGGAAATCAAAGGAAATTGGTTCATTGATAATTACCGAGCAAAACGTCTTAAGCATCAACTGCACACAAATCTCATTTTACCAGGTTGTACTTCTCTTATATTCACCACTAGGGGGCAGTTAAAAACTCACTCCGCGCCGAATTAGTCGCTTCGCTTTTTGTTTCTAATGACCCTTGGTTCCTTCCGTAGTCTGCGAGAAAACATGGCTTCACACACAACTAAGGCATTTTTGACTCTAGGTCGAATAAATGTTACCGGTTTTGGACTGCATAATTCAGTAAGTAGGGTCACATATGCAACGGCTGTATCGGAAACGCCTTTTAGAAGGAATAACGGTGAGTTACTCTGTATCTGTTTAACTGTTTACGAAGATTTAAAATAATAGCTGCAGGCTAAGCTAAGTGCTAAAATGCTGTCATCGAGGCCAGTGCACTATCCCCTATCCTTAAACAGAAACGTTTAATATAGTATTGAGTGTTTAAACGAGGCCAGTAGCAGTGTTTCCATAGATGGGACTAAGGAGTAAGGAGTGATGTGACTGAGTTTCTTTTTCAAATCGTCTCAATAAAGCCCTGTTTTTTAATAAGCTGATCAAAATAGTAAATATTCATTGCGCATCTGATGTTTGACATGTCTTTTATTTTGAAAAAAAGCTCATTTTTTAAATGCATATATTTCTAATTTTTTATACACCATATGAAAAAGTAAAAATACATATGTTTGACACTTTCTCAACAGGTAAAAAAGAGCTTAATATTTAAAAAATAGACTTGGTGGTTTCCTTTCGAGATTAAAAAGTACAACAAACACATCAGCAGTTATAGGTTAAACATTCAGAACAGAGGAGAAAATGCTAATTCAGCTGTTAAAGTTTTTTATTTTGTTAATCAGAACAAACTTTAGGATAAAGTAAAGAAGATACAACAAAAACAAAAACCTTTAACACACTCAAAACAAAAACTATACGTTCTCCCAAACAAACTCAAAGAAAGCCAGAGAAACAGTAACAACATTGTGGCTTTTAGGTCTTTTTTTTACGAATTATACAATATAAAAAGCTGTCACAACACAGTGAAGGATATTTTCACTTAAAAAACTGTTTTTGTGTGGCTCATGTTAACCATTTCCAGGGAACCCGGGGGGAGATGAAAGACCATTTTTCAGAAAACCCAAAAGAGAAGTAAGTGTGCAGCTTTATGTCTGTTTTTTTTTTTTTTTTAATACAAAAAAAGTGTAAAAATATTTATTTTTTTGGCAAGATACTTAACAACATAGTGAAAGAAGATCTATGTGAAACAGGCTGCTTTTCTCTGTCAACTGTCTTGATAACCTGACACGTTTCCAGGGAAAAGAAGGGTAACTTTGTCTCCTGTGTTTTCTATCAGCCCGGGGAGCCAAGGACAGAAAAGATGCTGGTGGATCAGGACTGGACTTCTGTCTATCCTGCAGCAGCCCCTTTTAGACCAAACGCTGTCCCGCTGCCTGTGAGGATGGGCTACCCTATGAAGAGAGGCGTTCCTCCAGAGAAGAAGGGAAACTTGGAGCTGATCAAGGTCAGAACTTTTTCCCTTTACGGGGCCACAACATGATGGCACTTCTAAAACCAAATGTAATCATTAAAATGTGGCACAGTGTGGACTCAAACAGGCCAACTGCAACAGCCTAGTTCTCAGGATGACCAGTTTAGTAACTTGTTGCCAGCTTGTGCTCTTGAGATATAGCTGAATGGCTCTGTAGACTCCGGATCGGTTCCCGGATTATGGAGCTGCTGTTTCCAGACACCAGCTGCTCAATCTGGACTTCAGCCACCTGCAGATCCCCTATTTCAGCTGTTACAGCTGGAGCTCTGCTGTCTAGCCCAACAACACTGATGTTGCTCTTTCCATCTTCTATGTAGAGCTGAATGCTTTAGATCTCTTGCTTCTGGTTTTGTGCTCAAATTCTACATTTTAGATGTCTTGATTTGGACACCTGTGAAAATTTGAATTTATTCTCACACAAGTATGAATTATAGGACTATTTCCATGGTTTCCTTGTTTCCTATGATAAACTGTTCCTTCAAATGACAGTGTCCTGACACCTTGCATCAAAAGACTCCTTTAAACAAAAGTTATAGAAGTTTTGTGATGTGAGATCCGCCACAAGTATTAGATGATTCTCTTTAGTATTTATCTTTCTATTTTATTCTTATACATATGTTTTATTTTACTGTTCTGTAGAATACTTGTCTTGTATATGTAGTACCTTCTTTCTTACAACTATTTATACTTTCACTACCTTATTTTTTTACTTGTCTATTGCACTGGAAAAGGAGAAGCTCTCCAATTTTGTTGTACTTTCAGTATGATGACAATAAAGGACATTCTGATTCTGGTTCTGATGATCTATAAACTATCTATAAATTTACTCTGAAATAAACTGATCAACACTGTTGATTCAGAAACTATCCAGTGATGGGTATAAGGCTTTAAGGAATCAAGTGTGCAGAAGAAGTGGCTCTTAATTTCTTCAGAAAAGGGGAAAATGCTCGAGATTGGGATCATGTGCACATATTTTTATGCATCTTAGATATTACATCATCAGTTGTGCATCTTAGCATTCCTGTAATCTCTTTTTTTAATCTCTTTCAGATACCGAACTTTCTGCATTTGACACCAGCAGCCATCAAGAAACACTGTGAAGTTCTGAAACGTAATTTCTTTTTTTAATCATAACTTGGCTGCAGTTTAATGATTATTGCAACACAAAAATTCAAAGACTTGTTTGGGAGGTTTAAAAAGTTCTTTCTGTGCTTTTAGCGTTCTGTACAGAGTGGCCATCTGCCCTGGACTCTGACGCCAAATGTGACGAGCACTTTCCCATCAAAGTAGAAAGCACAGACTACGTGTCAGCCGGCCCATCTGTCAGAAACCCGTCGGCTCGCATTGTTCATCTCAGAGTGAGTTCACCTGGTTTTTGACCTCGGCTTTTTACCTGATGGTCTTAGCTTTAGCTGTGTTCCACGGATGTATAGAAAGTGGGAATTGGAGAAACCCGACATGGAAAATGAGATTAGAGATTTGCAGGGATGCATAATCACCAGCTGACATCATGTCCCTCTGACTTATCCAGAGACGTTCATTGTCCAGTGACCTGAAACCTAAGAAATGATGCCACCAAGTCTGCAGAGAGATTATACAGATTTAGATATCTTTTATGCATCATGATGAAGCTCTGCTGATGTCCTCTTTCTAATTAAAGCCTCAATTATTTTTTGGAATTTGTTCATTTCATTAAAACTTATTAAATTATACGATACAAGTAACAAAACTTGTTACCATCACCATATTTGTTGTTACATTTTGATATTCTTCTTAATCCCTTCACCACTGCAGCCATCACTAATCCATCAATATACAATCCTCCTCACGGAGCTGAGCCATAAATGGAAACATAAAACAACACATGACGTCCACAACCCATCCATAAGAAGATTTACACTCTAGGTTCTGTCTACGAATCTAGGAAAAGGCATCAAGGAAAAACTCAGAGTCCTCTGTGTGAGGATGTTGTTTATGGTTCGACAGACGACTTCATATGTTTACACAGATTAATTTAACTGCTGTGTTATTTGCACAGTTGTAAAAATAAATGTTTCCTAAATGCAGAAAAAAATTCAAACTGCCTTTTGACAAACTTGTCATCCCTGCAGGTGAAAATGTGTAATTTTTTTTTTATCATCCACCATGAGCCATCTGCTCCACTGACACTTTGCCTTAGATTATATCAGCATGGGAGGAATTATCCAGACATTAATCCAGGTGGATTAGTCTGAAAGACAGATTGGAGCGCAAATCTCGCACAATTAGGTTCCAAATCCAAAGCAAGTGGAACAAGACTGTTTTTAGCACGACAAAAAATGTCAACTAAAATTCATTCAGCTTTTAAGTGATGCTTTTATGTAGCAGGTTTAGTTTAGTTGATTTCTGACGGGGTGGGAGTTGTCCAGAAGTTTAGGGAGAAAGTCTAGGGCATGTGACTCCAGAGTCAAGAGTTATATTATCTTACCTTTATGTTGTTTGTGCATGAGGTTTAGTTAAAAAATACACTCTGACATCTAAACTGTGTTTTCTATGGGTGCTTTTGACTGCCTTTTAAATATATATATCTAATCCATGGGAAAAAAAAACAATCAAGGAATAATCTTCTCCTTTTTATCTTTCCATTGCGCAAGAGACTTAAAGGTATCCCCGGACCATAGCATCAACTCTATGATTTCATCTACAGGAAGCGTACATTTTTAATCTGCACTCTCAGAGATTTGTATTCGTTGAAAACAAACGATGCTCTTACTTTGAGCAGGAATGACAGCCAGGGTATCTGCAGGGTCTTAAAAAGTCTTGAAACGCAGCCGAGCGGGTTAGTGCGCACCACATATGAGTACCACAGTCCCTGCAGCGGTCGCGGGTTTGAGCCTGACCCCAACCTTGTGTTGCATGTCCTCCCCCTCTCTCTATCTCCCCATATTTTCACACTGTCCTATCCATAAAGGCAATACAATAATTAAAATTTAAGGCCTTAAAATGTCTAAAATTCTCTTAAAATGTCATAAAATGTCTCATACAATTTTGAAGCTCTTAAAAATGTTTTAACTCTGCTTACAAATAAATAACGTGCCATAGGAATAAAGATTGGCTTGAAGTAATGTAAAATTTTCCGATTTCCTTAATGTCTTTTGTACTTTTTTTGCCTGTTTGGATGTTAAATGGGTCATAAATTGTATTCACTATGGTCTTTAAAAAATCTTAAAGTTTAAAATTCGACTTGCAGAGACCCTGGACAGCACACTCTCATGAGGTTTTCCATCTTTTTTTTGCATCCCTCTTTCCTGTCTTTCAAACTGCTGTCTGTCACATGGTTGTTGAAAATCATCATTGCTCTTTTAGGTGAAATTGTCAAGTCTCAACCTAGATGAACACGCACGTAAGAAACTGCTCAAACTCGCTGGGGAAAGATACGACAAACAGACTGATACCCTCACCATCAAAACGGACAGGTAGACACTCCTTCCTCAGGGATAATCGTGGATAGTGATCATGAGGCGATAATACAAATGCACTAAACTCCCTTCTTCTTTGTCTCAGCTGCCCAATGAGAAAGCAGAACCAGGACTATGCCATGTACCTGCTGACTGTCCTTTACCACGAGTCCTGGGTGAGTTTCTTTTCTTTCTTTTTAGTCCCACAAACGGATTTTTGTCTAACCTTAATATGAACAAGTTGAACAAACAAAGCTACGAGATGGAAAAAAACACTGACGCCTCCTCGAAAGCCAGTCGAATGTGACTCTCAGACTATTCCTCACCATGACATTCAGAGAGCCCGCCTGACTCCTCCACCATGGCTGACATTTGTTACAAGAGCGAACAGAAAAAAGTCACTGGTCTCCTTTTAACTTAAGCCTTTTGTTCTCTTCCATCTTTTGATCCATATCTCTTCATATCTGGTTACTCTCTGGCGTTTCTTGTGGGGACAACCTGTTACCAGTTAAAATCACATAAACTGACACAATATGAAAGGCAATCACAGGGCCCTCATTAACTTCATGACATCATGTATAAATCATGCTATGTGGTATATTTTCATTGTGGCGTTATTACCTACTCTGATATGGCAAAAATTCATGGCATAGAAAAGTCGTTTTAGCGTGTATTGGGGAAAAACTGTGTCATCATATTTTTGCCAGCTGAAGAGAGACTGGAAATGTCCAGGTCAGGGTCATGGCTGGGAATTAAACCAGCATCAGGCACTACAGCCTCTGTATGTGGGGTGCTTGGACCACTGGGCCATCAGCACAAAAATTTTTCATTTTCAATAGAGACCGGACTTGGTTGCATGGCAACAGTAGATAAGTCTCCTAAAGTGCTTGGTTTCAGGATGCTGGGGGACCTTTGGACAAAGCTGTCTTTTATCATTTTGCCCTCAACATGCTGTAGTAGTTTAGTTTGACAAAAAGTTCTGTCCTTTGGATTTCTTTTTCGGTGCTAATTTAACGCAGAATTTAAAAATAGGGCTTTTTCTGCAGCTTCCCCACTGACACCTACCCCCTCGCAGCAGTTTCAAGCATTGAAAATAACAATATAAAAATGATCATTCTTGTCGCTGATGGTCTTGTTTGCTTTTGCAAAGTGTAAGAGGACATCAATATAAAATTCAGTCGAGTTTAGACATGTCAAAAGTCTCCAGACAGGAGCTTGACATTAACAACAGCAAATGTGCCACATTATACAGACGGTTACTGGCAGCCTGTAGTAACACGACCAAAATATTTGATTCAAATCTAAGTCCCGCCTCTGACAAGGCTAACAGCCAATTAAAGTTTGGAATTCTGGGTGGGCAGATGGGGCCGGGGCCACCTCATGGATCCGCCCCTGCCTCACAGGTTTAAAATGAGTCACTATCATTTAAATGCTCAACTTGGATGACATTTAATCATAGTCTGAGCTGCGGTCCAGTACCTTTCCACTTAAAAATCTCGCTCTGTGATCTGAGAGGCTGAGCCCATTAGGAAGGTATCGGCCTTGAATGGGCAGAGGGACAGCAAACAGCAGCATTGTCCAGTTGACATTTCCTCACTGATGAGGTGGAAACAGGCTCCCTTCTGAAGTGTTGACCCTGATACTCATTCACAGTAAGCCAACCATGCCACCTCAGAGAAGCCTGCCACCGGGTCATAACCTGAGGCGTTACTCATACAGCCAGTCACAGAAAAGAAAATGACTCTCCCTATTTTGCAACCTGTGCCTGTGGGAGCGATTCCCGACATTGCTTCAAAAAAGATTCAAAAAGATCATTTGGGAAAGGCGTCCAAGCCAATGAGCAGAACGTTGTCCACTGCCCTTTTGGACACACAATGGAAAGCACAGTGCTTGTCAAGGAGCCTGTAAGAGCGGTGTAACGTTCAGGTCGTAACGCTAGCCCACAATGAGGCTTATTGTTAGCAGCCACTGAGGTGATTTTATCTACCCACTCAGGGAGATGGACCCACTCTGTTAATTCTAGTGTGCTCTAATCCAGGCCAGCTCTGCTCAAAGATGCTTCAGGCATGGAGGGAAGTTCACCACTAGAGGCAGTCAGGCTGTTTTTGCCTCTCACCAAACACCTGTCCTTTCCCTGAACTGAAAATGTAAACGTTACTTCGCTTGTACTGGAGTTGTTCTGGAAAACAGGTGGCCGTTTGTTTCCCATAAAGATATCAAATATTCTGTTTGTCAACCAAACCGCTCGGTGATGGATGTGATAGCAGACATGCGAGGCTACTGCCAACACTTGTGCATTAATTGTACATACTATAGTGAAGGAAAACAGCTGTAACTCTGTCAATGACATGCAAGTTGTCCTGTTTGGACAGTAGAGCTTTTTGCAAAGACTCGACTCACCCTCTAAAAATCTGATTTAACAAACTCAACAGAACTTGAACCTTAAAGGACTGTGCTCATGCTTTCACTTAAGTGTTTACACTTTTTACAGCTGTAGATCAGAGGATTAAGAAAAAAAAAAAAAACAATTGAGGTTTTTACAACAGAGTATTAGGGCCACATTAAGAAACAAAAAAGACTTCAAGGTTAAAGTCGTTAACTTACAGATGAACATTTATCATCTCTCTTCAGCTTTCCTGTCTGATACAGGGAAAAGGGAAAATAACTTAAAAAGAAGCCATAAAAAAAGTTGTTTATCTGTCTGCTGCTCCTCAGTGGACTCGCCCCAGACGGGATCCTCTGTGGGTCAGATATGTATAGCAGTAATGATGGTCATTAACCTCAAACACCTGGAGGGTAGGGGGGTGAAAGCTGCTCGGCCATAAGCTGCAGCACAGTGGGCCGTATTGTTCTCGAGTAAACGTGATGACAGCACAGACAGGCAGTGGACATATGGAGAAATACTATCTCTGTGAGAGGAGCATCAAAGAACTGAAGGACCCCCATATTTTACAACTGTTGCAATCCAGGAGCAGAGCTTTAAAAAGGAACGTGAGCATGCATTCATAGTAAAGTGTGATGGAATTGCCTATGTGTGCAGTCTGCTTTCAAAGACGACAAATAAGTCTTGTGTCTTCTACGCCCTCAGAAAACCGAGGCTTGGGAGGCTGAGAAGACCGTAGCAGACATGGAGGAGTACAGCTGGGAGGACAGCCCGTCCCAAAACAACATCCTGGACGTTTTAGTGCGAATGAAAGTGACCGGCGAAGGAGAGGGCGAGGAAGTGCGAGAGCAGCTACTGGGGAGAAAAGAAGTGCAAGAGTACAAGGACTCTGTTACGAGGTTGAAGAACGAGGGGGAGAGCGAGAGCAACATGCAGCTGTACAAAGAGGCTGTGAAGAAAGTGTTGAACCTGTAATCGAGCTACATGTGCAATTGTATTTACCAGATGGTGACAAAGAAGGTCCACAGTTACAGTTTTGAATACTTCTACATCATTTTGGAGTCAATCACACATAATCTGTTCCAACATGTGTCTGAATATTTCAACTGTCAAGGCTCACAACTACTGTATTTATATGTACTGCTATAACAGCTGTATAATGATGTCTTTATACAAAAATAAAAGTCTAATGTATCCTCTTTGGAGTTCACACCATAGTTAAAAGCTTTTACGTAATAAAAGCCTCATTCAGTTAGTTCCCACCTCACTCTCGTCACTGTCAGATTGCGGGTCAGCGCCCCTGTGAAAGGACGCTTTCAGCAGCAGGTTGTTGAAAAGTACTTCACCCTCTTAGAGAGTTTTACTCTGTGATTTTTTTTTTCACCCTTTTAGATCAAGAGGAATCCGATGCCTTGTGGAGATGAGGAGGGTTAAACACTAAAGGCAAAAAGTGGTCCATCATCTCCACATGTTGATGACGATGTGAGCGACTCTTGAGCCGAACACTTTCCTGTCCATTAAGTTCCACTTAAGACTGGTGTAGACAGCCACCCAAAGTCATGGAGTTTTGTCCAACATCGATTCAAACTCACTGAAGTACATCAGACTTTGAGTCAGCCGCACAGACATCATATAATCCAAAGCAAACTGCCATGTTTGAGTACATTGGCTTCGATCAACTCCGCTCTTCCAAGTCAATTCATCACAAAGGAAACTTAAATCATAGTAGTTGTATATTTTCTCAGGGCAGTGACAGCTCAACAGAAGTGAGAAACAAACGAATCACTTGATGAAGTGATTTGGATTAGTACGTTCACTTAAATGATCCGGTTCTTTTGAACGAATCGTTCGGGAACGACACAACACTAGCAAGGGTTTGATAAACGGGTTTGTGATATCGATGTATTTCCGACGAGTCCATACCTGTCTGCTCAAAATTAAGCATATCAAAGAATTGTCTTTGCTAGAAGAGCCCCCTGTAAGTTTGTCTCAGCTTTGGCGCCCCCTGTGGACAAAGTAACATCTTACTGTCATGCACATACAGGTCCTATGTGCAAGTAAATCTGCTGCTTTTTCACACGCAATCATTTCACTCTGTGAAAATTGTTTTGAAGGTTGATCCAGTGGCGTGCAGTCAGTCATTTTATCAAGGCGTGTTGGAAGTGACCTTATTTCACTAAAGCAGTGTTAACTTAAGCCTTTCAAATTTTGCTAAATATTTCCTATATGAGAAAAAAGGAAAAATCAGCAGACTTAATTTTAGTACACAAACTAATTGATCTCTAAACCTTCTGTTTCATCCTAAAAGAATATCTGTTAATGTTTTGTATTCCTCTCAGGTGTTTTCTCTGACCAGCACATACTTTATCAGACGCATGGAGCCTCTTTTCCCTCTCCATGACGTCCGATATCGCCCCATCCTCTTCCTCTGACCCCTCCAGCTGACCACCAGCAGAAAAGAGCAGCAGCAGCTCAGCAGGATCGTTACGCAGACCACCACAGCGACCAGCAGGGTGTGAGTGCCGACATGCCACCCAGGCACAAAATCCTCTTGGGTGTCCTCTCCGCTGACGCTGTGTCCTTCCTCACCGCCTGCAGTGTGGTTCCTCCCTAGACTGCCTTTTGTGTCGTTTGGGTTCTGCTTGCTGATTTCGATACTTCCCATAAGAGCTGTTGTGGGTATCTGAGAGGGGGAGGTGCTGTGAAGAAGGGTAGGGGGCGAGGAGGGCTGTGGTGAAGCTGTGGTGGAAAACACAGGAGTGGTTTTAGGGTTGTGTGGGCTGAGTGAAGATGCTCTGGTGGATGGAGGAGGCGTAGAAAAGCTGGGGGCAGGAGAGATGGAGATGGTTGTTGTTTGAACCCTTGAATCTAGGAGGGTCTTTGAAAATGAAAGTAAGGTGGTAGAATTAGGAACTGTTGTTGGCTGACCGGTGGTCTGCAGAGTGGTGGTGGAGATGGTGGTTCTGGTGGTGGTGGTGGTGGTGAAGGCTCTTCTTTCTGTTGTAGGGGGTTTGACTGTTGGTGCAGAGGTTAGCGGTAGAGCAGCAGGTGGAGGTGGATGGATGAAATGTCGCTTGTCTGAGGACAGCAGCTCCGAGGCATTCACTCGGCTGTAGTGGTGGGGCAGCACTCGAACATTGGAGGTGAAGTATTTTCCAAACACCAACAGGTCCGGATCCACACCTGAGAAAGCAAAAGGACTTCTATAATGACTTAATGAATTCATGACTAAAGGCAAATAACGTAATGTAATGTAAAACTTTATTTCAGTCCCTGTTAATCCATATACAAACAACAAAACAACACAAAAAGATACAAAAAAAGAGACATTTGTTCCAGTGCTTCCAGAAGCAAGACAAATATTTTGTGTCTCTGAATGTGGGATGAGCAAGGGACTCGGTAAGACGACACATGAACTTGTACATAGAATTTCTCAGTACAGCATGAAATGTGGGAACATTATTAATAAGAAACATATGACATGCACTCGTCCATCTTGGTACTTTGAGAAATATTCTGTACGCATCATTATATGCCTCCTGTAGCTTTCTAATTTTAGCTTTACGATAATTACACCATAAAGGAGCAGTATAGAAAAGCTCTGTTTTAACATTGTCTGAACACATATGAAATTTTATCGCCAGCAGATTAGCTTGAGCATATAAATTGCGGTACTGCCTCTGCACATCATCATCGTCACTGAGGTCATCTCTGAAAACGTGCCCCAAAAGGAAGGAAAAAGCAACTTTTGATCATCTTTTGCTTTTACTATCATGATGACACTCTTTCTGCTAATCAACTTAATGTCATATTGAAAACCATAACGAGAGAAAATTCTAAGAGGTTGTTGCACCTAGCCGGACAAGTTTTCAGCTGCTCAGAGACAGCATCCATATACACGCTGAACAGGTGAGGTGACAGGATTCCACCTTGTCTAACACCGTTTGACACAAAGAAGGGTGCTGACATACTCTTGCTCCATCGAGCATTCATGGTTTGATGTCTGTACCAAAAATGCAATATTCGTACCAGATAAGAGGGAACTCCTCTGTTTCATAAATAATTCACCATCATTAACTCTATTGAATGCTTTAGACGCATCAAGGAAACATAAATATTGTGGAATTTTTTTCGCAGATACATGCGAACAGTTTCCTTCAGTGCATCTTTTTCTCTGCCATATGCAGAGAAAAAAAAAATTACAGGAAGGAGATTAAAGTCGAAATTTTGACATTTAAAAAATTGAAATTATGTCAATTAAGTTGGAATTTCGAGACTAAAAAAATTTAAATTTTGAGATTAAAGTCATCTGAAATTTTGAGATGAATAAAGTAAAAAATTAAGTCGAAATTTTGACTTTTTTAAATTTCAACTTTAATCTCAAAATTTCGACTTCAAATGTCAAAATGGAAGTTAAGCACTTCTGTGCAGTATGGGCTACGTGCAATATTAATCTGACAGTATTGAATGCATTTATTTATTCTTTATCGCTATAATACACATAATTATTTATTCAATTTCTAGCACTGACATGTTTACTCTGCACTCTGGTGAGATGCGTAAATACTTTTCGCTGTACTGTACTTGTACTGTACATTGACAATAAATTGAATCTCATCTCATCTCAAACAATCTCCATCCTGTAATTATTTTTTTTTCTCTTCCTGTGGCCCTAATCCCCTTTTTGTAGCAAACATGTATCTGTACTGTGTCCGTTCTTAAATACACTGAATTAAGCTCAAGATTTCAGAATGTATCAGAACATTAAAGCTCCTGTGAGGGTTTTTTTTTGTTTTGACAATTATGAATTATGAAAAAGTTATAAACCCCGAGTGGAGTAAGGAGCCCATGGTGCCTGTGCAGCCGAAACAGCTGACCATTCAGTCCGCTTTCTCTAGTGCAATGCCTTACGACAAAACGCTAGAGACAAAGACCTCAGAGATGCAATTGCTTGTATTGCAAAAGACATGCTACCAATAAGCACTGTTAAATTTCATTTTTTATATTGTGATATATATCACTATCGACTGATATGAAAAAAAATTATCTTGATAAACTTTTTCCCATATCGCCCAGCCCTAATACAAACGTTGTTTTAGTTGTTGATGAGAAATATTTTATGGGCCGATCTTGAGTTGTATTTGTAAAATTTTCAGCCTCTGTATGTATCTTATCGAAGAGAAAATGCTCAACAAAGCCCATCTCTCTGAAGTGCTCACTTTAGTAGTTTCAATGACTTTGAGGTCATAACAGCTATTTATATTTTTTTTATTTTTGTGAAAATGTATTGGAGTCTTCTTTAAGGAGTGCACTTTGCCTTTACAACATACTTGTGAATTAGTGTTCCTTTCTGTAGACTTGATTTGACTTACCCTTTGTGATGTTGTAGAGAACCACGTTTCCTCTGTGGCTCAGGATGCAGCTCTCCAGTGTTGGACAGTGCAGGTGGAAACAGTTGTCGTTTTCTTTAGTGGTGTCATAGTGAAATATGGCCAGGTTACAGGAGACTAAGAGAGGAGAGATGATAACTCTTATGATACATGTTTGGTGGGATTGTTATTTGGCATGGATGCCTCTTGGTTCAGAATTGTATGGCGCTGATTGACTCACAGTTTCTGGTGAGGCAGCAGGTGCGGCTGCATTTGAGTGCAGTCTCCTCCTGGTAGGACTTCAACAGCTGAGCTCCTCTCCTCTGAGACTCCTCAACGTCGATGAAAATCCCCGGGAAGCGTCTAATCCAGCAGTTCTTATAGTAAGAGGTCGGTGAACACCTCGACTCGGAGTGACACACCAGACCCAAAACCGCCAACAAACCCCATGTGACGTTCATCGCGTGTAATGTAAATTAGAGCATTTTACATTACAATTTCGACAAAGCATCGACATATCTGTGAGGCTGAAGACTTGAAATTAGCAGAAATGAAAGAAAGAGACAGCGATGGTCGTGTCTCAATGGTGCTCGTTCCTCTCAGGTGTGCCACAGCCACGCACCTGGAGGAGGGGGAGACCCCGCCCTTTGTGTGGGGCGTCTGGGCTGGGCTGGCTGTATGGCTGATAGGATTCTTACGGTGGCCAAAAACTACCACTGCTGCAAAGAAAAAATAAAATTAAAAGAAAAGAAAAAGAAAAGGGAAAAAAAGAAAGAAGTCAAAACGGGAGTTACCGATGCAAGAAAAAAAGAAAATAAATTGAAGCCTGTTGCATAAAAAAAAGCCATAACAGAAATTAACAACGCAAAAAAAAGCGGCGATGGAAAAAAAGTGGCTTCTTTTTTTTCTGCATCTTTTTTTTTTAATTTGCAGCAGTGGCGGTTCTTTCTATGATACTAACTTTATGACAAATTGACTTAAATTTTTGGTCTACTTAAATGAAAAACTAATCAGCTTCAAAAGCAAACTGTTCTTTTTATATTGAAAAACAATATAAACAAGGCCAATAAGAACTGGAGGCATGACTAACTTAAAAATCACTAAACTCCAAGGCAAGAGCCTAGCTTAAAACATGGATCAAAAGTAAAATTTTGACCTTAAAATTATGACTAAAATAAAACAAATACAAATAATTATCAAAACGATAATACAGATAACCATTTGTCCATTTAAATGTTCTAAATTTTTGGTTTATCTCAGTGGAAATATTCTAAAGTTTGTTCTTTAAAAAGAAATAAAGTGGGACTTTGATTTGTTCCTGTTTTGGAGGCTTGGAGAGAATAGTTTTTATTTTTTCCCTCTATTTTTCTCCATGCAAAAATTGCTTTAATTTTCCATAATTGACCATTATAGCCATTTATCCTTGTTTCTGACTTCAGAATAACCATCCATGCAGGTATTTGTCTCTCCATCAGTTTTCTGTCAGCGTATTGCCAAACCTTAACCAATCCCCCTAAACTCTTTCAAACTGGATTATCTGAATGAACATTTGGCTGCCTGGTGTCAAACTTGTTTCACCTGTTAGGCTGTTTTTGTCACCTTTTGTGAGCTTGTCTAACCATCGCAAGACCACTTTCTCATTTTACACACAAGTGAAAGGAGATGAAAGTAATCCTTTGGAGAAAGAGCTTGTACAGCCAAGGGCATACAGTCACATTATATCCGTAAACTTCTCTGCAAATATGGAACTTAAACACCTACATAACGAGAAAGTATCTATTGTGGCCGACACAAAAAATAGGGGCTGTCAGATTCAATAACACTTATCTGCCAGAACTCTCCTGGAGGTGCTGGCAAGAGAGGTGTAATGAGAATTAATGACCACCAGATGGCAGGCGTCACTTCTATCTTACCTTGAATTGACTTTTTATGCATTTAAGACATCAGTGTGCCTCTTTTTACGAATATTAAATTAATATATTTAAAATTCTGCCGGTCAAAACATGAAACAAGAACAGAAACAAGAGCAGAATTTGCTTATTAATGTTGAATTCAACGTCACAAGATTGACAAAATGTCCTCTCTCAATACTTACTTTTTGTGTTCTGATGTTATCCTCTGGCTGAGTCATCGCCTGAAAGAAGTTTTAAATCTTTCTACCTGTACGCAGCCTATCGCCATGGTAATTGGAAATGATAAAGAGATCTATAATACACTAGATGTAACCTGAAGTCATGCAAAATATGTGTTTGAAATCATTAAACTGATCACTTCTTGAGTAGACATAATATCCCAGTTATCTCCTACATCATGCACTGAATTAAACACACCGAGCAACAGATCAGCTTTGTAAGAAACACTTGTATTTTCATCTGACACTTCAGGGCAAGTTTTCAGTTACAGACAACCTCTGTCATCAGCTTACAGATCTAAATCTGGTTCAAGTTAGCAGTGTTATGTGCCTTTTTGTTGTAGTCAGATCATTTCAATCAGAAACATTAAGACAATACAAGTAACATTTAACATTAAACATTAAACATTAAACATCAAACAAAGTGAATACAATAACTCTTTTAAATCATTTTAGCCTCTTTCTTCATAAATCAGTTTAGAGGAGGTGTATCAGACACTGTACATAATTACTCAAATTCTCAAATAACACAAAAGAATGGCACCAAAAACAGTGATCGTTTATGGATGTGCAAAGGAGGGGTTCCCAGTCTAGTTGTTTGAGTTTTCCCCCGGTTGCTATTTTTTACTGAAGTCACTAGGGGGCATCCCGAGGCAGCTGAACTAATCTGAAGCAAACATCCCCTGCACATGCATGTGTGTATAAGAATTTAAATCAAAAACAAGCACAAGTAAAATGAGATGAATAACACCACCAACTTTCAACAACGTTCTCATGCAGGTCTGGTTTGGCTCCTTTGGTATAGAGACCACAGTGTATCATGGTCCTCTTTTTTCACCACTTTTCACACAAAGCCTGTTCCAGCTTCTGTAATCCCAAATCCTCAGCAGTAGTAGTGTTCGTGGGCGCGCTTACAAAGCCAGAGTTTCTCTGGGCTCCTGACCAACTCATACGGTTTCAGCTTTAAGCTTGGGGAGGAAGTAGTCCGTTGTTTACTGTAGTTGTTCACTGAGGTGCTACAATGGGTCTTAAGCAGGTGAGCTCCAAGTGTGTCAGTCTTTGACTAGCCTGTAAATGTGATGCTGTGCACCGTGCTCACTGGTGGACACCTCGAAGACGTAAGCTATGCAAAGGAGGGTCTCCAGTGTGTCCCTGTTAGTCACCACCTGTGGTCAAACACAGGGAAAAAATGTTATCCAGGTGTTCAAAATGTGGTCTATAAACATGGTATGTAGAGGAGCAACAAATAAAATAACCATTAGACTTCACAGAAATTCATAAAAGTTCTTGTGAGACCTGTAGGGAAAGAAATAATCACTGAATTTTTAATAGCTTTTAATACACAAACACTATACAAACAAAAACAAAGGCCTCTTTTCATGGTGGTATAATTAGTAAAAACAAATTTGTAAATGTCAGCTAAAAATCTTGCGTTTTGAGTTAGTGTGTGAGAAAAAGTCTGACTAACAGAGGTTAAAAACATCACATAAATAACAACCCACGATATTTTTCCTGCTCCATAAATATTATTTTCACCCTCAAATGTCAAAACTAGCTTTATGCGTTTAAAATACTCTTTCCAAATTATCTTCAGGTGTAAAAACTCGTTATTAGAAACAGCTAGTTGATATCATTTCAGATCTAATAAAAGACTCTCTCAAGCTGTTTGTCTGACACCAACTCACCAGAGACAATTAAAGCTCCTATGAGAGACTTACAGTTTGTGTCAATTTTGGTGCCCCCTGGTGGAAAAAGCAATCATTGCCTTTCTTGTCCTCTATATATGCTTAAATTGTAACAAAAAATCTCATTCTATTGACTTTTGATTGATAAAAAACAAACAAATTGTGTTGCTGTTTCTTCAGTCGCTTAGTCGACACCTACCCCCCTCAAACCTGTTTTAGCATTGATATTACGATGCAAAAATGATCAATCTTGCTGCTGATGGTCATGTTTTTTTACTCTTGGATAAAAAGACATCAATGTGAATTTCAGTCTATTTCATAAACATTGAAGTGCCTCTTATAGGACCTTAAATTTAAAATTGAAAGGAAAGTAGATCTTGTCGATTACAGTCTTATTTGTTGGACAGTAATATTAGTTGTAGTTTGCTTGAGTCCAGCTAAAAACACAGCTTTATATAATACACCATGTACTCAGAGCAAAATCAAAACAATATAATAAATACGTGGTTAAAATGTTCAGCTCTTTAATGTCTCGCAAAGTTGTAAATACAAACAAGAAGTGTATAAACAATCACACGACTTTAGCATTTCATTATGCACTGAACACATGTTACATGAGGCCTACCGCTCCATTGTGCTCAGCCTCACATTGTGGAGTCTGTGGGTGCATGTGTCTTTTGTTTATGTGTGTGTGTGTGCATGTATGTGTGGACGTCTGTTAATGAGCTGCTCATGGCTAATATGAGCTAAATCAGCCCATTGAGAAACCTAATGACATGCTGCCATGTAGTCGTCAGTGTGGGCTCAATGTGGTCATTGTCCCTCGACAAGTAGGAATGCAGCCACCAGTGCTAGGGACACCAATGTCTTTGAACCCTGGTGTTGAGGACCACTTTGTTACCATGGCAATATACCCCACTCTATTCACTTCCTTCTCTGTGGAGCGCATGGGCTCATTCAGAAAAGTCTGACTAGCAGTAAAATGGACAGAATGTTTCAACTCTGCGAGGAACTGTACAAATTGCTTTTCATGAGCAGGGAAGGATTGCTGCCAGCTGTTAATGGTCTGTCATAGCTACCCAGAGGAACTTTAACAGCATAAGCTTATTCATTCAGACACCGAGCAGCTTCTTTTTTTTTTCCTGCATCGCACCCTTTACACCAGTGTGACGTCTGCAAAAAGCTCTTTGAGTTTAAAAAAAGAGATTCACACACACGAGGTTCACGTGGCCCTGTGTGCTCTTATCCTCTCTCCGTGGTATGTACGGAACTACACAAAAGATGAAGGAAAGAGTACATGAAAGTGTTGTAGACAATTACTCATATCCAGATTTATCTTAAAGCTCCTGCAAGGAACTTTTAGATCGCAATAACTCTCGCGCCCCCTGTGGACAAAGCAGTATTTGCTTATCGAATTGAGCAGTCCTTAGAAATAACAATCCATAATGCTAATTTACTGTATTTGCTTCAGATCTTTAATTTAGAAATCGATTCAGGGAAAAGTAGGTAAGGCAAGCAAAACCTCTTATGCTAACCCACTGTTTCATTTATCACACTGGATAAATTCGCTGCTTTTTTGTGTTGGCTTTGGTAGAGTTCAGTTAGAACTAAGTCAAATGATCGATGCACAGTTTGGATAATAAATCTGCAGCAGTGTTAGACTTTTTACAAGGTGGGAAGAGACTGAAAGGCTCCCTTGCTAACCCCTTCTGTCAGTGAAGCAACAGTGGCCTTTGAGGACAATAAGCTACTGAGATATATCATAAATATCATCCTACGTTTGTCAGATTGTTACTATACAACACTTGTATCAACAACAAAGCACTGTCCTCTTCTTTGTCATCTTTCAACATGTGCATTTTTAGCATCTACTCATTAAATACAAAAGTCTGCAGGCACATAGTTTGTCCATTCTCAGCTTCAGTGGACTTCCTACGCAGATTTGAAAGAGTCACTCTTAGTTAACAAAAAATATTTATACATTCTTATAATCTGGTGATTATACAGTTGTTTAAATATACTTGTGAATTTTATATTCCATTTTTAGCAGCCTCTTTAGCACACATATATATTTATACACAGTATACACATGGTTTGCTGTGTTTACCTGTAGGATAGTGAAGTTCTCCAGTACACTGTTCATCATGTACTTCTCTGGCAGGTGTTTCAGCTTGTGGATGAAGTTGATCATATATTCACATAACGGGGAGCGGTGGATTCGAAAAACATAGCGCCCATTCTCAAAACGTGCGTACTCCGTCTGGGAAAAAAAAAAACATTCACATTATGCAATGAGGCACGCAATCCAATATATGTGAACATAGATCGTGTGTAAAGAGAATTTGAAACACATTACAGGTTTAAATGTGAAATCTACTGTTAAAAAATGTGATGCATATTCCACTAAAAGTGGATTAGAAACATTGGATATAAACATCTGGAACATAGGCTGTAATCTGCGTAATATAATAAACCTAATGCAGCATATGGCATGCCAAAAAAGAACAATAAACATATTTCTCGTGACAACCATAATCAAATAATATAGCCATTAAATATCATGTTGCACACTGAGGCAGATGGCTCTACCTTGGAGTGTGTGTGTGTGTGTGTGTGTGTGTGTTTATATTGTTCAATCCATCAGCAGCAGTTGGGGGCAGGGCCGCTACTGCGTCCAGTTAACGGGAAGCACAGCGGTTAGTCATGCTGAGGAGATTTAAGGATCACGTCAGTTTCCTGACCACAGATCAGCGCTAACTGACTGGAATCCCTCCCTACCAGCAGCATTTATTCACTTCTCAGGGTGATAATAGCGGTTTTTGACGCAATCATGACCTCTGAGTGTTGAAATATCACACATTTATCAAGCAATCAGTGATGCAAACTTCTTAAACTGTGACCACAAAGTGTATGTAGTTCATGGATGATAAGTGTAAAAAGCCCTGTTTTCAAAAACACTGGATGAACATAAGTACAGGGACTGACATGATTGCTTTTTCTGTATTGATAAATGAAGGAAAACACTTAATGATTACAATAAGTTTTATACCAAAACTACTTAAAAATTAGGATATACCCTTAAAGACCGCATAACACTATGCAATAATTGTATTATACTATATATTATACCCTGGTCCCTGTTGGAAGTACAGTTTTTGCAACGTTAGTCAGAAAGTAATTAAAATAAGTCAACATGTAAGAGCAAGTTAGACAGTAAGCAAGTGAGTAACTAAATAAGAAAATAAGTGGCTTAGAAAGTAAGTAAATTAGTTAAAAATTAAGTTAGTCACTGTGTAAGTAAGTACATTAGAAAATAAGTAAGTTGGAAATTGAGTAAGTGAGTACATAAAGTAAATAAATAAAATTATTCAAGTTATAAGAAATGGTTGAAGACAAACAACTGTGTAAATCAATTTAACCTTTTTAGAAAGTCTCTCATGTTTAATAAGAGGTAACATTTTAATTCTAATAACCTCAAACCTTGAAATGATGAAGCACTCTCATTAAAGAAACAAAAAAAGATTGCAGAAAATGGAAAATATGCCAGCCAACATACAAACCAAAGTATTCAACTACCTGCAAACTAGACAAGTAGAAAGGAAAGAAGAAATCACAACTTAAAGCTCCAGGGGGGAACTTTTTGTTTACGTCAAATTTGGCACCCCCTTGTGGACAAAGTGATACCTCTTAAATCTTTGTTGATTTTGTCTTGTACCGTTAAAGCTCCAGTGAGAAGTTTTTTTTTCTTCTAATTTTAATATTAATGCCCTTTTTTATGATAAATAAAAGCAAACAAATAATAATAAAAAGAAAACTTTTAGTTCCACATGAAATTTAAGATAAGATCAGATAAGATATTCCTTTATTTGTCCCACAGAGGGAAATTCCAAATTTACAGAAACAATATTAGAGAAATTAAGGGATATTTACATAAAAATGATGATGACAGTCAAAAGTAAATGTGTGATGAAACTTTTATCAGAGGACAAGATAAACAAAGACTGGATAAAGAATAAGTCCACGAACTCAAAGCATCATTTCAGAGTATTTGCTGTAGAGAACCTATTAGTTATATACTTCCCTGTGCTGTGATTGTGTCATCTAGCTCATTCCCCTTGCATTGCTTACAGGCATTTAAATTAACAGGAAAACACATTTCAGTCCTCATGCTAATGGTCTAGATTGCTTTTGTAGGTTGAGGCATCTCTGTTAGTTTCAGGTTTAACCCTCTTCACAGCAGCTTCAACCTTCAGTGTGCATGTCTTACCTCTACTTTCTCTACCACCTGCTTGCCAAAGGAGCAGACTTTGGTGGATGAGGTGATAATCATGTTCTCAGAGCTCTCATACTGGCTGGAAACACCATAGAAGAAGCTGCTGTCATCCTGTAGGTTTACACTAAGGTCCGCCTGGAGATGAGACACAGACAACATGTCAGGGATCATTACACACACACACCTATCAGTTAACCATGTAAGAAACCCTGAATTCAGTCTGGTACTGTGTAAATACGAAGGAGGATTTTCTGCCTTTCTTTCATCTAAGACAAGTGTGCCTGAGAGATCATCCAAAATCTACAGGATATACAAAAACATCTCTATAATCTATGTCAAAATATCATGTTCTGCTCACAGATATGGATCTCAAGGAACAGTCTGACAAAGACATCACCAAGAGTGTTACGGCTCAACAAAGCTTGAGAGTGATTCTCTGTAAAGCCATGAGGAATCCGATGGTCCAATCCTTATTAACCCTGTACAACGCTGTCAAATCCAGCCCTCAGATTCCCAAGATGTTGTGTTTCACTGTGTCTCCTTTGCCTGCATACAAAACACATACAGTGGCATATGTTTTGTATGCAGGCGAAGGGGAAAATGTTGATCTTTAAATTAACAGTTTATGCAAAAAGTCTCTTTAAAGGTTTTAAAGAACTAAAATCTGCTGTAGCTCGTGTATTTTTTATCATCTGTCCATATTCACACTACGGATATTTCCACCTGATGTCACACTCAAGGTTAGCACCTTGCAAGCAGAGGTGTCAAAAGTATTCACATTCATTACTTGAGTAAAAGCATAGATACTAGGGTTTAAAAAGACTTTTGTAGAAGTTCAAGTATCCACTCAAGCTTTTTACTCAAGTGAAAGTGTAAAATTACTGGTTTCAAAACTATTTATTTTGGGATGCACCTGTTTCGGCTGCATTTATGCCAATTGAAAATAAACACATTCTAGTATAATGCAAATATACTGTTTTAAAAAAGTTCACGCCCAGTGACTGAAACACAGTTACATGTAATGATATGTTGACAACGGTGATTTCATTTGAAATTGCATTTGCATTTTTCCTTGCTGGAGTAACGAGGCTATTTACAAAATTTGAGTAGAAAGTACAAATAACTGTGTGAAAATGTAAAGAGTAGAAGAAAAAAGTCAGCTGAAAAATAATCACTCCAGTAAAGAACAGATACCCTGTATTTCTACTTAAAGGTGGGATAGGCAGGAATCCGTTAAAGAAGCATCGTTTTTTGTGTTGTATATACAAAAAAGTTTTTAATATCAGTCAATAGCTATTATTCATTGATGACATTTGGTAATATCCCGATATCGCTGTGTTTTGTTATGTCTGTGTAGTCAACAATTAAAAATTTTGAGCTACCCTCTTTCTAACTGTAAACAAAGCCGTTCCCCGCCTTCCCCATCCTGATTGGTTGTGAGGCGGACGCTGCTCCCTCGTGTCGTTCAGGAGCTGAAACAAAGTTAGCGTGCTACAATATCGGACACACTTATTGTATGCTACAATAAGTTAGGGGGTGGGGGTTCGCCGCATGGTCCCTATTTTAATATTCATTTATTTTAAAATTCATTTATTTTTCTTGTTATTGGATTGCAATGCACCTGATACCTTTATTGGACTTCTGTACTTGTTTTCCTTTAAATGCAATAAAAAAGTTGTTCACAAAAAAAAGGTGGTTGTAACCAATGATGGATTTTATATAAAAGAAGTCATTAATTTCCTGGTATGTCACCATAAAAAGTTTAGCAAAACCCTCTGCTGTTTTCTTGACTGAAGAAACATGACAACCCATCACAAGACACAAGTCCATCATCTACCTGTGTTAAAATTTGACGTAACAGGTTAAATTCAAGGCAAAAGAGTATCAAGTGTCCTCATCCTCGTGCAGATTCACCTATGTCTGATCCTCTGACTGGCCCAGCTGAGGCAGGTATAATCAGATTTTGGATCAGACCTCTCGTCAGTCAGACAGCTCGGCTGCTCTACCCTTTCCCCTGTTGGGCTCTTGTCTCCTAATGAGCCATTGAGACACCGCTCAGCCTCCTCTCATCTCTTCATCACCCTGTTCATCTTCATCCCTGGCTCATGTAATTCCTCTATTTGTCTTCATCCCTGGGGCCCAGTGACCCTCCCCAAACCGCCATTCCCTGCTTCCCTAACAGCCTGCGAGGGAATTCATCCAATTACAATCAGCAGCGTGCAATTGGCTGATTAGATCAGGGTGGGCAGGCTGGCTGTGTAACAATTTAGCAGAGGCGGCTCAAATCGGATTCCCTCGGCACTTCAAAGGCGTGAGACAATCCGTTAGGACAGGGCCACGGGCGCCCAGGGCCGAGGAGGACGGTGGGGAGAGGGGCAGGGCAGCCAGCGGCCGACATGGAGGTTTGCTGGGAATTCAATCTAGAGTGCCATAGCTTTGGAGGATGGCCTGCCGCCTGTCACCGTCACCATGCCAACCTGCGCCTCAGCACACCCCCGAGTCATGACCTGCAACATCAACTCAGCTCTTCTGGTCTTTTATGATGGCGTTAATACAGTTATGGTGTTTTCAGATGTGCTGAGGATTTCATTTTGCTTCTTTTCATGACCGGGAGGATCTATTCTTGTTTTTCACCGGCATTGGTTTGCAGCAGTTTTGTTAAATTTCTGTATTTTGTCAAGGATGCCTTGAGAATTGTAGGATCCCCTTGGGAAACAATAAGACAAACAGACCAAGAGGGGACAGTATTATAAGCATGTTTTTTTCTCCAGAGGGGACTCGCACATGTCATAACTGTTGACTCCACTGAGCTCCGACATGAATCAAGGCAGTATAATATCTCCCTGTTGATTTGTTGGTTACTTGCCACTCACCATTTCTCCTGCGATCCCTGCCTCTTGTTCACACCGTCTCTGTCTCTATTTCTACCTCCTCTTCTTTATTGCTGTCTTGCTCTATTTTTCTTTATGATATACAGCGAGGTGACTCACCCCGTTCTCCCCCCACCCCACCCCATGAATCAAATGCCATGCTGACCAGCTGCTCTTCCCAAGGACCAGAGAAGACTACTTCCAAAATGGTGTCACTCACCCGTGTCTTTTATCCCTCACAATAAATAATGTGGCAGTCAAACATGTGAGAGGGGTAATGTCAAACATACATGCGGTGGCATTGGTTTCACTGGCGGCACTTTGAACTTGACATTCACAGTCTTTGGCTCTCGGATGCACAACACTTGAGGCTATATTATAAATCTGCTTTCAAGTCCAAGTGGCACATTTTTGACAAAGTGGATCAGAGTGAGGCAACATCGAGTGTTGAGGTTGGTGGTTTGGAGGCATTATTTGGTGAAAATTTACAATAAACGCCAATTTTTTTCACCAAATCAAAGAAGTAGAAGGATTCGATTGAAGTGCGACTGAAACAACAACCAAGAAGGTTATTGTAGACAAATATGACAGACATACCTAACCTCAGCCAACCTCCCAAAGCTCTAAATCAGAACACGTCCTTTAGATATTAAAATGTGGTGAGTTTATTGAGGCTCTGCAAGGTTTAAGTTCTTGAGAACAACACAAAAATGTACATGACCCTGAAAGTTTAAAAACAGACACGGCGCCGTTAGTGCGCTGAAAAACAAATATGGTAACCTGACAAGTTTAGCAGTTTAGGAGGAGGATTGCAGACTCTTCTGGTCCGATCGTCCTATCGTACCTCTTTTAAATCAGTCGCATACTATTTGCTCACATTGTTTTGATAACCCCAAATTTCCCCTTTTAATCAAAAATCACAGGGTCATTCTGTTCCCTTTATTGTGTATTTTCAGTGTGCAAAGGTTGCAGTTGCATATCAGATACCAAAGTGTCTAAAATATATTAATGGTTTTGTTATAATAGTGCCATCTCATTAGTAGCTGGTAGACTAAAAGTTTTAATATGGGAGAAAAAAAATTTCTAGACCGCAATCCATGTTTGTGACAAAAGTATATATTATAGTAAGCGTTAATAATTTAAGGATGTGCAAGCTCATCAAAATACGTATTTTGTTTTGATTAGTTGGTGCTTTTTTCAATATGCAAGTTAGGGCCCAACCAACAGTGATTTTTGGGGGCCAAAGTCGATACCAATTATTAGGGGGGGGAAATCCGATTACCAAATAATCGGCCGATTTTTAAAATTTTTTAAGTTCTAAAAAATACATATATACTGTAGATATCTATGGTATATTATATACTGTAGATATAGTGTAGGCTACTACTCTTCAGGCCGACAGGAAGACCGACTGATCAAACTCGGACAAAAAAGCATTTTCAACTACGATCCGTCTTTTAGATCCGTCACTCTGCTGTGCTGTGAGGTAGTTAGTGGATGAAGATTGTCATGAGGTCGCTGCGCCATCTACAGGATAAGTTGGGGAACTTTTCAAATGGCGGAACATTTTCGAAGTGAAACTGAGTCTTATTCTTCACATTTATCAGCGAAAATCGGCGAGTTTTGGCCGATTACTGATAAGTCTCAAACGGGCTAAAATTGGTCGATTTTGCAAGTACTGGAGATCAATATATATCTTATATTTGCCATTACACTGAAGCGTTTACTGTAATTATTAACAGTTTCATAGTAACATTAACAGTTGTATAAACTGTTTATTTTTTGATATATATATATATATATTTGTTGATATCTCACAGGTATCACAGTAAAATCTCTATTGTGGTTCTAAACATTTCTAAACCAGTGAGAAGTTCATGAACTCTCAAAACATCATGAGTCAGAGCAGGAATTACAGATTTGTAATCCCAGGCATAATCTTCATCATGCTAATCTTGATGTAAGTAAAGCAAACACGACAAAGATTAGAAAAGCTTTTGAATCAAATACTGTGTATTATTAAAAGTTTTTTCGAGTACAGAGTGTATGTACTGCAAATGTAGTGGGATATGCCTGAGGTAAGGAAGGGGGTGGGTTTTTTTTAAGTGTGTACATGTTGTACACCATCCAAATACCAAAGGTCTTGTCAGGGGGAGAGCAAGGTGGCCAGATCAGCTGATGCAAAGTGGACGCCAGTGAAAAAAAATGCAAACCCCGCTTAAATCAATGTTGCTCTTTGGCTAAATCTCTGTGCATGACTTTTGGTTGTCAACTTTTCTACCTTTTTGATTATTTGTATCACTCTCCATCAGTCTTTGTTCCGTCACACCTTTGTCATGATGTTTTAGCTTTTCATCTCTTTGTGTGATGTGGAGCTGTGTGTGTGTTTGTGTGTGTGTGTATGTTTTGAGGGAGCTTATCTATAAATAAGTATATGGGGAGGGGGGTTGGCATAAGGGTTGGACTCGGCCTAATGGCACAGAAACAGGTGCCTGGCTTCATATTTCCTCTAGTGAAAGATCAGGCCTGCCACTCTCTCCAAGGCTGCTGTCACACACAATACACACACACATATCACAGACACGTACATGTCCACCCACGCCTGATGCATGCAGTGCGGCACAGCCTTCTTTGCTGGCTCACACACACCACCAATCAGGTCATGAGAGTGATGACTTTCCATTCATTCTAGCTTGAACTCACATTTAAGTTCCTTTCGCTCTGATGCTAAAGCTCTCTCAACACAGTTAACACCGCTAGGCCTTTAACGTCCAACAGGTGCTGCAAAACGTTATCATGAGTGTTCACTGTTCATGAGGGAGGATTATTTACTCGTATCTATAAAGCCGTCCACAACTACAGAGTGTTTAACTGAGATTTGTGTTGGTTTTGAATTAACTTAAATGAACTTACAGATTGGAACTGGACCGATCTAAAGCTTTTAAACATGCGTTACCCAAAACTTGACGAGAAAGAAGGCGTTGTGCGGGCCTTTGTCGAACAGCTCCTTCAGGCCTCCTTTCTTCTCGGGGAACTTGTCGTAGATCTGTCTGACGTCCACGGACTCCAGGTAGGGGTCGCTGTAGCTGGGGTTGGACTGGCCGATGTGCACAAACAGGTGCTTGTTGAACTGCAGAGACAGGAGTGCATTTCAGGAGATGAATAGAGCCAAAAAATGACAAGTGTCCGGTTTGATAAAGTGCCAATAATGCCAGGTGCTGTGCGCATCTGTCATGCTGCGCCTTCTGCTGCACTGAATCACCTCTATTCAATGTTCCCACCCTTATCTTTGCACTTCAATCACAACTGTGAGTATATATTTATTCATCTATACAACTGACCTCTCTTTGATCGTGGATCATTACACAAAAAATACTTTGTTTTACGCATTAAATGAAAAAAATCTGTCTTTTCCAAGGTAAATTCAACCCTATGGTGAAGAAGTTTACTTTTTGGTGGGATTGTCTTTTTGGTAACACTTTATTTGACGCCTATCTCTATAACACATTATAAATATATTTATAATGCGTTATAATCACGTTATAGCACTGTATAACTATAGTTATAAACACTCATAAATGATCATAATGCTTTATAGCAATAATCATAACACATTATAAAGCATTTTATCATGACTTACAAGGTCAGGTATTTTAACGTGTTATAACTGTTAACAACTCACTGACAATGCCCACATAGATAATGCAATGCAACTGTTGTTAACAGTTATAACACATTATAATACCTGACCTTGTAAATCATGATAAAATGCTTTATATCATGTTATGATTATTGCTATAAAACATTATGATCATTTATGAGTGTTTACAACTACAGTGCTACAACGTGATTATAACACATTAAAAATATATTTATAATGCAATACAGAGATAGGTGTCAAATTTAGCGTCACCGTCATTTTAAAAACTGGTAATTATTTTAAAGCAAATTGCAACTTCTTTTATTATTTTGTATGGGATTGAAGAGCCAAGGCATCTGCAAAGAAGAGTTCCCTGAAGCGGGATTTAAGGCACGGGCAGAGGTGCAGCAGGCATCCATGCTTAGCAGGTAGCTGGTACCTTGAATGACATTTTTAAAACCCTTCAAGATTCGGCTGTTGCTTCAAAAAAGATGTGTGATTAAAGTTTGTGCAAAGATATTTTTCCCTAAAAAATGACAGAAATTTCAGTAACAGGGCTACAAATGGCAAAAGTCAAAAAGAGTTTAAAAAAATGTGCAGGAATAATAATTTGCAACAAGATTTGTAAATCTGTCAGTTGGTAATTTTTGAAAATTTTGCTCAATTTCTGTTGTATTTAACTTCCATCTTTCTCTATATTTAATCTCCTCCTCCTGTTTTCTTCCTTCATATTGCTGCTGCATGAATGACTAGATCTCTCTAAAGGATCTTAACAGTATAACCTGCCTAAAAAAGATTAAACTGAATTATATGATAATGAGTAAACAACATAGTGGACTCAAGATAAGACGAAGCTGTGTCCTGTCTGGTCTGCTTACAGTCTCTGGGTCCTGAGGCTGCTCCAGGAAGGCGGAGAACTCCAGCATTCTCAGTTTTGAGCTGGCAATACTCCTCCCCTGCCAAGGGGGGGCACCGGGAGACATCTGCAGCCCGGCCGTGCTTTCATAACCTGCAGAGAGAGAAAGGCCAGTGAGTGCGTGAATGTGCGGCGTGAGCGTGACAATGTAAAAACATCAAAAGAAAATGCAGCGATATAGCAGCTATTTCTCTGAGCTCTTCATCACGAGCCGCGTATTCTCATCACTTTGCCAGCATGACAGTCTTCTGTCAACACAGCGGGGGGGGGGGCAGGCAGAACACCCACCTGTTATGGGGGTCGGGCCGGACGCTTGCATGGCGTAACTCTGCTGGGAGAAGGGCTTAATGCTGCAGAGAGGAGACAGACAAGAGAGGGAGAGAGGCATGTTATGCACCGTCTCGGCCTCATGACCCCTCCTCACGTACTAATTGGACCGCCTGACCCCTAAAGACGCGAGGGGGGGGCAGAGCAGTGTGCTGGAAGTCAGATGTCTGAAGACTCTTCTGTATAATTGCTCTGATTTGTATTAATTTGTTCTGAGTTTCAGTTCCCGACTGATATTTATCTGATGGTTATTAGGCTGATCACATGAGAAATGATTGACAATGCAGAGCAGAGAGAACAGCTACTCACTCTTCATGGCTGCCTGGCTGTCCTGGAAGAGCCCCGTGCCAAAACTGGAGACGAAAAAAAGAGTGCAAAGAAGTTTGTGTATGTTTATCCATCTCACATAAAACTTGTTATAAAAGGGAAAAGAAAAATCTGTACGAGCATAATGTAACCTAGCACTCTGCCCATAGTTTGATATATTTCTAGGACAAATAAAACACTCTTTATCCTTCTTTAAAAAAGCTTAGTGTGTGTACAAACTTCTGTATCATAGAACCAAAAATAATGCTAACTCAACAAGCTTCAAATTGTGTTTTTATTTCATTTCATTTTAAATGTTTATTTACCTGCTTTTATTTCCTTGTGATGTTTTCTGTAGTGTTTGTTCTTTTAAATTTTACTGCGCAGCACTTTGGTAAACTTGAATGTTTTTTAAAATGTGCTATATAAATAAAGCGGATTGGATTGGGTTGACATAAACTCAAATAATACAACATTTTCAGGTGAGGATACGCTATACCTAGCTAAATATTTTTAATAAAACATTTTTTCAATAAATATTTTTTGAAGAACTTGTTTTCATGTTTTCCAGCAAACTATCACATAAATACCATCTATTCTAACTGTGGATTTTAGTATTTTGTGTAAGTATTGCTACGTTCGAGTTACCTCGGATGTCAGATGTCTGAGCTGAAAATGACGTCACACCCAAATTACCAGCGTTTCAGTTACCAAGTCAGACGAAAAGCAAAATCGGAGGCAGAAACAAGATGGCTACATCTACGAAAGTTATTTTAGCACTTTCCTTGTCCGAATATAAGCAAAGACGAGGCAAGCGCTAAAATAACTTTCATAGATGTAGCCATCTTGTTTCTGACTTTCCGACTTTGTAACTGAAATGCTGGTAACTCGGGTGTGACGTCATTTTCAGCTCGGACATCTGACATCCGAGGTAACTCGAACACAGCTTATGTATGCCAGATTGGTAACTGGCCATGATCAAAGTTTTCTGTTGACAGACTGGGAAATGCTTGGTCTGTTAAACAGACTCAGAACAAGTAGGACACTCACCCCACCAGTCGTGGGGTAGGGCGGCCTGGACAGGCCCTGGAGAGCCATCTTGTTCTGGAAAGCGGTCGGTGAGATGATCTGTGCTGAGGACATGGTGGCCATACTCTGCAGGGCCTTGTCTTTGGCGGCCTGGTCCTGTGCAGAGACAAAGGGAGACAAACAAGACGATCATGCAAAGGGAAGGAAATTGTCGGACTCCTTTTAAGTCTACGCCTCACTTCAGCAGTAAGCAGAGTCCTAAAATGGGAAGTGTGGGGCTGAGGCCAGCTTGCATCACGGGTGAGCCCCAGCCAGGAGAAGAGCTGAGGAGAAGCTGATATTACAGTCAAGGACCTTTAGGTCAAGAGTTAAGTTTATTGCTTTGGCAGGGGCAGGCCGGTGATGACATGTGGCTTCTGTTAGAGGTCAAACTGGAAGTCAAGTCAGGATACAGGGTGATACGTTAATGCGATGACAATTTTATCAGAATTGTTAATTGCTAATTAAATCTCACAAATCAAATTGGCTGGATAGATTTAGAATTATCTGCAGTGTGTTATCATGTAATGCGATCTCCCTCTTGTTTTTTGATCCACTCCTTCAGCAGTTTCCAAGCCACAGAGGACTACAAGCACTTGCCGCCCAGCCCTAATGGGCAAGGCCACGGGGTGCATTCTTCTTCCCAGAACTGGCTAACACAAGGGCATAGCTGAAATATGGGGGTTACATGTGGCAGGGAGCTCAGTTACACCAAAGACGTATTTAAAAGAGCCTGTCACAGGGGCCAACCCTGTGACCGATGCTGGGGCTGCCAGCTGAACCCTTGTGGCTACAGTCCAAGGTGAGGGAGAGTCCTGCAAGTGTGCGGGCATATGCGGATGAGAAATGTAAACTGAGAAAGTAAGCTCTCAGCCTAGCAAAGGAAAACTTTTATTAATGTACTTATCAAATATAATACCTGCAAGGAATAATGCAGGGATTAATTTGTTTCCTGGCTATTGCGTTTGCTTCATCTTGTTCATAATGGTGTGCTCTACAGTAAGCCCCGGGCCTCATGAAATATGTTCACATTTCATCAAAATGTGTCAGCTTCCCATTTAAAGCTAGCATCAATTAGATAGTGCAATTAAAATAGCCAATGGTTTGTGCCTTTGTGTTAATGGAACGTGAATACGAGTCAGTGCAGGGGCCACGGATGCCAGAATACCTTGAACAAAACAGAAACTTCATTATGATGGTGAATAATAAAAAGGAAATTACGTGGTCTCTTTTCATCTGCTGCTTCCTGACTGGAGTGAAATCACCAATGCAGACATTCTGGTCTGAACTTGATTCAGAAACTTTCCAAGATTCATGATCAAATAAATCAGTCACGATCATAACTTTTTCTCAGCAGTACATTTTTTCAGGACATTGGTGCACACAGTAAAGAGGAGTAGCAAAAACCTCTGCAGATTCAGACAAATGACACTCTGAGTTTGTTGCAAAGTCAATCAAAAATCCGTGAAACTTATTCAAACTTTAAAAACATTGAATGTATGTGAAAAGGCAAGAAAAAGTTGACTCACGTAGCGTACCTTCAGCTTCACCTGGATCTCTCTGGCCTTCCGTCGGGCGAGGACCTGGATGTGACTTGATACCTGAACAGACAGGCAGAACAGAAGAGCAGCAGAGGTGAGTGCTGAGTTTATTAAGTGATGAGTTTTCAGGTGAAACGGCTGTTAAGTTGCAAAGTGGTGAAAGCTGCTGTCTTGGAGCGTAACTTGTTTATAGCTAGTTGAAGCAAAGCGCTAAATCTGTCTTCTAATAACCTTCAATATCAAATGAGACCATCAGCAACAAGGATGAAATTTTCTATATCGTGCGTTTTTTTTTTCTTTTAACTTAGTTTTCATTTAAGTTTCATTCAAAATCATTTACAGAATCATAGTCATCATATCTGCTGCTTCATACACAAGGTAACAGTTTTGGTACAACAAAAGAGACAAAGACTATGATGACAACGAAAAATATAGAATAAACAGAATAAAAATGATATCAGTATACCCATAGCAGGGCTCCACCATTTCGTGAATATATGTTTTTGAAATCTCAGGGAATCTGTTATTTGTTCCATTTGATTTATTTCCTTTATTTTTTCAGTCCACATATTGTGTGTTGGAGGGTCAGGCTTCAACCACCTTACTGTAATGCATTTAATTGCTGTAGCAAATAGTATCTGTAAGGGATATTTTTTGGCTCTTCCTTTAATGCCTCTTGGTAATAGGCCTAGTAGAGCCACCATTGGGTCCATTGTAATATTTCCACCAAATATTATATTAAGTGTTTTCAACACTTCCTTCAAGAATAACTCCAGTTTTGGGCATAATCAGAGTATGTGGGTCTGATTACCAATGTGTGGGCTGCAGTTTCTCCAGCATTTATTTGAGTGTGTAGTGCTAAATTTAGCTGTGATTTTGGGTGTCCGAAAGAACCTTATGACGACCTTCCAATAAATTCTCTCCATACATTAGTTACCAAATGTACCTCAGTGCAAAACTTCCTCCCACATTCTCAACAAGGATGAAATTTTGGAATGTTGACAAAAAATATAATTTGTCCACAGGGGGCACCAAAGCGGTCACAAACCAAAAGTTCCTTACAACAGCTTTAATGGTTACTGCTAGATTTTCATTGATGATTTGGAAGTTTATAGACTTGGCGATGTACTCGTTCATAAAAAAAACAACAACAACATTACTGCAGCTTCTTCAGGCTTTCACACCATAAATTGTCACTGTAAGACAAACATCTTCAAGAAGGTGTACAGCAACGCAGCAGTCAACCAGTTTACTTCTATTGGACCAGCAGGTGTCCCCCCAGTCCTCTGCCCTGCCCAACCATCTATCTCTGATCCCCCTCCTCACTCCTCCTCTCATCTCCACTCATCTCTTCTCATTCCTACTTTGACTCTGCCAGATGACTTAGCGGGACGCCCTCTTTGCACATCCATCACTGCCCATACATCAGTCCTTCCATATCAGATACCATAGTGAGGATAGAGTTCCAAATCCCTCGCCCGTCCCGCCTCAGTCTCCTGTCCAGATCTACATATTCCCCGGCTTCTTTCCCCGTCTAACAAGCCCCAGATCCACGAGGTGCTGAAGAAACAACACCGACACATGATCCTATAGCATCTGTGCATTGGTCTCTAGCCCTAAATCAGTCGTCATGTCCAGCCATCCACCTATCAGTCGCAGAGAAGTCTGGGAAGGGGGGACCCGGGGTGTCGGGGCATCACTCAGCAGGGTAGGACTTTCTGAAGAGATCCAAAAATAGGGGTTGCTTCAGAAGGCAAATTCCAGAGAACTTACCTGCTTCCTGGTCCGCGTCTTCCCCGTGCGCAGTTTGATGTACCGTGCAATCAACTCATTCCTTCCTACATGGGAACAGAAAATAACATCATGTCAATTTTAATACAAAGTGGATGAGAAATTGGATATTATTTAAAAACTTTAAACTGATATAACAATCTTTCACATGAAAGAAAGCAGGTTTTTAGAGGACAAAGTAGACCAGAATGACATATCGACCTCATTAAACTTCTACCGTCTGTAAGAATGATCAGAATTCGTAGGTTGACTCAATAGAGGAAAGAAAAGGTTGAAGTTTTAAACTTTGAGAGGAAATTAAACCTTAAAGTGGGTCCATTTGGTATCATTTCACAAATATACCTGTTTATGTTGTCTTACAATTATCCACATTTCAAGAAATATGGTGCCTTTAAATAATAGCGCAAATTGCTCATTACCAAATACAGTTTTCTCTAAATAAAAAATCTGTTTAAAAAGAAAAGGTGGCAAAATCTCTAGGTATGAAATTTGTTTTACTGTTAGATCTACGTAACTGTACATCTTATCCATGTAACACCTCAAGAGGCAATCCAGTCTTGTCCGTAGTTTACTTGTTTTGAATGTAAGAGGCTAATGAGGTGCATGTTTTGCGTTTGCAGGAATTAATCTGTTTACCAGAGCTGATTATTAACTCATCATCACTGAGTTTTCCCTGCATGCCACGCTGAAGTACAGGAGGGAGGAATGAGGCACTGTTTATGCACTGTGTATTTCTGCACGCATATTTATACAAACAATGCCCAAGTGCTGAGGTCACCGTATAATTGGCTTCATTAACCTCCTAAAATATGTTTGCGTTCATGTCTTTGTGTGGTCATTTGAGGAAGAGCTTGCATGCATGTAAGCAAAGAAGCGAACGCACGTGCCCGAAGCAAAAGCTGAGCTGTCCCGAGTGTCACCACTGAAAACTGCATGTGTAAGTATATGACGAAGTGTATGCAACAGTGTGAGAGACGTGCATCGGTCTCAGCGTGACCCCCTGAGTGTACACCGCGCTCATATCTCTGCGTCGGGAGTGTGTGTGTCTGTGTGCTGCTGACAGACAGGTCACATTGGCAGAGCAGGTGGAGGCTGCCGGCATGCGATCCTCAGACCGGACTCGGGACAGACACGGAGCACGCAGGCCACTGACCAAAGAGGGGGCCCCAGTCTGGTGGGGCAGCCAGGCAGCTGGTGTGTGTGTCAATGTTTATGGAATATGCCTTTACGCCTGCAGTAAATCTTGGGCTTGTTCCCCCTCCTACCCTGCAGCGTCTCCAGTTACAGCGGAGGGCAATGGTCATGCGGCCTTTTTCACCCCTATCTCCACAACTAAAGCTGCGGTTTAAAGGCTAAGACTGTAAAAACACAAAACGACCTGAAAAAGACCCACACATTGTCAGGACGATATGAACTGTGGGGTCACATTGTTTGTTATTGTAATGAAAACATGAAGAACAGTTAATTTTCACATATTATGGTGTGTACATTTGCTTTAACAATACAGTTCCCCTTTTTCCTTATATATTTCATTCATTGAACTGTACAAACAGACTTTACTTATCTTGTCCTTTATATGCTTTGGTAGAAAATCTTGACCAAAAATATCATCCTCCTGTCTTAAACAGTCAGATGCATCATTTGTTGTGAACATTTTATAAATAAATTTTTAAAAAGGGGTGGTCTCTTCACCTGCAAGGCTACTCTGGCACTAGATTGAGGTATTGAAAATTACAAAATGAAAAACGACAATCTAGAGGCTGATGATCTTGTTTGCTTTCGAATTTCATGAAAAGACATCAAAATGAATTTCATTCAACTTCATAAATGTTAAAATAAACTTTAAGCGAGACGGCGCTTAAGTCTTATATGTTTGATGATTATACAATCTTGAAAATAATGAACCAAGTGTCATCAAGTTTGTTTGTTTTTCATATCTGATACAGCAACTGAGGTAGGTGTAGTGATTAAAACACCAAGGTGTCAATATATATATATATATATATATATATAGGTGTCATATTTACATGTTAACTACTAGAACTGACAGTTAGTGACACATGGAAGAGAAAAATCAGCAAGGTTTGGAGGTGCTGCTTTGACCACAGGTGGCGCCAAAATTGATACAGACTGAAAACCTCTCAGGAGCTTCAAACTAGATCTTGTGATGAGAATAAACACAATCCGAACATCGACACAATTCAATGTTTTCCTGTTGGCAAACATTTTAAAACTGTGCAGATGGCACCATCAATTATCAAAGCATTTCGTCACCCTATTCAAATAATAACCGAGGTCATTTTTCGACAAAAATGATTTTTTTTTGGCCTAAATCATCTCTTGATAATGCTAAAAAATGCATTATCAAGAGATGATTCTTAGTTGAAATCCTTAGTTGAAAGGATCATGTCATGACCCTCTCACTAAGGATTTAGGTGACTTTACCAGAGATGGCCAGCATTATCAAGAGATGATTTAGGTCAAAAACTCATTTTCATCAAAATGACTCTGGCCCTTATTTTAATAGGGTGACGTTTTGCTGCTTTTTCATCACTACTGCCTGAACTACTTTGTCATATGGCTGGACAAAACTTTGGGAACTGTAGGCATTTTTTAAAACTTGGCAAATGTATAAATACTCGTTTAATATGTACAACAAATTAATCACAGTTGAGATAAACCATTGTATAGATGATAGTATGTTTATATGTGAAGAACATATGGACACAAAAACCTAAGGTCAGTTATTGGATGATTCGCACTATCCTTGTAGTTAAAGTGATCACTCTCACTCCCACATGGGCTGCTCCACACATCAGACATAGACACAAACACGCACGCACACACACACCCACGCACACACAAACGGGAGTGTTTGCACCACCTCTTAAACACAGTCATTTTTCCCTTGGCACTACATCTCCATGTGAATTAACACAGAGATCAGTCACGACACACAACCTGGTACGAACCCGTCAGATTTTCCCTTACATAGTGACGCTGCTCTGGCTGGACCTCACACAAACCGGCCAATCGTGTGACCCCCAAACACTAAAAAGAGGAAACCTGAAGCTTGCCTGAACTGCAGTTAAAGATTTTATCAGCTAATAAAAGTGATCAGATTTTGCACGGAATGCAGGGCATCGTTTCCTCCCTGCTCAGTCAGACGTGAGGTTTCACTTGATGCTTTTTGGAAGCGTCGCTGTTTGTTGTTAAGCCTTTGCAGAAACAACTAAGATTACTTCTGCCTGTTGAACTTGTTATCAACCTCTCAGCAGGGGCTTTGCCTCAAAGAGATGGGGTACAACCTGAAAAGAGTAGAGGAAACTTTTCAAAATAAAGTGCATGATGGCTCCAAGGTGGATGTCCATGTCTTTCTCTATTTATGAAATAATTTATTTCATATTTCAATTCTTATAATGAAAGTTGGTACTCTGATCATTTAAGATAGATGTCAAACAGAAATTAGAAATGATGGTTCGTATCCTGCAAAGAAAGAAAAATGGTTGATCTTTGTTTACGATGTATTGCAATATGTTAAAGAATGTTGGTTGCCCGTCTTTTAACCACCGGTTGAATAATTTAACATCCCGTTTGGCTCTTGAGAAGCTCACTTACATTGTTTAGAAGAAACCCTCTGAATTTTATGACATGTGGAGAAGACAGTGTGAGAATGAGATAATGAAAAATGTTTAATTTGTTGTTGGGAGTGTACATTGTAACCTATATTAAGAATATCATTATTATTAATAGTAATTGATTATTATTGCAATTATTCTAGATGATTTTTTTTATTTATGCATTCGTTATTTATTGCTCAGTCATTTGTTGACTAATTTGTTGGTTTAATTTATCTCTTTTATTATTTATTTCATTAGGACATTTTATTCATTTACCTCGTCTGTATTATTCATATTTTCATCATTATTTTCATTACTGCCATATGTTTAAATTGTTGAATGTTGTTGTATGAATACAAAAACCAATAAAGAAATTATGGTTTTCGGTTTGATAGTTTAGATCATCTTGCTTTGTTCCAAAACGCCAGTAATTCTCCACCTCAACTTCAGTCTCATAGTTTTTTCAACCAAACACAACTGACATACATCTTTATTTCCTAGGTGAAACTATATGGGAAGAGCAGGTCCATTAACTGGATCTGTAGCACAGCTAGTGGCAGCATTGCCAACATTTAACCACCATTTTGGGCTTATATTTATATCAAGAATCTTAAATAATACAGGTGCCAAATAACTACGATACAACACTCAAATGCTCAACTGACTTATCGAACACATCCCTGATGGAAACAGGTTATTGGTGCATATCCTGTAGAACATGACATGACAGCATTTCTGAATTGTCAAAGGACGAAGTCTGGACGGGAAAGCTGTTGTTCTTGTCTTTACGTTAAAGAAAGAGTGGTAAAAGTTAGGAAAAATTCAGGTCCTGACAATTTTTGTTACGTTTGTTTGTCCAACTGAGGTAAAGCTAGAGATGTACCAAAAGAGGAAAGAGGAAGACGAAGTTGTGTAGCAAACAGTCAGGTTCAGACATGACCATGGAGGATTTTTTTTCAGTCTAAAACAACAGATTCTGATTTTCTCATCCTCACTCAAATCTTGACATTGTTAAAGCCAATCAGACTGTTTTTTTAACTTTATTTGGTGTTTTTTAGGAACATACAAATGTTTTAATACAGGAAACTCAAATCTTGTATTTTATTTCCATTGAAAATTTCATCAGGAAGCTTGAGTTCGAGTGCCAAAACAAATATCAAATCAAAACCAACCAAGATCAGGAGTTAACTGATTTGAGAGAAAAGTTGTGGATCTGAATCCTTGTTAAGTTCCAATCTGCTGAACACACAGACACACATAAACACACACACACATTACCCAGCTGTAGGACTGCTATTGTGAGGCTTTTGTGGTCTTAACCCCTCTCTCAAATACCGTCTACACAGTCGCACACACAGTCGTAAACTCACTCACACTCCAGCCTCAGTCACAGCATTCATTCTCTCATTCTTATTTTTTCTTTCAGGGCTGTAACTCCTCAACCGTTTAATTTTTATCGAAAAGTGCACTCGCCGCTCAATTGTTTGAGCCCCTAAATGCATATTTCTTTAACTCCACGGGGATTAAGAAAGTGCGCCACACTCCCTTGCAATCCAACTCTTAAAAGAGTGAACAGAGAGCTTTGGGAAAGTCCTCACAGTACTTAACCTCGAACGAACATTGCATTGCCTGTATCGAGTTCCTCACATTACAGCAGCGAGTTCCTCTAGTTCTTGGCATATTATCTTCTAGAAACTTCAGTCAGGGTACAGTGAGATGCACGAAAGAGGTTTTTAAAGACACAGATGTGTGAGCATGTCTCGTCTGATGAGTTAAAGTTTGAGCCCATCTTTTCATTTTGGGTTGTCTGACACTTTTGAAACTCTTATTGGTTTTTAGGACTTCTCCGACAAAGTTGACTATATAAACCCTAAAAACTGCAGCACATTTAAACTCTTTACACTGTAGATAAAGAAAGATGAATGTAGGACAATAGATGGGACATGAATTAAAACTATAAATAATAAAAACAACACATAAAAAAGCATAGTTTTTGTCATTTAAGTCCCTTCCAGTAGTAGTACATCATAATTGATTTTTGCCATAATCGAGCAGCTCTAACACCAAGCGTAAGATACATTTTGGCTTTACTTTTGTGCAAAGGGAAAAGGCAAAGATAACTTGTATTGACTTCTGCACACACATATTAAAAGGGCTTTATGTGCAATGAAGACAAATAAAAAAGTACAGTGCTTATAGATATAAGGAGGCAGTTGGTTCGGCACAGGTGGGCCCAGAAATGAAAAGGCACCATAACCCCTGAGTTATGACGCTTTTGCTTGCTGAGCCTGAAGGATGACCAGAGGAGACTGCTGAGCGCAAGCAGAAAAGATGCTGAAATAAGATTTTCATTGAACCTAGATTTTGACCTACTTAAAAAATGGTCCAAAAAATGATTTCTCAAGTTTTTAGGTGGACATGAATGAATGCATTACAATGACTTCTAGAGTCATCCCACTGTGCTTGTTTTGGTCTAAAAGAGGTCTAAATGTAGCCTAGAGGACTGGTCTAAAACCGGAATACCACAGGTCTAAAAATAAAAGTTTTTAGACGTCTAAATTTAGACCAAGTCTAAATCTGGGCTATATCTATACTACACTGTATATTGCTCAACGGCTATCGTAATTACTTTGATTGAGTACTTGCAGTTATGCATCTCACTGTTGCTTTTTGAAATGAATAGTTATCAAATAATGGGTTAAAGTGCAAAATCTAACTTCTGTCTAAAGATATACAGAATCTAGACGTTGAAATTAGGTCTTTAAAAAAACTAGACGTCAAATAGCAGTCTATTCCTCAGTGGGATATTGCAAGTTTTACCTTACTTTCAACTTTCAACTTTATTTTATTTATATGGCACTTTTCCTACAAGTTGTAACACAAAGTGCCTTACAAAGCATAAAAACAAAATGAAACATTAAAATCCCCAAGAAAACCCCAAACCTCCCACCCGCACAATTATACCCATACACACACCCGTGAACATAGACATACAATTCCACCCACACAACTTCACATACATACGCATCTACACATTTAGCAGCTGATGGTGAGGAGACATGACTGGGCACTGAGATCTGAGGTGAGGAAGACGCTACCTTTGGGGCCACGTCGACCGGGAGGCATCCCGGCCCATTGCTGCTGAAAGGAGTCTAGTCAGTTATATTCATCTTTAATAGTAATAATATGAATCTAAACGTCAGTGTTGTCAATAAAAGGGAAGATTTGTGGTTAGAGTCAGAGAAGTCAACCTGTTGTTTCAGGCGCCATATTTCTGTAAGCTGAGAAGTCCGAGACACAGAGTCCCTCATAATATGATGCAAGATGTTAAAGCTCCAGTGTGGGGAACAGGTTATTTGTCTTAATAGTTTCTTTGTTATCTTGAAGATATCTTTGAAGGTATCCCTGTGTCGAATCGGTCTTGTCTATTTTGCAATCATTAAACAGCTTCATTAACAGGCTGTCACAGAGGCTTTGCTTCATGCTCTCGTATCAGATGCCACTCCTCGTGCAAGTGCTCGGGGAAGGGCCCCATCAAAAATACCCTCCAACACACCCATGAGATCAGAGAGGGGACTCAGTCACACAGCGATGAGATCATGATATTCAATGGGAGCAGCACAGACAGAGAACCTGTGCCAGCCGAGGCTGCAGTAAAGTCACAGGGAACTTTATACCGTCACCCACCTCACCACAGCTTGATGTTGTTTATCACACTGCTGCACTCACAGACGTGTTTCAGGAAACATGAGTCTAGTAACATTTTTTTAAGGGCATGAAAAGTCACCGACTGCACTGACCGCAGCAAAGTCAGAGGGACTGGGAAGAGTTCAGCAATTCAAATTAAAAAACATTTTAACTTTCAGGTTAATGGAGAAAAATCTCTTGGTGGTAGATAGTGTAGTTGTTAAATTTTAGCCCTTGAATGCCTTTTGTATCATTTTTGATAACATCCTTTTATGATACTTCTATCAAATCAATATGATCAACAAATTACTATAAAAAACACCTGAATACAGTCCAATAAATGATCAAAATGTCCTCTTGTGGTTTATCAGTTTCTAAAAACATCTCATGTATCAAACAAGATAAATATATATATATTTGTTCAATTTTAAGGATGTTTTGATTGTTCTGGTTTTCAGTAATAAGTGAAATAAACATTCTGCTCCAAAATAAATTGAATTTTCTGGCCATAATTTGTGGTTTCAGGCATTAACGGGTTAAGTGCTCACCAGAAGTTTTTCATTATCCAAGCTGTCTGTGAAAGAGCAGGTCTTTATCAGACTTAACAGTGCATGTTCTGGTTTAATCTGATAATTTGGTATTTTTTACTCAAACTACTGCAGCAAAAACAATCTACAGCTGTTTGCTCACAAGCTGCCATTGTTCAGTCTGTTTGAACATGTTTTATCGTCCTGCTAGTTGCCAATAATGTCCGGTTATGTTTGGTGCTGAGCAGATCATGTACAGTATATTGATTTAACGTCTTATTCTCTATTATGAGAAATTATGAAGGTGCTAAGAGGAGTTGTTTTCTCAACCGTTTATAACTAAAGATATTATTATTATCATATTGTTGGTTATAAAAACACTCATTTAGAGAAAGCCTGGCAAATTTCTCTTCACAATGACCCCTGTGACCACAAGCGCTAATCCTGGACAAGAGCACATTCAATTCTCATAATCATTTTCATTATTAAATAATCTGACTTCTGAGCTACTGTAAGCTGTGACCATGGGTGTAAAATGAGGAATTAATACTGTTAAGCAGAGTCAGCCACTGTAGCAATACGCCTTAGTCCTCCGTTGAGAACTACCCGAACTCTGAGCGCCACTAAAAAGACATCTGCATCCTCCTGACAGGACATACCAGAGGGAGACAAGGGAGGACGAAAGAGATCCCAAACTCTCCCTCAATGAAAAGAGGCTGAAAAAGCACATCTTCAATATTTCTATAAACTGTTTAATGTCACTATAATTCATGTTATTTTTACCGAGGTGATACTTAAATAAACAATACACATTTATGCTTGTCTGTTGATACACATACGCCTCTGAAATCTAAGATTGTGGACACTTTGTTAACCAAAGGAAACAGAAAAACTGAGGCAAATAATTTCCCAAATTACAGGAAAATTTGGTCCCATATGCCCGTTTGTGTCTGTCTCTTTAAAGTCTAATTTCTGTGTTGGTTACAGGTTGTTCCCACATTGAGGTCTATTCAGAATTAGTTACTCCAGTCAAGGATTTCTGGCCAATCAGAATCAAGTATTAAACACAGCAAAGGTGATAAGTTAGAAAGCAGGGTAATGATTTCTACAATTACAAACTCATTAGTTTCCGAAAAATCTGTGCACTTTCACTCAATATGCTTATTATATCATCTTTTCATTGTTTGGTGGAGAAAATACATTTACATAACCAACAACTGAAGAGTATTTTTCCAAATCAATGAATTCAATCAAAAACATACTAAAGTTCAGATTCCCGGAGCCGTTATTATTCTGAATCTTACTAACAGCTCCAGCAGGTCTCCTCTGACTCTCCTCTCCTCCACATCAGGCCTGCTGGTGGAGATCAGGCGGAGGTGGACGGGTTAGCGAAGGAAACCTACAGAGTCCCCTCTCAAGTCAACGCCTTGACCCGGCTAGTCATAAATCTGTCCTTCCCCAATAGGGCTGCGGTCATCTCTGGCCTGGTCTGATCTCTCTCTCCCTTCAGCTCTGAGCATTCCTCACATTCCTGAAAACTGACTGGTCTGCACCGGGCCCTGCATCTGCTGCTCCCACATCACCCCATGGGCCTTTGTCATAATTGTGTGCGGACTAAAAAGATTGTTTGCACATTAATGTATGGAAAACAGTTTCATCCCTTTTAAAACCAGCGAAATAAAGATGATCATTCTGACTCCAAACACTTAAAGCTGCAGTTTAAACAAGAATCTGAAATCAAATCGTTCACAGTCATGAAAAGCCAGAAGGTCAGTCTGCTCATATGTTGACTCTTGACTAAAGTTCTGTTTACAAGCGGCCATCCTCTCCAAAGACACATCTGCCAGCCATACGTCTCTCTCAACAGCACATATGCCCCCGCCGGGTCTGCTAAGGAAAACAAAGGTCACATTTAGGCTGCAGGAATGTCTTGGCTGGGTGTTATTTCCCCTCCGATTGAGCCTGGATGAAGCCGACTGAGCTCTGAAAAGACCTCTATCCTGCACTGACATGGGCATCCAGTCATGTAATAAATCAGTGCAGAGAGTGACACTGCTGATCCAGCATCATGACGCTCATTTAGCACACCCTGTTCAACTCAAAGCATGACATCCTCACCTCATATTGATAATCTTCTAGAGATTACATTTTTTCATGATATACCTCAAGTATAAAATAACTGTGTGTATATCTTAATACAGAAGCTGCAAATGAAGTAAAAACACTTAAAATATAAGACATGACAATGTGACAGAAGCGGTATTTTGAACCCAGGGCAAGGTCGACGAATTCAGTTCTCTTTTTATACCGAAACTTAGACATTATGAAAAACTCTCAGACATGAACCTCTGAGTCATACTCTCATCTTAAATAGAAGGGGAAACACTTCAAAAACTTATGCAAGACCCTCAAGTTTAAGAGACTAATGAAAATGTTTCTGCAGACAGAGAAATTAGAAATGATCAAATTTGCTGCTCAACTACACTCCACAACATGAGATACTGTTAAAGCTAAAAACAAGAAATGCAACCAGCACATATTAGATCAAACTGATAATGAAATATAAACAAATCATACAGGATCAAATTCTTCTAAAAGTCCATAACTTCCTTAAACATCACTCTAAGTACCATCAGGATCTTTGTCTTATTTTACTTAGAAAGCATAGTAGATTATACAGTAAAACTTTAATTTTAATGTAAACTATTACAATATGACAACATTTATGAAACAAGTGTTCTTTTGCTAAGCTTTTGTTAATGATAATTGGTATAAAAATTTACATTTTTAATCTTTAATCTGTTATAATAACTGTTATATATTTAGACAAGGGATGTATAACTAATTGAAGTCAACAGTTTCATCTCATCACTTTTGCTGGGAGGAGCCAGAACTACAAAGAGATAAAAAGATTAATTTTATATTTTATTTATTTATTCATATGTTTCTCTATTTATTGTAGTGTCAGTGTTGCTCTTATGTTGTGTCTGTGTTTTCATCTAGAAATGTGAGATAAAGTTGTATTAAAGGTGCTGGTGGTGCTAGCTCTGCTAACCTTAGTCACATTTAGGAAACCAGTCTGACATAACCAACCTGCAGACACTGACGTTTGTCCACGGTTAATGGATTGTGCTCAACTTTTGAAGTTTTCTGAGTGTTTCTTTATCTTAAGACAAGTACGCTAGTTAGTTTAAACAACCGGGAGATTAGTCACTTTGGATCATCCCTTATTGAAGCAGGTTTATATTTCTCCCTGCTCATTTTGGAAATGTAAACTAAGCACACAAACACAGTGTGGTCTGAAGTATTCGGATTCTGAAAAGACTGAGCCCAAGATTACAGCTCTACAGAAGACAAAACAGGACAAACTTGGAGGACTTAAATCTTGAAGTTTTGATTTTTTTCATCTAGACTTTTTTCAATTTCGACTTTAATCTCAAAACGGAAATTTAAAAAATCTGCCTTTTTTTCTCTTCTTGTGGCCCTAATCCTCTTTCATACAAATCAAATCAAATCAACTGAAGGTGCGCTTTAATTTTCATGGACACAATAAATTAGACCCAAAAGAGATAATCAGTACCGCACTTATCAGCATGCAAACCAGCTGAACTTATGTCACAGTTTAATCTGAAGTAGTTCTGACAAAGTATAGTATTTCTAGCAGAGTAGTAAATTTAACAGATGTCATGTTGTATCATCACGACCTGCCATGAACATCTTTGCAATTAAAGAGATTTATGCAGAGTAGACTCAGTGTAAGTTAATCACATAGACACATCAACAGATGTCTGGCCTGTCCGTATCCTAACTGATCTGAGATGTCAAGATAAAGTGACAGTGACGTCTCTATTACAAGACGGTCAATGACGAGTTTGTCTTTATGGTTTTCCCATAAAAAACAGAAATGAGGAGACCAGACAGAATGAAAGGGTTGAATCTCTGCAGACCGTTTGGATTTTACAAGTTTTATACCTAAAAACTCTCAACAAAACAGCTTTAAATCCCTCGAGAGCCAGAGAGTAAGGGGTTCAGGTTCACCCCAGTGCTGTGATTGGACCCCTGCCTCCTACACAGGAACACCACCTCAGTAAAAGCACCTTCATGAGAGAGTAATTGTTTGATTAGCTAAAACAGAACCAATCAAAGAGGTTTAATTTCATTCCTATTCAAACATTCACAAAATAAGTACGCAAGAGAGTTAACTGTTAAAAATCAGGAGCTAACAGAGGTTAATAATCCCAACTCAAGTGGATGTAACAGCTTTAAAGACCCACTCTGATGAAAATTATGTTTTTCTTGTTGTCTACATGTTCATACGGCATTTTTCTGATGCTACAGGACATGTCATGAGAAAAGTAAGTCAGGTTCAGACACTGTGAGATTTCCTATGTCACAACTGCAAGCTCCGCCCCCGGAGCCCCGCTATGCAGGTCAGACTCAAAGAAGTAGAGAGGAAGATCGTGGAATAAGCGTGTGCGGTAGCAGATTGCAATGTTGGAAAGAAAGCTAATCATGATGTTAGCTTTCATCATGTCCCCGAAGACATTCGTGTCTAAGAGCTGAATACCTCCTATGTTACCTGCTACTTCAACTACAACGACAATATTAGGCTGCAAGCTAGCATGAAGAGGAGTGTGCAGAGCAGCGCTGTCTCCGCCCACGACTCAGAGGTGAATTGCTAATAAGCGACTGAAGCTCTGCAGAAGAAAAGCCCTTGAAAATTACACAGGTAACGCGATTTTGGCTAAAAACTTCATAATCGAAATTTAATGACCACTGAGAACACTTTAAGTAGTAAAACAAATAGATGATGATCGGAGTGGGACTTTAATGACGAGTTGGAATAAACTCATACAGAGTACAAGAAGTGAAGTGCAGTCTACAGTAAACTAAGGATGAAGATCATCAATTGACTCTGTAATCTGTGAGATTTAATCCAAAATGATCAAAACAGGATTTAATTCACTAATGCTAGAATATATTATCCTAAGCAACAACAGATGAACCCAACAACTTACAAATGTGGCACTTCAAATAAGAGAAAAATCCATCCATCCAATCAGTTTCATCCTTATTAGCAAACATAATCTCTACGTAAAACAGAGGAGAACTTCTGCAAACAAAGAGCGTCAAAGGGAAACAACTTCCCTTCAAACCAAGGGTCAGCAGGTCATGGTCGCGGGTGAATCTCCCACTTTACTGCTAAAGTTTTCATCAGGGCGAGGCCTCGCTGCTACTTTTCACTGACCTTTACATCAACTCTTAATGAGAATGACTAAAGATGAAAACATATTTGCACGGCCTGACAGAAAACCACAATGTGTTGACATGTTGCACAAGCAGAGCTCAGTGAAAGCTCATGATTCATTGTGTGGGTTCTCTTTATTTTGATGTGACAGTAAAATATGCCACTACTGCTGGAAACCGTGTTGACTTGCTCCAATATGCAACCTTTTTTTTTTCTTTTTCACAGGCAGCAGAACCTTTTCAAAAATGTGAGAAAAGTGCTCCTCACACAGATGTTAGGAAATACAGTGTGACGAAACCAAACAGCTGCATTAAACATGACGGGGGGAGAGAAGATTTAAAGCTGCCAAATAAAAATTTGTCAAAAGGGGTCGTAAAATAAAACAATAGCAATTGCAAAAGTGACACATAAATAAATAACTATGGCATCTTTATGGCGGTAAATAAAGAGGGAAGAACATCATATCCAGTGCCACATTCTTACATTCTTCTGAGCTGTCAGCACATTCACTTTCTGCTGCGCTACAACTTTGAGGCTGTTTTTCCATTATTCCAGCATGAGGCCTCCGGTCAGACCACAGGGCACGTCTCCTACTGAGAGCCACACAAGGCAGGAAATGTTTCCCTTGGCAGATGCATGTCGAATTACCGCTGGAGCACATAACCGCCACAATATCCATGACACCGTCCCTAATAAGCGAGCTAATACGTCTGTTGAGTAATGGGCACGAGTGCCAGCGCTATGCACAGCATTATGGGACAAAAATGCGGTGAATGTACGAGGAATATGAGGTAAAAACATTCCAGCCAATTTAGGAATTTACAATAGACAGAAGCACACATTCCTCCTGTTTTGCTGCTCAGAGACTCAATATCTTATTGTTTAGTGAAGAATGGCATTCTTTCCTCGGAGGAGAATTCAACCTAAAATTCAGAGCATGTCGCTCGCAGCTCACACATACTTCTTCTCTCAGTTTGTTTTGTCTCTGCGGCCAGTTTTAGCCCACACAAGAAAGATAAATAACATTTCTAAAACTATCAAGACATCACTTAACCATTTCATGTATGCCTTTAAAGATACTCCCATCTGATATTTGATTTGGCTACCTGATGTAAGACCACCCATCAGCACCTTAACAGCATTAACAACACCAAAGACCTTCAAAGTGGCTTTGCATTGATTGTGGTTGACTTGAGTTGTTGGCTACTTGTGACCCCGGGCATGGTGATAAAAGGGGGGGACCGGAGGGGATGGGCTGATCAGGCTCTTTAGGGGCAACGGGGGCACAGCGGGCCAAACTTGGGCTCAGTCTTGCCTCATTTCTCAAGCTGTAAATCTGGATTTTCCACAGAGCTGTCACGTCGAAAACAGAGGGCAGCTGGAGGAGAAGTGGAAGGTGGACAGACCAAAGAGAGTCTGTTCATAAACAACCAGAGAGTCGGGGAGTGTGAGACCGAACAGATATGAGGGGAGTAAATCAGAGTAATGGAAAACACAAAGACACAATGCTCTGCCTCTCTCACTCTCGAACACACTCATGTTCACACTGGGGACAGGTGTGAAACAGTTTACTGAGCCCCGAGGCCATGCAAGACACCAATGCCCACCTTGGTGTTTATTTGTTCACCAGTCCTCCTCCCCTCCAGGCGCTCAAAGGGTAAACGTCTATTCTGGTTTAGGGTTACAGCCAAGCTGCCTTGAACCCCCAGGCTCCCAAGCGCACATGCCATTCCTGACGGGCCAACGCGTTCCCTGGCGCGCATCACCTGCCCCTGACCCCCGCGGGGAGGAAGGGGCACCTCAGTTACTGCCCTGCCAAAACCACGACCATCACCACCTTTACCCACCCGGCCCCCATCCCCGTGACACAGAATGAGCCACCTGCCCCCCTCCAACTATTATTACAGGCTTTATAAGGATTTAAGTGCTGATCAAGGGATGGCCATGACCTCAATAGGAGGGCTAAGCTAGACTAGGCAAAGCTAACAGTTAAAGGAGCTGTCTGGCACCGTGACAAAACAAGGCGATGACAGAGGCCGTCTGATAGCGCCACTACCTCCACCCGCCGCTTTTCCACTGACTAGATCCACTATCAAACAGCTGGGTACAGAGGGCCACTACTGCCAGGCCATTTGTTACCAAACATCTTGCATCAAGATGTTGTATATAGGAACGTGACCTCACCTTCCCCACACCTTCAAGTTTTCTTTTTGATTTTATTTCTTTACGTTTAAGGATAAAATAAAGGCAGGGGAAGCAGCAAATAACAACCACTGGCCTAATAGCATCAGTCAAATGTCTAATGAAGATACGAGTTAAAAAACAAAACGGGACAACATCAGGATATGACAAAGTTAGCATCGAGGACGTGCAATGAATAGCAATGTAGGCGTACTCTGGGTAGGAAGTGAGAGTTATCCCCGTCTCTCTACACCTGTTTGGGATGAGTGATTTGGGGCTAAGTTTGGCAACAGGAACTCTATAAAGCGATCTCCACTATCACTGCCAGAAATACAACGTGACAAAGGTCTTGCCCAAGTAACTCCCTGTATTTTGATACGGCTCAATGTACAGGCTTTATTTTAAAATGAACTGTAATTGTAGTGATTTTTAAACTTCCAGAAAGGAGTGAAGCTTTAATTTAGGGTGACTGACCATACGTCCTTTTTTACCCAAACATGTCCTATTTTTGGGGGGGCTTGTCCCGCTTTGTCCGGGGGAGTTTATAAAATCCTTCAAATGTCTGGAGTTTTGTACGAAAGTTTTGAGTTTGTGTTGCGTGGACTTACTGAGTTGGAAGCATGTAAAATGTACTCAATCGGACCCAAAAAACTCTCAAAGTAACCACACACGACTCTGTGACTTCACCCCCGCGTAGTTGTGCCCTCTTTTTGGGGATTCAGAATATGGTCACCCTATTTAATTTTCTTAGGTAATCAACTACTTTACTTACGGCAACCACTTTCTTCTAGTTCAGCTGGGGAGCTAAAATATCATGCTGCTGTGTTTTAGGTTGTGAGCAATCAAGAAAAAAACACTTGTTTATCGCTCAACAATTCAACAAAGTGCAACTCTTAAAGAGAGAGGTAAAGGATTAGCATGAATCAGATGACAGTAGTTAGTAGTTAGTATCCAACTACTTAATTAGAAATAAAAGACTATCTGACACAATATTTTATGCCTGGATTTTATGTTATTAAATGGTAACACAACCTAAAGGCAAAAACAGATTTCAATTACCTCTTTAGCTTAGCTAGCTTAGCCAGTATATGCTAAATGCTATGTAAGCTAACCAAAGCTAACTGATCCTGTTTTTAATTTTCACTTTGAAGTGCTTCTGGATTTCACTCTACATTTTAGCCAGTGAAATATCATGGCTTCTGCTGTAGATTATTATGAGTGGATAATGAGTGATTGGAGGGTGTGCACAGGTTTATGATTCATCATACTGTACGGGATGGGAAGAACTTGGGCCGACAGCTGTGCAGGGAACAGGAGTGATGTGAAACATGAACATGCGGAGAGGTGGTGAACTGGAGTGTATGTGGGAGAGGGAAAGAAGTGAAACAAATGTGTGTTTGTGCGCTGTGTTAGACTTTGTGTTCAGTCATGGTGTGAGCTCTGGTTTACAGCCTGTACAGCTTTTTCAACCTAAAACTCTGAACACACTACATCACATGTTGAGTTTAACAAAGATATTATTCCACAGCTTTTGTAGCAGGAAAGACTAAACCTATTTAGTTTCACTTTCACTAATGTAACTCGACCCTAAAGTAAGAGAAATAAGGAAAATAAAGGTGTGAAGTAGATAGAAGAAGCCTGTAAATGCTCTATCTGGTCGCTTCTAACATGAGTCAGATGAATTATTTACCAAAGTTGATTTTTTTTCTTCCCCTATTTATACTTTTCTCACTAATTTTTTCATGTCTTCTCAATATTGCCAGCAAAATGTTTCTCTCAGGTTGAACTTTTCCAGTCAGAGAAATATTGTAAACACTCACATACAGAACGGCCTCTTATCATGACCAGAATGACAGCCTATACAGGTGAATATAGGCTGGCTCCCAATTATCGGCTTGTGCACTTTAACATTTCTATCATGAAGAACAACTTACCAATCAGGTTCCATTTTCTGACCAATGAGATCAGACTTGGAGTTAACCATATTATTGTCTTTTCACGAGCACTTCTCTCCAGTTTTGTGTCTTATTGCTACTGAGATGATCTGTTCACTCATGTCTCTTGACTCTTATCCAAATATGATGAGCTAAAAGTAGAGGAAAGTCTTCTCCATTTTATTGTTGAGTCAATTCATGACAGATGTGAAAAATTTCACAGAACAATTATATTTGTCAGACGGAGGCGAGTCCATAAAGGCCTTCCTCTTTGACATATAAACCCGGTACCTTCTTCAGTAAAAACAAATGAACTGTCACAGCTATGAGACCTTGTCTTGTCCATCTATCATTATGTGCCTAATCTAATCTAACTTAATATCACACACCACATCTGAACGCTTCAATCAAACAGATCTGGTGAATACTTTTTTGATCGGTAGATATCTGTGATAGATATCTCACTGCAATAATGTGGAGTCATGACATCTAAATAGGCTGAACGATGGCTAATAAGGAATCGCGAGGCTTTCCAATACAGATAACTAACTCAGAAGTTTGGGATTAAGTATATAAATCCTCAGATTAATGTGGTAGCAACATAACGGTCACATAAATTACAAAACTGTTTACTGTGTTGTTTCTGAAAAAGCTAATCTGGACCGCTAAACTATAGTGAAGAAATGCTCTGTTGCTCTCACAGTCAACAAAGGTCATTATCCAAAACCCCGGCTCGTCTGTAAGTTGGTCCTCAGATACTGTGTTTATAATCTCCTCAAGGAAGAAAAAGACACATCATTGTAGTATGAGTAGAAGGTAGGCATACCGTACATCTTGCCCTCGTCTGAGAGGATGATCTTCCTGCGGCCACAGGGTGGGTAGATAGCCAAAGCCTCCTGGAAGCTCTGCTCAATGTCCGGGCTCCACACACCCTCCGCATCATTCTCCAGGGGTTTGTCGAGTCCATCCCCCAGCTCCTCACTCCCACCCCTGGGGGAGGGAGCCGGCACCCACTCCGCAGACGTGGTGGGACAGCGGAGATGGGACCACAGAGCAGGTGGTGGAGGGCTGGAGGAGAGGAGAGGAGGAGAGAGGAGACAGGGGCTTCAGGAAGTGGGCCTGCCGGTATGAATTCCACTGATGAGTTGATGATAATGTCACAAGACAGACCTGAGGAATCAAGAAAAAAGGGATAATAATAGTGATTAGGAAGAGTTTGATCAAGTTTGAACTTTAAAGGGGGTATTTTGCAAAGACTTAGAAGATGGACTACTTTTTAAACCTTTTTGATGGTTGGAGTAAAACCTCGGAATCACTTTTAAGAAAAGTTTTACGAAGGAACTCTCCACCATTTTGCCCCGATATAAGCCTTTACCATTTTAAAAGAACACAAATGTACAGAAATAATCAAGGACAGTACATGGGGAGGTTACAGTAGAGTACATGATCCCAAAGCTGTTCATCGAAACGAGGGAATCATTGATTAGGAGGTAAAAACCAAAGTCGAGACAACTGCAACAGCTGGAAAAAAGGAGGGAGGAGGGTTGAGGAGGAGGCACCAGGGGCCTTAAGTAAACAAATGAGGAGACACATTAAAGTGGGATCATGGTCCTCAGACACACTTAGACACACATGCCAGGGAGGATCATGCCAGGATATGAATGCCAGGAGGCTTTTTAGGCTGCCTGTGTCTTCATCAATACCACAGATGAGTGTTTTATCAAAAAGAAAAGACCCACAGCTGAGACTCGATAGTCCATGTGTTGTGCGTTGTTTTGATGGAAATATATTTCAATAACCAGCGGACTCATTAAGAAGATTAACGTCACATTCCAGCGACTTTTCATGACATGTTAAAAAATGGACCGTCAAAGGTTTTCAGATCCAGAGAGAAGCAGCAGCACATTCACTTCCTGTTTTCTCTTCAAATTTATTTGTTTAGGATGTTTGCGTAAACATTTAGGTGACACAGATGAAGCTCCGCCTCTTCCTGTCCACAGAAGAAACGTGACATCAGGCAGCGGTGCTGGGTCACAACCAAGAAAGACTAATGAGTCAGTGCTCAGCACAGAGTCTTGTGTTTTCCTGCCATATTTCATGTCCGAAACCTCCATGTCCATCTAAGGCAAAAAAAGGGAAAAGCAGGGATCTGAAGGTCAGGACTAATCCCGAACATGAGTGTGTGTGTCGTGTGAAGGCTCCTATTGAGAAGTGGACACAGAGACCTGGTGTGAGTGAGTCAGTGCGCTGAATGGAGTGAGTAACACTCTCCAGTCAGTGTGCACCCCCCCTTTGAGTTTCCTCTGAGCCCCCTGATGTCCCACAACACTTCCTGTAAAGCATCCGGCCGGTCAGACGTTCCTCCAATCTCTCTTTCTTTGCCTCATATACACAGACACACAGACATAAACACACACACAGACATAAACACACACACACACACACACACACACACACACACACACACACACACACACACACACACACACACACACACACACACACACACACAGGCCTGAATAGATGTAAATGTAGAAGCCTGGAGTGTTGTTTTCAGATCTAGACATGGGGAACCCATCCAAATTTTAATTTGAATGGATTCTTGTTTAAAAGTTTTGAAGATCAACATGTTTATCCTGTGTAATGATTTGCTGCTTGTCTGTTACATTGCACATAAACCTAGAGCTACTTCAGAAGTGGGAATATTAATACTAAAATACTCAATATTTATGTCTCCATCAGAGCTCTGTGAATTTAGATCAACCTGCCAGAGGAATTAAGGCATGCAGAGTCAGTCGCTTCTTTCAAGTCAGTCTTAAAAACTCACTTTTATGTGATGCTGTCTTTTATCTCTCATATTTTGGTTTTACTGTCTATTTTAGCTTTTATTACACTTTTAATCTTTTCTTAAATGACCTTTTAGGCTTTTAATGTTTTATATTTTCCCCTTTTGTTATTTTTTTCCTTTATCTAGCAGAACAGCTGAAAAGAGACAAGAAATGTGGGTAGGTGGTGACATGTGGCTAAAGGTCACAGCTGTACATAACTGCAGTCCCTGTATTTAAGGTGCATGATTTAACCCCTGAACCAAAGTGCTGCCCCTTTAGACGGTTAATGACAGCTTCTAAATGAAGAGTGTGAACTTTTTGAAGGTATACCGAGACGATACGTAGAGGACTAGAGAGATCAAAGATAAAAATGTCTTTATAAATAACGAGAAGTACTCATCCTGGGAGGTATTTTCTGGTGCCTTGTGAGGAAGAGCGTAAACATCTAACCTTTAAACTCTGAGTGACCCTCGAGGAAAATCTGAAGCGACACAGAGATACACCACAGTAAAGAGAGTGTGACATTTCTCATAATCAACTAGTTAACAGGTCCTCTCTCGTGAGGCTGTGAAGGTTTGAGGCCCTGATTTCTTTCACTGATAAAGTTTAAAAAAGATTTTTCACCGGGCGAAACTTCTCAGACAGAGGGACCAATGCCTGATGTTACATCTACTACGATATTTCTATACTTTCCTGTGAAACTAAGACGTTCAACTTCTAAAGTGACTGATTATTCTTACTTTTAATGAAAGGAGAGCTAAACTAATTTAAAACAATTTTTCATATTCAGATTATTCGTATGAAAACCCAAATTAGTCCATAATCTTTGTGGTGCAAAATCCAATAAATCCTAATCTTGATCACGAGACAAACAGCTACTCTGCTGTGAGACAATGGATTCATTAAATCTCAAGAAAACAAAACTTCCTGAGGTCACACGTACAAGTCAAGTTGGCTTTTGTTGTTTTAGTCGCCTGTTTGAAACTACCTGTAACTCCAGCTCAGGGCTGCTGCATGTCTCGGAGAGATTTGCGAAGGCCGTAAATCATTAGTGTGCCGCTCAGTGCCTTATAGCCAGGAGGTTAATTAGCCTAAGCCAAGCCTTAAAACAGCCCCCTGCTCCCCCTCCTCTGCCTACTCAGCCATCATCCTCCTCCGTCCCTCTCTCGCCAATCCAGCCCCCCGTCCCTCCTCATCCAGCCCCAGCGAGGCCCCTCTTCTCTGGATCAGCCCAAAAGGATAATCCCCCAGCTGGTGCTGTGGTCAAGGGGCCACATAACCCCTCGGCTGCCCCCCTACCTCTTAACACGACTGCACATACACACTTACACATTCATCAGCTGGGACAAATGCACAACATGGAAGAAAACCACGCCGTTCAGGTGTGAAAGATGCTTCGATATTAACTCAAAGAAAACATTCAAAGCTAAATCAAACACACAAATACAAGACTGCAGATGCCAAAACTCAAAATATCTGCAAGTATATTTAATATTGACATTTCTCCTGGAGTAAATCATAGTTTTAATAATGGCATCATCTATATTGGCATGCCAAGATAAGTAGACAAGGGAAGCAAATATAAAATAAATGTAGCTGATAAAGCTCCAACATGCTTATCTTCACCGCCATTAATTTTTATTATTATTGTTATTGTCCTCCAAAGAAGTGTGTCCATACAGGTTTTTTTATAGACGTGACATTGAACGCACCATGAAAACATATCATTGACTCATAAATCATTCTCAATTAACCAACCCGACCCTGAACGCCTCACAATGGGTGAGTTATTTAACGAGCTTTTGTCGCGTTAATTTCAACATAGGATTCAACTTTGGTTTTAGATTTTTTTAACTAATGGGGCTTGTTTTAAGTCTTGGTGTGCTTGCCCCAGCAACTTTGGGTGGAAGAGAGAGATGGCAGCCCTGCACCACCCCAGTTACTACTTTTTGGCATGGTTTCTTGCACAACACCCCTTGCAAGCAATCATGTTGCAACATGAAGTGCATTCAATGGTTGTTGAGTTTCTCTTTAAAAAAATGATTTTAAAAAACACTCAAGTTTGTCTGGTTGTGGAAATTTTTGAAACCTGGAGGTGAAACTTGAAAACAATGCTCTTTCTTAAACTGATAAACGCTCAAAGGTTAATACAAGCACACATGATATTAGCCAATATCTGTTTTAACCCTCGCAGTGATCCTTCCCTATAAATCCATGAAGTTAATAGCGAGTAAACTGTCAATCCTGTTAGTTTAAAGGTTCTTTATCAGAAGTTAACAGAAAAAGGTGCAAAGGTCAGAGGAGTAGTGATCAATATGTAAGAAAAGTCTGAAATTTAAAGGATAAACCCTTTAGTTGAAATGTCGTGGTCCACTGTGCTTTGAAACTCAATAAAACTGTCAAACCTGCTTCCCTTTTTGCACATGTTTTAGTCGATCTATCTGTCTGTACATTTCTGTGTGTAATCAGTGAGTGTGTGTGGATGTGTTATGAGTATGTGTGAGTATTCAACTGGTCACAATCTTCACTAATCAGGTCGGGAATGTAAAGGCAGGAAGCAGTCTGAGAATAAGGCAGCGCTACAGGATCAGGCTATGCGATGGAAAGTCACAGTGAGAGCCGATGGAGGCTAACAAGATTGTTTTGTTGGGGTTTTTGTTGAAGCACATGTTCTCTGGCACCAAGTCCCACTGAGCTGCAACAGCGGGGGTCTCCAAACCCTACATTCATGTATACATTCAACACAGAAACTCATATGCATCGATGTGGGCTTTTACTTTACAGACATAATGTCTTCATGTGTGTATGAATCTGATACCTGCGGTCATCTGTCCTCTTACACCTGAATAAGCACATCATTTCTGCTTAGCATTCAAGCGTGAATTCAATTCTATAAGATTCTTCTGGACGTCATCCTTAATCGCATCACACGGATGTGGAAAGGCAGAATTATATATCATAGTGTCATCAGCATAAAAAGATTTTTTTTGCTACATATATTGTTGATACAAATAATGAACTACTGCGACCAAATATGGAACCTTGAGGGACGTTATCATGTTTATTCCAAAGTTTTTGAGTTTGGCATTTTCTGGAAATATTAATTGTTGATGACTGATCAAGTTTTGCAGCTAATCAAATGCTTTCCTAAATATGTATGCCTCTCCCCCATGAAGGAGAGGAGGTATGAGCTAGGCAGGATTAGTGCGTTTGTATTCGAATGTTCATAAATTTAATGCCATTTGTTATGCTGGTGTAGGTCAGTGATTAAAGCTATAGTGCGCAACTTATATCGCCCCCTAGAGGATTTCTGTATCATTACAACAATACAGCTGGCACCTCAATATGACGTACAGCCCGGTGTAACCCGTACAGACGAATTAATTTCTCTTCTGGGATAAAACAAAGTTATTCTTACTCTTATTATTATTTTTACACGGAGTAACACTCACGACTCACGGCATACTGCTTGTCACAGTACATGGACTGTAACTGTTTACTAAAGTTACTCGCCGAATGGCCTGATCAGCATTGTATCATCTCCTCTTGTAGAACCTTGGGACATGTAAAAGTCACTATAGCTTTTAATTATGCACCCAGTATAGTGGGGCCTCAAAGAAGCAACTCTAGTACCATGATTTGCCATAATGTTATTTCAAAATAAAGGCATAAAAAAAAAAAAACATCTTGAAAAAAATAAATTAATAAAATCATAGTTATGGTTATTCCAAAACCTGGGTTGATATAGAAGTTGTGTAGTGAGAGTGAAGCAATATAAGTAGAAAATGATTCACAGTATATTACTGGTCTCTATCTGGACTGTCCTGAACTGATTATAATGTAAATATGTTGAAGTTGAATGTATACCATGGTGTATACTTGCCTGAAATTATTTGGATAATCTAAATATGTTTCCAGTTTAGGCGTTACTTTCATTCATTTTTAATTATTTGTTTTCAATATGGATCATTTTTTCTCCAATTATAATTTTTTTTTATGGAGGACTGAGGAGTTGTAGTGTTTTCTTTTTGTTCCAATATGCTTCATTTTTATATGTGAATATAATATGTGGTTATGAGTCACTCAGCTCTGGCAGATTTAAATAAAGAGAAATGGATCAAAATACACAGAAACGCGTCCTGTAAACACAGACTATATTTCCTGGAATTTCATCTTGTTTCTCCAGTGTTCAATCCCACAGCTCTGACTCCTTATCTAATGGCATCCAGAGTGGACAGAGCGTCTATCAAACAGTCCCAGATAATTCAACAGAGAGATCTATCAGAGTAGCTGGAATCAATGGACAACACAGTCACACACATGCAGAAGTCACACACACTGATTGCTATGTGGGATGAGTAAAAAAGAAAAGTCGTCCACCGTGGAGAGGACCTGTCTCAAGGCAACTTTACACACACGCAGCGCACTGACTCCCATCGCGCTAACTCCTTGTTCTGCTCATTCACCCACACACATACAGTAACGCACCTCCAGGTCGAGTCCTTCCCACCCACACACGCAGCAGCAGCCCCCACACACAGGTGCACACACACACACACACAGAGATACACCTTCAAACAATACAACCTTAGAGTTCACATTACAATATAATTCATCTGTCTAGGACAATAGTGGACCCAAGGCCTTGAAAACAAAAAGGTCCAAGGCCTGGAAAAAACCCAAACTCCTCTGGCTGTCAAACACTTCAGAGGAAGCTTTGACAGGTGTGTTTTTCACAACCCGCCCTCCCCCTAGTCAGACTGTCACCCTGCTCCATTCCACCTGTTGCCCCTCTGGAAAACACACTCTGCTCAGCTGCCCTGGGGACACCATAACACACACACGCACACACACACACTTGCTCTTGAACACACACACAAAGCCGCAGCAACCCCTCTGTTAGCTGCTGAAAACACTCAGTGAAAACACTCGCCAACACACCGACTTCTCCACACCAGAGTTAAATGGAAAAAAACTACTCAAACACACATCTTATACTGCAAACTCTGCACAGTATGAACACGACCAAGGACAAGAAATTAGATTTTTCTTTCATCATTTTTAAAAATATCGTTTAATTTATAGTCATTAACTCCATCGACAGAAAAATATTCACAACATTTCTGCTTATTGTGAAAAACAAGATATTTTTATCAATACTGTAAAACTGAAGCTTTTCAAACGTGTTTCCCCCGTTTTCTTTGTCTCCTCTTTAAGTATCTGGATACATGTTGAATTTTAACTGTAAGCCATTAGAAATTAATGCCACTGTATGTTGTGACACTGCATCACCTTGACATTTGGAGATTGCAGTTTGTTTTCTCTCTTTGCTTTCATCAAATATTTCAGATAAATAATTAGTTTAGAAAAATCATGCATACTTATCGTGAAAAGACCTCTCTTCATTTTACCAGCATATTAAAATCTGTGATTTCTTAGGAGGTACAAGTTACATCACTCTAGAAGTATTATTTTTCTATAACCTTGCTCTATGTTGTCCATTTTGAAACAAACCTTTCTAGAGTCTTACAGTAAAATCTAAAATAACACGCTGGAATAATCTCACACGTCTCATCATTTTTAATTTCCTAATCCTTCTTTTAAAGACACCTGCACCAAGTATTTGAATGGATTATGACGAGCCAGTATTATCACCTGTTTGAAGAAGCATTTGGATCTTTTGAAGAGTTAAAGCAGCAGTGTCATTATGGAGAGAAAAGTTAGCCACACTAAATGCAGAAAATGACCAAAGTCAGTCTTTTTATGTAATGTTGAATGTGAAGCAGGGTAGGATAAATTTTTAAAGGCTTTCATGGGACTCTTTGCTCTTTTACCCAATCCTAAACTTGAGGTTGAATATTTTGTTTGTCACTGCATGGTCATTTTTTACCTTTTTACTTCACATTTTCTTAAACGTTGCTTTTTTAAAGTCTAAAAATTAGAATTAATTGCAGAAAACTAAAAGTTTTGGATGATGTAATTGAGGAGAGTCAACTCTATTTCTCTCAATACTGTCACATTTAATCAAAATAGATAGATCATGTTCTGTGAGGTGATCATCAACCTTAGGTTCATGTGTAAAAGTCATACAGACCTGCACAGACGGTTATAACCAAGCCTTAAAAGTACAACTGTCTGAGTTTAAGTGATAATTAAAGATGTAAAGGAATAAATGTCACATTTGATAAAAAAATGAATTCACCTTCTTATAATAATTGCATATCATCACACATAATCCACCCTGAGATACACAAAACGATATAAAACACTTGCACAGTGGCACCAGACAGCATGTCATGGTGTGCAACTAAAAGCTTTTTTTGACTTTCGGAAGAAAATTTGTTCTTAGTTGCTGCATTACCAACGTTAAGAAAAGGAGAGTCCTGCACAAACAAAATAAACAGTTTACTGAAAGACATATGATACACAGAGGGTGGAGGAGTTATTTTACTGAGCTAACAAACAAGTTTTAAGTACCTAGGTGTTTGTGCTGGTTTGTTCTGATGTTTTTAAGAGACATTTCGTATGTCACTTTAAACTACACGAAAGGGTTTTGCTCATTGCTTTTTCTCTTCTAATAATCAAATAATAAATAACCCATGAAATTGTAACGTTTAGTTAAGGATATTTCTTCACAAGGGCAAAGTAGATTTCAAAAAGTAATGTTCTTGAGTGAAACTTATTTTCAGTTTTCTTTATTCTGCTTGTTATAATTTTTCAGAATGAAATGTTGTTTTTCACTGATTTTAAAAACACATTTAAGTAAAAATAAAAGCATCAGCTACACCTTGTTATGGCGTTAAACTGCAGCTCATCTGTCATTAAAACAACAGTAACATTGGCAAGAGCTGAATAGTTTCCCAGTACTTAACAAAACTCTGACAACAACCATCTACTACAAGTGATGCACTTGTTCTGGTTTTAATGGAGCCCTTTGACATTGTCTCTGATGTTAAACCTTAGGACAAAAAAAAACAAAAAACGCTCTTACACCACAGTAGGGGAGACCAGGGATGATTTGACGCGCAAAAGCTCATTCTGCACAAGCTCAGATTAATTCACCCAGCAGAGGTTTGAAACTGAAAAGTGTCTTTGTTGTATGGAGGTCTGTTTTTGGTTGTGTAATACTTTTCTTCTGCTGTGATGAGTTTGAATGAATCTACACTGAGCTTATTAAGAAAAAAACTGACATGTTCAACACATACTAACACTGACATCTGTTTTAATTTCATCATCTCAACCATTAGTCTGACATTAGCCCAACAGCCATCAGACTTGATAACTCTTGTGTAAATAATAGATAACTTTTAGAGACATATTATGTGAGACAACAGACAATTGAGTTTCCCTTCGGGGATAAATAAAGTTCTTCTTATTCTTACTCTTAAAATTCAGTTTTCCACTTAAGTTTGGAATCAAATCAAAAGAATTTCAACCATATACTACAGAAAGACACTTAAGTAGCATTTTCGATACTAAATGTGAATATTATCTACCTCCATTTGTTATTTATTTGCACTTCAACAGGTTGTTAGAGTTTTAATAACTATGCGTTTTACTTATAATCGATTAAACAGTTGACCTACGAGGAAAGCTGTATTGATCACTGCACACAAAAGCACAGATATATGTTTCTTTTACAAATTATTTGTTAGAATTTGGTAGAATTAGTCTCTTTCTCTCTTTTTCCTTTTATTCCACTCAATTTACCCCAGCATGACAGTGCAGTTCTAATGTTTTCATCTTTCTGTGCTTCATGTTAAAACATTTCTTTGTGTCTTATATCAAAATATATTGAATATAGTGTGATATCTGATGATCTGTTGTACTTAAACCTGCTTAGTACTACTTTAGTTTGGATTCAAATAAAAAAAATTCAACCATATACTACAGGAAGACACTTAAGTAGCATTTTTGAGACTGGATATGAATTTTATCTACCTCCATGTGTTATTTATTTGCACTTCAATAGGTTGTTAAAGTTTTAATATCCTTGCGTTTTACTTATAATTGATTCAGCAGTTGACCTACGTGGAAAGCTTTGTTGATCACTGCACACAAAAGCACAGATATATATGTTTCTTTTACAAAAACATGGCAAGAGTATTCAAAGTACTATGAAGAAAAATGTGAAAAATGTGAAAACTTTCCCTAGTCTCCCCTATTCTGGATAATTAAACATAAGTGTAACATTTGAAGCTGAACATGTACACTAAAATATGTCTAACATGAACATCTTTACTTTAACTTATCATCAAGTGTGCTCACAAACATATATTTTAATCACTATTAAACATTATTTTGTTCAAGTTAATCATGTTTTGGACGGAGAAACACAGAGAGGGAACAATAAGAGTGGCACCGCTGCTGTCAGGTTACATTTAGTCAACACACACACTTGTTGATAGAGAGGGAGAAAAACCTCAGTGAAGTTAGTAACTGTGTGAATAAAGAGGCTGTTTCAATGATAGCAGTCTCCAGGTGTAAAACTTTAAACAGGCAGGCTAATGTGCTAATAATGTTTGACCACTCGGCTCTGACCTTATTCCCTCAAAACACTGACAACAACAAAAAAAGAAAGTTTCCCGGCTGAAGTCACAGGAAGTCCAAGAATCGCTCACACACACTGCAGCGGAGGAATTAAAGAAAAAAATGTCGGAATTCGAGCGAAGAAATGTAAGATATTTGAGGAATGTTATCTCGGACAGTGAGTGAGAAGGATTCAGAGGGAGAGTGGAGAGAAATACTGACTCCACATCCACGCAAAAACTCAACAAAGTGAAAGTTTACACGCCACGACTTAAGACGCCAATTCAGCCTGAACATGAGAGCTAAACATTTCACCGAGAAAGAGTAAAATACTCCAATTTGCTTACCTGGTGAGGCTCTGGCAGCTAGGTAGGCAGGTGGAGGAGTGTTTAATTTCAGTCAAAAATCAGGAGTTATTCACTGTCTCTCTCTTGTTTTTCTTTTTTCTTAGTTTTCTGCTGCCCGGTCTCCTTCCTGAAGCTGTTGTGTTTGAAGCGAGAGGAGGGCAGGAATTTCAGGAATTAGCCGTGGTATGACATGAAGCCTGGAAAAAGCCAGAGAAAAAGAGACCAAGGGAGAGAAGGAGGAGAGGAGGAGGAGAGGAGAGGAGGGAGGGAGGGAGGAAGGTCTGACCGCTCAACACCACGTAATGACGAAGAGGAGGGGAGGGGAAGGGAGAGGAAAGGGGTGGAGGGGGTTGTCAAGGAAATAAAATCAAGAATATAAACTATTGTTAAAGAGTGAAGAGGTTACTTAGGAAGAAACAAATTTAAAAAAAGATCCTTAATATTCATGTACTGTTACTATTATGTATTCATTTGAGTATTTATTCATTTTTATCCATATTTTGCTGCATTTAATCATGTCCTTATCACTTTTAAATCATGTTTCATTGTGAATCTGTTGTTAGTCTATGTTTTTCTAATGTCTCCATGCTGTTTGTTGTCTTTGTGGTGAAATAGTTTGAAATAGTAGTAGTAGTAGTAGTAGTGGTAGTAGTAGTCGTTTATTCAGTCATGACAACACCAAGTATTGTACACAATATTGACATTTTACACAAAATCACTAAGTCAAGAATCACGTGTTGAATATTGACTGAAAAGGCAGAAGCAGACTGCTCATAAAAGCCTATCCTGTCTTCTCAACTTTTTTAGGCTACCGACCTCCAGAGAAGCAAAGAAACCACAACAACGGATAATTAATCGCACTTATAAGCTTTAAAAATAGCTTTACAAAACATTTTCTTCTGACGTGTTTTTAGATTTATGTTGGCATCAATCCAGAATTGAACTCCAGTAATGGAGACACATCTACTTTTCATACCCTTTTTTAGTTTTTTGTAGAGTAAATTTGCAAGCACCTCTGAGATTATACCTTACCTTACCTTATTTGCAAAGCAGTTTGCTTCATTTATAATTGAGTAAAAATCTGAATTTGTTTGACTTTTTGTCTACTGTAAAGTCTGCTGATCAAGCAATTTTCCTCATTAAACCCAAATAAAAGTAAAATTTTCACCAAATATGCCAAATTTGGTAGAATTAGTCTCTCTTTCTCTTTTTTACCCTTTATTCCACTTACTCTACCCCAGCATGATAGTGCAGTTTTAACACAATCATCTTTCTGTGCATCATTCTGTGCCTCATATTTTAGCCCCAGAGTTACTATTTTGTGTTTTAGTACTTTTTTTAATTTACTGTCCGTTATGGTTTGATTTTAAGACTGTTTTAATAAATTAACTTTCAATGCTTTATTATATTTTAACATGGTTTTATCATTTTAGTCCTAGGTCCAGTGTTTCCTCATTTTTTAACTCAAGATAGCGTTTGTGGCAAGTTAAAGAGTCCTCACCTGGTTCTTTTGTGTATGCATCTGTGCGTGTGAGTGTGTGTGTGCTGTAGGTGTTGAAAGGGCGTTGGGAGGGTGGGCGAGTTTGGTATTTGCATTTGTATTTATTTTATTTCATTGTTTTTAATATCCTGCTTGAATGGACAGCACTTTGTGCTACATTCTACATATAAAAAATGCTTTAAAAATAAAGTTTGATTGATTGATTGATATCATAACATTTGTTTGTCTCTTATGTCAAAATATACTGAATATGGTGTGATATCTGATGATCTGCTGTACTTAAACCTGCTTACTTTCTTTGTCAGAGGTTTTGGCTGTAAAAAGGAGGTGTTATCTTTCATCATATTTATTTGGTTTAATATAAATGAGTTAAAGTTAAATCAAAGAATTTGCCTGCAATTTCAGGGGATTTACACCTGCTACCATCCCAGGATGCACCTCTCTACTGTTAATATGCCCTCTCTACGCGGACATTCACAGTAATGCAGGAACACTTTTAGACTCAGTCATGTTTTGCAAGTCATTAAGCTCAGGAGGCCTGGCTGTCTGAGATGTGACTGAACTTTGGACTCTGGGAGGAAATGCAGGACATGGCAACATAGACTGAGTAACGGGGCCCTCAAGTGGACAGAGGGAGTATGACAAGTAGTTGTTTCAATGTCAAAATGTGGAAAACTCAATATTTTGGTGCCAGGATTTTAATAAGATAAATAAAAATCAATAAAAAGAGGACACTGGAATCGTGCAATTTTAAGTACGCAGTTGGTCTCCAACTTCTGACACATGTATTTCAACTTTTTCACATTTTTCTGTCCAGAACCATGTATTTAAACTTTGTCACATTTTTCTGTCCAAAACCACTGTTCCACTGAGGATTGGGATTGTAGATTATAAAACAAAATACAAATCTGTGGTTTGGCAGACAAGGTCAAAGAAACAGATTTTTCTGCAGAAATTAAAAGCTACTTCTGAAGTAAATAATGAAACAAATCCCTCGCTTTAAAGGTCAGTCAGTCACTACTCAAAGAAAACCATTTGTGAATATTTGAATGAATTTCTACTGTTCACTCTGTTGGTAGAATCCTGATATCTCAGAAACTCGAAATGCAAATATTTGGTCTTCCAGTTTTATTAATTTATGGCTACCCACCCATATATAAACAATTCAAAATATTTCATCAAAAGGAAAAACACTTGGGTATTAAAGCTCCTGTGTCCATTTTGGCGCCCACTGTAAACATTTATTTATTTACTTGTCTACAATGTAGTTTACAATGTATTTTTACAATCTCTACAGCAAAGATGCATAAACCAAAATACAAAGGAGGTTCAGCTTTGTCCACAAGGGGCGCCAAACAAAGTTCCTCTCAGGAGCTTTAAACTGAGCACACTTTGAGGTTTTCTGCTCAAGCCCTAACCTGTATTTTAATGGTCGTTAAAGTACTTACTGTGAGGGAAATCCATTTGCTTTTTCAATCAAAGTTACAAAAAAAGCAAATTAAGACACGTTTGAGTTCAAAAATTCAATCATTTTATTGAGATAAACTTTCATTGCATTCTTAATCAAGTCCAAGGCAAACCAAGTTTCTGTTGTGAGACCCTCTGATACTGATGAGCCGAACACACACGTCCTCCCTAAACATCCAAACCCTCTATTCAAACCAAAGTGAGAGATGAATTCACATTGTTTTCCTCCTGTCTTTACAATATCGTCAGCTTAAATTTTTGGTGCTCATGCCTTTTTCATTTCAAAGTCAATTTACTTACAACAGTGGTACATTTACCTAACAACAACCCAAAGTGGTCTACAAACAGTCTGAACTAGACTCTGTTAAATAAGTCCTATTGCAAACTACAGGAGATATCTTTGCACTCATTTGAAATAAAAAAAAAGATTAAGTTTACCTAAAAAAAGAATATAAATTAACTTAAAAGCCTCCTGTTTATAAAGAAGTTGTTCTACTGTATTTATGAAGGCTCCTATAGAAAATACTTGGAATGTGTAGGAAAGTATTGTACAAAATGAGGCCTTCAGCGATACGGATCCGCACAGATTTGAAGGTGAAGTTAATGCTGGAAAAGGGAGAACACTCTTCCTAAAAACATTTACACTGTGTTGTGCAGTACAGTAACACACTACAGGGAAATAACAGGGATTTTTAGAAAACATCAGGACACGGAGGACCTCCTCTTTTACCGGGTTGAAGGGTCTTTTGGTCCGAGCTGAGTCGACCCTCCAAGACACTTGGGGAATCAAGCTGGGAGCTAAACCTCTGTGTCCCTCAGATTCACACAAACTTTGAGTCCGTTTCCCCCAGAGGGTCGTGCTTTCCCCTGATACATCTTCATCGCTATGTTCTCCACATCCAGGGTGCATGTTCTTTCACTCCATGTTGTCCTTCACAACTCATTTTCACTGATGACTCCTGACTCCAAACATCATTTCTTGGACAGGAATTTCATCTTGTTTCCTGAAAAATATAGCAAAGATGAAAATATTTAGGACTGATGTGGAGTGGAATTGGCTGATAGTACTTTGGTGGTAAAGTTGAGTCCTATCTGTGCAGACAGGAGAGTATATGAGGGGTCAACAACAGGCTGTAACTTTGGGAGTTGAAGTTTGGTAAACTAACGAGGAAGAGAAGATGCTCTGACCTAAATCTGAAGGTGGAAATGTTTGATGAAATTCATTAAATCTCACCTAGACCCTTTAGGAACTTGTTGACTCCTCGTTGCTCGCTCCCGGGCAGTGAGTCCAGATACTCTTGTGCTCTCACCTCAAACAGACCTGGAAATAAAATAACCACTTCAGTTATCTTAAATCTAACTTGTCTATACAGAATCACAGTGTGTTGCTCATTTTTCTGGACCCTTTGCACTAAAATAAAGACTTATCATCTCCTTATGAGTGAGACTGCCTCTTAGACCAAGGATTAAACAATAAAATTCAACAGTTCTTTCTTTCTTTTCACCGAGTTTGGGAATTTCTCTGTATCACTGATGTAGAAAATCAAATCTCAGTACCTCTGAGGCCCTGCCTGCGCAGATCCCTCTCCTGGATGAAACCAGTGAACATCTGTGTCTCCATGAACACCTCCAGGAACCTCCTCAAGCTCTTGGAAGTGACCGCTTTGCGAAAGGCGTCACGCTGAAAAGATAAGAGAGGAGAGGAGGACGACGAAGACGAGGGGCTGGGCAAAGTGGGGGAGGAGACGGACTCGTCGTCTCGCTCTGCTCCGCCCATGAAGAGGGAGTAGTGGCCCACCATCTCCACGAAGAAACGCACAAAGGCTTCGGACACCACCGTGCTGAGGGAGCTGGAGTCTAGAGGTGGAGGTGGAGGAGAGATGGACAGGAGGGAGAAGAAACAAAACATGAACAATAAGATTAAACGAAAACAGGATTACTGACAGAAATACTATCTGAAGAAGATCATTATCAAGATGCCTGATAGAACCTTAAAATAAAACAACGAGGACTATTTAGAGTTTACAGAAAGAATGTTGAAAGTTATGACAAATCCTTAAGAAGTTGCCTTATGATAAATGATTATTAGATGCATCTGGCAGCTCAACTATGGGAACGGCTCAGGGACGCTGGAAAATTAAAGCAAATGCTGGAGCTAAATGTTGTGTTTGGTGATGCTCTTCCAACTAAAAAAATAAAAAAATTTATGTAATTTTGAACTGCGGTGATAACTGATCCTACAGCAGGTCAGTGTAAGTTTCCTAAAAACACTGATAATAATATATTTGAAGGAAGATGAGGATTAACAGTATCTTACTGTATTTCTGTAGTTGTTTCTTGTCCTTGGTAGAATTTTCACAGAACTGTCTTCAGGATTAACAGCATCCTACTGTATTTCTGTAGTTGTTTTTCCATTCTCGGTTACATTTTTACAGTACTGTCTTCAGGATTAACAGTATCGTACTGTATTTCTGTAGTTGTGTCTCATTTTTGGTTAATTTTTACAATACTGTCTTCAGGATTAACAGTATCTTACTGTATTTCTGTAGTTGTTTCTCATTTTTGGTTAAATTTTCACAGAATTGTCTTTAGGATTAACAGTATCTTACTGTATTTTCCTGTAGTTGTTTCTCGGTTTTGGTAAAATTTTTACAGTACAGTATCTTACTGTATTTGTGTAGTTGTGTCTCATTTTTGGTTCATTTTTACAATACTGTCTTCAGGATTAACAGTATTTTACTGTATTTCTGTAGTTGTTTCTCATTTTTGGTTAAATTTTCACAGAATTGTCTTTAGGATTAACAGCATCTTACTGTATTTTCCTGTAGTTGTGTCTCAGTCTTGGTCAAATTTTTACTGTCTTTAGGATTAACAGTATCTTACTGTATTTTCCTGTAGTTGTTTTTCATTCTTAGTTTTTATTCATTTTTACAGTACTGTCCTCAGGATTAACAGTATCTCACTGTATTTTTGAAGTTGTTTCTCCTTTCTGGTTAATTTTTACAGTTGTGTCTTTAGGATTAACAGTATCTTACTGTATTTCTGTAGTTGTTTCTTGTTCTTGGTTGATTTGTTACAGAACTGTCTTCAGGATTAACAGTATTTTTACCGTATTTTATGATTACAGGACATCTTGAGAGAGAAGATACTGTAATATGTGTAATGAGTCACCATTGGGCAGATCTCCTTTCTCACAGGCCAGCTCCCGTCTCTTGTCCAGCACGTGCTCAAGAGCAGCCTGCAGCTTGTGAGGAAGAATGGAGTCCTCATCATCGAGCTGCAGAGGACGGATTACAGATGTAGATACAGTCAGTGGAGAGAAGCTGAATGAATCCGCAGAACATCTGCTACAATCACCACATGTGAATCTCAGAGTGGCTGTTTTCTTCATGGTTTTATGAATCCTACCTGTCTGAGGAAGCGGCTGTTGCCAAGGTCGACCACCAGGACCTGAGAGAAGAGCAGAAGGAGAGTGAAGTCATTTCCTGCAGTGGAGAAAAGGTCCCTGAAGTGAGCTCATCACAGACTAGCATAAAGCTACTCTCACCTCTTCTATGGGCAACTCTTTGAGTCGAGGCAGAGAGCTGGAGAGAAGGCCGACTATGAAGGGGGTGGGGGTGCAGACGATGTCCAGCATGGAGGGCGGGAGCACGGGGATGTACGTGTGCTGCCAGGTAAAGGGATAGAGCAGAGCCACGACAGCGTGACAACACTGAGACAGCGTGCTGCAAGAAGACAGGAGGAAAAAGAAATAGTGACGACTACTGTAGGTTAAATCAGGTATGAAGGAAACAGTTTTCAGAGTATACAAAACCAGATCTCAGCCAATCTAGGATTTAAAGTTACGTCTATCTGCTCTCTGTCACTAGATGGTGCTAAATCCACCCCGATGAGAAACCTCTCCTGCCATCATTTACTTATTATGGAACATGATGTTAAAGTTCATTCCTGTTGCTCGACAAGCCCATTATTACCCTGAGAGGAATTTTATACTGCGTCTCCAAGAGGAGGGTGATGTAAGGCTGATAAAAACTATAAAGCGGTAGCAACCGCACTCACCCCCGTGCTGTTAACTTAATCCCTCCAGGGTGTGCATCTGCTCACAGTTAAATCCTTAAAAAATTAATTGATGAGGCCAAGTTTCCACTTTAGGTAAGAAAATGTGCAACGTGATGTGCATGTGAGATCTGGTGAGAAGTGCTTCCTAAGCTGCTTTCGACTCAACAATAAATAGGCGAGGAAAAGAAGAGACAAGTACTCCACAGACAAGTAGAAGGACTGATTCTGCTCAGTCCACGTGTTAATCAGAGCAATAACAAACAGCCAAGGTCTTATGTGGACTGTGTGGTCATGATGGCGTCATTGCGCACACATGTAGTCACCCTCTGAATCCCTAACTCCATCTATCTGGCCTCCATGACAGTTTTCCAGAGGAGAAGTGATTGTTCCCCTGGTGACTGTAAAACACAACAGCATTCTTTCCTCTCACACTCGGTCAGGACCTTCTCCTCCTCAGACTGTTTGTCTCTCTGTCACATCCTTCAGACTCTTTAACACCTGATTTTTGCAGCAACAAAACGCTTTAAATCAAAAAAAGGCGTCTCGAGAGCCAACCTGAGTTTGTCTGCGGTGAAGATGACCCTGCGCTCGAGCAGCAGGGAGGCGAACACTCGCAGGAGGAGACGTAGACTCAAGGAGGAGAAGAGACATTCAAAGTCCACATGTTCCAGTCGAGAATCAGAGGGCCGACACAGCTCGATCACCTGTGGGATAAACAAAAGTAAACAACAGAAAGAAAGAGATGGCAAATCTTTAGACACCTACAGAAACTAACGTGCTTTCTTATCTTTCTGACAGCACCATCATCTTACCTCTGTCCCAGAACCAGGTAGGAAGTTTTTGACAGTGATGGTTCGACCAGGAGCAGGGAAGGGAGCCTCCATTATGCCTCTCATAAAGGGTTGCACCAGAGCAGGAGAGATCGCCCTCCTTTTCTCCACTTCATCCAGAATCTGGAAAACAGACAACAGGAGCCGTTTATTTAAACACCGGCAATCGCAGGTACTTTTTCTGCTAAATGTGGGCTGGATTTGTTTTATTTTGAAATCCAAAATGAAGAAACTCATAACTACAATCATCAGACCTTGTGTTTTTAAGGCTGGGAATGATGAATTATGCTGCAGGTTTAGCTTCATTAGCTATCAGGAGTTTTGCTATAGTATTTAGATCACAGTAGGGCTGTCCCCATGTCAGATTTTTACCTCAGGATTTATGGAAAACTTGAAATCCATCCATTTCTAAAAATGTTAAACCATTATCATGCTTTCATGTTAATATTTTTTCTGTCTTGTGTTTGAGTACCTTTATTTCCTCCTTCGTCATACTATGCTTTTATTTTGAAGTGTAGTACTTCAGGTAGTTTATTAAACAGTCAAAGAAACAATAAAAAGTAAACATTTTCAATTGATTAGTCATCTGAGCTTTGATATTTCACAATTAATCCTGAAATCTAAGTTTTAAAGCATTCAGTTTCCACTCAGAAGGCTGATCGAGCTAGCTTAGTAGCAGCTGGGTGAAGCCAACCCAAGAACAGCACCCTCTGGTGACAGGCTGCAGTATAGGTCATAAATCCCACCTCCTCCAGTAATCTCTATGGGGCTGTAGACAAACTTTAGAAATTTATTACACAGAATATAATTTTTTGTCGTTACTGTAAGACTGGTTTGTGCTCAAGTCCTATTTTTCCTGTACAGCTCCATTTTTAAAAGATATTAGAGCTTCATGTTTTCTATGATTGACACCTGATACAGCCTATGGTCGTACGAAGATTGCATAGTTCAACCAGGGGATACGCTGTTTCCGCCGAACAACAACTCTACTGCGCAAGTGATGGTTCTAGAAAGTGGAGAAACCCGGAAATACCGAGAGCAATTCGGCTTCAAATCCATATAATGGTGGAAGGCGGAGCCAATACAGTCTATGGTAGCGGCCCACTTCTTCCTCTTCAGATGCAAATCAAAGATTACATTTCAATATGATATTAGCACGATGAACCTAGCCTATGCAAGTAGTAAATAAGCATGAAAACAATACTATATTTTATCCACAGTGTCTAAAATGATTCTGCATGTACTTTTATATAAAGTATTTAACATTTAATACTCTGTGATAGAGCGGTTTAATTATTCTGTGTTTGGTTGACTGTGAATTTCATGTTCATCTCAAATGTAATCTGATTAGTTTTGGCGCAGGAGTTCCTTTCCCTCAGTTTTCCCGCTGAGGTAACGTCAGTAATGCTTCACTGCGTGTTAAACAGTAATCCCAGTGGGACTGACTGTTAAAAACAGCATTAGATTTATGTGCCATCAGATACGAATAAATGGTGAGAAGGACAGCCAAGCTCTGTCAAAAGTCAATAGAGCAGATGGCTGTCAGCCTAAATCCATCATGTGTACCCCTCTAAACACATACAGAACGCATCTGGACGCCATTAAACTTTTGTGTAGCTGATCTAATACACATGAAACATAATCAGAATTTCCTCAGCCCCCGAGAACATTCAGTGCAGATGTCGCTATCATTCCACTTGCAAAGTTCTGTAAAAAAGCAGATATGCTGTTTTCTTCTCTCTCTGCTCGTGTTTGAGTCTTCGCAAACCCAATTTTAGCGAGAGCATACACAGATGCACAGATATTTACGTAAACGGGCCGACATGCATATAAATTAAGGCTCCTTATAGGGAACCTTCTCGACCACATCAGCTGCAGTTCACATGTGTCTCTGTACTGGAGCCAAGACTACAAGGAATTGTGGGAAAGTAGAGCAGGCAGGGGGTGGGTGGGGCTCTGTTGGTAATAAGGGTTACACCGCTCTGTATTCTCGTAATAGGGGCGTATCTTTCTTCAATTCTGTCCTGTCTAATTTGATGAAATGCATGTATTCCAGTGAACTTTGTGCATTTGTGTTCATGCTTGAGTCACCGTGTCTACCTTTGAGAAGAGGTCGAAGCAGCCCAGGCGGCTGACGATGCAGTAAACCTCAGGGAGCCTCCTGCCTTTACCACTGGGCTGTGAACAGACAGCGAGAGCAAAGACAGATTCAAAACACCGGAGTGTCACAAGACTGTTCACCCAAGTGCTGCTGCAGGATTAGAGCAGTGGAGCAGAGCAAAGCCTGTGTTTCACAAAGACTTTGGAGGAGCATTCAGGAAAAAAAGAAAACTTATCGGACGAAAAAATCAGACAACTTTTATGATAATTAAACAAAAGAATGGGCAAAATTAAAGGGATGGTCTGGCGTAAAATGAAGTTAGGGTCAAACACACCATAATATCGAGTTAGACACCTCGTCGAGAGATGAATGTTGCTGACTGCTTGCTTCTCTCTACCAACTTTACTAACGACCACATGATAGCAATACAGAGAGCCACATGCTCAACCAAAACGCCACTCTGTAGCCACAAATAATGCTCAGAACAGCACCTAACATCATCAACAGTACATATAGGGTCCCAGCCATAGTACTAGACACCAAACATCTTTAAAGCTTTGCCTGATTTCTTTAGCAAAGAGACTAAACACAACTCACTGACTCTCTTCCAGCAGTCGCTTGTTTGTACAGAGACCTCAGACTAGTCCATTACCGACTGCAGTGGGGTGACACAGCTCAAGGAAGAACATTTATGATCATTTCTTCAAGGAAATGCAATCAGACTGAGACGCTAAGGCAGAAGAACTACCGCGTCTGCAGTGCAAAATTATTAATATTGTGATTATTATTTCAAGGAAATGATAAAGAAATGATCATAAATGTTCTTCCTTGAGCTGCGTCACCCCACTGCAGTCCATAATGGACTGGCTTGAGGTCTTGCTACAAACAAGCGGCTGCTGGAAGAGAGTGGGTGATTTGTGTTTAGTTTCTTTACTAAAGAAATCAGGCAAAGCTTTAAAGATGTTTGGTGGCTAGTACTATGGCTGGGATCCTCTATGTCCTGTTGATGAAGTTTGGTGCTGTTCTGAGCATTATTTGTGGCTATAGAGTGGTGTTTTGGTTGAGGTTTGTGTGAGGCTCCTCAGACCGCTGTGTATTGCTATCCTGCAGTTGTTGCTTAAGTTGATATAACTAGAGAAGCAAGCGGTCGGCAACATTCATCTCTCAATGGGATGACTAACTCTGTGTTACGGTGTGTTTGACCCTGAATTAATTTTACACCAGAATATCCCTTTAATGGGGTAAATTTGATGGTTAATAAGGTAATAAGTATTAAAACTGAATGTGGAGATTTCAAACGTTCGAACGTACCAGCAAGCGCCGACAGTATCCAAAGCGCCTACTTCCATCCTCACCGGTCAGGACAAACGAGAACGTCTCACTGTGGATTAAAAACAAACAAACCAACGAAATAAGACAAATCAGGCATGTTGGTAAATATTTAAAGCTGTAAAATGTTTAAGAAATCTATTCTGAACTACTCTCTTGAGTTTTGTAAACAAAGGCATGGCTTTGCACTTGAGAGGAAAAACCCTCGGAGAAGACTTGCTCCGCAAATATCCTCACAAAACCTCTTAAGTTCTACCTGACAGGTATTCATTGACCTGAGAGGACCTTAGTTCCAGGAAAGAGTGTCAGCCAGTTCAGTGCAGGTGTGTGTGTGTGTGTGTGTGTGTGTTTTTCCCCTCGCCCATCAAACATTTGACTTCAGGTAATGATTATCTACAGCCGACAAGACGCACATCATCACTTTTTAAAACAATGCAGATGTTGAGAGGTTAAGTAAGCAGTTATGGGCCAATAAGGTCAGTTTTTCACAGAAAAGACAGAGGTGATACCAACACAGGTGTGTCAGATACTAAACACATCATTTCCCCCTGTAATCACTGCTCAGTATCGGTGCTTTAAAGACAAAACCGTCATTTTTACAAGGCACGAGGTCATTTCTATTTAAAAAAGTGGTTATTAGCAAGGAAAACAGCTGGGCTATTACCACTCTGCGGGGAAATTCCTGTGCCCCCGTTGTGTTTCACTTCTTTTTTGAGTAAAAATGCTGCGGCAGGCGGCAGCCGCATTCAGACTGACCTGGGGAAGTTGTCGACAGGCGCCCAGTCTTTGGCGTCGGGGAAACAGAACTGTGGTATGACCTTCAGCTGGTCCTCAGCCTCCCGCATGAACTTAAAGCTCCTTTCCAGCTAGATAAAGAAGGAGGGAAGATGTGTAAATGAATATAAAACATATTAGATGCAGTGTCACTGTTTTTATATTATTGGGCATTTAATGATAAAAGGAGAGGTTAAAATTTTACAGACTTGTACAGATAGTAGAAAATGTGTCTTGGCCCCAAAACTAAAACATCATTTCTTTTTTTATTGCACGCTGTAACACGTGTTGTTGCTGTTTAGAAAAAGAGAACATTTCATGCTGTTTTTAAGACAAGATCACACCAAGTGTCAATGATTATCAGGATAAACTATTAGTTTCAGGCTGTTCTAATACAAAAAAAAGGTGTTTCTGTTTTTCCAGGAGTTTCCCTTCTTGTATCTTTTGAGGACGGTGCTCTGGTAACAGCTCTGCCCCCTCTCACCTTGAGAGGAAACTGCTGTGTGACTTCTGGCAGGTATGGGACTCCAGCTTTGGTCTTGTGGAGTGCAACAACGATAAAATACTCAAAGAGTTTCCTCTCCTGTAACTCCATCAGATCCCTCTCCAACGTCCGGTACCGCCCTGTCTGCCTCAGCATGGATTGGACTGATACCAGGCGCTGGCTGTGAGCTAAGAACAGAGGTGAAGAGAAACGCATTTGATGTCATACACCCATGTCATGTGTGTCCACGTGAACTTGAGCTAAGGGTTCCTGTGAGGCTTCTGGGTGGTGTGATTCTGTATTTCCCAAGCAATAGAACAATCGAAGGAAGAAAACTATGACCTTCATCATTTTTTCAATAAAATTGTATTTATAACTTACTATTTGTCTGTTTCTGTTCCTCACCTTTTAGTTTCTCCTCTGTGTCACTTTCAGACTCACTGTTTTCATCCGTCACTATATCAAGAAGAAGAAAAAAGTGAAAACCAAAATTAGACCACGGAGAGACTGCAAACAACAATTACATAAAACTCAAGAAACATGTGAAATGAGTATTCAAGAAGCAACAGCACTACCTCCCACTCCGAAACATAATCACTTTAGGTAACACTGCCATTTAAACTTGAATATGATGAGTTTTTTTTTTCTTTTAGGTATATATGGGAAGTCTTTCTGGTCAAAGTGAAAGTCACAGGACATGTTACCTGATAAACAGGCTTGAAGTATTTAAATTTTAACTAGAAAAGTTCATAAAATTTATTCAAGCGTCAAAAATGGAATATGTAGGAGACTCTAAAGTCCTTAAGTATTTGCCCTCAGTTGGTTTGTTTTTGAATTGTTTCACTTTTTAATTTTGTGACTGGTCTAACTGTCTCCACACACGAAGGGCACATATAATCATTCGCGCAAATGAATCGAATTGAATGAATGAATTACATGTTAAGTTAATGCAAAGATGCCATTAGACGCTCCTACTACTCTGGTGGCGCGAATGACGCGAATTGGGCAGGAGCTGCAAATGTCTTAACTTGAGCCGATATTCACGTCGCAATAACTAATCAGCATAAAGGTTGCTGGGTGATGTATGAAAACAGACGGCTGTTAACTGGTATCCTAAATGGAGGGCAAACTGATCGTGTCGGTGTGTTGGTGCCCCGAATTATATGATACCTTTTCTTTCAATCACTGAAACCAGAATAAAAAGGAGCTCGTCTGGGGGCAAGTGAGTGAGGAGGTCGGATCATCTGGTAAATTGTAAAAAAAAATTTGTCTATCACTCGATCTCACCGGTTGAATTGGCAGGGATTACCATTGAAATTACCGCTGATGCATGAATGAAGCAAGTAAATACTATTTATTCATGCATCTTTGATTCGCACAAATTAGGCGAGTCGATGATTTTACCTGCGCTTGGTGTGAGCGCCCGATAAGAATGCTCATATGCTCTTTGTGTGGCTGTTAAAACTGTAAGTATAACTGTCGATTGGTTTTGTCTCTCAAAGACAATGAAGCTCAAAAATTGATCCAAACTGAACCCAAGTCTGATCTGCACCGGTCAAATCAGAAACATACATCCAGTTTTTTTTTGTTTGTTTGTTTCCATGGCCTACTTAAAATCATTTAAAGGTTAAAACACGATTAAAACCATCTGTTTGAGGCACTGCAGAGAAAAAAAAGGCAAGATCATATTTCTTTCACTTTATCGACAATTAACGTGGAGTGAAATTAAAAGTAAAAACAAACAACTGTGGTTTTTTTGTGACCCACTTTCGTATTTGAAGACTCACCTCTCCCTGAGCTGGACTCTGTAGACTGAGACACCTTCTTCACGCGTTTCTTTCCTCGCCTCGCCTCAAAGATGCCGTTGATTTTCAGCACCATCTGGAGGCAAAGGGAAAGAAATGTCCATCCTCAACTCTTTAAACTAATAAACAAAATCTGCCAGCCTCCGACTAAAATCATTTCAATACAAGCTTCTGGGAGGCCTATACAAAGCACACTTCTCACAGGAAATCACCATCAGAGAATTTTCCTCTGCCTTACTCATCCCCAGACATGAGTACAGCATGAGTGGACCAGCCCCAAACATCTCTGAGCAACACATTGGAGCACAGATCAAAGACAGAGAGGCATGAGGCCTCTGGACCCCTCGTACCTTTGGGATTTTTCTACGCCTGCGATTGTACGGGTCCCCAGAGAGGCAGGGGGTGTCGTCAGGGCTGCTGGGTGTGGAGGGGGGGCTGATCCGCGAAGGAGAGGAGATGCCAGTGTCTCTGCTGGCTTTGCGTAGTTCCAGGAGCTTGAAGCTTCGCCGCTCTGAGTTTTGTCTGAAGAAGCCAGGCTTGGAGGAGAGCTGGAGATCAAATAGAGGATTGTTTTATGAGACAGCTACGATTTTATCCACTTGGCTTTTATGCTGAAATATTTCTGATCGCGTACCTTCGTTGGCGTGTCAGGGACGGGGGATGAGGAGGCAGGTGAAACGCATTTGCTCCCTAAACAACTCCTCTCCAGCTCTATATCCTCGTACGGATTCTCCTTGGATGGAGGATCTAAAAAAAGAAAAATACATTTATTTTAAAATCTACAATTCAAGAGCCACATGTGATACACAGCAGCTCAACACAGGATATTCAAAAAGCAGAAAAAGTGCTTTTTCTATATCACTCATGATTGTTTCTTAAACTATTCAACTCCAGATGTGCAGTTACTCGTGTCAGCACTATTCTTAACCTGCTCACACTTGACTGTGAGAAAGCGCCTGCAGAGCTGAAGCTAAAAGTATTTCTAGTCACAAATCCTCCCCTGCAGATAAAGAATAAGGAGGTTTCATTATCCAAAACCTGAACCTCTCTCTCCCTCTCTTTCTGTCGTCTTCTTTGTATCATCTTTTTTACTCTATCAATCCATCCACCAGATGTGACCTGTACGAGTGGGAGGATGAAGAGGGACGTTCAGTTCTCCGCTCCTTCTCCCTCTGAGGAAAAACAAGGGATCAGTGTGCTGTTTTTCACATTGCTGGCTGCTAACGACGTCACACATCAGCTGTGCGTATGCGAGTTTGCGTCAGTCAACAAGGCGTGTGTCTGAATACATGCAGTGGTGACAGTTGCTTTCGTCTAGATCAGGAAAACAGCATCAGTCATGTGGATGGTGTGTTTAAAGCATGGCGCTCTCTCACTCTGATTTTTTAAGGGGTTAGAAAATTTTAACCCCCTCTATCCCCTTTTCACCAGTCGAGGGCTCTGTTGGCAGCTGCAGGGGGTTATATTTTTTCATACGATGGTAGGGGAAGGTCCCGCCTCCTTCGCCTCTGATTGGCTAGAAGTGCTGGGCTCAGATTGGTTATTCCTTATGGCTGTGAAATGTCATCGTCTGTCGGGTTAGGAGATTCAGAATTGCGATAATGTTCTGTAATGTTCTGTTCGATGTACAGTGCCGACAATCCGCTCAGGATATTATTTTTGTGGGACGGTAGGGAAAAGTCCCGCCTCCTTCGCCTCTGATTGGCTAGAAAAGCTGGAAATGTCATCACAAGCTCAAGCCAAATGCGGGCTGTCGGCTCTGTACATCGAACAGAACATTACAGAACATTATCGCACTTTTAACCCTAACCCTAACCCAACAGACGATGACGTTTCACAGCCATTAGGAATAACCAATCAGAATCCAGCTTTTCTAGCCAATCAGAGGCAAAGGAGGCGGGACCTTTCCCTATTATCCTACAAAAAAATACAATATCACCCACTGGGGCTTGATATCTCACACTGCAAGACATCAAACACTGCACAGTCCTTAAGATGCCATGCAGTCTTAAATCTCTCGTGAGGTCGGATGTGCAACCTGTCCTGCGAAATGAAGCTACACTTTCAATCGCTTTCCTCCAGTATTTACTTAATTTATTTCGGTTCCTACTTATAACCTAATTTCGGTACCAAACCCTGGTAAAAATGTTTCTGTGTCACTTAACTTGTGAGACACTACTGAGTGTTTGGTGAACCGAGTCTAAGCATTCAAGGAAAAACCTCCAAAAAAGGGGGAGATTAATCAGAAAAAGCTGAGTCACCGCTCAAATATGGTTAAACTATGTTCCCAGCAAGCAGCACTCATTATTCACCAGCACCCAGGAAGAAAACCGAAGGCAGACCACAGCTCTGTGCCATTCACATGTCCCTCTATCACACAGATTATTAAAGTAGCCAACCGCTGCTATAGTACGACCTCACACAAAGTTGCTATTGTGCCCCATAATATTAAACTAGCTCTAGGTGGGGTTGGCACAACACTGCAGATAATAGGGTAGGAACTGAGGTCAGGTTTCTACATAACATTTTTTTAATAAAAGTGAAGCAGCATCGCTCTAAATTAAAATTGGAGCAGTAAAAACACAGCAGAGTAAAGACAGCTTGGCCTCTGCGTCACCTCTGTAACTGAACTTAATGACTGATATGAAACTAGAGGGTCATGCAGAGTGTGATGGGATGTGTGTTACTCAGAAATTCACTCAAAGACCACAAATTCAGCACAAACGTGGAACTGTGTTTACCTATTATGTCCTCGTAGACATTCTCTTCTGATAAAGTGCGTGTGAGGCCCAGTCTGGACTGAGCGTACCAGTCCACCCTGCAGCTTTCTGTAGACGACTGGAGCAGATCCTCAAATTCATAGGACTTCCTGGTGGACAGAGCATCACAAAGATTTAGGCGAGTTGCATGACAGATACAAAGACAGAAGATAAAGGAAGGATATTTGACGGATCTCTCTAAGATCTCTCAAAGTTTTTGCATGCTCATCTTGTTGCTTTTATAACTGATTTTGCCTTCTGCTAGTTGGCACATTGGAATGACCCCATCTGTGTTTTATTATGGCTCAAGATTAAAGTCCAGCAGGATAAAATGAACACAAGCATCTGCGGTTGCATGCACATACTTTAAATTAGAGTACGTTGACAGTTAATTCAGCACAGTTTGCCACGTTGAGGACAAGTCAACCCAAAAGCCTCGCAAGGATTCACGTTATCATGGTCAGCTTCTTTTTATGCCTGATGGTTTAAAGATGTCTGCCTTTAACGTATAAGTCAAGTTAGGCAGAAGAACGACTGATAGATTAATGATTTTTGAATGACTGCTATAGCTCCTGTTAGGAACTTCCTGCTTGTGACCCTGATTTTATCTCATCCTCACGAAAGTGATCTTGATTGACAGAAATGTCCTCCTGCGGTCTTTTGACGATGAAGTTTATCAACTACTGTGAATCTTTTCTGTAAAGTAAAGCAACTATGGCTGTTTCATCAGTGTGCCTACCCCCTCACAGTAGAAAAAGGCTTTAAAAATAACACTATAAAAACTGTCAGTGTTGCCACTAATGGTCTCTTTGCGAATGTTCATCATAGAAATGCATCACTGTTCATTTTAGTCTGTTTTCAACCCATCAAAATCACAAACTGTATTTCTTTGCCCGTCCTGACTAATAAAGTAGACTTGAAGATAACAATTTAGTTTACACTCTTTTAAGGGGATGTTAACCATGGACAGGACTGAAACCAATTCTCAATGCTTCCCTGACATAGACTGTATACACTATGGACAACTTGGTTCTGCCTTCTGCCAGTATACGGATTTTAAGCCAAAAAGCTCTCGGTAATTCTGCGTTTTCTCTCCATTTCCTGAAACCAACATTGCCCAGTAGCATTGAATGTGCTCCACCACTTGCGCAGTAGCTTTGTACGCATTCGGCGGGGGAGTCGCCAAGAGTTGCTGTGATGATGCTCGGCTCAAACAGCGTATCCCCCGGGTGAGCTATGCAATCCTTGAATGCTCATCGGCTGTATTTATGTGATACATGTGTATGTAATCTGTAATTTCTATGTTTTATATTTCTAAAGTTTGTCCACAGCTCCATAAGCTTTGCTGGCAGAGGCGGGATTTATGACCTATACTGCAGCCTGTCACCAGAGGGTGCTGTTTTCGCAGTGGCTTCACCCAGCGAGGAGGCAGACAGCATCCATTCTATATACAGTCTATATTCCCAGACAATGAGACGCTCACCTGTAAATCCACCCCCTAGTGGCCGTTCGAATGATTACAGGTTTAATCTCCATATAGATTTCATTGTTTTGAATCATGAGTTAACATTTACTTGTTGTTATACTCAGCATTAGAAAAAAAGACTGTCTGGAGATGAGTTGCATTACTAATAAACATGCAACTCAGTCTATTTGTCACACTGACTCTAGAAACGCACACTGCACAAGACACCCTGCCAGACAAAGGCCTTAACCCAGCACACTTGAGCTGGGTGAGGCCTCCACATATGGTATGGAATGTAACAGATCCACGCCAAGCTTCGAACAAGAACTCGCACTACCAGAAAAAGTGAACAATAGATGGACTCCAATACTGCTGAGTGCACATTTTTTTTGGTTTTTCCAACAGAGCTGTGTTTGTTTGACTGTAACCATGTGAGTGCGTGCGCTGCTCTCACAAAGTCGAACATGTTAATTGCTCATGAAAGACTGCAATGAATCAGATTCAATAGAAGACATATTTTACATTTAGAAAACACAACTCTGGAAATGAATTCCCGACACATCATTTGGTTAAAGCAAAAAGAATTGCGCATTAATTTCTATTTTGTCGAGGCAAACATTTTTGAAAAAGTCAAAGGGGCCTCCGTTAGATGACACACTCTACTCCTCGTGTCATCCCACCTTTTGCAGTGGAGTTGAGTTCATGTGTACATTCCTGGGATCTTACCAATGAGCTCATTCTTTGGGGTGTTTAGAAAGAGGATGATGTCACCAGAGGATGTGATTTACAGCAGATGTGGGAAATGTTTTCACCTTTTTTTTTTGGTTGATGATGGTGGGGGAAGAGTTACAAAGCACAGAGCCAATCCAAATTTCACAGAAGCCCTTCAAACTTACATAAATTTGGATTCTGACCCATGACAAAACAACACAGGTTTACTGAATGATGTTGACCCTACACATTGTGACTCAAATAAAATGATAACACCCTAAAAAAGATGCTTGACAAGATACGTGCTACACATTTATCTCAAAGAATTGCCGTGCCCAAACACTCATCAAACCTGAACTTCTCTCACCTATTACTGCTGTCCCGCGGTTTGTCAGCCCAGGGTCTCCTGCAGACTCCAGGTGGCGGGCATGTGGGTAAAGGTGGGGGAGGAAGGGAGGGCAGTGGAGGCAAGTTTCTCCGTCCCTTCCCCGAGCCTGGCCCCGACGTTGGAGTAGCGGGAGGCGTGTGGTGCTGGAAGGTTCTTTGAGGTTTGGGTAAAGGATTAATAGAAGGAGCACCTGGCTCACTGTATACGTTCTCTAGATCCCCCTCCTTCCTCCTCCGGGACCCGCCGTGTCGGGTCACGTCAAACGTCCCAAAAATGGGCTCATTGGCCCTCTTTTCTGTTTCTTCCAGCTCCTCCTTTGATGGAGGGCAGAAGTAATTCCCTGGAAAAGCCAGTGAGGGTCTGTCGGGAACGTCCTTTGTAGCCTTCTCTAGTTTCTTAACATGAGTTAAAACAGTTTTCTTGTCCTGGGGTTGCTCTATGGGCTTTGAAGGCCGACAACCCTTCTCTAGGATTAGTTCTCTATCCTTGTTGGTTTGTCCCTCTGGAGATTTAGGCCTTGTGTCCCCCAACTTTCCAACATTCTCCTTCCCTGAGTCCTGTCTGTCCCAGCTGACAAACTTCTTGCTATCTGTCCTTTGGAACTCTGAAGCCTTAGATTCCTTTTTCCTTACTGTCTCGACGTCCTTCTGCGCAGTAAGAGGACATGTCCCTGACGAAGTTAGCGGGGCAGACTCCTTTTTCCCCTCCCATTGTGAGATCTTATCACGGATGCTGGCAGTCTTGGCTCCTGCTGGGCTCTTGTTGTTGTTCAGCTTGCCACACATGCCGTTCTCCATGTTGGGAGTCCGCGGGTCGTTGGTGGTGGTGGCGGCTCTCCTTTGTGCCAGCATGGTGTCAGGAGGACCCAGGCTGTCACTCAAGTTGAGTGAGAGGAGATGCTTGGTGGACACAGCAGCAGCGTCCCTCCTGTCTTTGTCCCCAGATAACCCGCACACCTCTTGGCGCTGGGGCACCACTGGCGACGGAGCCTCCCCGACCTTCAAGCCGCAGCACTGAAGCCTGGAAGAGAAGACACACAGGGAGGTTAACAAACAGGTCATGAGTGACTTTTGTGTTTTCCTTTCTCTGTTTATTATATTGTATAATCTCACACTCTTCACTAGATCTTAGGGCTGGGCGATTTGGCCTCAAATCAATATCACGATATATTGAGCAGTTCATCACGATAACGACAAATGGTCGATAACTACTCCACAAGCTGCTCACCCCCTCCCACATTAAAGCTATGGTCTATCATCTGGAAGCTTGGTACTTATTAATAACACAGTTTATAAGGCCGTTATGGTCCTATGTCCGATCTACGCAAAATAAAGAACAAAAAGAACGGAAAAAATCCATTCAGTATATCCGCTGCAAAAAGGCATAATCATCAACCAGACCCGCTTCGCCCTGCTAATATATGGTTTTGATCACGCCCGTCCAATTGTCAAATCACCAAACTGTCGTGTTTGTTACTTTCAGCTATGAGAAATCTAATTTCGCTTCAACTTCAATGAAGGTCGGATTCCAGAGACCACCGACCCCAGCAGCCTCGACAATTTTATCTGCATCTGCATTTTATCTGCACCTCTATCGGAGGGGGCGTGTTGTTAGGAGGCGACACGAGCTGAGGGGGCGGGATCTTGGAACACAGAGGGGAGAGGTGAGTGAAGGGGGGGCAGGCTGCGTTTTTCAAATCTGTCTCAACAGCCAAACTGGTTTTCAGATTGTAGACCAAAGCTTTAACTTCGTTTATGTCAGCCGCCAACTTTCGAACTGTCCTCCATCTCCTCACCTGTCTTTCCCTCTTTGTTACAGACTGGATGGGGTGGAGTCACGTCTCTGATGTAGGACAGCGTCTTAAAGGGACATGAGACCAGAGCCTACCTATCTATTTTTTTTACACCAAATATATTGTCATGGGCAAAATGACATCAATTATTGTCGTAAATTTCATTATCAGTAAATTTTCGGTTTCTCGCCCAGCCCTACTACATCTATACAGTAATTGTCGTCACTTTATCTCTGTAAACCTGCTGATGTTATGGTACAGATCATTGTTGTTGTTCCCCCTGATACCCAGCACAGTATTTCAGGAAGCGTCACAAAATGCATGAAAAAAAGTGTATTGGTTTTACACACATAAATATCTGGCATTGGTTACAAGAGTTTCACAAAAGAACAAAAATATTATGAGAAAAGTATGAGAACTCGCTAGAATTAGGCAAAAAACCAAAATGAGAATAAGTCTGGCACAAGCAACTTTCATTATCCAATTCAAATGGTGCTTGAAATGTGTATTTACAAGACATTATCCAAATTGTAGGAAAGAGCCAACACATATACAGAGCTCTTTCTTTAGATGTTACAGGCAGCTTGTGAGATAAACTACATTACACTGTTGTGAACTCTAATAATTTATAGGTCAATTATTTCAGTTGAGATTCCAGGCGCAGCCAAACACCATCCTCCTTGTCACTCTTAAAATTGGCAGCGCGATGTAAGCACTTACAATTTAATCCACAATAGATCTCTGTTTTATGGGGTAAACAAGAATTCTCGTTAAAGCAGCAGATGTCTGTTTGTTGCCTCTGTTTCAGCAGTGAGTCACTCCTGGAAGATTACTGGGTCGTGACTGTTTGAACTCTGCCTTTAGGGGTCAAAGTTTACAAGCTATACACACACAGACACACACAGAGCTATTTCTGGAGAAGAGATGAAAGTATACAGAGCGGAGTGTAGACGTGCATCTTTTCATTCCATCTCCTGACCCTTAAAGCTCAGTTTTGGCCTACAGACCATTCATCAGATGATTGAATTTCCAACAAATGGAGGAAACGCTGCCTTTCTGTGGGCGACTTCTGATGACGCGGCTGGATATGTGGATACGAACACCAACAGTCATGCTACCCAGAGGAAATCTCTGGAGGAAATTACTGATTCAAGTTTCTCCAGAGACCTCTAAAGAAAAGTCAAATAACATGACGTTGAGGAAACCGAATAATCATCTTCCAAACTGCTCTGGGTTTTATTAGTTTGACCCTCTGTCTCTCTCCCTCTCCCTTCCCCCCTTTTTCTGTCTTGTTTTGCATCCCTTGGTTGAAACAGCAGTTTCTATTAAGCATGGAGCAGCAGAGGGGAAAAAGTAGGTCAGATAGAAAAGCCAAGAAAAGAAGAACAGGAGTGCGCAGGGGTTTGTGAGTGTATGTGTGTGCGTGTGTGTGTGTGGGAGGGTGACTGAGATGGTATAGAAAAAGTGGTGCAGATGGATGGGGAATTAATGTAGAAGCAAGTAGAAGACACTGACACAGATATTAAGAAATGGGCAGAATGTGAAGTCTAGCCAAGAATGGGTGGAGCGTGGGCATGATAAGGGTCACTGAGTGCAAAAAAAAAGGAAGGGGTATGAGGGCACAACAGCATCTCTGACCAGCTGGACTGACACAGAATCAGGGTACAAAAGAGAGAGTCTGAACTAGAATTTATGATGCTTATCAATGCTTGACATTCCCCTTGGATAAATGTGTTGTTGAGCAATAGTAGCTACAGTAGCATGACAGATCCTCAAAATATGCAAATGTTACAATCCCTCCTACTGTCTCAAACCAAATCCCTTCATTTTAATCTAAATAGTACTAATGAATATTGCAGGGATGACAGAAGGGGTCCATAGAGAGTGGTCACAGAAGCATTAGACAGTGGCAGCAGGGGGGCCGAAACAGTATCCAGATGGCAGATGGTCAGCTCAGCTCTGGTCTGGACGGTTATTCATTCAATTGTTTTACTTTCTACTCTGAATGTAAGGAAGTAAAAGATGTAAAGATTATTGGGAACGACTGTAATAGATCACATTCTGCAGCTAATTGAGGAACAACTTCCTCCAGTGGAAACTTTCTCCAGTTATTTTCAGTGTTATTGGTATCACCTCCCTGCCCAAGACACTGTGCTTGTGATCAGCTCTGTAGGTCTGGATCTAGGGTGACCATATGTCCTCTTTTACCCTGACATGTCCTCTTTTTGGGGTGCTGTCCAGCCTGTCCAGCCTTGTTCGACCTTGTCCGGGGAGGTGATATATTTTTTTGTAGGACGGTAGGGGAAAGTCCCGCCTCCTTCGCCTCTGATTGGCTAGAAAAGCTGGAAAAGTCGTCACACACTCAAGCCAAATGCGGGCTGTCGGAACGGTACATCAAACAGAACATTACAGAACATTATCGTACTTCTGAATCTCCTAACCCTAACCCGACAGACAATGATATGTCACTGCCATTAGGAGTAACCAATTGGAGCCCAACACTTCTAGGTAATCAGAGGCGAAGGAGGGCCGGACCTTTCCCTACCATCCTACAAAAATAAAAATTTGCATCCAGGGGAGTTTATAAAATCCCTCAAATGTCCGGGGTTTAGTATGGAAGTTTTGAGATTTTGTCGCGTGGACTTAGTGAGTTCAAAACGCCTAAAAACACTCGACACGACCTGAAAAACTCTCAATATTTACTACTTGCGACTCCGTCACTCCGCCCCCTATGAAGTTGTGTCCTCTTTTTGGGGATTCAGAATATGGTCAACCTATGATCTACAAAAGCTGAACCCTGCAAATTTTCATTATGCAGCTTGAAGCATAATTCGTTAGAATACTACTTCTGTTAGAATACTGCGCCTGCTGATAAAGGTACAGAAGAAAACAGAATTGCATCCAGAAAAAAGATGTCGTATTGGGAATGCTGAATCAGAGAGCGAATTCCTGGACTGGTCGATGTTGAATGTGACCACATGAATGCAGACCAGTGTCCAGTATAACACACACTCCACCTTATTTGAACAGACTACAGATTATACTGATAATTGATTGTCTTAATATTTCCACCCAGCTCTCATACACAAAGTCAGGTTGCTCTTCTTGCACAATGACAAGTTTTTTTGTCATGTTAAAAAAAAGAGGACCTGCTGCTCGCTTTCAACAAGAAGAAGACATAACTCTGTGGCAAAAAGCAGCATGAGGACCCCCACAAAGAGAGACAATAGCGCTGGCAAAAACCAACCAGCAGCATGTGATTTACTGTCTGTGTGATGAGAAAAAGAAAGATGTCCAAGAACGAGCTCTGTCACAGTATCTGCTATAACAGCGACATTTTAGACATTGACATAAAGCGGTGAATTAGGCACCACACAGGTACTTTATAGGTTTTTGAGGCACCTACCCGTTGACTGATTGGTAGATACAGTTGTCAGTGTTCGTACAGAGCAGCAGGGCCCTCCCACCGGTCATGGTGCTAGCAGCTGGCATCCTGTACAGACACAGACACACAAAGAAAACGAACAAAGACAGGAGTCAGTCTATCCTGTAGAAATCTTTGCAGCATGCAGCTTTAAAGTAGAACTGTATTGACTGACAAATAAGACACCGTGGTCAAAAGAAGAGCTGCTTTCCTCTGACTCTTTTGGGATTTGTTGTTCTGAATGTTAACCATCATGGCTGAATCCTTTCATTTCTGTGGCAAGCCAAACTCAAACTCCTAAAACCGAGCAGCAGAGCAGCAGACCTCACAGGTTGTGTAGCATCTCACCAATCATAAATAATTGAAGGATACAGCTGAAAAGCAAAGCCTGGACTACAGCTAACATGAAAAAGACATCTGATTCCTTCAGCTGTGTGGCATTTTGGAAAACATATGGAATACACTAGATACTCTATACGGTGTTAACATTAGTGGAAGTAGGAAAAGATGAGCGGCAGCAAGAAGAAGGAGACAGAGCTTCAGTTTGACCAGATCATCAGTCAGTGTCTCAACTTTTCACAGATAGATTTCTGGACCTTTTGGAAGAAAAACACTTGAGTGGATTCTCACTACCACAGCACCTCCATGTGAGATTTCTAGCACGGCTTCAGGCTGATAAAGCAAACTATGAACCTGAAACTTTGGGAAAACTTTAGTGGATGGATTTTTTTTTACAGAATTTGTGAAACTAGTGGATAAATCTGGCTGCTAGTCCATCACTAGCGCTTACGGGCAAAAGCAGCTCTGCTGCAAGCATTATAATCAACGTGTGTCATTCCACAGAATCTGTCTGGCGTCCAGCTCCGCTGCGGATCGGCTCCGGGTGCCGGATCAGATACGCAAGGCTTCTATTTTTGCCGGATGCCGGAGCATGGCGCATCAATTGGTTTGGGCCATGGTTGTGGGATGCGGCGGATCATTCTATGACTTCCGGGGAAACATGCAAGAACTCGTGAGATCTCGTCCAGTCTTGCAAGAAATATCGGTAATCTCGCGCGTGCTTCTCCTCCAATGGTGGCAGATTGGATTGGATCCGGTGGGCGCTGTATGCTTGCGGATCTGATCTGCCTGCCGTTCTGGAGCGGAGCCGTTCTAGATCCTGTGGGTTTAGCCAGTTACACCATCAACTTGCATTTATCGAATTTATCATGAGTTGGCAAATAATCCTTTTAGAGAATTTTCCAACGACAAATCGTGAACGATAATTTATCGCCCATCCCGAGCATCACATGTGGCACAGATATGACCAACATATGAAAGGGGCTAACTTTTGTTAACAGGTTTTTTATATATATTTATCGAGAGGTTACTACTTTTTGTGCTAATACATTGCCACCCATACACACAGACACACATTCTGCCAAACACCCCCTACTCCAAACCAACTCATGTATATGTGACCATATGTGAGATCAACCAGATGTGCTGGGATACTACAGGGTATCCGTAAGCTGTTAAACATTTCCTGAGCACTGCACAGCCAGAGCCCCCCCTCTCATTTCTCTGCCAATAAACATGCATTAGCGAACCCTGACACCCTTCTCTGTCCCCAAAGTATGTGGAGAATACGTCCAAACTCAGCCAAATTCCACAAATTGTTGCCCCACATGGCATAGAGGCAAGTAAAAGAAAAAAAAAGGCCATACTTCTGGTAGATTACATAAACATTTGCAGCTACATAGCTGAACTCTTCCGTTAGCTAACAACATAATTGGCCCTCTGGGTCCGGTGTTTTGGAACGATTCGAGGCTTTAACTTGAAGAAAAAAGGACACTCTGGAAAAGTATCATCAGACGACAAGAAGGAGACAAACAAGTAAAATATGCCAATTTTTAATGTCCTCACAGCTCTCCTGACACCCCTCAGTCCAAAGCTGAGCCCCCCCAGAGAGAGGAGAAGGAGGAGGAGGAGGAGGGGGAGTGTTTGCGTCAGCTATCCACCAGCCTGTAGGCCTAAATTATTTTCAGCTGTGAGGCGAGCAGAGGTCACATGTTTGAGGGGAAACATCAACCATTTTTTTCCTTTCCTTCCCCCCCTCCCGATTCTTTCTCTTTACTAAAACCCAAAACAGAAATGAGGGCCAGAAATTCAGCATGGAAAGGAGGGAGGGGGCGGGCAAGGGGGACTGTAAAGAATGTATAGAGCCTTCTAGTTTTACAGTCACATTTTTCCTGGTTTTGAAGGGTGTTGCATATCACAGAGGGAGAAGAATGATCGGAGATATGAAGGAGGAGCATATTAGGAGCTGGAGAGAAAAGTGGATATTGTAAAAAAAACAATACAAGTGCACTGTTGCACTGTGAGAACTGCGTGTGCTCTGAGGCTGTCCCTCTTCGCTGTTTGGAGTTCTTATGCCAAAAGTGTCGATTTTAGCACCTTAAAAGGTAACTTGGTATTTTCACACAATTCTGACTCACTTGGTTTGATTATTTCTCAAACTTGACACGGTGCTTCCAGCCCCCCTGACTGAACCTGACCAGCAGTAGCGTGTTTCGTATCTCATAAAAGCTGTAAATTTGACAGCAGTGCCAGTTTTACAACATTCAGTTACTGAAGGAAGTCTTTTCGGGGAGCGGTGAAGGCTTTTGTCTCCTACAGCTATTGGCAACTATTGTTAACCCTGACCCTCCGAGCAAGACGGCCACCATAACAATGCAAAGGCTGAGGAAAGCCATCTGCTGACTCCAATAAAAACATCACGGGAAACTACGACCCAAAAGACCTCGACTTAGCCTGCCTCCCCCCCCTTCAGCCTCGGCCCTGCGAGGTGTGACAGACTGTGGACACTCCAGCAGAGGAAGTGGAAGTGGTTTTGTTGTAAGAATCAAGATGAAGGCTAAGGAAAGTGTGTCAGAGTGGAAATCTCTTGTCAAATTTATTATATTTCCTCTTCAACTTCAATCTCCTAAAATATTCTCACCTCGACATTTTCAGAAGTCTTGTAAAACATCCCAAAGTCTAAGATTTTGTTTTGTTTTGCCATACTCAGAAACGCCTTTTGAGAATGAGCGCCGTCTTTAACTCACTGTTATTCAAATAAAACGTCACACAGCTTTCTTTCATGATGGATAACATCTATCCTTACCCCACAGGGAAAACAGTGTTCAGTGAGAGCACTCAGTCCTAAATGCCCTTGAGGCTTTACTCGAAACAGATAGCTGCAGCCGGGGTCAGACACGGGGCATCAGAGCTGAGCATCGGTTGCATAACAAACTCTGTGGGAGATTGGTATCAGCGGATGGACACTGGGTATCTGGGTATATCCCTAACCCTGGACTCATTCTTATAAACATGTAATCATATCTGCCACCGAGGGAGGCCTATTGTTGATAACTGAAACATGGTGTTAGCTGAGAAAAAACTCCAGTTACTAAGAAGCAGCAACTCCTTTATCATGTCAAGAGGGATTTAATCAAGGATGTTGAAAATATGAGACTGAATGAAGACAACTTAGGTGATTTCTTTACAAGCAGGTCTTAGATTGACCAGGTCAATCTGAATGTCATTTTAACCCTCTAACAAGCTTCCTGAGCAAACATACTGGCAGTTCATGGCAAACATAAAAGGAAAGAAAGCAAACTGCAATACTCCGACTGTAAAGAAAGTAAACTTAGATTAAACTAACATTGTGAGTATAAAATAGTACGATACAAATATTGTAAATAAAGGTCAGTTATATAATCCAAAAGTCAATCTCTTTTCAGTCCACACAGCTGTTTAAGTTAAGATAGGATAAGTATGATTGGGGTAAGTTGGATCCTTCTCTTGGTGTCTACCATTGACTGGTGGAGTCACAGTCTGCACAGCAGTGATCTGGCCTGAGGAGTCGCAAGATCTGCAAACTAAAACATCCTCTTGGACTTAGATGAGCAGGATAATAAAACCAACTTTAACGACAGAAACCATTTTCGAGACAACTCTACTCTGTTTAATTTTCTACTTTGACCCTTACCTGAAACGCCAGATGGACTGTTTCACATATCCATGGCATGGGATGTATTTCTCATCTGGGCGACATAAATGGTGTTTGGGAATGGTAGAACCTGTTGAAAACCCACTCCGATAAAATTACGTTTTTCTTGTTGTTTACATGTGGCATGTTTCTGATGCTAGAGGACATATCATGAGAAAACTAAGAGCAAAATTGTATTTCTGAGAACCTCTAAGAGAACCAGAGGGCAGGTTAAAACACAGTGGGATTTCCTATGTCACAAATCCAAGCTCCGCCCCCGGCTCTGCAGGCCAGACTCCGAGAAGTAGAGAGGACAATCGCGGAGCAACAATTATGATGATGATATGATTGTTCCCCCAAAGACATTAGTGTTCGAGAGCTGATTGGCTCCTATGTTACCCGCTACTTCTGCTGCTGCACCGGCAATGTTAGGCTACAAGCTAGCATGAAGACGAGTGTGCAGAGCTGCGCTGTCTCCGCCAAAGACTCAGAGGTGAATTGCTAATGAGCCACAGGAGCTCTGCAGAAGAAAGGTCCTTGAAAATGACACAGGTAACATGATTTTGGCTAAAAACTTAATAATCACAATTTAACGACCTCTGGGAAAACTTAAGAAATACGATTGGAGTGTGACTGTAACTAGGGTGATCATATTCTGACTTCCCAAAAAGAGGACACGATTATGTGGGGGCAGAGTCACGGAGTCGCACGAAGTCGCACAAAGTCGCACAAAGTAAATTTTAAGAGTTTTTCGGGTTGGATCAAGTGTCTTTTACGCACTTCTAACTCAGTAAGTCCACGTGACACTAAATTGAAACTTGTCTAGAAAACCGCAGACATTAAAAGTTTTTTATAAGCTTCCCCGTACAAAGCCAGATAACCCCCCAAAGACGATTACATGTCCAGGTGAAAGAGGACGTCTGGTGACCCTCGCTGTGTCCATTTAAATATACAGTCTAGCTCTTGCAAATGACCCCAGACTCAGACGTTCAGAAACCCAGAAAACAAAGTCCTTTCTGACATTATTGTTGATGCTTCCCAATACTATAAAAAAAAAAACTGCACATGTCTGAAATTCACTATCTCTGCCCTGACACACACTTGCTCATGCACACTCAGTTTCCCTTCACCGATCATTTTTCAAGCCGAGGCATTTATGAGCTGGCTTATTCTCACTCTGTTAACACGATGGGTCAGTGATAAACGGGACACTGTCATATTTCTTTCACTCAGTTCTCACACTGACAAGGTGTGGCCAATATCAACACAGCACTAGGGGTTTGTATCTTAACTGCTGAGCCTTTTGAGCTTGTTAACTCCAACTTTTGATCTCTTTTAAGTCTTGGTGGTGTTTAAAGTTGGAGGATGGAGTTATCACTGAGTGCGGGTGGCGTTGTCAGAGCTGTGTAGCCAGTTTTTATCAGGTCTCTGCGTTCTTGTCAGCGAGCTATTGGCAGGCTGCTGCTTTAGTGCTCTGGAAGTCTGCCTGCCTCTCCCCAACAGCTGCTTCTCATAAAGATTTCATCCTCCCCTCTATCCCTGTGTCCCTCCATCCCTCTGTCCGGCCCTGCAGAAACAGCGAACGCCATGACATCATCGTCCTGTGCTTGTACTTCCACAAACTGCTCTCCTTTCTCGCTTTTCATTTCAAGATACCTAAAAAAGGCAAAGTTGCTCACAGCTTGCATTTCGCAGTTATCAGAACATGGAGTCTTGACAAATTACAGGGAACGACCGAAAAGAGGCAGCCCCCTAAATCACTTGTCATCCTTCTGAGTGAGGTTTACATGAAACTGAGACCATGACAGCTTTAATGGAAATTATATACTGCCAAGAAAAGAAAAAAAAAAGGTTGTTTATTTTCATTTTCTTCTTTCTGTACCCACGCTGAGTCGAGGACCCTAAACCCTGCATGATGTGGCTTATTATAGCATGTGCCAAAGCCTTTGCCTGCAAACAATTTAATGCACTGCTGCACATTTAGCCAGCTCTTTCTGCGATGGCAAACTTGGCTGTTTTTTTCCCCCCTCAGTATCCTCTCAGTCTTATTTCCCTCTTTGATTCCTTCTCTTTCATTTGCATACCATCTTGAAGTTCAGGGGAAGACAGTATGACAAAGGGGACAGAACTTTCTTTCATATTAAATTGTACTTTCTGTAGATTTGAGGCAGTGTTCATTCATTTTCAGCCAATTGGTTTCAAGCACACCCGGGCAGCCAGATCCTGCATGAGGTATTTAGTTTGAGTGATTTGAGGACTTCTTCCAACGCTGATGTGCTGCCTTGACCTGGTGGGCTCTGAGTGTGTTTTTGCACAGTTCCTAAAGCAGCAGAAAAGGAAGGGTTGACGGTGAAGGTTGGGATGTATGGTGAGAGGGAGGGAAGGAGAAGGTTGGGCAAATAAACAATGGAATTTTATCTGAGCTCGACAGTCTCCCTCTCTCTCTTTTTCTCCCTCTGTTTCTGTCTCTGTGTCCTGTTCAGGGCCCCTGCTGCTTTCCCAAGCTGATTTCATAGCAAGGCCTTGGATATGAGCCAAACAGGCCAACTCTGACTATGTGCGGGGTGTATCTCTGCATGTATCCCCACATGCATGCTTTCACTGGCCAGAAAGTGCGTTACAGGGATATAAGCTACACATGCATTATATTCAGTAACTTTTCCTGCATGCCGGGACTACCCTCTCCCATCTTCATTTGCTTATCTCAGTCAGTACGTTTACATGACACTCAAGAAAAATGAATTATTGCCTTACTCCGATGAAAACCGGACAACAAAAGTACATGTAAACACTTTAGTCCGACTGTAATCAGAGTTTGAGAACTCAGATTATACACCTAGATGATGAGATTGGAATTTAATTTTCTCTACCATGTAACCAGTGTAGTCAGAGTATGCTTGGACAATGCATGTGTGTGTGCACCACGGCCACATAACCCCAGAGAAGAGGCGTTGTGTGCATCTCATCTGCAGAAAAAGTAGCGCATACATCATGTACGACAAAAACACCCTCATACAATGCTCCATCTTCTCCCGCGAAAATGCACAGCAGCAGTTGTAGCCACTTCTGACATCTGGCACTGATGTGTTGTTGTTGACAGTCGCAGCTGAAAAGACCCATATCGCCCCCTTGTTTTGGGGAGGAGGACACGTACGCGTAAATAATTTGATTTTCTCAGCTGCATGTATACACGTAGCCTGGCTGAGCCATCCTGTTGCGTGAGTCACTTGACGTTCCTTCCCACCGCAGTCTGGACTTCGGCCCATAGAGAGCGTGTATGCCCGATCAGAAAATAACCGGGCCAATCAGAGACCGTGTTTCCACTGTTAACCGGAAAACAGGGAAAGGCAGCCCCTGATTGGTCCATTTGTAGTGGTGACGTCTAATAGATGCTGCAGGACTTTTCAAAGCGCCGTTCATTCAGAACGCTGTTAATTCTGCAGTTGACTTTGCAAAGTCGGCAGAAATCGTTTATATTGATTTATATCAGAAGAAGACGTAAAAGACATTGTTTGCTCATACACGTTGAAATATTACCAAACGTTTACTTGACGGTTGAGAGCCCAGTAGGGAACACAGTTGCGCACTGTGATGACGTCAGATGTTTGGTTACGGTGATTGGTTACAGTAAAGTGTCTATTAAGGAACGTTCTTCCGCCCACTTTCAGGGCTCCCTATGGGCTGAAGTCCAGACTGTTGTGGGAAGGAACGTCAAGTGACTCACGCAACAGGATGGCCCAGCCAGGCTAGTATACACGGACAAGGAGAGAAGTCTGATTCTGCGAAAAAAAAAACGAAGTATGAGCTCAGTCCGATTAAGCTGTGAATGTAAACGCACTGAGTGTAAAGGGATATTCCGGCGTCAACAATTAATTTAGGGTCAAACACACCGTAACACTACGTTAGACAACCCCTCGAGAGATGAATGTTGCCGACCGCTAGCTTCTCTAGGTAATCTTCTTCTACAAGACCGTTCATCATCGGGATTTGTCTTTTATGATATGAAGAAGTTGTGATGCTTCCCAGAATCTGGCATGTCAGGCCAAAACAAGCATAACGGAGAATGCATGCAAAAACAGTCCCAGTCCCCACTGTCCATTCAAACCACCACGGACAGTCAGCCTGCCTCGCTGTCCTCTTGCCCCCTTCCATTTCTCCCTCCATTGTTGGAAGAGGATGGACATGAGACAGCATTGAAACAAGGCTAGCCAAAGAACCAGACCGGAACTGACAAAGGGCGACCACAAACAATCAATTTCTACCCTGCATGTATTTTTGCTTATCAATCTCCTCTAAATATAACACCAGAGACCATTGTTGTATTGCAGTCGCCACACATAAAGCATTTCTTGTTATTGTGGTTGTCATCTCTGACTGAGACTCCTGACGGCCTGAGTGTCTACAGTGCAACCCCCTGAGAGCCGCAGGAATGGGCCACATTACCTCAAAAAATGTGTCAACAAACCGTAATTACAACCGGACGCAAAGGATGTAACTATAGCGCACAGAAACAACCAAGAGACACAACGCAGCACCGTTTAGGAGGCTTCTAAAGTATGATAAGTCTATTATCTCACATGAAAATATGATGTGACTTGAAGGGAAGAGGAAGCAAAGCCGACCTCTGTGTCGAGTGAAATGAAGTTGTAAGGACAGCGAGTTTTCTTGAGAGGCTTCTTTAATTGTGTTGTTGATAAATGGCGCAGCGCTGACAACCAGAAGGTCAAAAAGAGAAGCAAACGGAAGGAAAACTCATGAACAAACTCAGCAAAATCCCACTAAAAGTCCAACTGACTTGTTCCACCTGTCAGAGCTTATAAATGACCGTCCTGTAAGAGTCTAACCACAGGCTTTTTATGAGGAAGGTCTCTTTTTTTTCCTTTGGAGTTTGTGGTTTCCATTCCACGTTCTGCTGACTGCAAATGGAGCGGCCTGCGAGCTAATGATGCACTTAAGTCTTCAAAGTGATAAGCTTTCCTCAAAATAGAAATTTGAAGTGGGAGCTATGGATACTGTTGGTTTGAGAAGAGGTTAAAAAAAAACTGGACTGACCTGGTGGAAAATAGGATTATAAAGAAATTCCTTCATGTCAACTGAGTTTTTTTACCTACAGCCAACAAACACAAAGAGGCCTTAGCTCGCTCAGTGATGGGAAGTCTCTCCACCAGAGAAAAGGATCATCCCAATGAGAAGGGAGATGAAGTGAAGGAGGAGTATTAATCCGTCCTGGAGGCAGAGCAAACAAATCTCCCTCTATCCCCCCATCTGGGAAAGGGTGTCACGTTACGTCTCATTGCGGAGTTGCAGCATCTGTCCTTCAGCTCCCTCCCACAGACCCTCCTCCCCAAAATTCAGAAAGCTCCCATCAACAGAGCTCCTCCTGAGTCATCCGTAGTCTGCTCCCAATTACACTGCTGGCAATATAGACCAGTGCCAATGCCAACTCATCCCATGGCCTGCTTTTCAACTTCTCAACCCCATCCAACACTGGTTCTGTGAAATACACAGACTCACATTTGGTACATTTGGAGCTGAAGCACTACTCCAGATGCAGCTAACATCCTAAGAGACTGTGGGGCTGGAGGTCTTTGCGTGCTTCAGAGGAAAGTTCCTGTTGGGTCATGTCAAAGTATCTGAAACCATATTTTCGATGAAGGATTTAGGAATGTATTAACTTTCCAAGGAAGATAATCCATAAGTCACGCAAAATTTAAGGAAATGGACAAGGGGTCCAAGAGTGAGAAAGTAAATAGGGCTTAAAATTTCTCCACACATTATCGTACTTTTAGAGCTTTTCACTTGGCAACAACATCGTTAACTTTTTAAAAGTACATGAGGGCTTTATCTGTGACCACAAGACCAGGGCAAGAACCAAGACAGCGGCCCCTAACTGCGACAGCATCTTACTGTTCACCACTTATTCCAACTGAACCCCAAACCCTGTGAGCACTGGATGAGATTTCAGAGTTGAACCTTGACGTCAAGTCTGAATGCTGAAGACCGGAAGACTTATCACTACCCAAGGTGTAGTGACAAGTCTTTTACTGAACCCACTACATGTACTCAATGAAGATAACGAAGTCTGGTCCTTTTATAGTTATGATGCGTTTTATCATCTTACTGCAGTTTTGTGTTGTTTATTGTTTCCTTAAAATCCCTCAAATGTCTGCAGTTTTGTACGCAATTTTATATTTTGTGTCATATGGACTTACTGAGTTAGAAGCACGTAAAAGACACTCGATCTGACCCGAAAAACTATCATAATTAACTTTGTGTGACTCCATGACTCCGCCTCCATGTGGTCGTGTCCTCTTTTTGGGAAGTCAGAATATGGTCACCTTTCATTTCCCTCTTTTAAACTTAGATTAGTCAGTGTGAAGCACCACAATACAATTACTTTAGCTGCTCTACAGAGTATGTACAACATTAGACTTGAAAACTGTGGTTAAAATATGGATGAAGGTGTGATGAGTCTTGTGAGAGAGGGATTTTACGTTTCCCCTCAAACTTAGACAAATGGACGTTAAACAAACGTAAAAAACTTCCACTTTTCACCTCGTTTTCATAGTTTTTTTGTTTTTTTTAAATGTTTTTGTGTCATAAAAATACCTGCTGCACTGAACTGCTGATCAGAATAAATGTAGGATTTGTTTTTACCTTTTCTCAAGATTGAAAGTTTTCCTACAATTCATTTTTTTTCTAGTGTTGATAGATGTGGGAGCAACAAAGCTTTCCGACAAAGTTAGACATTTTTTTTTAAAGTTTACCCATCTTGTCTGCAAATAAAATACCATGACTGCTGTTAAAAGGCATAGAATATGAAAATTTTCATTAACACCATCACTTGGCAGAGCAAAGACTCCACGAGTCATTTGCTCAAATAAGACCCTAAATTGAAAATATCTCTTGACTCATTTTGGACAAAAGTTAATTTCAAACGTTTACAGCCTGCTATCCTTTGAATATTTCTGTATTTTTCTGCCTTCTTTCCAAACATGAATTAGAGTACATCATGGCCTCATCCTGTATTAAAACATAATACCTTGGAGTAAATGCACCTGTGGTTAGCGCGCTGTGGTTGCAGCAAGCATGAATTACCACTGACAGTGTAAGTTATGCTGCCGACAGGAAAGCTCGCCAAACAAAAGACACCATAGAGCTCTTCCTGGAAATGAGCTCAGTTTTTTTTTGGCAGGCGGTGATGAAACTCAAAGAGTGAGGTTTATAAAGGTGATAGACAGGTATACCCTCTGTCGTCTTCAATCACAGCTGTACTCTCAGACACAGGAGACAGACACGGCATGTCTTACACTTCATACAATACCTGTCTCTGCTGTTAGCATTAACCCAAAGGGCCTGGATTTTACAGACACATGAGGAAGTGTCACATAATATTCACAGGGAATAAAGACAGCCTGCAGAGAGCAGTATTTATAGCTATCTGATGTTACATTGTGCTGACACACAATGTGGGATTTTAAAGCCTAATGGTAAAACCTTCCCTCTTTAAAACCAGATCAGCCGCAGTAAACGTGCAGCACTGAGGAGACCTACAGATCCTTTTAACAATAACCTGGCTGCTTCAGAAACTAACATTATTCTCCAGCCCTGGATCAAATTTCTCCTCCAAGCCGCGGTCTCTGAGCCGAGCTGAGCTGCGATGCCAAAGTCCTCTTCTTTCCTTCTCCTTCCTGTTTTCTCCCTTCTTCACTTTTTGAGGGATCTGCCTGAGAATTCCCACCAGAGCTCCCCCCCATCCTATCCCCGCTCCTCGGCTCCTCTGCACGCCTGTATAAAAACAGATTTTTTTATAATTCACCCGCCAATCCTCAAGAGAGCAGAGCAAGGCGAGAGCTTGGGAAAGTGCTCTTCCGGAGTGTAAACTCCCGAGTCAGAGTCAGGGTTGACTATTTTGACCTCCACACACCCCGTGACCGACAACTGTGGCCCCCGGCCAAGACCGCCAGTGAACGAAAAAACTTAGTGAATCTACGAGGTTGTCAAACCCTGAAGTAAGCCAAACCTATAACTAAAGGACAAGCTGTACTATACATACGTCTGTTATGCTTTGTAGGTAGAATTTAAGGCAGAGAAATACTTGAGGGACATAAGTGGAAAGGCTATGCATGCTGGAGATGTCTGTGTTGAACCCATGCTCGTCTAAACCAGAATAACAAGAGTTGTTGAACTACTTTTTAAGCTCTTTTATTGCTTTCGGCTTTAACAACAAAAGAGCTTAGTCAAAAATTGTTTAGATTTTTATTCTATCTTAGCTTTTCCATCATCAGTCTTTTTTTATTCCAATTCTTCTGATATAGATTTACATCAACCAGAGCTGCAGGAACAATCTGACTTTATATAGCCGTGTGAGAAAGCGAGATATGATTGTAAGCATCATTACACTGGAGACAGACAATGACATAACTACTGCTTTCCCTTCTCTGAAACTTAACAAGACGGTGTTTAGATATGATTTGGTGTGATCAAAGCTCCTCTGAGTCTGCACTATCTACTCATTAAGTTGTTACACTTGGTTGAACCTCCAGACGTTGTTTTAATTCTCATTATAGAGTGGATCTCTTAATTAACAGGTAAACAAAATTCTTCTCATTCTCAGCCGTTGCTGAAGAAAAGAGAAGGAAACAGAAGAGAAGTCGACTGAAACTCCTTCAACTATTTGTAGGTCACTGCTCTTTCAGGTTTTCCATCTCGACAATTGCACACAAGTTACACATGATGAAACTAACAAAACATGGAGTGACCTTCCACATTATAACAAGGCAACCCACGCCTTATTCACTGAACTGTGAGGCCACTTTGAGTTCGTACTTGGGATACAGATGGACACAGACGGCATACAGGTTCTTTTTCCAAGGACGGGATGTGAAGGAAATGGTAAATGCATGTTCAGTTCCATGGACAGAATGTCTTTGGATGTTGCAGTATGTGTGTGGCCATGTCTTTGTGTCCATGTGTCTGTGCTTGTCCTGGTTTTTATTTCCATGTCTGTGTTTGAGTCCGCCTGCACGTGTTTGCTCGGGGTCAATGCCAATGCAGCACGCTCCAAATGGGCACAAATCACAAAGCAAAACCAAGATGGAAACTCTGGGCTTCATCAGAATCAGTTTACTCCGAGCCCACATCTCGCACCCTGCTATTAAATTATAGCAGCCTAATCTTCACAACTCTTTACAGAATAACCCCTACTTAAATAACCTGAAGTGTAGTCTGTGTGAACAATACAGCAGGACAAAAACTGAAGTCAAGACTCAAGATCTTTTCTATGGAGGCCCTGAGGTGCAAAACGCAATGGCAAATCAGAAAACACAACACAATAAGAGAAAACACAACAACAAAAGGGAAAACACAACAAAAAAGAGAATACACAACAGCAAATAAGAAAACAAGACAACAGAAGAGAAAACATAACGGCAAATTAGAAAGCAAAACACAAAAAGAGAAAACAATAACAAAACAGAAAACATAACACAATAAGAGAAAACACAACAGCAAATCGGAGAAAACACAACAACATTAACCATTGTTTTCTCATTTTGTGTAGTATTTTCTGTTCTGTTTTTGTTTTCTTATTTGCTGTTGTGTTTTGTTTTTGTGTTTTGTTTTATTCTTTTTCTGTCTTTTTTCGGATTTGCCTTTTTTTTCTTTTTGTATTATGTTTTTGCTGTTTTTCCGTTGTGTTTTCTATTTTTGTTTTGTTTTCTCTTTTTGTGTTTTTTTTTCACTTTTTGTGTTGTGTTTTCTGATTTGCCTTTTTTCCCTCTTTGTGTTATGTTTTCTATTTTTTTTGTGTTGTGTTTTCTATTTTTGATTCGTGTTTTCTCCTTTTGTGTTGTGTTTTCTGATTTGCCGTGATGTTTTCTATTTTTGTGTTGTGTTTTCTGTTTTGCTGTTGTGTTTTGCACATCAGGGCCACCGTATATTTCAGCTCAGGCACAAAGCAGAAAAACTGCCAGACAGAGCAACAGCTTGCAAGCGGCAGATAGTGGGAGAAGAATTGTGCATAAATATGCGTGTGTGTATCAGGGTCAAAGACTGATCTTAATAAAAAAAATTATAACCATCTGCCAGATAACTCCATCATCCAGTGTGATGGTTTTCATTCCTCATGCATATGTATGTTCATGTGTTAGTTTGACTCCTACAAGGACAGGGTTGCAGGGGTCTAAGATGGTATGTATTATCCGTGCATCTGTGTGTGTGAGAGTGAGGAGGGGGAGAGGCTTGTTTTCAATCATGACTTAAATCCACGGCCATCTACTATCAACACAGACAATTCCCCACATCACCATAACTTTAAAACAAGAGGGATTCTTTCACCATCACCACAGGACACATTCTTTCTGAGCGCGTCGCTATGGTAACAACAGCAGCTCTGGGGCGGCAGGAGATTGACCCGGCGGGGTCTTAAAGTTGCAGGCCAACCTGCAGAGTGCCCGTCCAAAGCCAGTTCCTGTAAGAGGAGGGGTGAAGAGGGGGGGTTGTAACCTCCTAAAGCCCTGCTGTCACGTTACTGAGCAGAGAAGAATAGAGAAGACAGATGTCACACGAGATACACTGACTCACAATAACACATTTTTAACTCAGATACTCGGGACTGTTAGTCTTTTTCTTTTCTGTAAAAAACGTAGATTCTAGACAAAAGTGTATAAAATTTGATCCACAGGCGTTGCTTAGCTCAGCAGTTAGGCCGTATACCCCGTGTGAGAAAGAGGCCGGTTCAATTTTGACCCTAAATCCTTCACTGTATTTCAACCCACAATGTCTTTCCCAGTTCCCTACTCTGTTTACTGCACTATCAGACGTATGAATGAAGGCATAAAAGCTTAAACAAACTCCCACATCTAGTTCCAGTATAAAATTCTTTTAGGACCTCTCAGTTTTGAAGGTAAATTTCTAATCATTTTAACGTGTTTCCAAATGAAACACCCAGACACATGTCTGTCATCTTTGGTCCGGTTAAAATGAGAAAAGTCTGAAAAGAATGGATTGCTCTCTGAGTGAGGATTTGTTTTTGTTTTTCCCCAAGTGGAGGTTTTCAAGTATCTTAGGATCCATAATGACAGGCGGAATGGGACTGAACCAGCATTGGTGCAGGTATTGTGCCTGTAGATGCCAGTTCTTTGTGGTAGCCATGACTTTTGTTATAAAGGGGGATGAGAGTCACGTGGTGGGGGTGGAGGTAGAACGTCAGCACCAGTAGTATTGAAGCCAGCTGTCCACCTGGCAGGTTTTGTGGATGAATGGAAAGGAGGTGAATGGGTCCTACTTTCTTCGCTTATGTTTCGCCTGATATTGAACGACTGCCTTTCTTTTTGTTTTCATGTAAGTGCTTCGTCTTTTTTGCATAATAAAACTACAAAAGAAGATACTGCCCGTTTTTTGAAGTTTATACAGCCAGCACGTCGGGTAAGGTATCATTTTCCCCTATTCAGCCTCTGTTTTGGATAGTCGCCATACAATTTGTCAGCAAAAAAGGAGACAAATCATTGGACCAGAGCCACAGAAGGACTTCACAAGTCACGCCACACAATGCCAGATCATCACAGTAAATAGGACCTGAGTCTGAATGCAAACTTAAGATTCACCTGATGACCTCTGCTCCAACTCTCACCCATAGCTATGAACCATTGAGACTGTGGTACAAATAGCTAAAACCAACCCCCCAGTTTCCTCTAGGCAAGGCAAGGCAAGTTTATTTGTATAGCACCATTCATACACAAGGCCATTCAGAGTGCTTTACAGATGCAAGGAAATACATGAGAAAGAAGGAAGTAGAGTCATTGCTCCTTCACATATTAAAAAAACTGCTGAGGTGCCTCCTGAGCACCTCTGGGTGCATCCAACTAGAAGGAGACCCTTGGGTAGACCCAAAGCTCTTTAGAGGGATCAAATATCCCATCTAGCCTGGGATCCCCAAAGAGGAGCTGAAACAAGGATGTCTGGGTTGACTTGCCCAGACTGCTGCCACTGTGGCTGACCCGAGACAAGCAGAAGAAAATGAATGAATAATGAAAAGAATGAACATCAGGGGACCAATAAAAATGCTCCCTTTTTGGTCACTGGTCCTCCACTGTTATACAAGTGCAATGGAACCAAAACTACACACACTCACAGAGACGAAACACATGACAAAACATGAAGTCTTGAAATCAGCACAGTAGCTGCGTTTACATGGGCACAAATAATCAGAATAAATGCCAGATCAGAATAAAGATGCATCATGTAAACATGTCGATTGGAAGATTCTGATCCAATTCGACTCAATCGGGAAGAAATTGTATTCCAATCTAGAGGGGTGGTTTATGCCGATCGTTATTCTGAAACACGTCCATGTAAACACTTATTCCGATCTTGACTCTCTTATCTGACTCGGTCTTCACTCTTTAGCCTTTGGCTTACTCATTGAGGCCAGGGTTAGGGTTAGGGTTAGGATTAGGGTTAGGGTTAGGGTAAAGTAAGGAGATTCAGGAGTGCGATAATGTTCTGTAATGTTCTGTTGTTCTGTTTGATGTACAGAGCCAACAGCCAGTAGCCAATCAGAGGCGAAGGAGGCGGGACTTTCCCCTACTATCCTACAAAATAAATATGGCCTCTGGGAACATAGCAAGGGGTACATAAAGCGTAATGATGTCACATCTGCACGCACTGAACAACGTTTGACAGAACAGTAAAATAAATATGCAAGGGCGCCATCTAGTGACAACATTTAACAAGGGGAAAACTCCTGAATTGGATGGAGTGAGCCACTACCGCATTTGTTGGTTTGTTGACAGCACAGGCGTAAATACAACTCTTCTTCTGTGGTTGTTTTAGTAAAAATTAGCCAACTCTGCGCATGTCCAAATGTTTCTTATCTGAATAAAACTTTGTGCATGTGTACAAACGCCATGATCAGATTATTTGATTTTGCACCCATAACAGTGGATTCAGATTATCCGATCCCTCAAATTTTTAACCGGATCAAGAAATTTTGCACATGTAAACACGGCTACTGAAAGATATGCTTTCTGCTTTAGTACAACCATGCAAAGTCTCTTAGATTTTCATAAAAATACCTCTTAGGTATGCTGACTTCTATATTCATGCACATAAAACTCTGTGAACAGCACGCTTCAACAAATGTACCCAGAAATGCTTTGTACAGGTTCATGGAAATCAAACATGTTAAGGGTTAACTTTTCTGCAAATCAAACCCATACAGTCAGTCAATGTGGAGTTAAACTCTGTTTTCCTGCATGAGTCTGCGCTCTCTTGTGACTCATACCAATTATCGAGACTGATTCCTTCGGTTTAGCAAGCTTTCCAAAAAACAAAAGGAATCAAGCTGATTCAGTTGTAAGAGACGACAGCCTTGTCACGATACCAAACATCTGCTGTTGAAGTTTTCAGGACTTTGATTTCCCTCCCCTGACGAAGCATGCATACTAACAAAAATATTCTCCACTGAGTCGATACAGGACCTCATGTTTTGCATGTGTTGCAGGTTTTGTTTGTGAGTGTGCAAGAAAATGAGTCAGAGACAGTGAAAAGATAGAAGAGGGAATGCCATGAGTGTGAGTAAGACTAAAATTTAGTTTAAAAAGAGAGAAAAAAGAGGAAAAAATAGAGGAAAATATTAAACAAGACAAGAAGGTGCCCTGATGAGGAGATGAGTGTGTGTCTGAGGGTAAAATGAATCACACAGATGGGATGACTGAGTGTGAGAATATCCTGAGTGATGCACCAAAGGTCACACATACCCTCTCTTCTGCCACACAGACATCTCGCTTCTGCCCCTAACTCAGAATGTAAACAACTGACCCAAACTGACAGACCATTATGTGTGTGTGATAGTAACTCTTGTAAGACACACACACACGCTCACACACTCACACACGCTCAAACACTCACACAATGGCTCCACACCAGCCTGCTTATTACAACCTTGCTGACTTGCAGACAGACAGGCCCTGTCTCTTTATCTCCAGCTCTATAAACCCTCCCTTCACAGCGCCGGAGAGTCAGCCAGCCTCAATTCAATAAACTCTCAACCTTACCCAATTGAGCAAATACAACCTGAGGACGGGCAGAAACAGGAGAGCAGAGGAATGTTGATATCTGGTCAGTAAAACTCCTAATAACCCTCTGAAGCTGGTCATTTATGCCAGTCTGAAAATAACACAGTAAATAAAGCTCCATTTCTCAGCTACTATCACAGTAAAACACGTTTTATCAAATGTTTCAGTTTAAAAGATCTCTGTTTTGGGTTTAATTATTGCCAAGTGAGTTGAACTTAAAGACCTAAACAGGCTGCAGAGATGGATTACGTGAGCTGATTGATAACCATCTCTAAGGGGTCACCGCATATACGACACAGAGGACATTCCTGTTGTTGTGCTGTGGTGTGGCATGTAACAGAGCAGCATTCGACTTAAATCCAAGAAGTCTCCATACACAGACCAACATAGCAAATCTAATACCCAGATGTGTGCTATCATTTTTTGTACATCTTTGTTCAGTACAATAAAAAAATTCAAGAAAAATCAAGCTCAAGACCTTGGGAGAAATTTGTCTTGGATGCAACTGATAGTACTTATTTTTTAGGTTGAGGATTGGGGGGGGTGGGGGGGGGGGGGGGTGGGTGGGTAGGTATTTATGGTATTGGAACTCTAAAGGTCCTTTCACACCAGGACCGTTTTTTTCATGCGATTATTTCGGACATGTCAATATTTCTTTTCGAACCCGTATCCTGTCAATACAAGCGTTCACATCAGCGACGTTTTCCCGTCCTACGATATTGCAGCATTTAATTTTTTGGATCACAGTCTAATTTTCTAAAGTTTCACATACTGTGTGTCCACTTCTGACCAATCAGATTTCGTTTTGTTGCAACGTCAGATTCACTGGTATATCCAACATGGCCGACTGGCTGATTGTTTACGTGTCAGAGATCAGAGTACTTTTTGATAAAAAACACAAATATTACAAAGATAACAACCTGAAGGACAACCTTGTGGAGAGTCACAGCATCGGATTTCTCATATGATGATGGTTTGTGTGCTTTAACAGTTTGCTAAACGTCTTTGTTTTAACTTTCATCTGTGCTAAGTAACTTTAGCTCGTAAGCTAACCTGTTCAGATACAACATACCATATGTATTTTCACTGTCTCAAACTCAATGACGTTCCTTTTACAGCACCATTAAGTCTCGGTTGTTACCTTACATTTATGGATTATAGTTTAATGTGCTTATCTAGTACTGGCTCCGACTCAGTACATGCTATCATGACAGACAGACATCTCAGCACTAGAGTCTAATCAGAACTGAAAAACAGTCAGTCTGCTGTTGTCTCAGTCTTCTCGCTTCTACCTGGGAAAGTCGCAAAATCGCATTGCGCATGATGTGTATCGTCAGGAGCGTCAAAATTCGCCTCAGAATATTTTGTAATTTCGCGTCGTATATTTGCATTGTTCCCGGTGTGTAAGGACCTTAATAGTACTGCATTTGTGAAATTGTTTGTTTCTATAGGTACATTTCACGTGAATAGCACAAGCAAACACACCAAGTCCAACATGTTTGTTTGGGTTCAGTCATGCAACAGACATTTCTTGATCTGTGTATACTAAAAGAGCAACTAATGAGGTTTGCACATTAACTGAGTTGGGAAAAACTCCTGCTGTTTACGGTAAAAACCACTTATTTCTTATTTCAAGTTGCTTACTATTTTCTGCAGTTCACACAATTGCCACTTGGTGGTAGAAAGTAAGCAATCCCTTAATAAACAGAAGATTTCATAAAAATATTTCATGAGACAGTGACTGTATTCCAGATGTTTTGTTGGCCTTGAGGCTGAATTCTGCAGAAAAATCCAAACAAATGTTGATTGTTTTCAAAATTACTCCACATGGTGTGCACACCAGTCAGTGAAGGATATGAATCATTTCCCTATTCAAGCGTCATCATTTTTTCTCTTGGTTATGATCAAAGATGAACTCAAATTGGCAGTAAGTGGTCATTTCTGTGGGGCGAGGGGTTCAAACAAACTGCATCTTCCACTCATCTAAAATTCACCATTTCCTGTTTGTTTGTGATTCTGTCAAGATGTTGGAAACAAAACCGTCTTTTATCGAAATTATGGGATACCTCCACTACTCTTCCACTTTGTTTGCTCAGACACTGAAGACCTCACATGCAGAGTCTCTGTACTACACGGTTATGAAACTGCAAACAAATTCCTGTTCCCAATCTTTGCAAAGTTCACTTTTTAGAGCCACCTGAGTCTCCACTCATCTGTCCCCCCTCTGGAGGTTTCCCCCCGTTGCCTGTCAGCTCACAACAATACAAGCCCTGGACCTCTGCGTGAAGAGGTGCCTTTGTTCACTGTGAAGAAAGCTCATCTCACGTCTCTCGCCTCTCTTTCTCTCTCCCTTTAAAAAGCTGCTCTGGAATGCGAGGGTTCAACTGTAATCTAAATGGTCACCAAACCGTCCATCTTTATTTTGTTTTCATTTAGTAAGTAGATGAGAGCTGACAGCCATTCAGTGTGTGTATGTTTGTGTCTCTGTGTGTGTGTGCTCACGTGTGTTCAGATCAGTGAGTCTCTTGTGGGCAGCAGTAATGGACTTGGTGCAGACAGTTTGAGACCGGCTACTTGAGCAACACTTAGACATACTTTAACTGGAGCCACAGCAGTCCACAATGAAATACGGCTTAAATAAACAGAGAGAAAACCACATCCATGTCCACATTACTTCAAACAAGGAAGACACAGACACTCTGCAAGTACATTCACACTAAGACAACATGTTAGAAAACTCAGTAGATCCATATCAATGAGAACACCTAAAACGAATGACTTTGGTTTAGGTGTTTGAGTCTTTTGAATGGTTAGAAACTATATCAAATAAATCACTGTGTTTTCACAAAGCTGCATAAAAGGAAATCTCATTTTTGGTTACCTCTCTGAGCTTGGTGAGCCCTGATGATGTGCTCCTGGAGTAGTTTCTCATTTTGTGAAACCTGATCCTGCAGAAGACAGCATCCACTTGCATGATATCTTTCCTTCAGGCTAGTTCTTCTTCTTCTTCTTCTTCTTCTACCCCCCTCTCTCTCTCTTTCCCTTCCCCGGTTTGCACTCTCCTACCCCTGCCTCCAACTTCTCTCACTTTGCATAGCCCCTGCCTGTACCTCCCACACAGAGAAAGACGCAGCTCCACCGGCGCACCAAAAGAAAGTTTGAAAAAAAAGGACACAGTGTCAGGGGGGATCCCTCCTGCAGTCCAGCCTCGGGGGCTAAAGTGTTTACAAGTCTTTCTCCGCTCCCAAACACACTCACTCACTCACTCATTCGGACTCCTATCTCTCACTGACGCTAGCGGCTCTTTCTCCTTCCTCTCTCCCCTTCTCAAACTTTTCCCACCCCCCTCCTTCCTTCTCTCTCTCTCTCTCTCTCCTCCCTCTCCATTTTCCATCATCACCCCCTCCTTTCCGACCACCACAACCCCCCACCGCTGAACTAATCTGCAGCTGGCCGGGGTGATTGGAGCCCTAGTTGCCTGGGAAACCTAGTGTCCTGTTGAAAAAAAAAAGAGAGGAATGGAGCAGGAAGGGGCAATGCTGAGCACAACTGAACACATAAATAAAAGCCTCCTCTGGGAGCCAATTAAAGAAAAAGTCCCCTCCTTCCGTCTCAGCAAGGGGACAGCATGTTCATCTATTTTATCTCTGTAACCTGTTGTTGACTTGTTGATATGTTCTAATCAAAACAACAACAAGATGTGCTATAGAGGCACAAATGCAGTGTGCTCTGAACGCTCAACACCAGATGCAGAGCTGCGAAAGACCTCGGTGCAACTGTGGAAAGAGTGAAGGGGAATAAAAGTGAGACAGCAGGCAACCAGACTGGACATGCATACTGATGACCGGTGGGATAATCATTAACCTGTTCGACACCACAGGTCCTCTTGGGCAAGTCCATTATTAGACGTGTGTTTTCATGAACGAACACGTTGAAAATCCTGAATAATTTACAAGATATTATATCGGAGTAAAAAAAAAAAAAGGCTATTTCAGTCAAATTTTTTGAGTGACTGTTCTACCAGCTAAGAAAAACCACAAACCCCTACCTTGAATACGTCAATCATCAGGACTTGCCCCCTTTCTTTGTGTTCCTCGGTTGAAAGTTGGACATCTTTAGGGTTTGGACTGTTTGAAGATGAAAACAAGAACTTTTAAGATCATGGTTAGAATGAATCTACTTTTAACAATGATAGCTGGAGAATAATATGCTGTAGTTGAACAAGATTTTAACCCACTGAGCATTTTTTTGGTCTAAAAGATGTCTAATAGACTTCTAAATGTTGCCTAGGCGACTGGTCTAAAATCAGGCTACAACAGATCTAAAAATTAAAGTTTTTTAGACGTCCAAATTTAGACCAAGTTTAGACTAAATCTAAATCTGGGCTATATCTATACTACACTGAATATTGCTCAAAGGTTGTTATAAGTATTTCGGTTAAGTACTTGGAGATCTTTATTGATAACTTTATCGAATAATGGGTTAAAGTGCAATGTCTAAATTCCGTCTAAAAATGTACAGAATCTAGACGGTTGAAGTTAGGTCTAAAATAAAACTAAACGTCTAAAAGCCGTCTGTTGCTCAGTGGGAAGGTGCAATATGTAGTATATAGCAGCATTTAGCAGAACAGACTTTGTGGAAATGAAATATAATGTTATATTAGTATAAAATGACCAGAAAAAACATACATTATTTTTTATTATCTTTAAACCACTGATCAACTGCTACAAAAGTAGCTTCAACAAAAATCTCTAATTACCCAAAACCTCATACGACAGCAGATAATCCATTTACCCCTGATTTTATTTTACCTGTCAAATAATTCATACGGTTGAACATGAATTTACACATGCATATAGAGGCCTGTTCTGCATAATTCACTCATCGGTTTTCATAAAGTGTCCAACAGCATCACCTCAGCAGAGCAACCATTCTGCCGACCCCTCAGCCTAAACTCTGACCTCTCCTTTGAAATGCGGCACAGATCTGAAAGGCATGGCTTGTCCATCAATGGTTATGGGAGGGAACAGAGTGGGAGGTGGGGGACCAGTAACATCTGTTTGGCGTTTATCCTACCGTATTGTGTTCCTGAGTCCTCTATCAGGCCTACAGCTGGGATCCTGGGAGTGGACTCAGCCTAGTGTCCAGGGGACTTACACCGTGACTGGGAACACAGCTCCAACAAGTTCTCAGTCCTCAGTCTTGCATGGTGGGCTGTTTGCAACACCTATGGATCAAGCAGAGGAAACGACAATGAAATTAAACCCGGGGTGTGTTTTGTTTCCTGCCTCCTCCTTTCCTTTATGAGCCAGAAACAAATTCTAACAGCCTAACCCGTGCAGCAATAATGAGGCAGTTCTGAAGTTAGCCCTTAAGAAAGCATAAAGCATCCTACCAGGAAATACTTCATACTTTGACATGTAGTTTTCCCTCTCATTAATGCCAAGACCACATGCTGCAAAGATCTCTCTGTCTGTCAACAACTGATCAACAACCAGTTTGAAAGTAAAGGTGTTTAATTTCCTGAAGTTTTACAGCCAATCTACTTATGTACGACTGCCTAACCCCGTTCTTTGTGAACCACAAAGTACTTTGAGGATGTGAATGGTAAATTAGATTATACACAGGGGAGTAATAGGACATTTTTTGAAGGCTACTGTATTCATTATGATAACATTTTTCTGGTCGGAAGTTGTCAAACAGGATAATATCCCATTTTCCATTTCCTGTCTCATGTGACAGTGTAAGCTCCTTGGGTTAATTCTTGGTTTGTGTTGATTTTTGGTCCCCCTGTGGATAAAGAAATACAATTATCACTTTCCTTATTGTGCAATTAACGCATGTTGGTCCTATTTTTGACAAAAAAATCTACTTAGGGTTATTTTAATGCAAAATGTGCCACTTTTTTTCAGATTTCTGCCATGGAAATTGGCATTATAGTCTCTTTGGTAACTGGATTGACACCCATCCCCTACAGGCAGTTTTGGACATTATAAAAGCTTTATAAAGTTATCAATCCATTTGCTGTTTTAGGTCTGAATATATTTGATAGGAAATCATTATTTAGAGCGATTATTGTTTGTAGTACTTTAAGAGCTGTTACTTGTTAGTAAAGATGATTCAGAACAAATCTTTTAAAAGCACATCGGAGTTTATTTGTTGTTTCTTATTTTTTTGTCCTGAAAAATAACCATCATCTTCTTTTTGGAAAATAACCACAACTCCAGTCGTTATCATGGGCTGTTTGGGTGTAGCCTACCTTGAAACTTGTTCAACTAACTGTTCTTTCTTGAATAAAACTTCTATGGTATGTTAATTTGGATTTTGATGAATAACAAAGAGCCTATTCAAAGCTAACATGATCAAATCAACAATCAACAAGTCTATGAATGCAGGGTTCCATTTAGTTGAGTCAGGTCTCTCGAGAAAGTTAATGGGACGCAGCCATTTCCTCTCTACTCAAGACTGCAGTGATAAACGCCTGTTTGCAAACAACTGTCTCTTTCTTGCTGCCCAAACTTGCTACCTTCTTTTCTTGAGTTACTCACTTTCTTCCTAAAGGGAACAAGAAGGACAAAGAAGCGGGACGAGCATAAAGATAAAGTGTGATATGTCTCCATCTGTAGGGTCACTGCCGTCTCTGCACTGAAGGTCCGGGCAGAAGTAAAAACCACTAAGAGGGTTCTGGGCTCGAGGCTCCGTCAGTCGGTCTAAAACATGTTGGCATTAAATTCAAATTGTAGCAAACAATGATCAAAACGCATACACGGACACGCAAACCCGTTTTCTCGACTCACCGTGTGCCTTTAAGCATAGATATAGATATAAACGCTAGATGGCTTACGCACGCTGTTAGCTAGTGGTGACCGACGTCCGCGCATGGCGGCCATTTTGCTTCAGGTAGCTCACCCACTCATAACATTACAGTCTACGGTGCATGTAGCATTTAAATAACCATAGATACTTACTCTACGTACTTAATTTCAGACCGATTTTCGGTCTCACTCACAACGAGCCTGTTAGCCACGTTAGACAGCTGATAAACAAAAGCACATCCACAAAAGACTTTAACTAGTCGTAGACTAAATAGATTAATATATATAAAAAATAGACCGTCATACAAGAAATTAAAATCTCAATAGTGGTTAATTAAGAAAAGAGTACAAGTATAACAGAAGCTAAAAAGACAGTGAAGCTGAAATAAGATAGAGGTTAGAGAGATAAGAGTTGACAGATGAAAGATACAAGATAAATATTAAAAGATAAAAGATGGCATCACATTAGAAGTCTGTCTGTAAAAGTGATGTTATGATTAAGTCTTTTTTTTCTCAAAGAAAAGCTGCCATTTTAATATGTCCAAGCATCCCGACTCATAGCCAACAAAACCGTTTATAAATCTGTAAAGATTTCAGCGAGTTGAATATTTTTGATCATGCAGATTACTCACCTCCAGGCAGCCACCATAGAATGGAATACTGAAGTAAGATGGCCGCCGCGTAGGGACGCCAGTGACTCCGCCTCGAGTCATCTCGCCCTTTAATTCTTAGTCATGTGACCAATGCGGTTTACGTCACACCAGGAAGTGAAGCCGCTGTCATTCCAGTGTTTTCATGCGTGTTTTCATCGGTGATGGAGGATATTCTTGGCTGAATGGTACCGCCAACTAAACCATGAAACGTGGAAATTTTCGTCAACGGTAACAGAGACTTCACTCTGCTTTTCCATCAGCGACAACGACGGGTACTGTCAGTAACCGCGAATCAACTAACGCGATGAAATTGTAGCTGAAAAGGTCATTCTGGAATAAATCCAAGGAGGTTCATCCTGCAAAATCTCATAGATGGGGACAGCAAACATTTCCGATCCCACGGAGTGAAGCCCTGAGGCGCATGTGGACCAAGTCAGCGTCTGGACTGAGCTAACAGACTTCTGTTTGCACGACTGCAATGATGGCCTTTGGAGCCAGAACAGTCCTCCTAACTCTGAGGTACACCATCTCCTCCACACGAACCAGAATCCTCCAAAACTCCAGGACATGTTTATTTAAAGGAGGCCGGATTTTAACCCAGGTACCCAAGGTTACACTGCTCTGTTTAGGAGCAGTCAATGCAACATGCTGTGCAGCAAGATGTCAAGAAGCAATCCTTCAACCTCAAACCTCAGAGAGAAAGTCTGTAGCTCGAGTCCAAGTGCATAAACTAGTCTTTTTCCTCCGCCTCAGTTTTCGTGCATTGGTGCTGCTCCTCAAATTTGGTCCTCTTCTTCTCCTCTCTCCCTTGGCTCTGGTGTCTGCTCGCTGGGCCTCCCGCTGGATGGATGGCCTACTGTGGGTGACTGAGACATCTGGTCCCACTTTTATCAAGCTCGGGCAGTGGGCCAGCACCAGGCGGGACATCTTCCCTCAGGAGTTTTGTGACCGGTTCTCCAAACTCCATGTAAAGGTGCGCCCTCACCCTTGGGCTCACACCAAGCAGTGTCTCCGTCGAGCCTTTGGGGAGGGCTGGAGGAGGGTGTTAGTGTTTGAGAGCAAGGAGCCGGTGGGTTCTGGATGTGTGGCGCAGGTGTACAGGGGCTGGGCAAAGCCGGACCAGGTGGAGGACCCAGCTTTCCAGTCGCTGGTGGAACAGATGGAGAAGGAAGACTTGCTAGAAGCCTGGGAGATCCCTGGACTGGGGGGAGTGGCTCGGTCTTTATGGCAGCTCTGGAGTGGGAGTAAGGAGGAGGAGGGCTATGAAGAAAGAGGTCACCCAGAGAGGTGGCAGGAGGAGAAAATCCAGGAGAAGGAGCATCTGATACCTGTGGCCATAAAGGTGTGTGACGACAGATAAGTGGTCATTTCTTAAAGGGATAGTCCGGCATAAACAAACCCTTTAAGTCTGTCAGCAAATGTTAATAAACTGTTTCTGGTGTTCTGCAGGTGGTGCATCCAGGCGTCAGGAGGCAGGTGGAAATCGACCTGCTGCTCATGAAAGGGGGCAGTTGGCTCCTACAGTGCCTGCCTGGACTGAAGTGGCTCAGTTTGTGTGAGATAGTCGATGAGTTTGAGAAGCTAATGACCAAACAGGTAGGAATCATCAGACCCGCTGGTTCAAATACAAATCAGGTGTATCATGTTTCACAGGATGAAGAGAGATTAAGAGTGTCATCCTTTCAGTGGTCTCACTGTACCTTTATTCCAGATCGATCTTCGGTTTGAGGCGAAAAACATGGAGCGATTCCGAGAGAATTTCCGTGATGTAAATTACGTCAAATTCCCAACTCCACTGCGACCATTTGTCACCAGGACCATCTTAGTCGAGACTTTTGAAGTAAGTAAAGAGAAAGTAGAAAACACTTCATCATAAGGTAGCGACATCACACACTGTCTTCAGTTCAAGAGTTTTGATTTCTGAACTAAACTAAATCTGTTTTTTGTCATTGATGATTCTCTGTTCAGGAGAGTGAGCCCATAGCCAACTACCTGTGCGCTGAGATTTCCCAGGAAGTGAAGCAGAGGATTGCCAGGATGGGTGTAGACACCATGCTGAAGATGGTGAGATCTGTAGTAGACAACATCCTGATACGTCTACCTCTACTGTCGTATCATAGTTTGTGCTCTTCAACCCTTTATGAGTAACTCTGAGATAACTTCTGTTTACATTTCTAAATAGATTGAGCTGTCAGACTGTATGTTCAACTTGTTGTTTCTGATGGGACACTGTCTCTGTCTTCTAGGTTTTTATTGACAACTTTGTCCACGGTGATCTCCATCCTGGGAACATTCTAGTCCAGCGCTTTGGACCTCTTCCTGGTTCCACAGACGATACAAGTGCATCAGGGGAGGCCCATGGAAAAACCACCCTCACTGACTTGTGGGACACGGTGGTGGTGAGCGTCAGGCCAGAGCCGTACCCTCTCCAGTTGGTGCTGCTGGATGCCGGCATCGTAGCCCAGCTTAGTGACCACGATCTTGCCAACTTCAAGGCGGTCTTCACGGCAGTGGTCCTACGACAGGTAAGGAGAGGTTGGATCACGATGGTCCCACTGACTGAAACACACTCCTAACAGTTGCTGACTGGGGTTCTGATGTTCTCTGCTCAGGGTGAGCGAGTGGCAGAGTTGATCCTGAATCACGCTCGGGCGAATGAGTGCCAAGATGTTCCACAGTTCAAGAAGGAGATGGCCCAGCTGGTGGATCATGCCCTCAGTAACACCCTCTCACTAGGAAAGGTAAAAACTAAGACTTATGCTGTCTCTTGAGCTGTCAGGCATTTAATTAATTTATTTTCCTCTATGATTATTGAACTGTAATCACACTGAGGTCAGATAGAAATCTGTTTGCTTTTGTCATTACTAGTCGTCCTGTTTCCCCTGAAAAAATGATCAATATCTGCACCAAGTATTTTTTTTTACGAACTTACTTTAACACTGCTTTTTTAGACTCCAACCATGTAAAATTACTTGCAATTTATTCTCTATGGATCTAATTATCACTATGAATAAAATACAAGTTATCGACCTATCCTGAAATAATTTATTAATCTAAGGTAACGATTCACAAAGTCAATCATATTGTAATGTCAACTGTTTTTTTGTGTTTGTGTGTGTTTATAGGTCCAAGTGGGTGATTTGCTCTCCAGAGTTTTTGGTCTACTCATTAAACACAAGGTAAAAATGCACTTTTGTTCATTATTATTTCGGCTATAAAGTAGTTAGATGCAACAGCGTGCAAACTTCATGGATGTATAGGCTGTATATCCTTCCTGACAACCACGGCTGCACACAGAAAGCTGGTGAATTCACACACTAGGGTTTTCCCATCATAGACGTTGAGACAGTTAAAAAGGTTTCTGGTTTTGTCTTTTGAAATTATAACTCACTTTTTGCAGGAATTATAACTGTATGCCCGACAAGATCTCTAGACAAACTAGTCTCCATTAAAAAAATGAAATTTCAGAGACTGAATAATAATCCTGAGATCAGTCGTGATATGGAAACATGTGCTCTGGTTTAAAGGATTTAAAATTTAATTAAAAGAAAACAAAAGTAGAAGAAACAATCATGATCACGTTACTAATAATCTTCTCAACTGTGCTTGTTTAGGCCTGAGTTCGTAGATTACATCACCAACAGTAACTTCAACATTTCTTACTGCTTGTTTTCCAGGTGAAGTTGGAGAGTAATTTTGCGTCCATTGTTTTTGCCATCATGGTGCTGGAGGGTCTGGGAAGGTCACTTGATCCTAACTTGGACATCCTGGATTTGGCCAAACCGCTGCTGCTGAAGAACTGTGCCTCACTTCTCTGACACAAAAACACACAGATAGCCTAAAAATAAAAGAATCCTAGTGACATACATCCTTAACTGTAAACAGCATCTGTAAACAAACACAGATCAGTCATTTGTGCGAGTAGGTTAAGTGTAATACATGTCAGATCAATGCTTCAATGCTTTAGTGGATCGTAGATATTTTACCTCCTAATTCCACAATTTTAAGATGTCTAGAAGTGAACAGTGAATAATTTGGCTGTAGACTTAAATCTTCTGTCTCATCACTAAATCTAGATGCCAAACCTAACCATGAGTTACACATTTGTGGAGATTACACTTGACTGCTATTATTTTCCATCTGATTGTAACACAAATATTTCACTCATCAAAATCAACTTCTACATGCTGTACATGAGGCATCACTTCGTTTATTGAGTGCTAATGGAGTCAGACACGTTGGCAGACACACACATGACATTAGAGAGCATTTGATCTAAAAGAAAAGACTGCCAAAGTCCTTGGTGGATACTCAAAAGCATATTTACTTTTTAATGACTGATATCGATCTCAGGATGTGTTTTGTAGCTCAGTTTTTATAGCGTCTAAGGTAATAATGTCTAATGGACCATATTTGCTTCGGTGTGTGAATCACTATGTACTGTAACACAAGTTCTTACACACTACATCGACAATGTGAAGCCTTTGGAAAATCTTACTCACACATGACCTTCGTCTTTTAAGTTATCATTACCTGAGTCAGAGTGATTTTATGATTTTAACATTTCAATAAAGAAATTATCTAAATGAACTGATCTGTTTTTCTTTTTTATAATGATATTTTTTTATTTCAATTAAAGAAAGTTTTTGCTTAATTTTTACACAACCAGAAGTGCTGGAAAAGATACAAATAGTATAAATAAATATAATAATGATAAAATTTGAGTCATCATAGTTATGACTGTATGAGAGTACAAACTAAGGTATAATTAAAATAAAGGGAAAAGAAATACAGAACACAAACACACAAATAATGGTAATACTCTATTTTTCACACTATAAGGCGCACTTAAAATCCTTTTGGCTTGTCGGAGCAGTGCAGCTACCGTAGCCTCATGAAAGTTATTGAATGAGTTAAATAAAGTTTGACTTATCTGACTGTTTTGTTTGGCTTAATGCGCTTTATAATCCGGTGCGCCTTATGTATGAGAATAGACGCTAAAAGACGCGTTCATTGATGGTGAGCCTTATAATCATGTGCGCCTTATAGTGCGAAAAATACAGTAAAACACTGTTGAGTTAACATAATTATATAAAGAGTGAAAAAAAAGAAAAAGCATATATAATTTGCAATAGAGAAGTTTACTTAAGAGGGTGCACACCCTCTTCCTCTACCTACCCATCACATGAGCGAGGTAAAAAAAAAACTTAATTATGTTAACATGATGTTGTATTATTACCATTATTTGTGAATGTTATTATACCTTCGTTTGTACTCTCATACAGTCATAACTATGATGACTCTAATTTTATTATTATTATATTTATTTATATTATTTGTATCTTTTCCAGCACTTCTGGTTGTGTAAAAATTGAGCAAAAACTATTTACCTTATTTTAACTCTTTGATTTAAATAAAAAAAATCATTATTTGTATCTTTTCCAGCACTTTTGGTTGTGTTTTCTTTTTTCTTGCCAAAAATAACCAGTTCAAAGTTTCCGTCCATCCTTGTGAGATTTACTGACACGACCTCAAAGCAGAAAATTCACTACATCAGCGGCACAGGATCCATTAATTTACAATTTTATTAAATCTGTCGATGAAAAACACAGACAAGAGACGCAATTCTGTCAATGTCGTCAGGAAGAACAGTCAGCATGGCTGAAAGAGTGAGATCAGGAGGTTTTGGTGCAAAAAAAACTCATCGCATACCCTTTATTGCAAATCTGTTGATTATTATTTTTTTAATCACCATCTAGGGCCCTGACAGAGCAGCACTGTTCAAGTAAGGAGGGAGGGGGAGAGGTGACAACTGTGTAAAAAAATCTCTCAATAATAATAATAATTAATAATTAATAATAATGACAAAAGAAATAAAAACATCTCTATTAGACAAACACAATCACCTCAGTATAAGACGAGATTCTGTCACAGTCACAACAACCAGAGAAAAGTTGTTTTCTTTTTTTTTAATGAATTAAATAGTTTTTAAAAATATCTCACCATTTACTTATATTCATCTTTTTTCATTTATTGCGAAAAATAGGCAACTGGACTAATTGTGATGATGCGCGTTGTTGTGTTTGTGTTTGTGTGTCTGTGTTAGACAGAAATAGAGATTAAGTGGAGAGAGATCGAGTGGAACGTCTTGAAGCGTTGGCACTGAGAGCAGCAGCAGTGTGTGTGGCAATGCAGTACTCTCATTGGCCACCAGGTGACACAGTTCAGTCTGAACATTCCTCCAAGGCCAGAGCTATGACGGCTGGATCAGAGGAAGTCGATTTACACCGACAGCAGCCTCTGATTTTTGGAATGATGCTTGTGTATTGAAACTTTGTCCACGGTCGCTTATCTGTGTTACGAGATCTCAGTTCTATGTACAAAGATTTCAAATCCCTGAAGGACATCTACAAAGACAAGTGCAACCTCCACGTGACCATCCCCTTTTTTTTGGAGAAGCTCAGGGATCAAAAGGTTCCTCTATAGGGGGGGAAACAAGGGGAGATAGTACCAATCAGATCAGGTAAACGTGACACAGTAGGACTTAACAGAATTGCTATCGGGAGTTAAAGTCAGGAATGATGGATTAAGATTTAGGAATGTCAAAAGCCGAAGAAGAAGAAGAAGAAGAAGAAGAAGAAGAGAAGTTGTAATCTTCACACGGGGGCACCAAAATATCCTAACTTAATTCTTTCTAACACAAGGTCCAAGAGAGGTGATGAGACAGGAAAGAAACCAGCGAAATGCACGAATAAAGTAACGCATCCATCGTCCATTTGTTACATCCGCTCATGCTGATCCATCAGTCCCTCCATGCATTTTAAAAATAGTCTTTACACACCCAGCAGTCCTCCTCCAGGTTGAATTGATTGTATTTTTTTTTTTTTTTGCTCATCCTGCACTGTCTATGTCAGAGTAGCAACTGTCAATGCTGTGCCCCCACCTTCTGGAGGACTGGCTGACCTCCAGTTCTCTGCGGTGCCCCCCCCTGGCAGGAGCATGCGGCTCATTTGGGAGGAATGGGGGACCCAAAGGGGAAAAGGGTCTGGGGAGAAATAAGGGTGTAAACTTCAAGTCCCAAGAAGAGGGTGCTTCTTCCATAGCAGGGTGAGGGGCGGTAAGAAGAGGGACCTGGGCTGGAAAGAAAGGAGAAGATTCTCTGTAGGCAGATCTCAAGCACAGGCACATGTGCTCACTCCCACCCACAAGAACAAACACTCTTGTCTGTCTGTCTGTCTGTCTGTAAGGCCCTGGCTATGTAAAGGTCATGGCAGATGGAGCTCTTGGCTTCTCGTTGACTCTTCTTTCCCCCTTTTTGATTGAAAAGATCAACAGCTGTTGGTGGCCCTTGACTGGATCCAAACAGGTTCAAACTGCGAAAGAGCGAAGAGATATGATCGAAGGAGTTGGCTGACATCTTGATGACAGGAGAAGAAGCCCATCTCTTTCGGCATCCATCTTAAATTGATCAGTTTTTGGAAGACACAACTATTACGTCATGTTATCTCCATAAACTTGTCTTTACATTCCTTTTGGGAAAGACGAGGGGCTTCTGCTGAACGTGAGTCTACTCGGGTTATCTTGTAATAAACATGTGGGACAGGGTAAGAAGAATTAGTTTGTCTCTATCCTTTCTCCACACTGTTGTACTTGGAGCTGCAACCAGGGGGTGAAGTTTGAGCTAACTGTTGGTGGGGCAAAAGGAGAAGAGGAGGAGGGCGTCTGATCCGGGTTTGTGGCTACGAGTTGATCCAGGGGTGGTTGAGGCATTCGCTAGCAGAGGCCCTCTTCTCAGGCACCATCTCCAGCATGGGCAGGAGGAAGTGGGTGAAGTGGCCGGCGTCCTCGTGCGCCCAGCCGTACTTCTCTACCAGCACGTCAAACAAGGACCACGGCTTCAGTTTGGTGATGTGTCGCAGCTCACCTGTAGAAGTTGAGAAGAAAAGAGTTAAAAATTGAGGGACAGGAGAGGAGAAACGTTTGGAGTTGGTTCACCCAAATAAAGACCAAACCAGTGATTTTCAGTTTTACTTGATTTTTCCAACAAAGTGCAAGAAATGACCAAAATTTTTGTGATGTGTCCAACACCCAAGTAGTTTACCCTCCATATATTCCAAAAAGAGCTGTTTTGGTGGAAAGAGATGCTAAGAAATTAAAATTTTTTAACACCATTTTGAGAAACATTTGTGGAAAGAAACAGTGCAAAGCTGTTCAGAGAGATTTCAAAGTCCCACTAAAGTAAACACTTTATAATTATTAGGGGTGGGAGAAAAAAAATCGATTCACATAAGTGTCGCAATTTTTTGTTTTACAATTTTAAATCAATTTTTATGTTAAAAAATCTATTTTTTTTCAAATTTAAGAGTAAATCTTAAAAACTGACTTACATGTGATGTGTATTTTTTGGGTGAATATGGTTCCTGAAGTAGTCAGTAGACAATCACAATCATTCAACTGTTTCACTGGTGTTAGAAATGCAGACTAAAAATCGGCAAAATCGTAGAATCGCAATTCAAATCGAATCAGCATCCAAAAAATCATACAAGAATCGAATCGGGAGAAAAGCATATCGTCCCAGCCCTAATATTTTGATACATTTTAAAAGATGTACCACATCACTGAGAGACGTATTTGGTTTCTAGTTTTGGTCAAGTCTTGGAGTTTGTTTAAAAAAAGTTAAATCCTGGAAAAGCAGTCTTCTCATTTTACTCTAATATTACCCAGCCATGCAGATATTTAAGCATCATTTTCTACTTTTGAGGATATTTGAGGTTTTTGCCTTCAGAACAAATTTAACTTTATGCTGTACTCAGCGTTGAAACAGCAGCATCCTTGTTGCTGAGAATACAACACTTAAAAAGCGGTCAGCAGTATTCTCACACACAGAGACTAATCCTTTTGTTTCTTTTCGACAGTGGTGTTTACAAAAGGAACTAAATGTTCAAGTGTGCAGATGGTCCAGAGTAAAGGTGGGAGACGCTACAAATTTTTGTCTCCACTTTGACTTGATATCAAACGATATCAGGGCCAGGATTACAGATGGACACTATTATGTAAGGGAGAGTTTTGTGCCATTGTTAATGAAGGGAATTCAGAGTTATTATGCTACAGACTACATTAATATGAATACTGGGGGCTAAGTTTGATTTCTTATGAAATATTCCTGTAGTCTGTAAAATTATCTACTTGCAGTTAACTTAAGAAATATTTTGTTCTACATCTGAAATTGTTGCTAAGTGATGTGTCAATTAAAGCTATTCACAGGCTGTCGCTTTTACAGCCTTTGTTTACATTTTCCACCATAAAAGAGAGTGATAAAATTGATGTTCAGAGAAACAGGATGAGATATTTTGTTAAAAAAAAAAAAAGCTTTCAAGTCCAGGACAAATCCAGCAAAAAAACAAGAGGTAATAAAATGTTCAGAGGCGACAACATGATTGATACATAAAGTTCCTCACAGCTTTGGACGTCCTTTCTAGGCATCAGTTTCAGAATTTCATTAGTATGCTGAGCTATTTTAGAGCTTAGCATACTTAGTGTGAAACACTCCCTCAGAGCGCTTTCAGCTGAAACTGTTGAACTTTTGGAACACTGCTGCGCTCCTCTTTGTCACTTCCTCCTAAGTGAGGAAACAAAATCAACTTCATAAACAAACTTCCACAATAGCTGAAGTACATACAGAAGAGTAACTAAGCCCAATTCTTTTCTGAGGGTAAAGCTTGCAGGGATAAAGCTAGCAATGCAACAGTGTTGTTTTGAATAATGTGTTTCTACTTTTCGGTTAAGTTTCCTTTATTCAGTTTTACAAAAAGCAAACATTTTGAAAAGACTTCATCGTCACTATCAAAGAAAGCAGAAGTTTTGCAAACAACTTCTGTAAACTAGCGGCGATGCTGGTGAGAAACACTCTGAAGTTGAGGTCACGGCACTGCAAGCATATCAAATGTCATTGATGGACACAGGCCCTGAATCAGATGCATCTCAAAACAGAGAGTTTCTATTGTTGGATTGATCTGAACCAGAAAGGTGATCACTTACACATCAGAGTGTTTTTTTTTTTTGCAAAATCAATCTTATTAAAGCTACGATCAAAAACTCACTATTTTGTATCATTGCTAACCCTTCATCTGGAGTAACAGGGACCTCATGTTATGAGTAATAAAGATGCTGCTGTTGATTTGTTTTCATGATACTTCTCCACATTTAGCATCCATAAACAAAAATCAATTCAATTACCTAATTTTCCCCCAGATTGTCTGCATGGCTGGGTTTCCCTCCAGTTACGAGTGTTTTGTGGGTTATTTGGGTGAAGTGACCCTTTAATCAGATGCTATAATTGGCCACAATTCCAGAGGCTCCAGCCAAACACAACAGCAGCTACTTCCACCACATTTGAGCTTATTAGCGATATGCTACATCAATATGAGCGAGAACCTGTGGAGGCTTGGCTGGAACCCACGAGAACATACAGCAGGATCAAAAGAGACAGAAAGTCGTGATTTCATGGAAACAGGCGAGGAAAGGAAGGTGTTCATTATTAAAGAGAGGGAGAAAATGATTGGCTGAGGGCACAAGACTGGCAGGGGAGAGAAAAGTGTGACAGAATGATTCATGAGAGTTCAGCTCAAGACATGCTAACCTGTCCTCTTAACACCCTGATCGGAAGATACGAAAAAGGAGGAAGGAAACACCAAATTTAAGTCTTACAGCTGTAATGTTGTCGCATCAGGGCTCGCAACAAATGCTTTATGTGTGCAATCTTTTGGAACTTGAATTAAAGTCTTTTAGTCTCTAATTAGCGTATCTACTTTTCTCCGAAGTTTCAGTGAAACCAGACCATCGTACGTCAAGGAAACGAGGTAACAAGGCCGCTAGATTGCAACACACGGCCAGAGGCGGCACAGCAGACAGGAGGAGCCCGGAGAGACAGAGCGAGAAAGTCAGAGCAGATTAACAGAGCGCCAAGAGATAAAAGGAAGAACATTGAGACATCAAGTGCAGGCTCAGACTTCAGATAGAGACAACATCAAAGGCAGAATATTCAGGTCTCATGACACATTATGAAGAATACATGAACAGAAAGAGAGGGAGATCAGGAGGAGGAAGAAAAAAAAAAAGAGGAGAAATGTGAGAGTGCAAGGGTTATCAGCTGTACCAATCACAGATCCACACACTTACCAGGCTCAGAGAGGAGCAGAGACAGTGAGGAGCATCACACACTTAAAACCTTAGACTCGCTCTTCCACTGTGGACCAACTTTTAAAGATTCAGCTTTCACACCCTCATTTACAGTTTCTCCCTCGATATTTAATTGAACATCAAAAATACTTTAATTTTCAACTGTAATGTCTTCCTACAAAGCCTACATGTCTCTTTTTCTGCCTCTGATTCAACTATTTATCAGTTTACCCTTCCACTGCCTTACAACGTCATTTAATGAGGACGAGAACCTGTGGATGAATCATAAAGTTATCCAGTCATTATCAAGGTATTGTCCTTTGATTTTAGTCTGTTTGGTCATTGATAAGTTCATTAAATATCGTCGTAGGTGTTTTTTCAGGTTGACAGAAATGTCAGTGTTAAATAGTCCTCTGATAATGTCTCCTCACACTGACCTCAAGTCTAGAAAATTAGATGGATTTATTTTCTTATTTAGATTAAATCGGTTTGTTCGTGCGATAAATTAAGTTTAATCATTTTAACTTAAAGGAGACCATCTATGATGATTTGTATTTTAAAACACATCATGGTACAATGTTGAATGTGTCCCACTCAGCATTTTTTGGTCTTAAAGAAGTCTAACAGACGTCTAAATGTAGCCTAGACGACTGATCTAAAATCAGGCTACCACAGGTCTAAAAATGAAAGGTTTTCAGACGTCTAAATTTAGACCAAGTTTAGACTAAATCTAAATCTGGGCTTTATCTATACTACACTGTTTACTGCTCAACGGCTATCATAATTATTTTGGTTAAGTACTTATTTCCTGTCTTTTTAAAATAAATAGTTATCCAATAATGGGTTAAAGTGCAACGTCTAAATTCCATCTAAAAATATACAGAATTAGACGGTTGAATTAGGTCTAAAAAAAAAATAGGCGTCTAATATCCGTCTATTGCTTCAGTGGGGTACATATCAAACCGTGGCAAAGTTTCCAAATATGAGCTGCATGGATGTGGTGTGATCACACTTGTTTCAGTTTTTCTGAACAGCTCGTTTGAATAACATCCTATGATCGTCCTGCAATGTTAAAGGACACACAGCAGGTTATATAGCAGCAGCAAACATATGAGGAGCTGCTGAGGGTATTAACGGCTATTCTTTGACTTTTTCCATGTAGGCGTAACCTTCAGGTAATTTCATGACCCTATAGCTGTGTAAAAAGTAACACCAAGAGCTTGAATAGTGCAGTAGAACAATAAATAAGAGGATTTTTGAGCTGCAAATAATACTGCTACTCTATAAATGTCTCAGGCTGACATGATTAAAGGAAAGTTCCACCAGTTTTCTTTTCCACAAACTCAATCTCTTGGTCCTGTAGCTTACTTCATCAGGTGATTTACTTCTTATGATTGTGTCTCCGACTTGACTTCAACTGGAAGTTAACTCTAATGATAAACTGATGTCCAACCTGAGTGAAGGGACTAAGTGAAGGAAAATACAACAGCTGCTACCCCTACTGTAAGACTACACCCTACCTAGCTAACCTCTACTGGCGGTGTCGTTTACCTTTCTTGGAGAAAAACTCTCGGCTGTACTTCCCGGCAGCGACCACTTTGCGTGGGACCTTCCCAAGGAGCTCCATGATCAGAGCGATGTGGTCTGCCCACCACCACATACATCACAGAGGGAACAGGTACGGTTCAGCATTACAGCATGCACACACACGTCAACACCTTTGGCTGTATGGGACTGACACACGCTGCTGATCCAGTGTACGGCACGGACACTTTGAAATGGATCCTTGAGGGAAGATTTTTCTCCTTCTTTTGGTCACTGTTCCAAATTTTAGACTCAGTCTTAATGGGACGTCCGTTTATGCCTACATCAGATGTCAGCATGCCTCAGTCCCTCCAGCTCTCAGTCCAGCGCTACCTCTTCTGTTGAAGAACTCCCGGGAATATTTTCCAGAGAGTGCAAAGTGCCTTGGAATACAGCCCAGGAGCTCAATGATGTGGGCTATGTGGTCTATGGAGGAGAGAGGGAGGTAGGGAGGGAGGGAGGAGAAGGGAAAGGAAAGGGATGACCAAAACAAAAACAAAGGAGGGAAAGAAAGAGGATGGTCCAGACAAGGAAGAGGAGAGAGATACAAAAGAGGTGGGATTGTGGGAAAGACAAAGAAACAACGTGATGGGAAGAAAAGATCGAAGAAGGGTGAAGGGAGGAAGAAAAGAGAGGGAGGGAAGGAAGGAAGGAAAAAGAGACAGTCACAGAGAGTAAAGGAGAAAAACCTGTTAGTGAGCTGTGCCTCCACAGCAGTGGTGATGAAATGAAAATGATCAGCTCCAGAATCACAGTGACATGCATTCAGATGAAGAACTAGAACCTGAAACTTTGTCTTCATTCGGCCTAAAGGTCGGGAGGTCAAGGGTGTCTAACAGACATGATGCTACACAGTATATATATGACAGCAGCTGTTCGCTGGTGCAACACATGCAAAGTGAGGTTAACTGTGTGTCACACATGCAGCCAAAAGAGGAAGATCAGAGGAGGGGAAGAAATTAGGAGATGAGGTGAGGGTGAGGGTGCGAGGTTTGGAAGTGGACTTGGAAAAGTTACTGACTGGATTTGTCGTGCTTTACTTTATGACCTAAATATAGATACACAAATACCCCACAGGACTACTGCTGCTCCAAAATGACCTTTGACATTTGGTTGAAAAATGTGTTGCTAATCAAATAATAAGTCCAGAAACAGGAGTTGACTGTGTATCTATGAGGATTTGATGTTAGGAGTGAAGGTGAGGATGAGTGGAGGCATAGCACCAGAATCAAAGGACAGGATTTACAGTTGACAGTGGATAGGGGGATTTTGGGTAGAGGGATGACTATCCTTTTGACCGAACCCACTCTAAGCCATTTTATCACTTTACAACACAAATAAATCATTCTGACGCAGTTTTTGCCCATTGTTCAGATGCAGTTCTGGACCAAACAGTTAAAACTGAAGATGCATATTTAAAGAGAAGTGTCCTCATAAAGATGTCAATCGTTAAAATCAAATACTGGCACCTGGAGATAAAACAGTATAAGAAAATAAACATCCAATCCAAGCTACACCTGCAGTAATTTGTAGAGATTAGCAAAATGGGAGTTAAAGATTCAGTATATATATCTTTTTTCCGTTTTTCTTGTCTTGTTCCTCTTCTTTTATGCCTTTTGTTCTGGCATTTCTTGCTCCTTTATTGACTTTAATTTTTTATTTTTTTCTTCTTTATTGTCGAAATCCATTTGTTCTGCTCTGTCTGTCACAGCGCTTTGTAAACTTTGGTTTTTGAAGGCGCAACAGTGATTATAGTTCATAAATGCTGGTGTTTAATGACCGAAGGGAAAATATCAACTATTTCTCTCAGGTATAAGATAATTGACATACTTGGTGTAATCAGGAGTCTGTTATCAAACCATGGTTTATGTTGTAGGAGGAAGTAAACTTGATCAATTGTTGAGTGAATGCAGAAGTGCAGTTAAAGCACCATTGTCCAAAACAATGCATCTGAACAATGAGGAAATCATCTGAAACACACTGAGATTAAAAAGCACAGGAACTCAGATTTCATATTTAAAAACATAGAACAGTTCAATTTTCAATCAAGTCAACGACCAGAGTAAACAGTATATCAATTTTACTGTCATGAGACACTTTAACTGAATCAAAAGTGAAACATTTTCTACGTTCATACTCTAAGAAAGTATACATCTATGTGGATTACACTCACCCTCATCACGAGAATAGTCTTCTCCAGAATGAGGTTCGAACAAGTAATCTCCAGTCGCCAGCTCGAAGGCCTGCAAGAGACCAGACACAGCTCTGTATTTGATTTTACAGAAAGTGTGTGTGTCATCTATAAGGAAGAGCTGAACACATGAACGTGTGAGTGTGAGTGTGTGTGCGCTCTCCTCACCATGCAGGCAGTGCTCCAGATGTCTGCAGGGGTGCTGTAACCAGCTCCTATCAGGACTTCAATGGAGCGGTACTGTCTCGTCTGGATGTCCTCTGTAAAGTGCTTGTGCTGTACAGAAGAAGAGGAGAGAGTTAAGGTCACCAAGCAACGCACTGCTGTGTGTCATTTTCACCCATATATCGCTAAATACGCCAAATCTGAATCTTTCAATAATCTGTTGAATTCATATCGACTCTTTGGTTAACAGCACAGAATTTTGGATCCTCAAATTTCTCGTTATTGATAATACATTTTAAAGATACTTTACATTAGCTGTTTCAGTGTTGTGGTTATAAAAACATACTTTAGTTAAGTAATGTGCAGGATAATGTGTCTTACCACCCAACAAGCATTTCCAAGATCAGCGATTTTGACTCGGATAGACTCGGCGTTTCTTGGGTCTAGTGGGTTGATCAGGAGATCGGCAGCTCTGGCCCTGACTGGGAGAAGATGGTAGGAACAAACATTACTCAAAACGATGAAATGATATATTCACTGTCATTTAACTGACTAACAGACTTATGTAATGTTTCTTTTAGATCCTCTTAAAACTTGAGGAATTTGATCCTTACATTGACCCCAAAGTTAGTGTAATAATAATAATAATACCACTGTGGGTGGATGAGTAATAGTGGTGGTGAATCAATAATTCCCAGAGGAGAAATCTGGAAAGTAAAAGTAATGAGCCACTGGATTATCTTTCCAGGCAGCAATCATATATGAGATAGGAAATTAAAACAGCGATGTTCATTTCGACTGTGCTGATGAGCTACTTCAGCTAAGAGCTCAATTAACTGAAGTTATTATTCCTTATATTTATCTCTCTGGGTGAAATCTCATTTATATGTGGATTAAAACTGTCTTTTTTAGGCAACCTTGGTGTAAAGGATGTATAAATAAGGCAGCAATAAATAATTAGTTTGTAGGCTCATGAACGTGACAGTATCCTCATGTATATTCTATTTTTAGCATGTTTGTTGGTTTTTCTTACAGAAAACAGAAAATGTCTGTTAGTAACACCTGGGTTTATTTATTTTTTCATCCTTACAATGCTACCATGACACCACAGTTGCTATAGTAACAGAAACTGCTGAGTCACTCCAAGCTACAGCAGTTAAATAAACAGAGATCCAGCTGAGCAGCATCACTGAGACTCAGGCCTACGAGTGTAACGATCCTTTTTCTTTTAGCTCGAGTTTGACGTAGTGAAAGAGATCGGACTTTGTTGAATAAGTTTGTGTTCATAGTGTCATTAATATGTAAAATAACAAGAGCTGAAAAACACTCCTTTTATGACTGAGCTAGAGTGCTAGTTAGATAGCACTCCTGTCACTTTTGGGTTTACAGCTTCAAATCTGTACATCCATAAGGTTAGATAGACACACTGTTTGAAAGGGGGTCGTTTTTCTAGATTTTAATATTGGAGGTACACATTCAGAGGTAATATTTTCAGGCAGAATTTATCGACAATAGATCCAAAAACTTTTGACCAAACCTTTCTGACATAAAAAATTTCTCCAGCATTAGACAGACTTTAATAGAAGGAGAATTGTTGTACACCAGAGCTGCCAGGCGTCACGCTTTCAGTGTGACAGTCACGCAATTTGACCCATTCTCACATCACACGCTACACTTGACATTTCTCACTCTTATTTTTCCCCCGTTCAATACTCTGTATTTATTTTTTTTATGATAATAAATTTAGCTTTCCGTAGTTCGAGTAACTCTGATTGACCGACCTGAGATAACCAATCCCAGACCAATCCATCAGTCCTTTGTGCCAAATGCTGCGTTTGAGTCACCTCGGGAGTCAGATGTAGGAGCTGAAAATGACGTCGCACCCGAGTTCCCAGCGTTTCAGTTACCAAGTCAGGAAAAAGCCAACAAGATGGCTACATCAAAGGAAGTTATTTTAGCACTTGCCCTGTCCGAATATAAGGCAAGTGCTACATCGTAGCATACATCGTAGCTACATCGTAGCCATCTTGTTTTTGCCTCTGATTTTGCTCTTTTTCAACTTGGTAACTGAAACGCTGAGTTTTTTGGGGGTCTTGGCGTCTCTCTCTTTAACACACAACGGCGTTGACATTTAAAACCCACTCGACGTAATACAATATTGACGAATAAATGTATATTTTGTCAAAATTGTTAGAATTTTTATTTCTAATTTCTGGTTGAATAGACTAGCATTAGTGAGAGCAGCTGGCATGGAGGTGAGGACATCAGTCTTACAGTATAAATCGATGTTAAAAAAGGCAAAAAATCCATTTCGCCGCCGACCGAACACATCATAATGCTAAAGTCTCACTCTTGTCATTTTCTAAAACTTGGCAGCCCTATCGCACACTGTAAAACTGATCGCTCCCTTTTCACACATTGGTATCAGTTATCATCTGATCACTTCATGTTATTTGGAAAAGTACATTTTGATTTGCACAAACACACACATATACATGACAGTCATCTTCTGCACCAAACAGCCAACGCGTACCTTTAGGTGTGTCCCCTGTGCTTGAGGACGACACAGTGCGACTGCGGTCAGCGGTGGGGCTGTTGGGTGAAGGTCCCTCTCCGATGTCTGCTGTTCCCACAGAAATGGGGTTTCCTGGTACAGGATCCAGGGGCAGGTCGGGGAAGATGGGTATCGTGCCCCTGTGGTGATCAGTGGAGCCGTTGGTCAGCCCTTGCTCGCTCACCTCTCCGTTATACATCTCATAACCGGAGCTGAGAGAGTTGTCCCTGTCTGTGTAGCTGAGCTCCGACTCCACCAGGGGGCAGAGGAGAGGCTCGGGGGTCGGGGAGGGAGGGGGAGGCGTGCCGGGGTTTGCTTTGAGTCCCTCAGATCCCAGTAAAACATGACCGTTGGTTTTGACTGATTTGTTTTTGTTGTTGTCTGGTATGATGGGGGAGGTGCTCTCTGTGAGGAGGTCAGCGGTTGTATCGTCATCCTCATCTTCCTCATCATCCTCCTCCTCTTCCTCATCCTCATCTTCATCCTCCTCCTCCTCCTCCTCCTCTTCCAGCTCCTTCTCCTTCGACTCCTCTTTTTCCACCTCTACCTCCTCCTCTGTTTTGTTCTCAATCTTTGGATCCTCTTTTTCCTTCTCCTCTTTTTCAGTCTCTTTCCCCTTCTCCTCCTCTTCATCCTCCTCCTCCTTCTCCCCCTCCTCTTGCTCTCCCTTTTCCTCCACCACCTCTTTCTCATTCTCATCCTCTGCCTCTTTCGATTCCCCCTCCACCTCCTCTCCCTCCCCCTCCTCATCCTCCTCTCCTGCCTGCGTAGGATCTCCGTTACCTTCCTCTGTGATGGGGGGAATAGGGGGATCTTGTTCGGCGATAGGTGTCAGCTCTTCTTCTTCATCCTCCTCTTCCTCCTCCTCCTCCTCATCCTCCTCCTCCTCTTCCACCTCTGCATCGGGATCATCCTCATTGATGTGAGGTGACTCGCTCTGCTCCTGAGGAGGCGCCGCACCTAGTATAAAAAAAAAAAAAAAAAAGCAAAACGGTTAAGAAAGGAAGTAGGTGGGAAGGAGATACAAGCGCATTTAAGGGGAGAGTAGGCAGCGTAGAAAAAGTGAATAAAAACCGAAGAAAAGAAGGAAAACGAGAGAAAAAGAGAGTGATAAAGAGAGGAGCTTGAGAGACGGGCTGGAGGAGGGAGTCGGAGAAAGACGGTTTTCATTTTTTTGTGAATCAGCCCGGCCTCCCATACACAGTGGGACCAGCGTGGGAAGCCCGGTTGGAGCCAATCCACGCTGCTATTCATTCACAGACAGACTTCACAAACCTGCACACACACATATTCACACACTCACTCATGCTGCATGTCTGTCATTGGCTATCATAGCTTTAGAAAACCCTCCTTCTGGTGTGTTGATGGTCTAAACACAGAACAAGATATAACATCACACTTCACTGTGTGTCCGTCTCCAGAAAGAAAGAAATAATTCAGTCAAACTTTTAATGAGTGATAAACGGATAAGAATTAAAGGGGAATTCCGGCATAAATTCAAGTTATGGTAAAACGCACCATAACACCAAGTTAGACACTCCCTCGAGTGTTGCTGACTGCTTGATTCTCTAGTTATACCAACTGTAGTAATGACCGCACGATAGCAATATACAGCGATCTACGTCTCCACACGCACTCTGTGATCGACTCGTCAGGGCTCCTTAAAACTCACTTTTTTAGACTAGCTTTTACATATGCATGATTTATTTATTTATTTGTTTATTTTATTGCCTACACATCTCTTGTTTAATCTTATTTATTGATATTATTCTATGTCATCTGCATATGTATCTTATAATTACTGTTGCACTATTTTTAGTCTGCTCACCGCTTTCTAATCATTTTTAGACCTGTCTTAACTATTTTCTCATGTTTGAATGCACTTCCTCCCTTTTCATTATTACTCTTATTTTACCTTTTCTTATTTTATTATTTATGTATTTATTTCTCTTTATTCATCTGTCCCCTGTCCACCTTCTTCTTTTCCATCTTCCAATTTTCCTTTGTTTGTTTCTGCCTTTGTTTTATATGTTAAAGCACTTCGTAAACATCTGTTTTTAAAAGGTGCTACATCAATTCAGTTATTACTCCTCCTCCTCCTTCTACTACTACTCTCTTTTTACATGTTGCTATTCCTGTTTTGCACCCAGTGTGGGATTAAAAAGCCCCACATCATGCTCTGTCAGTTGTGGTGAATACATTAGAGTTTGGGTGAAAATTTCCCCTGTTTTACTTTCACACATGCAGGAAGAAAAAAAAAAAATCTGGGAAGTTTTCAAGAGTGCAAACCTGAGACAGCTAAAGACATCAAATTCAAACAGGTAATTTAATTTTTTTCATCATGATTTGACCATGCCAGATGCCTTTTAATGCCATTTTTAATATCTACTACTCCTGTTTATACTAAAGCTCTGTAACACTGACTTTTCTTTCACCTTTAATTTATGACTATGGCAAAGATAGCGACAAGAATAATTGGGGAAAGAGTTAAGAGAATCTAGAAATGTGACGGTATAGAGATGAATCTTTAAAAGGTTCCCTGTAGAGTCTGTGACCCTCTGGTAGCACTGTTGATAAGTTAGCATAAGAACGAACATGAGGATGTGTTATGTGGTGAAGATGTTCATTGTTTGAACTAACTACAGGACACAGTGATCTGCTGAGACTGTGCATAAAAGACAAGGAGGAAAAAACTTAATAATACATATTACAAATTTCTGCAAAAAGATAGCAAATCAATGAAATAACAGGCAGAGTTTATTGATGCAATGTGACTGCATGTGTATCGTTTACGTTCAACTTTGGAAACGTTACTCACATGTATGATTCGTCAACCTGATGGGCCTCTCCCTCTCTCCTCCCTCCTCCTCCTCCTCATCCTCTTCGTCGTCGTCATCATCATCGCTCTCTCCCAGAGCCATGCTGGGGCCGATCGGCGGTGACGTCTTCTTCAGAGGTGAAGGAGGGTTGTGCTCACGGTCCCCCTTCTCACCCCCATCTTTGGCTCTCTCCTCCCTCCTCTCCGCCTCTCTCTCCAGGGCTTCGATCTCCAGCATCCGCCTCTCCAGCAGCTCCGCCTGTCGCTTCTGCTTCTTCTTCATCTTCTTCTTCTTGTTTTTGGAGATCTTTCCCACCTGGGACAAAATAATAGGATAGACAAGGAGGAGTTAGGATTACAAAGAGGAAGAACTGTGAATAAATGAGAGGTTCAAAGTTTTGTCACTGGTGTTTGATTTTTAAATGTGCTCTAAAACTTCTGCTTTACAATGTCGATAAACACTGGTGCATTTTGAATTTGGGAATATATATTACTGCCATCAAAAGTGAAGAATGAGGCTCACAATTTTGAGATTTTTTTTTTGCCAAAACAAGATATTAAACACTGATGTAAAGTTAGAGAAATCTACTTTGGACTGCATGTGAAACACCAAAGTTAAAGGGATATACTGGCCTAAATTTAAGTTATAGTCAAACACACTGTAACACTGAGTTAGACACCCCCTCCTGAGATGACTTACCCACTCTCCTCCAGCAGCCGCTTGTTTGTGGGGGAGCCCTGACGAGTTGATCACCGAGTGCAGTGGAAAATTTATGATCATTTCTTCATGAAAATGCAATCAGTCTGTGACGTTAAGGCAGAAGAACTACTGCGTCTACAGTACACATACAAGATACACAAGAAATCTGATTGTATTTCCATGAAGTGATAATTATAAATGTTCTTCCTTGAGCTGCGAAACTCTGCTGCTCTCGGTGATCGACTCGTCAGGGCCCCCCCACAAACAAGCGGCTGCTGGAAGAGAGTGGGTGAGTTGTGTTTAGTCTCTTTGCTAAAGAAATCAGGCAAAGCTAAAAAGATGTTTGGTGGCTAGTGCTGTGGCTGTGACCCTATATGTACTGTTGATGAAGTTAGGTGCTGTTCTGAGTATTATTTGTAGCTTTTTGGTTGAGGTTTGAGTGTGGCCCCTGAGACCGCTGTGTATTGCGCTCGTGCGGTCGTTACTAAAGTTGGTATAACTAGAGAAGCAAGTGGTCGGCAACATTCATCTATCGAGGGGGTGTCTAACTCGGTGTTAGGGTGTGTTTGACCGTAACTTAAATTTACGTCAGAATATCCCTTTAAGAAACACCAATTTTAGCACTGAGCAGCATTTTCCTTCTGCCTTACAACTGATCTGAAAGATTCAGCAGCGCTGAAATAAAGCCTGGCTGAGATTTTTGCATGTTCACTCAGGTCTCAACCAATGTCATTCAGAATCGAATTGCACTTTCAGGATTTTGCAGATGAGCAGAGTTGTAAATTCTTAAATATACACTAATATTCACGATACCAAAATATCTCACTTAAAATTCATCTAAAAGAGGCCCAAACAAACAATTTGAAAACTTATTGTATGATCAGAAAAATGTTTTAATATAGATGCAAAATATATCTTAAGCTTATGAAAAGCTGATGTTTTTAAAATTTGTGGTTATCATCGGACAGAGATAATGTGCAAAAGTTGATTTTCACCTTGATTGAGGATTCGGTGCAAATAATTAGCTTTTAATGACAGGTTTTAAAAAAATAAAGACTTTTCTACAACAAACTATGGTGCACTTCGTCTACTTTTGCAGTCGTATATCAATCACACAAAAAAACTATCTGACATGTTGAGGGTAATCTTGTTTCTCGCTCGGTGTCTTTGTGCTTTTATGTTTGAGTGTGTGTGCGTTGCTCTGATTTCATACTCACATCTGTTGTACTCACCGGTTTGAGCTGGGGGGCTGTGCTAACTGACAGACAGAGAGGAAAAACAACAACAATCAGACGCTTCAAAGTGCCGCAAACATCTATATCGCCACACAGCTCTCTTCACACTGCGCTCCGTATCATCTAAAAAAAGGAATTATTAGGTTATGAGCAGGTTCTCTCTCCATACCTAAAACTCGCAGGATCTGTCAGTGAAATCAGAGAGTTTCAAACAGAAAGGATCTTACACACTTCTTGTCCCAGATCCTGAAGATAAATGGTTTACTCTTCATGTGTCTGTGAGTGTAGCTTCTATACGGTCTACTGTATCATCTGACACCAGTCAGAAATGGAATCAAAGCAACAGATATGACTTCAAACGCAACATACAGTATTTTCACAACTTTTTTTTTTCTCAATAAAACAAAACAAAATAAAACATCAAGAATAGATTAATGGATAACAGATGTGTAGAAGTGTTACACATGGTTAAAACCATTTTATTTGCGTCTATATAATGTTCCCAGTTCATCATCATTAGTTTATAAATCTAGTTGTTTTGGAAATTCATTATGTATTTTTTTTAAATCTTGAACCCAGAGAGAAACAAACATTTCCTTTTGGGTCCTTGACTCTAAAGTTTGGGAACCTCTGCGATTAAGATAAAAGATAAAACAATATATCTTTAAAAACTTGCAGGAGAAATATTATTGTCTGTGCAACAACCAGTTTGAGTTATTTATAACCCCCAAAAGTCCCAAGTATGAGGTCTTTTTGTCTCCTGTGGGTTTAAGTTTGCAGAATCAAACAAAGCAGAGATAAAAGGAGATTTTAGAATAACATTAATGACATTTAAAGCTTTTATTTACTCTGCTTTTTTTTAATTAAAGACAGGTTCTGTTACAAGTGAGCCCCCTTGTTTTGACAGCTGATGGGTTTGTGCCCGGCTTTAATTGCATAGAAATATAAGCAGTGTAATTGGTTTCCCCGTGGCACAGAACAACTTCTATGGCTGATGCAAGCAATCGACAGCTCATTGTGGGGTTCAGCGGGAGGACAAGGTTCATGTCGAGTTTTTTTAGGACGTTTATTTTTTTTCTTTTTTTCTTCCACGACATTTTTTTTTTGCAGAGGAGGAACTTGGTGATGGTGGATGAATAAAGCAAAAAAAAAAAAGGTGTGACTACCTTTTTCTTTTATCTCCCTGCAAATCTTTCCTCTCTGTAAACTTCCCAAACTTTCAAGACTACATCCTTTAAGAGACACAAAAGACGAGGATTTCTGTGTCTACCTGCTGATCCGGACGGCGGTGGCGCTCCAGCTTTCTGCCACTCAGTTGCCTCCATAGCCATGCGTCTCACGAAGGCGTCGTCTACACACATCAGGATGTTCTCTGGCTTGATGTCTGTGTGGATGATTTTACACTTAGCGTGGAGGTAGTCCAGACCCTGCAGGACCTGCAAACACATCCAGATAAATGGAAAAACAAAGATTACTATCAAGTCTGTTTGGTTCTCCATCTCTCTCTCCATCTCCTCCTCTTATGTCCTCTTTTTGTCTCCTAGTTGCTCTTCTAGTACTCGTCGCTCTGTGAGGGTAGAGCAGGGAGGCTGTTGATGTTTCCGTTTCTTTGGTTCTCTCATTTGTTTGTGTCTGAAGGCTTTCAGACTCGAGCAAAGGAACGGTCTCATTTCATTTGTACTCATCATCTTCAGCTAAGCGTCAGAGGGATCCACAGAAGCTGAAATGGCTCGGAAATTTCACACACTCATCAGGTAGCTGAGGGGGAAAAGTCCACTCGTCCTGCATCATAGGACTTTAGAGATGCTAAAGTGTGAAGTGGACAAGTGCGGGTTAGGTCTGTAAGTATTGGCAAGGAGCTCTGTTGTCTGAGTCTCTAGTTTTCTATGAACATTTTTCTTTTTCTCTCTCTTTCTCACTTAGTCTTTCCTATCCTGCAGTTTTATTTCCTTGGTGATTATTAAATGGAATTATACGACACTATATATGGTATTTTTCATCACATTTGTATGTTGTGGGCACTTTTAAAGTAGCTTCACATGATCACCAGATCCAAAAATGTTCTCTTTTGTCTGATACTGGTGTTCAGCATTTTTCAGCCCCAGTTTGTTGTTTTTTTTTTAGTCAGGTTAGACGTGCTGTAGCTCGGGGATGTTACTTTCCATGGTTTTGTGGATACCTTGAAGTTGTTAGGCGTCCGTTTAGCCACATTAGTATAAGTCAGGTACTGTTATATTGCCTGCTGTTATGATGTTATTCTCAGCTTGTGGTCTTGAGCCTTCATGGGAGGATTTGATGAAACAGCCTCAGGTACTGGTGCTGTGTGCTGGTCTTTGTTTACAACGGGGTCATCAGATAATAAAATAGAAAACTAAAGGGGTTAGTGGTCCGAAACTCTGGATCGATCTGCCTGAGGAGATCAGGTCTGCTGAGTCAGCGACCTCTTTTAAAATAACTCCTTTACACAAAGTTTGATTGTTGAGCCTTTTTCTCACATGACCTGAACTTCTAATTTAACTAGTTAACAAATCTCTATAAAGATTTTCATTTATTTTGGAGTTTTGCTAAATAAATTGAGCCTTTTATAATGTTTGCTGTATTTCCTTGTGTTTTATTATATTTATATTTTGTTGGTTTGCAGGTATTTATTTTTACAAAACACAAAGAGAAAACTGAAATCCTTCTCTGAATTGAAAAAGCTACAAAATTACTCATGATAAATCCTGCCCTTTGATCAGGTTTCTACGACGGAGTATATTCGAAATAAAATTATTATGATACTTTTGATAATTTGGTGCTAATGTGCCAAAACATTAAGTATGTCCTTGTTTGAAAAACCTATGTTGAAGTACATTTTCACGAACAGCTCCATGGCTCTCATTTCAACAACTGTCATCTAAAACAACAACAGGTTAGAATATAAGAACTTTATTCTCGTAAGTAATTACTTTATTATGACTTTATTCTTGTTAGCAATGACTTTATACTCATAAGTTAATGACTTTATTCTCAAAAGTAATGACTTAATTCTTGTAAGTTAATGACTTTATTCTTGTTAGTAATGACTTTATTCTTATAAGTAATTACTTTACTACGACTTTATTCTCATAGGTTAATGACTTTATTCTAGTTAGTTATGGCTATATTCTCGTTAGTTTTGACTTTGTTCTCATTAGTAACGACTTTATTCCCCTAAATGAATGACTTCATTCTCATAAATAATGCCTTAATACCCGTAAGAAATGACTTTATTCCCGTAAGTTAATGACTTTAATCTCAAAGTCTTAATTTTTTTTCTTTATGTGGCCCTTAAACCACAATAATAGTATGTTTTAGTAGAATTGGAGAAAATATTTCATCATAAATATTTTTGTCCCTCTCTATTTACTTAAAACACTAAATGAGGAAATCTCTGTTTTTATCTAGATGTACGGCATCAGAATTATTTCATTCTGTCATTCACCATTCTATCATGAAAAACTGTATCTTCTAAAAAAATATATTTTTTTGCGTTTTGTGCTCTCACCTGTTTGATGATGCTCTTCACACAGGGCAGCGGCAGACCTTGGTAGTTGGATTTAATAATCCACTTCAGCAGATGGTGACCAAGCACCTCAAACACCATACACACATCTGAGACGGAGAGTCAAGGACTCACATTATCACATCTCTGTCACTCACACTAACACACACACACACACACACACACACACACACACACACACACACACACACACACACACACACTTCTGATCAGGATACGAATGCCGTTGACTCCAGAGATCTTGAAGTCGTCGATCAGCTGAACCACCATGTCTTTGTTTGGGTCGGACGGGTCGCTCTCTCTCACCTGGAAAAAAGAAGAGGACACTGAGATGAAACAAACATAACAGAAAGAAGGAAAAGAAGAGAAAATGGACGAGAGTAAGAAGACAAAAGGGGACGAGGAAAATAAAGACGAAGAAAGAAAGAAAGAGGTCAAGGGAGTTTGATGGCAGAGACACAGATGCTGAAAAATTGATTCACAGATGACAGTTCTCTGCATCAGGCATGCAAGATAAATGACCGGTGTACTTTTGGTGTTTTTGTCAACAAAGGATCAGAATGGAGGGAATGTGAGGTGTGAAGAGAAGAGAGAAAGAGAAAGGGCGTGAAGGGACGACAGAGAGAAAGGACAAAACAAGTCTAAACCCGATGAACAGATTCTCACACATCGCAGCAGTTTGATCTCATCTAGAGCCGTCTCTGTGTAATGCTGGGCGCTCTTCACCACCTTCATCGCCACAAAGTTCTTCACTCTGTACGGACGGTAAACAAATACAGTTATTTAACTTTACACTGACTCATGTAGAAAGGGTTTCCAAAGCCAGTTATGCTGATAAATGTGTCCTTGTCAGAGATATTATAAAATGTCCCTGTAAGTGCCACATTTGCTCAGCCATTATTCACACTGCCCACACTGCCTCTGGAAATGCAAATGCAGCTTTTGGGTGTTTTATAACAAAAAAGAAAAAAAGAAGAAGAATTTTAATCAAACATAAACATCCGGTCAGTGTAAACCGTCCAGGCTGTTTTCTTTTAGTGTCCTGATCAGCTGTGTGACCGACAGGATCACCACAGAAACCACATACAGAACACAACATGATCTTTACATTATTTTTACTAATACTTCTCCCCCAATTCCCAGGATTAATCCATCAACTGTGGTGAAAGTCTGAGTAACACGTTATTTCTTTTTCAATCTCACTGTTTTGTCCCTTTTGGTGCACAGTAGTTCAGTTGCCACAGCTTCTTCCTGCTTCCTGCTGCCACCATGATTGAAAATAACAACATCACCACAAGCAAATCATACGTGTACGGCTATTTAGGCTGATTTCAGCTAACAACTGCATCCCAAAAACCAGAGGAACACAACTTTAGTAACATGTGAATGATCCAAGAACTGTGAATGGAGTCTCAGGACTTAGGACTCAAAACTGTTTAAGACCACACAGCAATCTTGACGTTAGAGGTGGTCGATATGGCCTTAAGTCAATATATTTATATATATATATATATTGAGCAGTTCACCACAATACCGATAAATGGACGATAACTACTCTACAAGCTGCTCACCCCCTCCCACATTAACTTTGTCTACTTCAGCCGCTACAACTTTTGAACGGTCCTCCATCTCCTCACCTGTCTCTCCCTCTTTGTTACTCTGATGTAGGACAGCGTCTTAAAGGGACATGAAACCATAGCCTACCTACACACATCCAAAACCAACTTTTATTTATTTATTTATTTATCTGACACCAAATATACCGACATGGGCAAAATCACATCAGTTATTGTCGTAAATTTCATTATCGGTAAATTTTCGGTTTATCGCCCAGCCCTACTTGATGTTTAGTTCATAAAGTACATTGAATTACAGTCATCTCTATTCTTAAATCAAGACACTGGTAAGAATTACTTTAAATACAACAACACAAATATAGCAGTTATATATATGAGCAGTAGCTCAGTCTGGAAGGACTTGGGCTCAGGATTGGAGGGCGGCTTGTTCAAGTCCTGGTCAGACCATATTTGTACTCTGGCCTAGTAGCTGAAGAGGTTCCAGGTCACTTCTTGAACACTGTCAAAGTGCCCTTGGGTAAGGCACTTTATCCTGAATATCTCTCTCTATATATCTTCTCATCTTCTCAATCTCTATTTATCTTCTCATTACCTGATTCAACTGAGAGAACATTATAGTGTGATACAAACGCAGCTTTTGGCCTCGATTCACGAAAAAACAGCTAAGTGATGACATTCAAATACCATCTTTATTTTTGGGTTTGTGCATTTTTGTTTTGAGTCAGCAGTGAGTCAGTGGAGCACTATATGACTCAGTGAATGTAACCGATGGCAGAAACACTAAATTTTGTAAAGACAACGATAAAGAGACTTATTTGAATGTAAATTATCCTGAGTTGCTTTAGTGTTTCACTTGATATTGTGCTTGAAAGTTAAAAAATACATAATTATCTAACAGTTCTCTATGAAAAAAGAAAAAGAAAAATAATAGGCTGTTAACATAACACCTGCATGATGTATAGAGGCAACAGTCCTCGTTGCAGCAGCCTCTAATTCAACTACAATCCTTTGCTGCATGTGAAACCCTCAGAAAGTGTTTAATTTTTTTTCTGGAAAATCAAAAAATCTAGTCATTTTCTAAAGTAACACTCAAATATCACAAACTCTAAATTTTTCTTTAAAAAAAAACAGAGACAGCTTTTACTGACACCTACCCTCCAGAAACATTAAAGGTCCTGTGAGGTCCGTGTACTTTGCGACCAACAGATATCTGTGCTAACGAGAGCCTCTCGCTCAGTCGCTACAAGTCACGACTTAAGAGGCGCAACAAACAAGTGAATGAAACTTGACACACAAGATTTCCACGCACGTACTTTGTTTTTTGATTTCCGTTTAAAGCCACGTCACAGAAAGTCAAATACTAAGTTATTTTTTTTGCTATCCAATTTTTATGATCAAAACGAAAAATGGAAAACATTTTTTTTTCCATTGTCATTTTCCAATTCCCTACTAGTCGTCATGAGATGGCCTGTCTCCTGTTTATCATTTTTTCCTTTGAAAACAAAAACCTGTTGGCCGCCAAGTACACGGACTCTATGATGAGTTTTTAAAAAAATATAAATTAATAAAAAGGACTAACACTCATACAGATTCCTTTTTACAGATCAGAGTTTTTATTTTTATATTTTTAATGCTTGAAGTTGTTGTGAGGGGACAGGCATCAACAACCCAACAGAGGATACAGCCCTGCTTTTGCATTTTTCACATAAAATATTCAAAATAAATATTTCGTCAAAGTCAGTAGGAGGAGAGTTTTGTCAGAAAACAAACATTATGACAAGATAAGACATCATGACGAGATATGCAAAGACTTTGTTTGTCCACAGGGGCGCCAAAGTTAACATAAACAGAAAAATAAACCTAACTCCAACTGACATCTCTACATATTCATGAGGTATAGTGTCAGACACACAGAGTGCATTAAGTAACACAACTCCGTCCCAACTGTTTATGAACACCATTAGTGTAATTAACACCAGTGACATGAGTAGATGTTTGTGCGTGTGACGTGCGGGTCACTGAAAGGCGATAGGAGTTCGAAGATACTGCGATCCATCCGGCTCGGTTGCCATGTGAACAAAGAAACAACAATATGGTGCAAATGGACGGCGCTGGAGCCAAAACAAGCGGTGTTGGTTGCAGTGGTTGTCGTGGTGATGGTGTGCTAGATCCTGTCAACAGGTGTGTGTGTGTGTGAGGATCAAGGTGAAGTGAAGGACTACAGGATGAGGCTGTGTGTGAGTGTGGTTGACATTGTGTGTGTGTAGGTCTTTTTCTAGGTCATGACGTGTTTGTGGTCTGTGTGTGTCTGTGTGTGTGTAAGTCTATAGGCACGAGAGCATTTCAGAACGCCATACTGTATATGACACCATGTGTGCGTTTGTGTGTGTGTGTGTGTGACTCACTGTATGTCCCAGCACAGCCATACGGTGGAGAAGTGGCCCCACCCCAGCTTCCTGATCACATGGTACCTCCCGTTGAACAAATCCCCAATCTTCACCGGATGGTACCCTCCTGAGAGAGATAAAGAGGAGGGAGAGGAGATGAAGGTTACAGGCGACTGTCGGTGATAACCAGGCAATGACATGAAATCCATTAGCGAGGAAGACGAGGAAGAGAAGGAAGAGGAGGAGCAGCGGAGAAGGACGGAGGTCACACCGACAGAAAATATAACAAGGGGGAAGTGTTTTGGATTAATTAGGCTGAAGACTCCACAAACATCACCTATAAAAAAACAAAAAAACAAAAAAAGAGTCTGAAATACTGCGATTCCTGAAAAGAGCGGAGGTGGATGTTTTTAAGATATACATGTATTTGAAGTAAACACCTACAGTGACCAAACGTTAACAAGTTTTGTTGTTTTCTGCTGCTTTTATTATACCGCTGTTGGGTTTAACTATCTGAGCACAACCCTGCATTTCATTAAAGGCTGTTCACGTTATCAACACCTACAACTTTGAAATAATTTTTTCAACGCCAGTCACCACTTTTACTTAAACATACGTAAACAAAAAACTGAACAATCTCAGCCTCTTGGCCTCACAGCCAAGATGGAGGTGTAACCCCCAATTTCAACTGCATCTGAAACGGCTACAAAAAGGCCGTATCTGCAGATCGCAGCTGATCATGACCATTTAAGTTAATGTGTCAATTTCCACCGGCTTCTTTCCGTTCCGCTGTGGATCGCAAGAGGCCGGAGCATGTCGGATAAATTCAGCACAGATTAACCCGTGCTGGAAAGGAAGTCGGGCACAGACACAAAATAAAACATCACGCTTCTTTTCAAGATAAAACAAATCTTTATCGTCATTCTGTTACGCCTCAGTGTGCGACGCTTTATGCTCTTCGTGTTCAACATAAACATAATCACTCCTTCGCTAGTGATGAGTTTTTCTGCTGCATTCTCACATCGGTCAACCCTCAATTCATGCAGAGCTGGAATCAAGGTCCCGGTGAAGTTAGGGTGAAAAAATGGGCTGTTAGCATGGTTAGCGCTAGTGCAAGTCAAACACCTTATTATTACATTTTCAGACCTCACTGTGAAATTTATCAACCTCGGCACATCTCAACCTTGACCCCAAGAGTCCCTCCCGGAGTCTTTTTGAACTGACGAGCACATTTAAAATATATATATATATATTCCCCTAATCATAAAACCTCAGATTTCAACTTCACAAGAATATGACAGACAGAGAACAACTGAATAAAAGGATCTCCAGTCACGGTCATTATCAGTAATGCAGTATGAGAAAAGTTTGAAGATGTCACCTCAGAATGTGAGATATTATTTTTTACTCTTCTCTGACATGCAGGACAAAGTCAGGACAGAATTACTCCACAGATTTAAGACATCATGAAAGAAATCTTTTGTTGCTGCTGTCTGGAAACTTGTGATTTATTTCTATTTCATAAATAATTTGGGCAAAATCGAAATAATAATAATAATAATAATAATAATAATGATGTTTGATTGAATTGTTTTAATCTCTATTTTTCATTTCTAATATATTTCCTTCCTTCTGTGAAACTCTTTGAATTGCCTTGTTAGCAAATGGTGCTATACAAATAAACTTGCCTTGCCTTTATTAATGGAGAAAAATAAGCAGTGCGTGATCTAGACATTACATAAAAGGGGAAAACATGCCTACAAGTGTTGGTTTTGTATCTGTAAATCTGTCAGAATATCATGAAAATAAACCTGCCTTTATGACAGAAAAACTACAAAAGATGACCTTTTAAAGGTAAAGGAATTAAAGAGGTTCAAAAAAAGTTAATGTTTGATGTCGAACATGTTTTTCTTACAGAAGGGTCTCTCCTTAAACAATAACTAAATAATTGTTGGAGCTGAGCGTCCTCTTTGTTCCTACCAGCTGGCAGACTACAAAGTCTTGCTCACCAGGGTATAATTGTTGTAGGTGTAGTTCATTGAACATTAACTGAATAACTGTGTGATTTTTACAGTAGAGAAAATAAAAAGGGAAAATAAGAAAGGCTTAATTTTACTGCTATTATTGATTTAAATGATGACAGTATGTGTGTTTTTTCTTACAGGGCGTCTTTAAAAAGAAAAAAAAGTGCTGAAATGTTGAAGACTACACAAAGAAGCAAAAAACAAAACAAAACATAAAAGTAGATTTGATCATTTCCTTTCTCTTCTGGTCATTTATAAAAGTGATTTGACAAACAAGTCATCTGAAAAAGACCCAAGAGACTAGAAAACATTTAAGTATATGATGTATTGATGAAAAGAAATACATTAAATGATAACGTGATGTGCTTCTTGTACCTGCAGATAGTGAATTGTATGTGCAGTGTGCATAAACCTCTGAGCAGACAGCAGAGTCTTTAGCATGCAGAGCCACTGCAGGAAACGAGACTGCTGCTCCTTTCTGGCAGTAACCAAACAACCTTGAAACGCTGGTGTCACAACTGCCATGATGGTTTTAACGACGCTGCTGCAAATCCCATCAAGAGGGAGGAGAGGGAGGAGAGGGAGAGAATCGCAGACAGGAGCAGACTTCAGTGTGTGTGTGTGTGTGTATGTGTGAGTTTGTGTCTCCTTCTGACCTTTGCAGTAGTCTGCAGGGTCCTCCTGCTCCTCATCGTCGGAGCCCAGGATCTCCTCCTCCGGCTCCGGGGGCCCCGTCGGCTCAGGGGGAGGCGGAGGGGGCGGCGGGGGAGGAGGGGCACTAACAGGGGCTTTCTGCTGGGTCTCAGGCCTGAAAATACAACAACAGAAGAAGAAAAGATGAATAAACCAGCAAATAACTTCTGACAGGAAGCGCACCTCCGAAAGAGACACGGCTTTACAGTATTTGTGGCTGTGACTCAGAGCCGCCGCAGACCAAACTTTAAGTGAGAATGACTAACATCAAATAATAACTTGGAGCTGACTGGTTCCATTCAGTGGTGAATCACCCGGTCCCAAGTTCATGAACACTTTCACATTTGTGTCAGACATGTCTTTACAGTAGCGACAGAAAGGACAGGAAGTGACGTGCTTCTGAACTGTTTTGGAATAAAAAGGCACGAAGTAGAAGGAGAGGGAGCGCAAAGAGCTGGCACGACCATCAACAGACGCAGTGTTGCTTAACAAACAAAGAACGAGGTGGTGACAACAGGGACTCATATTTAATCAACAGAAAACCAAAGAAGAAGGAGGACAACACAACACCAGGGACCTCTTTTGATTGCAGCGTGATGAAACCACCAGAATTTCTCTGCGCAACAAATAATACATTCAGGAAACTTGGGGAAGGCATTCAAAAGAGAGCGCCAATAACAAAAGGAAAAAGTGAAAGGTCAAGCCAAACATCAGAATCTCTTTATACTTTAACACAATTTCAACAATGAGTTTAAGCTGGTACAGTGGTTCACAGTTTGATGCTATGATGAAGAGTAAGAAACATTCAACTGCAGACGCTTTTAAAGTCTGAGTCTTTACATTCAAGACTGAAATGAGAGAAAAAAAATAAAAAAAGTTCTTTTTCATAGACAGTGTTTCTGTCACAGTTACAACAATTACTACTTCAACATTGACTCATCAGATGGTCTCTTCTCGTTTTTTTTTTCTTATTCATAGTGTGTAAAATAATGAATAAAGTGTAAAAAAAAATATATATATGGAGATTCACGTGATGATCTGAAGTTAAACAAAAAGGGAAAGGACCCAAAATGCAGAACAAAAAGGATTTATTTAAAAGTAGAGTGATCATACGTCCTCTTTTACCCGGACATATCCTCTTTTTTGGGGGCTGTCTGAGTTTGTCCAGCTTTGTCCGGGGAAGTTAATAAAATCCTTCAAATGTTAGCGGTTTGTACGCAAGTTTTGGTTATGTGTCACGTGGACTTACTGAGCTAGAAGCGCTTAAAAGACACTTGATGCGACCCGTAAAGCTCTTAAAAATTAACTTTGTGCGACTCCGTGATTCTGTCCCCGTGCAGTTGTGTAATCTTTTTTTGGAAGTCAGAATATGGTCACCCTATTTAAAAGGAATTAAAAGAAAAGCAACAAAAGACTTGTCCAAAATGTCCAACTGAAAAGTTCTCAAATGAAAAAACACAAAAAGTTAAATCCAAAGAAACAAAAATCACTGGAGGGAAAATCACAGGGGGCAACAGGGGACACAAAAATACTCATTGACATACATAAATACAATGAACCAACCAGGACAGAGGGGAGGACAGTGACTATATACACACTGGGAAACGAGCAACAGGTGAAACTCATCAAGGGTGATTAGCAAAAGGAGGGAAAACCAGGGAAGTAAAACCAGACTAGAAACACAAGGAATCAACTACTACAAAATAAAACAGGAAACACTGAAAACTGATCTAAAGAATAAAACACAGAGAACACCTTGTTGCTCTACATGTTAAATGATGCTTTAAAGACCCTGTAAGGAACTTTTGGGTCATGTCACTTAGGAGGGTTTGCAGTCTCCTATTTTTTTTCCCTCCATGTGCTTAAGCATGGCGTCTTCTGACAAAAATTTTAATCCCACTGGCTTCTGACAGTCAAATGTGTCATTTTTTAAAAAATATTTAATGAGGAAAATGTAAAAAAGAGCTGTTTCCTCAGCAGCTCCACAAACACCAATTTCAAGCATTAAATGTTACAGAATAAAAATCATCAGATGGTCTTGTTTGCTTTTATAGGTCATAAAACAGCATCAAAACAAACTCCAGTTAATTTCACAAAACTCAAAAAGCTCCTCACAGCTGCTTTATTTAAAGGTCACACAGTTTCTATTTGACTCAATGATTGTCGGCATTATATATGTTTATATATCGTATAATTTTATCCAATAAAACAAACTTTAAAACTTGTGAATCGGTGGCTGTATAAACATGAAAAAGACATTATTGTTAGCACAGGACTTTGCTCTGGAAAAGGCAATTGAAGAGTCAGGTTAGTTCTTTGTTTTTGTGTCTTTTCAGTCTGAATTTCTTATAGAAAATTCACATAAATGCATCTTTGCTCTCTGAATCTTCTGCACTTCTTACTCCAAAGTCTGCATAAACTAAACACTTGTCTTTTTAGTATTGGCCATCAGGGGAAGGTTTTGAATCTTTAATTCATGTGAAAATTCTACTCTAATGAGAATCAATAGAGTGACCATTCAGAATGATACTGAATTTTTGCAGAACCTAAATCTAGTCGGCTGATGGTCCGACGCTGCCTGGAGCTGAGACGGTCAGGTCGAACCAATCAACACCCACCAAGAACCTCAGACAGTAAAATGGAAACTGTCCAAAACTGGGAAATAAAACTAAATGCAACTTTGGAAAATTAAAACCAGAACAAAAGCAGAGAAAGACCAGACCTGATTAAGACTAAGGTTGCTTTCTCTGGTTTCCTTTGTGTGGTCAATGACGGCCTTGTTCCACTTCTTTCTGCTCTTTTAAAATGGAACTGAGCCCATGAGAGGGAAACATTAAAGAGAGGCTGCAGCGAAGAGTCTGCCTCTTTCTTCAGGCCCGGGTACTTTTACAGCATTCAGCTGGCACTCGCATCCAGGACGGCGTACAGTGATTGATCGAGCAGGAAATTCAGTGTTTTGCTTTAGGACGCTGCCATTGCACACACACACACACACACACACACACACACACACACACACACACACACACACACACACACACACACACACACACACACACACACACACACACACACACTCAGCTATTTGTGGAGACTTTGGGAAAATGCCTGTAATGTTTCTGTTTTAAACAACGACGTCAGACTTATTCAGACTCAATCTGGTCCTTTTACTGAACTCAATCTGGCCTTTTGAAGACTTATGAAAGCATGAAACCTTTCACCTAAATTCACACTGATTTCTCTACATGAATTTAAAGCAATCGAAACTATCTGAGAGAAGAGTGATCATTTCTATAATAGATGCTGTTTATGCATGTGAAAGTTGCAGGTAGTTCAGTCACATGTTGGGCAAGAGCAGAACTTCTTATAACGGTCAATGACAAGGATATATTTTCACTCTTTAAAGTCCACTACTTCTTGGTAGTAGTCTTTAAATTGTGATTGTGTTACCTGTGTCATTTTCAAGGCCTTTTCTTCTGCAGAGCTCCAGTAGCTCATTAGCAATTTGCCTCTGAGTCGTGGGTGGAGACAGCGCTGCTCTGCACACTTCTCTTCACGCTAGCTTGTAGCCTAACATTGCTGGTGTAGTAGAAGTGGCAGGACACATAGGATGCTCATGTCTTTGGGGGTATAATGAAAGCTAATATCATAATTAGCTTTCTTACAAACATTGCAATCGGCTAACTCACACAGTTGTTTCGCCACACTTCTCTCTACTTCTCAGAGTCTGGCCTGCAGAGTGGAGATCTGGGGGCGGAGCTTGCAGTTGTGACATAGGAAATCTCACTGTGTCTGAACCTGCTATTTGAATTGTTCCGTTTGAATGAAGAAATACTTAGAAATGCAATTTTGCTCACTGTTTTTTCGATGTGTCCTCTAGCATCAGAAAAACGCCATATGAACATTTAAACAACAAGGAGAGGATCTTTAAAAGAACTTGACAATCTGTAGTCGATGTTTCTTCAAAACAAGAAAGGCTAAGATGTAGTTACAAAAGATGAGGATATAATACTTGTGACTTTTACGAAATAAGGTTAGCAAGTTTGTTTTGTTTTTTTTCCTAGAGCTCAGAAACTACATCCTCACCAGGAATGATTCTTTACATTTAAGTCAGAACGCCCTCAGCAGGATGTACCAAGATACACTAATTTCATCCTCTATTATTATCTAAAGGTAATCAGTGGGTGACACAACAGCCAAAACATTTAGAGCTCCCCCTTCAGACTAGAAGCAAAATAGGCCAGGCAGATGTTAACAACAAAAACATGTCAAATACATTTATCTGTCACGTGATAACGAGCTGATAAAGCTTAAAACAATACAGTATACCAGTGCATCAGGCCGCCTGAAGTAGTTTGCCATATGATTCAGCAGAGGGCGCTCTCAGTATGACCTGGCAAATCTGCGCACTCTTGACTTGAAGTAATACAGTAATGCTGTTCTACAGAAATGGAGGACATGGTTGAGCAAAGCTGAGTGTACAATCATGACACCAAAACATCTGAGGAGCTTCGAAGATGGAAAAATAAGAGACAAAGACAGGGCTGATTTGACTTTGTACCCATTAGCTTGCCACCAGTATGAAGCGTCACTTTAAGGAGCAAGAAGCTCAGAGAAAAAAGGCTTCACTGAAAGGATTGAAAAACGTGAATATATCCAAACATGTGGATGTGGTGCAACGTTTCATTATTCGATCTCAGTTGGTGTTTTAGAAAGATGACAGTCCTGTAGAAGTAGAGCGCTGACAGCAACACCAACACAACCGTCATTGAATACTTCAAACTGACACAAGAAAATGTGTGTTTTGGTTATGGGGGCATAACTCAAACACTGTAGCTCTGATCCCACTGCACTGATTCTATCTTAGCTCCACTTTGTCCACCTTTACATACAGTCAATGATCCGGACATGTTGCTTCTGATTGTGATTGGAGAACATACATTTCCATCTTCCTTTTGTTTTTGACGGAGACGTTCTGCAGCACACAAACTTAGTCTTCTGTTTTGTAATAAAATACTGCAGCTCTCATATTCATTAGTTCTGGGGAAAAAGCTGACATCCTAAATCAATGCAACATTTCCTTATCACCGACTCAGTGGAATCTGGGAATCAAAAAACACTCGCTGTTTCTGTGATGCTTCACTGATGTCTCTCTGAGGCTGAGCCTTTGAGAACTCGACAAACACAAACAGACACACACACACAGCTCGTCTTCTCCTTCTTCTTCAGCTTCACATCGCAGCAGAACCGGCAACATGATCAAATGCTAAATTAAGATGAGGAGAAAAAATATAAACACACAAAGCCAGCGCTTGTGAGCTGTTATAAAATTGCGGTCACAGGCGCAGACACATGATGGAGCCTCTTGGTGCGTTGCCATGGCAACTGCAGAGCGAGGAGGGGAGGTAGAGAGTGGGGGGGACGGTAGAAAAATTCAGGACAGAAAGCGTTAACGCGGTGGCAAGGCCAATACAAGCACATGCACGCACGAAGACGGCGGCGGTTCTTCTAATGCAGCGACGAAGGACAGAAAATAACTTGGCATTGGGATTTCATCACAATTTTACAGCTGACACACACACACACACACACACACACACACACACACACACACACACACACACACACACACACACACACACACACACACACACACACACACACACACACAGTAGAAGGCTTTGTCCTTGCAGCAGGATGCTCCTTCTTTACCAAAGCAGTCACGTACGGAGTCATACATCATGTCTATTAGCTCAGCGCTTTTTTACGGCCCGTCCTGCCATCGGCTGTATGAACACTTAGACCTGCAGAACTTTCTGGACACAAGCCGAGCAGCAAAAACAGAAAGATGGCAAAGACACCACAGTCTGAGTCTGAGACGGACAAGAGGAAGGATGGGGAAATCAAGAATATGGAGAGGAAACTAGAAACGGGAGGAATAAGAGGAGAGAAGAGAAAGAAGGTCACGGATAGAGAGGAAAGGGAGCAGATGAGAGCAATGAACCAAAAGACACGCAGTAACAAAATGAGACTGAGACAGAAAAGAAACACACAATGAGAGAGAGAAATATATGCAGCCAAAAACAAAGGGACAGAAGTTTGATTTAAAAAAAGGGAAAGAAAGAAATAAACAAATACAAGATGGAGAAAAAGAGACAGAGCTCCAGACAAACACAAGAAGAGACACGGGACAATAAAAGGAATAAAAATGGAGAATTAGAGGCACTGAGGCTGATGTGAAAAGAGACACAACTGAAGACAAAAGTAAATGTATAATCAGCAAATATGAAGTAGGGAGTCTGATTAAACTGTTATTTATGTCAAGTGTTTTTCTTTCTGTAGCTATTCAACTGAAATCAACACATCACAGAATCACAGTTAAAACCAACGCACTGATAAAGATGAGAGAGACTCTTTCTGACAAAATAGACGAGGAAAGATGCAAAAAGTAAAGATACAAATCCAGGATTTGCTTGTACTGAATCTGAAAGCATTCACACGTTCTGCATGTGGGTGTATGTTTACAACAAAAACGATTACTTGACTCTGAAACACTCTGAAACACACGGCCCCTCCTTTCACTTCACTGAGAGACAGGTGGAGGTGGAGAAAGCATTTCTGCTGATAAAGTGGAAAAGCAACAACCAAGGCTGACGACAAGCTCACCTTTGAACACCAGAACACGACAGAGACTGAGGCCATTACATATAAACATGTGTAACCTGACACTTAGACCTGTGAGTGTTGTTGTTTTTTTTTTACTCCACAGCCTTCATGGTCGCAATGATGCATAGGGCTGGGCGATAAAACAATAACAATATGTATCAAAAATTAATTTCCCTCGATATCGATATGAAACATGGTCAATATGCTTTTGATAGTCAGCATTCTGCCATGTTTTGGTGGACTATACGAATATCTAGGGCTGGGTGATATAAGAGAAAAGTTTTTCATGATATATTTTTACCATATCAGTCGATATCTATATATCATGATATAAAAAATTAAAATTAAACAGTGATTATTGGTAGCATGTCTTTTGCAATACAATAAGCTACTGCATCTGTGTGGTCTTTGTGTCTCTTTGACGTTTTGTCGTGAGGCGCTGCGCTAGAAAAAGCGGATTGAATAGTCTGTTCAGTGCGGTGCAGACTCAGAGCAACTCCCCTTTTCATTGGCTGTTTGTATAGTCTACCAAAACATGGCAGAATGACGTTGACCATGTTTCATATCGATATCGTGGGAAATCTATTTTTGATACATATTATCATTTTATTGACCAGCCCTACCAATAGCCAATGAAAAGGGGAGCTCCTCCAGGTCCGCTCCGCGCTGAACCAATCATGTGCTGAGATAGAACCAGGTAGCAAACAACTGCGCAGTAGCAGACTGCAGCTACACACAACTATAGCACGTAAACATGTGATGATAACATTGTCAACAACACTGGTACAAAAACAACATTGGTGTTAAGATATATAGTTTTTTTTCTGGTCGGACATGAAGTAATGCACACTGCAGAAGAAGTACATGTTCTCGCAAAATAGAGGAATACCTCAAATCTTTTTCATCATGAAGCAGTGCCACGGGGCAGAGCACGCGCAATGCAAAGGATTACAAGTGCGAAGCAGCCCACGGCGCCTGTGCAGCTGAAACAGCCGATCATTCAGTCCGTTTTCTCTAGCACAACACCTTTCGACAAAACATCAAAGAGACACAAAGCCCTCGCAGATGCAGTAGCTTACTGTATTGCAAAAGACATTGCTTTTTTAAAATCGTGATATAAATCGATATCCACTGATATGAAAAAAATATGTCATGATAAACTTTTTCCCATTTCGCCCAGCCCTAAGATACATATCACTTTATAGATTATGGGAAAAGTATAGATCGACGATACCTTGTCATGGTCTCTACAAGGGGGTCACCAGATAAGAATAGAACCTAATGAGATTTTTAATAATACTGACCAAACTATAACTGAGAAGTCGATATGTTCTTTCAACAGTGATGAATTTCATTATGAATGCTCAGCTGTGATGACATGAGTGAGACACAAGCATGTTTTGACCTGACTTCTCTACATCTCAGTAAATATACGCCGGCTATTGTTGCGGTTCCCCTCACAGCAATATAGATTGAAAGAAGTCAAGACCTTTGGCCCTGGTGTACGAGAGCCCTCCCGGATTCCCTCCCTGCGCCATTATGTCAATCTGTCCCCAGAAGGTTGTTTATAGCTGCCAGAGATGCTGGACTCACTGTGGCTCCAGAATTGCTTCTGTCACACTGGGGTCCAACAGAATAAACTGGGTTTCATAAGAACCAATTAGCTGTGATTAGTTCTCTCCTATGGTTTAAAGGTGTGATAATCAATTTACTCCCCTTATTGGCTCTAATTTGCACACTAGGATAATCAATTTACTTCTCAAGGCCCTCCATCTGCCTCTCCTGTGCACTGCAGCCACTATATTTAAAGCTTCCTTTTTTTTAAATTATTTTTAAAGGGTTTTTTACAGAAGCATATTGCACTCATTAAAAAAAAAAAAAAAAAGGAAAACTGTTTTTGAGGTTTTTTTTTTCTTCGCTATTTTTTGGACAAATGTTTTTCTTCTTTTTGTTTTTCTGACTGTTTTTTCCCCTTTTTCTGTTTTTTTTTCGGACAAAGTTTTATTTTGTTTTTCATACTATTTTTTCCGTCCTTCTGTTTTTCTGACTTTTTTTTTCCTGACTTAATAAGATACCTCAAAATCCTGCAAGAATCTCATACAATCAGATAACGTCAACGACCGCGCCTGCTCCAAATCACCCTATTGTCCAGCACCTAGATAACTTCGACTACGGGGTCAACGAGAGTAAAGTGTGTTATTAGATAAACATAGGGTATGCAAATGAGGTGCATGCACAAAATAGACAAACTTATGATTCCATCTAACTGACTTAAAACCCGATTAAACCAAACAAGTGCGCCATGTTTGCTTCCAATAAATCAAGCAGAGGAGGATTAAGCGTCTGTTTTTAAATGATCGTGATCCCAGAGAATAGGAAAAACAATTAGTCTAAAAAACAAAACCAAAACTAGAAAAGCACTCGGAGAGCGCAGACCTCTGCCAAGAAGCTCATGTCCCCCCTTAAACAAGAAATGCGCTGACCGGGATCCAAACCCATGACCTTCTGGTTGTGAGGCGACATTGCTAACCACTACACCACTGTGCCACCTATCTACACCACTGTGCCGCCCATTGGTTATCTTTCCGCATTGAAAATTCCAACGACACCCTTATTTTTGTGTGTTCTGGATCACAGTATCCAGAATTTTGTCCGGATCACCACCAAAATTTAATGGGATCCTCCTGGGGCTGAGACGCACCTCTGGTCAATCCGTCTGTTACTTTCTCCGTAAAGTTGCTAACAGACAAACAAACAAACAAACCATTGCTACCGAAAACATAACCTCCTTGGCAGAGGTAAAAATTCCAAAAAAAAACAGAAAAGAAAAAAACTCTGAAAAACAAACCGGTGAATTCAACACGCTTCCTTAGTTTTTAATCATATTTAAAATTAAAATATTTAAAAAAAATATATCCAAACATCTGCTCTTGAGGAGAACACTTCGATTTGCTTTTGACTGACTCTTATTAATGATCTAAACCCTTCCCTATGCAGAATAAAAGGAGGCACAGTTTCAGCACATCAGAGCTGGGTGCATTCATTTTGCATATGTTTGCTGAAGTTAGCTTTATGGTCATGACTCTAACAGACACTGACTGTTCTTATCATCATGAAAAACATATCAGCTACTGGTTTAGCCACCGGCTGGGCAAAATGAACCCAGAACTAACATGGAGTGTGTTTAATAAAAGAGACGTGTTAATTAAATAGGATGGAATCATCACTGCAGTGGTTTGATGAATCCAGTGTGTGTCTCTGCATGTGTTAGAGTGATCACCTTGCTTCAGGCCAGTGTGAGAGACCCATCAGGAATGTCCTGCGTGTTTCAGCGTTTTTATGCTCGCACTGAAAATAAGCTGAGGTCGTGCGTCTCTGTGGAATTGCCCAGTCCTGCAGTGATGCATGTTTTAAATACATGCCAGTATAAAGCACAGGCTGAGACAGGACTCTGTTAGCCTGGGACTTAGTATTTTAGAGGTAAAAAACTGCAGAAGTTTTCCATCCTCAAACATCTTGTTTTGTGTGCAGGCGTGCCCTGACAGCTTCTTACACCAACGGTGTGTCAGATGTGTGAAGCATACACATCTATACACAAGCACATGCTGCCCACTGTCAGCCTCTCCTCTCCCACACCCAACAATGGCATCTCAAGCACCCTTGTTACATTTCCGGCAGATGAGCATAATCTGCGAGATCAGGCTTTGAGAATAAAATCTGCAAATTAGCACAAGAAAGAAAATTAAAAAACACATATTTACTCCTGAAATTAGGTTTGAAACTACAATTCAAACCTTTTATTTTGAAGGTTTTGTTGGTTTAGCAGAGAGCTGAATCCAGGCTCTGTCAGTAACGCCTGAAAACCAGTCCTGTCATGCAACCATTTGACTTAACCCATAAAGAGGAGACATGAACCAAGACTGGAGTCTTTAACAAGTGCAAAAGTATTTTTTCTGCTCTTCTGACAACCGCCTGTAAACTGCTTTAGCTAGGAATGACTCACTTGAGGATTGGCACTGGAAATAGCAGCGTAGAGGTTAAACAAATTCAGGGGTTCCCCTCGAAACAAAGAGTAGTTCTGGTAAAAAATACAGGTCTGTTAAGGATATCACAAGAATCTACCGTCATCATGACTATTTTCTCCTTACGGTTTAGTTGGAAATCTTTTTGGCTGTGAACTCCTCAGTAACAAATATATCTACCTGTACAAGCTTGAGAAAGGTGCACAGATATCAGTGTGGAAGTTGGCAAGGAGACCGTTGCTAGCATTGATTTTCCTGCATCGTTTTCTATATTTGAACATTGTTGTATCTTTGAAATATAGTTGTTTGTGTTTTGTACTTTACAACAGGCTTTGAGTGGACGATAGCATGTGTAAGCCAGGACTACAAGCTAACTAGTAGGGCTTTAGAGTCCTTGTCGACTGGTCAACTTATTGGTCGGTACCTGTTGAGTCGACCAACGTACCAAGTGCTAATGGAGTTGTTTTCAGAGCACCCCTGTTTCACAGGTAACAGCTGGTCTCAGAACACCCCCCTTGTTTTCACCATTTTGGATTCGCCAAACCAACTGGAGACCGTCTGGAGACAGAGAGATTGGAGAGCGTCCACGTTAATCTATGTCCGGTGGTTTGCTGAATATTTATATTGTAAACTTTTGTGTTTACCGTCACATTCAGAAAAAGAAGTCTATTTTTGGTCAAAAATTTCAGGGTTTTAGTCGACCAAGAATTTCTTTGGTTGATTACAGCCCTACTTACGAGCAGTTTCATCAGTTGCAGTGATTGATGATTTACCTTGTCAGAGATGGATTTATGCTTGGCTCTGTTGTTTTACGTTTCTTTGCAATGAAGCATATTTTCTGTGGTGATCTTAAGAGTGAGTCTTCAAAGTGTCCTTGGAGCACAAAGGTCTGATAAAAAAATATATATATGCTGCCACTCTGTTGAGTTACTTTCTGACTTTTTAAAATATATGATATGATTTGATTAATGGTATTGCACTATAAAAAGAAGATTTGTGTCCCAAATTGGCCACCCTACTAAAAAAAAGTCTGGACACAACCCTGGCTAAAGCAGTATTTGTGAAGCAATATCTCACAGAAAATTGCGCTTTAGGATAAAAAAGTTGAAACAAATTCAGTTGCTATAGTTACAGGAGCGTGTCTATTGATGACCTAAATGCCTCGAAACTTTTCACAATATTTTGAAGTGTTACGTTTTATATGAAGTGTTTCTGGCCTGTTTCTGCAGCTTTTGCAGCCAGTATGAATAAACGAAAACCAGGACCTGAACCAGTTCAAAGAATTCCACAATTGCTTGTTTATTCCCATTTGCTTCTGATGAATCTGGGTCTTCAAGCATTTGTCCCATTTTATGACACATTATTCAAGGCTCTGTCTCTTCGTCTGTGTAGAATAAAAACTGTCAGTGTCTTTTTAACCGTTCTTTGAACATTACAACAGTCTGGGACTTTCTACTGCAGTTTTGCCAAAATTACACGTGACGGAGAATTGCACCTTACACCCATCTTCATAAAGCATTTCTTCTATTACTTACTGTTGCAGTTTCCCCCCTGTGTTAAGAATAATTGGGTCTAATAATTTAATCCGCATGCCTGCTGGGACTTTGACATCCATGCTGTGTCCTGCTGTTAGTGACAAAGAACTTACAAAGCGTTACTAACACAACCCGGACCGCAGAGACGCCGTATAAAACAGTTGACCGCTCGCGGGTTCAAACTTGATGACTCATGCTTTTACATGTCTCGTTATCTCCAAGGTAACAGGTATTCCTTAGCAACAAGAGCATCATCCTCCTCTCTGGATGCTAAGGCGTAGGTTTCAGACAGTGGCTGTCCTTCAGCTCTGCTTATCCATTTTCATGGCGGTGGTGTCTCTCTACGTCTGATCGATTCATCGTTAATCTTTCACTCTCTCCGTCTTTCCATCTTGGCCCTGTGTCGGCAGGACAGCTGACTCATTCTCTCCTCTCCCGTCTGTGAGAAGAACTGAGATCTCAACGCTATTTTCAGGATGCAGCCTGCTGTCACTGCCCCCGTATAACCTCTCTATGCACATTATGGCTCAGCTGAGTGTTGGTTCCTACCACCAGACATCAATTCCATACATTAGCATAAGGTGCAATGCTGGATCCCTATAAATTATAGACACTTAGAATGTGAAACTTGGACAGCACCATTCCTCTGGCCTCCATTTCGCTGTTTCTACCAGCTCCACACAGAGTCAAAGACGTACAGGAACAAGGCGAGAAAGTGTAATCACAACGATCACACTGTGGACTCAGCTTATAAAACTATAAACTAAAACTTCCTTACATTCCACCGCTACAAAAACCGGCTCCTACATTACCCACAATGCAACTCAACTTCAAAGCGTTAAGTCAAAGAGACAAATGTGTTTGTTGCTGCAAACGTAGCTGCAGTTATTCAACTTGAAAACTGGACAACGACTCAGCTGGCATCACTGGAGACATTTTTGGACTCTTATTAAATTATGCAACTGTGAAAAGTTTAACACTTTTGTAAAAACTGTTTTTACAGTATCTAACTACTCTGAGCAAATGTCAGCACAGAGCTGCTCAGGGACAAAACTTTTATTCCAAATATAAAATCTAACATCGATAGTGTTGCGCTGAAATTACATGCAATTTAGTCTTTTTCATTGCATAAGCTGCTATTAGAGGTGCTCTTTGATAGGAACCAAAGAACTGGTCGTGCCTCCAATGTAGCCGATGAAGCCGGCTTTTCCATTGGCTGAAGAGCTAAACCAATTAAACAGTTCCTACACCTCCCATACTGTACGATTCTACACTGGGCGCCAGGAGGGGCTGCAAGCTGGGCTGCTGCTGGAGTGAACTCAGATTACATCCAGATGCTTGGCTTGATTCTTTACTCAAGACAAGCAAAATCCAGGGATAAGTAATGATTTTTGAATATTTCAACGTTCAGGTTACAGTTTGCTGATATTGTTGATAAGAGAGAAAGTCAGTCTATGGCATCTATACAATGCTGATATCACATTGTGTTATTGCTGTTGTATTTGTTTATTTTTCGTATTTAACAAAATACAATAATGTTATAATACTAACAAATTAAAATCACAATTGCTTAACTTAAGAGAAAAATTGATCAAATGGATAGAGATGGAAAAAAATGGCTTAGTTATATTTTTCAACAAGAGACTTTTGTGTTTATATCCAGAAATCATTAAGTAAGAAAAATAATTAAAAATACTGTAAATTAATAATCTTTCTATACACGTTTAAATATATTATACATGGTTGTCTTAGTCAGTTATGTGTTTTAAATGGGTTTTTAAGGAATCAATGGTAAAATGGTCAGAATTGCTAAACATGGCTGATAATGCTATCAATACTAACTCATTATTTATAGTTAGTTTAGTTCATGCAATATTTAACTCTTCCTAAAAGTATAACAAACCTGATAACAGCAAAAGAAACACATTGAATAATAAGAGAGAGGCTAGAAGATCAGATGACCCATGTCTTTGTGTAACAGAAAGAGTTTTGATGATTGTGGAGGAAGAGTCTTAATTTTCTATCAGACTGTATTTTTCTGAAACTCCAGTATAGCTCAGCAGTTGGAGCAAATCCCATGTACAGACACTACAGTGAGTGTGGCAGTGGTCTCACTGGTAGGATCAAAATTCCTGGTCCTGACAGGATATGGTGGATGTAATCCTTCACTCTCTCCCCACATTTCCTGTCTCTCCCTATCTAATGAGGGCCAAAGTCCCCCCACCCACCCTAGAAAAAGTGTTTTTGCTTAACATGTCCATTTCTAAACATCTACAATTGCACAGATTTCCTGGTAAGTTTGCAGTTTCAAATCTCCTCCTCTAAATCTTTGGATACAGATGATTCACTTCAGTGTCAGCATAGTTTGAAAAAGTCCCAGAGCTCCCAGTCAATACAGACCAGTAACACTGACCTCACAGCGCACAAAAACACAGACTCTGCATCAGTAATGTAAAGGAGTTCTTTATCTTCTTATACATGGAGTGTCCTGTCACTCTGACAGACCAGAAAGCAGCGAAAGCTTTCAACCTTTGATCTCTCTGGTGTTTTGAATACCATCCAGCCCTTCAAGCTCGGCGAGAGCCTCTCCACAATTCAGGTGCGCCACAAAATGAGCAGAGAAGTCGTGCAGGAATGTTGTTGTTCTGAATGAAATGAGCGGAGGACGTCGGAGTCGCTGTCTCCACATGACTCCTCTTTCACCTCATGTGTCAACGACACTGAGTCAGGAGGTCTAGAGAATTATGAGCTAAAAAAGTAAAATACGAAAGAGACATAGTGTAATTTTCTGATGATTCTGATGATTCCATGTGTTTCTATCCCACTGAGCAATAGACGGCTATTAGACATCTAGTTTTTTTTAAGACTTAATTTCAACTGTCTAGATTCTGTATATCCTTAAGGACCTTACACACCGGGTCCGACGCGAATATAGAATGTGAAATTAGGAAATATTTGGAGGAGAATTTTGATGTGCCTGACTATACAAATCAAGCCCGATGAGATTTTGTGATGCGTCCCAGGTGGAAGCGAGAAGACTAACACAACAGCAGACTGACTGTTTTTCAGTTCTGATTACACACTAGTGTTGAGATGTCTGTCTGTCATGATAGCATGTACTGAGACGGGGCCAGTACCAGATAAGCACATTAAACTATAATCCGTAAACATAAGGTAACAACCAAGATCTAATGGCGCTGTAACAGCAACGCGATTGAGTTTGAGACATTGAAAATACATATGGTATGTTGTATCTGAACAGGTTAGCTTACGAGCTTAAGTTACTTAGCACAGATGAAAGTTAAAACAAAGACGTTTAGCAAACTGTTAAAGCACACAAACCATCATCATATGAGAAATCCGACGCTATGACTCTCCACAAATTGTCCTTCAGGTCGTTATCTTTGTAATATTTGTGTCTTTTATCAAAAAGCACTCTGTTCTCCGACACGTAAACAATCAGCTGGTCTGCCATGTTGGATATACCGGTTAATCTGACGTCGCAACAACACGCAATCTGATTGGTTAGAAGTGGACACACAGTATGCGAAACGTTGCTGATGTAAATGCTTGTATTGACAGGATTGAAAAAAAATATTGACGTCTGAAATAATCGCACGTAAAAAATGGTCCCGGTGTGAAAGGATCTTTAGACAGAATTTAGACGTTGCACTTTAACCCGTTATTCGATAAGTATTTATTTCAAAAAGCAACTGTGAGTTGCAATACTGATCTCCAAGTTCTTAACCTACATAATAATGATAGCTGTTGAGCAATATACAGTTAGACCTCTGTTAGCCGGCTAGTCTAAACTTGGTCAAATTTAGACGTCTAAAAAAACGTTCATTTTAAGACCTTTTGTTGCCTGATTTCAGACCAGTCGTCTAGGCTACATGTAGACGTCTATCAGACCTCTTTTAGACCAAAAAATGCTCAGTGGGATGACGGAGAGGACAGGAAAATTGTTAAACGCCTCATGTTCCTGTGAGCATAAATCAATAGAAATGTGTTACCATTATTAAATTAGGTGATAAATTATAACGCCCTCTGGAGATTGCACTTGCACAAAACTTGGTTTATTTTTCATGCAGGTAGAGTAATTCTTTTAATTTATGTGGTTACTCTTCATGATAGGATTTGGTCTGGAGTGGAATCAAGTGCTGCTGCAGGAATCAAGTTTCTTTCACAGAGATCTGCAGAGGAGTCTCATAGTCTGGGTGCTTCCACTCGCTCTTAGAAAATACAACATGTGCGCGCTGCAACACAAGGAATCAATGCATCTAGTAGGAATAAGTATGTGATTTATTATGAGGAATGCATTCTGTCAAAATGTCATCGCACACCCTGCGTTTCTCACAACAGAGAAAAGGCAAAATGCCTCTTTTCTGTTGTAATGAATAGACACAGGAGACATCAAAGAGCGTGCTTTGTGCAGCGGGGTTCAGGCCACACAAATCTATACAGCCTGAATCGACTGTTGCTGAAATTTCCCACAGGCAGCCGATGGACACAGGACCACACGCCACGCAGCATTGACTAAACTCTACCGTGGATACACAAAGCAGAGGCTAAACTGCACAAATACAAACACACTTAAAGACGATGGGCGACAACAGGCTAATAAGCAGAATCCATGCAATTACACAAATACAGAAATGTCGGTGCATCAAAAATAAACCTGCAACACCCATCTGTGACTGCATGGAAATCCCTTGTGATAAAACCGGTCAAATTTGCATTGCAAAGCAGGAGCTTTATGAAGCTGGTGGGTTGACATATGTGGGCATGTTTGCGCAAAACACAGACACACAACACCCCGAGGCAAGGGGGAAGTCAAGTGACATGGCTGCATACCCAGAAGGACAAGCACATTTCTGTCCCTTGAGTATAAAATTGAAAACTCACACCCACAAAAACACTCGAAAACCATGTACGTATCCATGTGTGTCTGCGTGCATCGTGTGCTTGCTGTGCTCTGTGGGAAAAATATCCATTAGCCTGTTGTTCACGGTGTATTCAGCTTGGTACTGAAACATCTAACAACATGATTCGCTTATGGAGCCGATGGGTATCTGCTGTATCTTTCATTGTGCAGTGCACTTTACATTCTCCATATAGTGCACTCATTCTCTGCATTCTGTATTTATACATTCCGATGACGTCAGCCCGCCACAAAGCCTGGTATTGAGGAGGTTACATCCGCCCACGCTCAGTCACAGCACAGCCTCATGAGAAGCCCTGCGCATATAAGTGTGTGACATGTTAATTCAGATGTACTGTCACCACACTTCGAGAGAGAGAGAGAAAGAGAAAGAGAAGGAGAGGGATTTCTTTTTTTAATTCAACATGTGACAAGAGTGTTTCCACCATCTGTGATGCTCGACAAAAACCACATACAGATTCTCACAGAACAGGAAGTGAGGTAAACAAAGCCGTCTTTATCACCTCAGCATATAGCATTATCTTTATACAAAACATACATTGTCTTTGAAGCAGTGTGAGAACAGACTCAAAAGCAGCTGACGACAGCAATACAGTTCAAGATATTGAACTTGAAAAGGAGATAAAGTTGTATGTAGGCTGAGTCTGGCTGACTCTGCTATAACACAGACATGTGGGCATTAACCTGGAGCTAGTGCCAAAGACAAGGAGTGCTAGCTCTGTTAGCTTTAGCATCAGCATCAATCCAAGCTGAAAGATCTACATACAGACTCTCAGTGCGTTTACATGCACAGCTTAGTCGGACTAAGCTCATAATGCATTTTTTTCTGCTGAATCTGACTTCTCTCAGAAGAGAAAATCGACTTATTGACTTGAACATGTCCTCCTCCCCAAAACTAGGGGGCGATATGGGTCCTTTCAGCGGTGCTGTTTCCGACCCCATACAACCGTCAACAACAAGAGAAAGTCTGTGCCAGACGTCAGAGGTGGCTACAACTGCTGCTGGGCATTTTTGAGCAAGAAGATGTTGTTGTTTTTGTCGTACATGATGTACTCGCTACTTTTTCTGCAATTACACGCTACTCCTCTTCTCCAGTGTTTTTGTTCTGGGGTTATGGGGGCGTGGCGCACTCGCACATGTATTGTCCTATCATACTTTGACTACGCTGGTTACAGGGTAGAGAAAATCGAATTTCAATCGCATTATCTGGGTGTCTTAATCCGAGTTCTCAAACGCCGATTATAGTCAGTCTAAGGTGTTTCCATGCACTTCAGTTGCCTGGTCTTAATCAGAGTAAGGCAATAATTTGGTTTTCTAAAGTGTCATGTAAACGTACTGTCTGTGACCCTGTGTAAAGCCATGTTTAATAAATAGTCCTGTAGTCAGAATTGACACTTCCATTTAAAAAGGTGTTTTATTTGTACTTTGCAGTGAAAAAGGGGCTTTAAAAAAAAGGCTCTGTGTTAAGCTAGAACTAGGAGTCATGAGAAGCAACAGAGAGGAACAAGTTTTCCCTGGTTTAAGATGATAAATTATCAGCTTTACTGCCTTTGCATTGCCTTTATTCCCATGGGGCCTCACTGAAAGCTAAACCCTTTTCTAGAGCTGTAGGTAACAACAATCCTCCTGTAAAGTAACACAACTTTATTAGTTTTCAGACACAGGCTCTAAATTAGACTTATTAATCCCCGCCAATCAAAGTGAAAGCCATCCCTAATGAAAGATATAAATATAGCAGTGGAATATAGACATATGAATCTAGAGGGGGGCCTTGGAGACAGGATATTTTTCCATGCATGTGTCCAGAAATTATAATTTGGGTTAAATTTCTTGTACCAAAAGTCAAAGGTCTTAATTTTTTTTTCTTTTTATCACATGTAAAACTTTGAAAGCCTTTGAAGAGCTGAAACTCAAAGGTTGTGAGGTTTAAAGAGCTGTTTTGATGTGTCTCAGAGAGCGCGGCTGTTACAAAACAAAACAATTGGTCATCACAGCTGAACTGGTTTGGCCGATTCTGGCCGTGAGAATGCAAATAGAAAGCTATTATTTGCCTGGGTTGAAACCACAATGCTTTTATGAGTGTGGTCTACTCCAAAGTAAGTGTCCTCGGTCACATGTGTACACAGCAATGCAAAAGTAAAGCAACATGAAAAAGCTTTCAATATTTTCAAACTCGCTTTTCTAAAGTGGAAGAACTGGTTTCTTCTTCCTTCAAAGGTCGGTTATCTGATTCTAAAAAGAAACTGCAGGTAAGGAATGTTTTCATGTGCTCCAAAACGGCATCATGCAAAACAGTAAAGCCTGCAAATCAATTTTAAAGACAGCAGCCAATTATAGTGTTTTCACTCTCTAACTGAGTCAACTATGTAAGTCATAAAACATGACGAGACAAACACAAGTGCTTCACCTCTGCAGTCTAGACCTCAGTCAGGTTGTTGTTTTTCAATCTGATTAAAATACGGTCGGTGATCAATTTACCGCCTTTTATTTCCTTATTTTCTTGTTAATTCACAGATTTGGGGCCACGATATGCAATCCTCGTCACACTTTTCTCGAGTCAACTCAGATTTATTTTGATCTCTTTTCAATCAACAGGCGTTCCAGCTTACATTTTAGAATGAAAATCGATTTTTTGCACCAGGTGTCAATCTCTTTAGCTACAAACAGAAAAATAAGCAAAAAACACGTCGTCTGTGTGGATTCCTCTCAGATTACATACACTGAAAAAAACCTGCACTGTGGCAAAGACACATGCAGGACCTCTTGAGACAAAGTTCTTTGCTGCATTTGTCATGACAGGTCGACGCTGTGCCATTTTAGTCCCAACCATCTATTCCTGAACCATTACCAGTCAGGTGGAGCCCAAAGCAAACCAGTTGGTCAGGGTTTGGAAACAGAGCATGGTCAAGGTCAAAAATATCAGCTAATTTATGCCTCTTTTTTAAATACATACTTTTTGCACAGTATGACAGCTGCTACCCACACATTGCCAATATCCTTTATGTTCTAATAGACATCGAACAATTCATCTCATAGAGGGTGTCACTCTAAGTCGAAAGCTACACAAGAAGACTCAAAAGAAGTCATTGATTACACATTTGTGAAGAAAAGCAATAACTGAGGCAGAGCTGTGGATGACGGTGATCAATGAGGCTGTTTTATAATTATGCTGTGCCCCAGGCAAGGTAAAAAAAAATCAAATGAAACCTATAAATTTCTCTAAAAAATGACTTCATCCCCAAAAATGATCTCTTTATTTGTAGTTTTGTGAGTCCAACTTTAAGTGTTAGCTACACTCTACAACATGTGGTACTGCAACATCAGGTGTGTATTCATATAGGTCTAGAAAATACACAGAAACATGGGTAAACTGAATAGAAAAGTCTTTTTCCATCAAATAATACATATCAGCTGTTTTCTTAACATGAGACCTTTAAGACCCCGACTCTTCAACAAAAAGTCAAGACAAGACACAAACCATAACCTTCAACTTTAGGTGCACAAGTTCCATCCAAAACTTACTATCTTGAACTCCCCTTGTTATTCCTGCCAACCCACCAAACACCCCTGGGGTTTTACTTCAGTGGTCTTACCCATCTACCTGTTTCGCAGGGCTCTGTGTCGCAGGCGGAGCACACATAAGGCAAGACCCCATTTCTTCTTGGTGCTCAGAGACGAGCTTAAATCCATCAGGTATGAAAAAGGAGAGATAAACAGATGGACTGAGACCAGAGAAGCTCCTGCTCTCGCCACAGACTCTTGGACACAGCTGTAGAGGGACAAGACTAACCCTGCCCTGAATTCCAGCAGAAGCCACGTGGGACTGTGACACCCACCTGCGAAGGATGCATCTCAATGCCTGATTGAGTTAGGAGTGTGGAAGCGTTTTGGCACTGATGCTTACTGTAGCACAGGCCTAGATGCATATATTATGTACCGACATAAACATAATACCTCACATACAGATCTGAAATGCAACACCCACAGCACATTAACACCTCTCCATCAAAGACCATTTAAACAGACAAGCCACCTAAAATACATTGTGAACACTTTGGAAAGTCATCTAATGTCGGCTAAGCTTCCAGGCAAAGCTGCTCCTAAAAATACTTTATAATATGATCTAAATGTCAACTCATTAACATGCCTGTGTGTCTGGAGTCAAAGCTTCACATGCTGCTGGTAGGACCCAGTAAATCTGGGGCCTCCAGTCTCAAGCCCATGTGGTATATAAAGCCTGTTATAAAAAAGGGGGATGATATTTGAGTATATAAATCTCCCAGTATGAGCTATAAAACACCTCAGTTTAAAAGACGTTTACTTGTTTTTGGGTTCATCAATGTTTATTTCTGAGGAGAAGCTCTCTATCCACCAATAAGTACCTGCTAGTAGAGATGGGCGATATGGGCTAAAAATATTATCACGATAAGACTTGCCATTCTGGCGATAACAATAAAAAATATGGTAATTCCAGTCTATATTTTGGACTAATTTTGTCTTGAGAACACCAGTTGGAGAAGTCAAATAAGATACTTAACCACAAGTTTGAGTGATAGATTTTGGAGAAAACTAACGACATTAAACAAGTCTCAAATGTGAAAACATTCTCAACATTTGTTGAAAACTCTTATTGCACAGAGTGAACAGATCCGCTGTCCGATGTCAGGCAGACCTGACCGTCTAAACCCCAGTCTTGAAAAAAATCCCTCATGTGGAGCCTCGTTCACTAACGAGCTGCTCAGAAACGTCTTCTTCATTACCTTCAGCCATGTTTGTTTGTTATTCTGCTTTGTGTGGGCTATGGCTGCGCGACTGTCACCCAAGCTTAAGCCATCAACTTGGATTTATCATATTTATCATGAGATGTCAATATTTATCATTTTTCTGACGATATGTCGTGAACGATAATTTATCGCCCATCCCTACCTGCTAGCTGTTGTAGGACTGAATTCATCTGTTTCAATCTTCAAGCCTTTAGCCAGTTTATAGATTTCCTTCTTATGTACATTACATGAAGGTAGCATGATTCATAATAATTTAATAAACCTCATTTTGAAGACAGAAATTGAAAAATGTGTAATGTGACAGTAGTTTAATTGTGTAAAATTATAGACCTTGAATAAGGCCGTCCTGGTCCTGTAAGATCCCCCCACTGTCGTCTTCGAGTTTCCTCTACTATCTACTATCCTATTAATTAGAAAAAAGCAAAAAAACAAACAATAATCTTAATATAAGTTTGTGAATCTGTGGCTAAAGGGTTGAGCACATCAAACTTCATGTAGCATCTGCAGGATTAGCACCCAGTTCTAGAGCCAGAGGTAACAGATACTAAATGAGTTTATAACTTTGATGGCAAGTTCCATGAGGATCGCTGGGCTGGTAGGGATTAAAACTAACAGATTTTTTTCCACCATGTTTCCAAATAATGAGAGAGAAATAGAATTTTTGTTAAACTTTCTTATTTTGGTAAGAATTTGTGATCGTGTTGTCTCTCTTTCAAAAGGTAGTGATAAATTTCTCGAAATTAATAAGCACACATTAACCGTTATAAAAGTGAAACCATAATTGTTAGTCGGATCACAACAGTGCCACCATAATCTCTGCACACTGTGCCTTTGCCTTTAGGGCAGACTTTTTTACAGTGAGGAGAAGGAGAGTATTTAAGACCCATGATCACAAAACCGAGCCCGGCAGTGTGTGCCAGCAGCACCAGGGCGACACACACCGTTATTGTTCGTACCACCACTCTTTTGATGTGAAACCAGACTCCTGGGTGTGAGCTGAGCAAAAGTTGGCACACTGACAATCTGGAAGTGTTTCAGGGGTCCAGAGCTTGAGAGGCCCCTCCCTCTTAAGTCTGAACAACAACAAGAAGGAACATCTATGACCATACAGCAGCAGGAGGACACACAACAAACAACTGCACAGTTTTCTCAGAGACACAACAGAGGAATATTGTTCTGAGTTAAACAGCAGACAAGTGACTCAGTCCTGCAGAGCAGAAGGTGATGATGAGAGGTTATACGTGCAAGCATGGACATGTTTATGTGTTTGTTTATGTGTGTGTGTGGGAGGACAAAAAAGTGGTACCTTTATGTGCAAACATGCTATCTTTTCTACGCAGATGCATATGCAGAGCTGCAGAAACAAACACAAACGGGCCATTATCATTCCTCTGCTTCAACACTGCAGCATCAGTAGAGATTAGTCTCCCAGTGACCTAGCATTACCCAACACACTGCGCAAGTCTGCAGAGAAACATCTATCTTCTCCCTCCATCTTCCCCCTCTCTCTCTTTTTTTATCTGTCTATCCGAGGCTCCCCAGCCGTCTCCATCGCCTCTCTCCAGAGGTTTCTGCTGTCCTTTCCTGTTCTCTACCCTCTATGTCTCTATCTCAATTGCTCTCTTTCTCTCTCTCTCTCTCAAGCATTCTTCGGTCGGCTTTATCCTCTCTTTCTCAATTCCTCTGTGGCTTCATCTCTCTCCCTCTTTCAGGGCCGTCGCTGTACCACAGTCCTCTGCTCTTTCTCCTTCGAAAAAAAAGACCCCTTAAATTCCCTCTCCTTCCTATATTTCTGGTGAGCTTAATTTAAACAGTGTCAAAGCAGTAGATAATTATAAAATAATGAGAGGTAAAGGCGCTAGCTGTATGCTAACAATCCACACTGCAGTTAAAGGCATTGTACAGTAGGACAGGGGAGCTAAAGGAGAATATTTTACCTCTATTCTTGTTGCATAATGGGAATACAGTCTATTATTAGTGTTGTTAGGATTGCTTATTAAAACCAATGAGCTCCTCCTGCACAGTAGGTGGCTAACAACATACTAACAGAGTGAGCCACTTTATGGACCTCGAGTATGATTGTTATTGTTACCTAACAGCACATGTTTGTAGTAGAGGAAAATTAGAGCAGCTCATTTATTCATTCATAACACATTAAAACAAAAACAGTTTCCCTTTCGATACTGCAAATACAGCGTGTAGAGGGAAATAAAAAATACCAGGATGGGTTGCATAACTCTTCTACAGGGGCTCTGTAACAACAATAAATGTTGTCATTAATTATTCGGCCGAACTGCATGAGATCTGGTTACAACAAAGAAACTCAAAACCTGTTGAATGAAAGCAAACACCAGATGACAGAAGGATAAGATGAGAGAACGACAACAGAAGAAGAAGAAGGAGAGATGAAGGAGTTAAAGAGACAGAGAGAGGAGTAAGTGAGCGATCTGACATAACTCCAGCTATGCGGGAAAGACTGGAGTGCTGGGAATGTAAACAAACCAAGTCAACAGGGACTAAGGGTACTGGACACTGGAATACAAAAACCAAAACAAGAGGAATCCAAGGCTCATGATATAGAATAAAAGAAGGGGTGATAAAATACCTTTTTACTTTTGTTTACCTCAAAGTTATGTAACTAAGTGATAAATCATACAAAGCTTTTGTCAAAACCAATGTACAATCTTAGAGTGGAGAAGTGTTAAACCAAAAGTATATGTTTACCGATGAGGACAATCAGTAGAAGTAGAGCCAAGTTGTACCATGTCATAGAAATCATTTTCATGCAACCTAAAAAATGACAATTGAGGCTAAAAAAAGCGGTCCTACAACCAGCAGGCAACTTTTGCTGATTCATATCCATTAAGAAATGAGGGTAACATTGGTCTGCATCAACAGAGCCGGTGAAGACTGAAGTATATTTGCAATCACATGAATTATTTTGGTTATTTTTCAAAAATTGGAGGGTAAAAAAACAAAACAAATATGCTGGTGGTCCCTTGGCTTTTCAGCAATAATGTTCTCTCCTTCCCCTTTACTGTTTTTGCTTTAAGGATGCTAACAAGTTAAACTAAGCTAGTGAACATGTGCCACGACAAAATGCACGTACAAACGTACAACATTACAACAAACTCAAACAGCCTGTCCTGCACACTGTATACTTCACAGTATACCATTAACAAAATACTGATAGACCTCCTCTCTGCGTCATCAACGACTTGCCATCCAAAAGCTACGATGGCTAAGATAGCATGCCCACCAGACAGCACTTAAAATTCAACAACAGTTACCCGGGATTTCCACCGCATCCAGAATGGCTCTGATACGGAATGGCAGCGATTTTCACCGTATGCCAATACAGGAATTGCGAGAACTCACGAGAACCCGCGGATTCACGTGCAATCGTGCGATAACAAGTTGTCTCTTAGCCACAGGGGCTAACCATTTGAACAGTAGATTGTGTTCTTCCAGAGGAGGAAATCTACTTCTAGACTTATAAAATCAGCATCCTCTCGTCCATGGTGTCATCTGAATGAAATGCTGTCTGATCAGATGTTTTATTTTGTGTCTGTGCCAAACTCCCTTTCCAGCAACGGGTTAATCTGTGCTGAATTTATCTGGCATGCTCCTGCGTCCAGAAAAAACAGAACTCTTGCGATCAGTTGAGGAGTCCAGGATCTGCAGTGGAATGGAAAGAAGCCAGTGGAAATTGACACATTAACTTGAATGGTTACGACCAGCTGACTGGCGGATCCGGCCTTTTTGTAGCCGTTACAGATGCAATAGTAGAAATGGACAGTGATGTCAATTTTAAAGGGAACACCCCCCATTTTTCATTCATTTTTTTAACGCAATGCAACTTTTGAGCGACTTGACAAATGCCCTTTCATCTTCAAATGACCAAAAAAACAAACAAAAAAACAATCTCCCCCTAAAACATGAACAACTCCCTCTCTGATCTACACCGTGACTTTACATCTGCTGGTGCTGCAGTGAGACCTTTAACCCTACATGACACTACCTGAAACCAAAACACCGCCATGTCACTTGAAGAAGATCAGGTGCCTGGGTCTGGATCACATGACCAACTCCTTGAGGGTATTGCTATGGCAACTGTATTAGACAAGCTACTTGTGAGGTGTCTTGTTCCCGACTGCTGCGGGTTTGACTCAGTGATTCTTGTTACTGATTAACAACTCAGCATTTTATTGGGCAGGGTGGAAATTCACAGGGTATTTCTGCAAGTAAGGAGCGGGAAAGTACTGCTATTCTGACGGGTTAAGCTTGTTTGCAAAGCTTGAAAATTTTCACTTAAGTTTTGACAACACATAGACCCACATCTGCTAATATTTACCATTGACACAGCATTGAGGAACAAGGGAGAAAACATACATGAGATATCTCTCTCCTCCATTCCTAAATGGAGAAAATAGGTGAAAAAGAAGAGAAAAGGGAGGCAGGAGAGAAAGTAGAGGCAATGATCTTTTACTTTCCATACATAGGAGGGGGGCTGGGGAGGGGGGATAATGGAGGCCAGAAAGCCAGACAGGCAGGGCAGGTCGGCTAGTTAGCTTGCTAGCTCCCTGCCACGCTTCATTAGCTGTTGTCATGTCGCTGCATGGCTGAGGTTGCACACGTCTGTGAGTGTACGTTTGTGTGTCTGCAGTGATGTGGGTCGGACCAGAGAAGATGGTGGAGGGCATATAGGCCAGTCGAGGCTACATACACACAGTGTGTGTGTGTGTGTGTGTGTGCATGTGTGAAAGCTGCCATGGCTCAGGCTTGCAGAGCTGGATGTGATGTTGTTGCTGCAGCATCGGCCTGGCACACACACAGCTTCTTTCTGCCCAGCACTTCTCTCCCTTTTATCTTTTGCTTACGTTTAATCTCTTTTAAGTCTGTTCTGATTTTTTTTTTTTTTTTATGAGAAGACTGCAAAAAATATTCTGGCTCCTGATTTCAAAATGCAAATATTAACTGTTTCCATCCAGAAAGACTAGGCTGAATTAAAGCTGCAACTAAGAATATTTCATTTCTTATTAAAGTGGTTTAAAATGTTACACCAAAATAGCTATTTACCATTAACTTTGGCAGCAAATCAATACTTTTAACAAGCCAAATCAGGCTATTTTCCTGCATTTTTGCTCAAAGACGGTTGATACCATTTGATTAGTTTTTAAAAAGGGTAATAAATCATGTCTTTTCATAATCATGCTGCTAATGGAGTATTTGTTAGGGCTCTGAATACAGTATCCTTCGGTTCTTGAGTCTGAGGCCTGGCAAAGCTCTTTTAATTTATTTTAATTACTTTCTGGTATTTACAGACCGAAAATTTGCAAATTTTAAGTTTTTTTGTTATAACACCCTGTGAAATTACTGATCTGTTTTCAGGGAGAAAATAAGCAAGAAGGCGGTGTTTTAACAGGTTTTAAGCAGATGAAAGAGAGGATGAGATGAAGTCTTAAAAGTTGTTGGAAATATCTGGAGACGTATTTGCGTTTGCATCAGTGCTTCTTCCTCAGAAATCCTTCATCTAACACCGGATGATGACAGGCAACATTTTAGTCTGGTTCTTGTTTGTGATGCTACACTTTATGTTTCTCTGTCTGTCTCCTTCTTCCTCCCACCTTTCATCACACCTGTCTTTTCTCTTTTTCACTTTCGTTCCTCTCTTTGCCCCTTCTCTGTCTCTGGGATGATTGACATTTTTAGTAATCACTGTAATAATCAAGCATCATCCAGTCTCACTTACAAGCTGCAGAAACACACTGATACACACATACAGGAATTCTTAAACAATGCATATAGATTAAAAGATAATTAAACCAACCTGCACTTCACTTCTTCAACAAAAGACTGCAAAATTTGTATCAGCTATCAGATTTAAAGAGGGTGAAGTTTACCCAATAATAACCTTTCAGTCCTCGTCTCTAACTCAACACAAGAGCTGTGAGAAAGCCTTCCGACAAAGCCGATAAACTCTCGACCTTTGAGTGTTTATTTGTTCAACTTTCGTTTAATCCCCAAAGAAAGTCTCTTCAAAGGACATAAGTAAGCCCTCCACCCAACAGCGTCGGTTCTGACCTAAACTGACGAGCCGTCACACCGCCAGAGAAGATTTAAGCTGCTGCTGATGTCAAAACACTTACATATCCCTACACACACACACATACTTCTCACCCACCTCTCCCCCCATTTCCACCCCCAATCCATCTCCATCTCAGCCATGCCTCGAGTGCCAAGTTACACAATTAGGTCGTCTTCCTAACCCAAGTGTTCAGAGAGGAATTTGTCACAGTGCTGCCTCTTGTGCTCTTTACGGGCCCAAATCCATCCATCCTTTTGGTTTAGCACATCAATTATCCAAGTCATTCTGCCTTCTTGTTGACAAACATGTTACTGCACATCCCAAGTGATTCACCACAGCCTATACAGCATGTGAGTGTGTGTGAATGGTGCCTGGGGCCCAGATGGCTTTGTAGACAGAAAAATCGACGTCCACAGGTTTTTAGAGTCCATTAACACAAATGAAGATGACATACAAAACTAAACATCATGTCATTCTGCTTCTCAAGTGAGTCAAAATCTTAATAATTGATAATAAGGATGTAATTGTTGTGTGTATATTTTCAAAATAAAATCGTTTTCCAGTGGCATTAGTTGCATAAGTAAAAGAGAAAACAGAAAAAAAAAATCTAAATGCTAATTTCTTTCAACAATGAATCCCACAATGGTTTTCAAATTTGAGTCATTTAATAAACAGGGAAATAACCTCCTTGTATCCAAGAAGCCACTAAGTGAAATAGTGAGTCATACAGTCATGGTAATTAGCCATAGGTCATATTTTTATCAATTAAAGCTCCAGTGGGGGTTGTTTTTCTGTTTATAAAATAGACTTCAATTCTTACTGATCCTTTCTTACAATATACAAAAGCAAACGAGTGACAATATTGATAGTCTTAATGTTGTCGTTTTAATGTCTAATATGAGTGCAGTGGGGTAGGTGTCAATCGAATGGCTGCAGAAACAGTTTCAAATTGGATCCATATTGGTAACTGAAAATATCATTGTATTTGTCATGTCAGTCTCCAAATTCTTGCACATCAGCATAAGGGTCCAACTCTTTTTTCTACATAAGCAAACAGTTTGGTATCCGTTTGTGTCTCGCCAGAATTAGCAACCCAGCTGTCCATTTAAGTCTAACAGAGCTGAGCTGCACATACCCCTCTGAGCCGATGTGGCACCCAGATCGGCCTTATGGTATTAAGTGTTACTGAGTGAACTAGAAGGGAAACAAAAGTAATAACCTAATGATTAACTGTACTCACACTTCTGTTTAGCTATTCTAGTTGACCTCAGACGGGGACTAAAAGGCTTCTGCAGGCATTGTGACTGTTGTCATATGAGACGTTTCGGCCGTTAGAGTGGGCAGCATTGTTAGTCTGAGTGTGGCTCATTGTTGCTACCTGTCATGCAACAAGGGACTGCTGCATTAGTCTTAATTACAGTCAGACGGCTGTGACCCAAACAATACAGGAGGGGGAAACCTAGCCAAGTGATGAAATGCACAAACTTCAGCACACCACGGCTGCCAGATGATGCTTTATATACAGTATGTGTGTGTATATGTGTGAGTAAGGATGCTTTTCACCCCTCTAAAGCATAATAAGATCAGAGGTACATCTGTTTGTTTCTACCACAGCCGCTTCCTTCCTGGAAATTAAACTTCACTTCATTTCCATCCAAATCTGCCAATGCTACGCCGCTCTCCTCTGTGCCCAACTGTCCATGTAATAACGCCTGATACTGTTAGTGCCCGTTTACTTCTGCCTATCTGTGTTGCCCACTGCGCCGTGATTCGAGTGTGCCAGTCTGGGGCCTGGCGCTAGCTTGTGTGGATGGCAGCGGCTCTGCCTGATCGTACTTGGCACAGCATCAGTGGCTACCTGAGTCATCCAGTCTGCCTGCTCCTCACCCTCCAGCACCCGTCAAATCGAGCTCTTTCCGCATTTGCACACTGAAATAGGACTGTGGGTTCGGCGCAAACAGATCTGAATAGATACAGGGTTTTAACGCACGCCGGAAAACAGCGTGGATACACAGCAGCACCACTCTGACGTCTTTAACAAAGTCTAAGAAAATTAAAACACAACACTTTTAATTGGCCGAGTTAGGAGATATTCTAAATCAGGAACATCAAAGGGACTTTGTAAGAAAAAAGCGCTCACTTTGATCGTGTAAACCTTAATGGGGAGGGTCTTTTTAAGCATAAATAGCTACAAATGATTAAAGAGGTCTACTGAATAGGCAAGGCCAAGGTGCGTCTGAACTATGGCTAGCCTAGACACAGGCGGCACTTCCTATATTTTGCAACATCCTGCTAAGACATGTTGAGATGATGCTTGCATGTGCATGTGCGTCTTTGTTAGCCATGTGACTGATAATACCCCGTGACTTTACTTATGGATGCTCTATACATCATGCAAAGACTCCTTACAGCTGGTCAAAACGTTATAAAACTGCCAGTGTGTGCAGGTTAGGAGTTTGTGAGGCGTTCAGAGGTGCCATTGTTCAGTAATGCTATGCACTGAGGTGCGTCATGTGGCGAGCTGTTGTCTTGCATCGCTGCCGAGATGCACTGCTGCTGCTGCTGTTGTTGGCGCTGCTAATGTTGACGTGTGATGACACTCTTGCTGTGTAAGCTGTGTGCTTCAACGCCATACAGAGACAGTGTGTGTGTGTGTGTGTGTGCCTGTGTGTTGGCGCGTGTGTGTGTGGTATTGTTGTCATAGGAGATGTTGCAGCCTCCAAAGGCAATACCAGCACCTCGAAGGAGAAGGGGGATGATTTCAAAATGAGGTCCAAACATTTTCCGTCAAAGTGTATCCAGTAAAACAGGATGTTCTGTTCTTCTGCACCATGCAACAGTAAAAAAAATAATGCTGTTTTTCCCTCTCTCCTCGCTACAGTCAGACTGCTGTGACCCAGACAATAGAAGAAACCAGCTCAGGACCCTCAGACAGAAAGAGAAACAGAAAGAAAGAGGGCACAGAACATGGAGGTGCTGAGGGGGTTGGTGGTTGGAGAGGAGGAGGAGGAGGAGGAATGCAAAAAAAAGAGACAGAAAGAAGGAAATGCAGACATACGCAGACATATGGGGGTGCGATGGTAGAGAAGGAGAGAGGCAAGAAGGTGTTACCTTTCAGGGGACGAGGATTTCTCCGAGTTCACGGACATGAGCGGTGCCTGTTAGCCGCTCGCTGGCCGAGGGACCTCAGGAGACGGCGAAATAGGACAAAATGCTGCTTTCTCTCTGTTTCTTTCACTCTGCTCCCTCTATCTCTCTCTGCTGTGTGTCTTGGGTAAAGGAGAGGAGAGGGTTACTGCCTCCCCTCCTCCTCCTCCTCCTTCTTCTTCTCCTCCACCTCCTCCTCCTCGTCCTTTACCTCCTCCAATTCCTCCTCTCCGTCTCTCTTGTCCTCTCACTCAGAGGAGAAGAAAGGATGGAGGACAAGGCTCCGCAAAGGATAAAAAAAGAGCAGCAACTGTGCAGTGCACAATCTGGCTGGATGTGTGTGTGTGTGCAGGTCTGCCTCTGTCTGATAGCAAGAGCAGCAATGTCAGTCAGGCGCCCCTCCTCATGCCCCAGCCTCCTTCCTCCCTCCCTTTCCTTCCTCCCTTCCTTCTCCTCTTTCACCTTGCCTCTCTTTCACTTTCCTTGCTGTCTCCGAAACTCCTCTTTTTTCTCTTTTGTCCTCCCCTTCCTCCTCTCTGTGTCCTTCCTCTCTGGTTGGACCGGGTGATGAAATGAATACACAGGCTCTGGATCCAGAGTGTGTGTGTCTGTCTCTTGTCTCTTGTATCCCTCCCTTCCTCCTCTCCCTGTCTAGCTGGCTCTGTCAGGCCTTCTGCAGCTCTGCACAACAACAGAGCCCAGAGCGAGCTGGAACGTTCCATTCCTCGCACAGGCAGAGGGGTGTCAGCTTGTCGTAGCAACAGGAAAATTGATGCTTTTCTCCTTGAGGTGCACTCTCCTCCCCCTTTTTTCCACTCTGAGTAAGCCTGTCTCTCTCTCTCCTCCTCCTCCTCCTCCTCTCTCTCTCTCCCAATTGCCTTATTACGACATCCTGTATCTCAGGGCAACGCCGCACAGAGCTGCCTTGCTCTCTCTCCCCCTCTCTTCTTCTCTCGATATAACATCCTCCCTCCTTTTTTTCGAAACCCCCATTTTCACACCAAATCCGAGGCGATGTTTGCGTATATGCACACGCGTGTCTCATTCATTCCAGCCTCCGTCCCCGTCCAACTCTATTTTCTCGCCATCTCTCTAGGCAGATGGGTCTGCTTCTACATGAGTGAGCAGCTCGCTGAGAGGTAGCCAGAGGGTGTGCCACGATGGGGGTCTGTCTCTCTCTCTCTTTATATCTGACCTCAATAATGGTGTGGATGTATGTGTGTGTGCATCAACATGTATGTGTGTGAGAGATAATGCACAGCGGGGATGAAAGGGGGCATCCTGAGGTTAGAGTGGCTGTGCAGTCAACCAAGGAGGTTAAACTAACTGTACATGAGTTTTCAGTATCTACAGGGTTAGATTTTAATTTTTCTGTTTACTGACCTCAGGGATGGAGGGGGGATGAGGAGAAGGCTCAGAGATGTGTGATCCGCTGTACATCGTGCAGCTTTTTCCTGTGCATCATTTTGGCATTACTAGTCATTACTTAGTCATTTCACAGTTGAACGTATTGCACATGTATGTATTATCTATGTATTTATTGCTGATTCCTGGTGCTGACAGGGGAATGTTTGGGCCACATGCTGTTGTGAATGTCTGGCAATTGTCTGTTCCTCGACTGTTTAATAACAAAGTGGGTTACTGTCAAAATGAATTGCCCTTCGGTAATGAATAAAGTTGTCTGGCTAGATTTCCAATCAGTGTCTTAACAGTTTTTTATTTTGCTAGGTAAACCAAAAGAAGATAATGTCCTCATGGAACATTTAAGCATTTTAGCCTGAAGCATACTAGCATGGCCTCAAACCCTGTAGATGGTATTGTAGCAGTGGAGCCTGTTGCCTCGCCCTGTTTTATTACATAGGGTCTTCAGTCGGGTAAGACATCGAGTCTCGAGCATCGATGGGAGCCGTGACTAACATTCCGATCCTCCGGGAACCATTCAAATTTTTTAATTTACAACAGTATCAATGCTAAACTGACGACCAAGAGATATAGCCGGTGAACACCAATTAAGAAGAAGAAGCCGAACACGAACAAAAAAGAAGCTGCAGAACACCAACAGAGAAGAAGCTGCTGAACACCAACCAAGAAGAAGCCCCTGAACATTAATAAAAAAAAGAAGCCAAACACCAACAGAGAAGAAGAAGCCGAACATCAACAAAAAAGAAGCTGCCAAACACCAACAAAGAAGAAGCCCCTGAACACCAACGGAGAAGAAACCGCCAAACACTAATAAAAAAAGAAGCCAAAAACCAACAAAAAAGAAGGCGCCAAACACCAACAAAGAAGAAGCCCCTGAACACCAACGGAGAAGAACCCGCCAAACACTAATAAAAAAGGAGCTGAACATCAACAAAAAAGAAACCGCCAAACACAAACAAAGAAGAAGCCGCTGAACACCAACAAAAAAGAAGCCACCAAACATCAATGGAGAAGAAACCGCCAAACACTGATAAAAAAAAGAAGCCAAACATCAACGGAGAAGAAGAAGCCGAACACCAACAAAGAAGTTGCCGAACACCAACAAAAAAGAAGCCGCCAAACACCAATAAAGAAGAAGCTGCCGAACACCAACGGAGAAGAAACCGTCAAACACCAACAAAGAAGAAGCCGCTGAACACCAACAAAAAAGAAGCTGCCAAACACCAATAAAGAAGAAGAAGAAGCCGAACAGAAAAGAAGAAGAAGAAGAAGAAGCCACAGCGGCGGTTAAAAGTTTAGCTAAACTTTCCCTTACCAAAGGGAAGTATGTTTAAGTGTACTTACATTAGCCTATACTGTGTTTAAACTGAGTATGCTATCAGTTTACTTTTACGCACTTTTAAAAAATATAGTTAACAAAGTTATAGTTAAGTATACTTGGTTTGTACTAAGAATAATACTAAAAGTATAAATACATTTAACATTTACATTATATTTGACTCAACTTTTGATTAAGATGCACTTAAGTATGTATTTGTGCCTTTCATTTAAGTAAACTTGGCTTGTGCTGCTTATCTTGTTAAGAGTATACTCTCTTAAAATTATAAGCAGTACAAGCCAAGTACATAAATATGTACTACTATTGAAATAATACCATACCAAAAAGGTAACGTCGAGTATGTGATAATGGCCGAGTGGGTTGAGGCGCACCCCATGTTGGTGACTGAGGTCCCTGCAGTGGTCGCGGGTTATTACCACCAGAGGCAGATTCTAAGTGAACCAACACAGAGAAACACTTCTGGAAGGCGCTGCAGAATAAATGGAGGAATAACACACTTTCCAATCACTGCGATCAGCTCTGGCGATATGGTGATAGCTCTAGCCTTTTTTCTGATTTCTGCAGCTATACTTCTAATACAATCCACACTGAAATAACTAGAAGATGTATATCATCGCACACAGACACCTGCTTTTTGCAAGATCTTTAAAAATTTTTGCAAGCATGTGCAAGAACAATGTATTCAACCAAAACTCGTTACACACAGACAACAACATCTTATTGTCATTTCGTTTTTTCAGTGGTTAAAATTTGGAGGGTGTCCAAACCAATGAGCAAACCATCAAGACAAATCCACTCAATATCCAATTTTTTTTACTAGATGATGTATATCAAGCAAGTAATTTTGTATCATCTACTGCAGGTTACATTTTCATAAAAGGTACATGTGTGTAAAAAAAACACCATGGCCATATATTTAAGTGCTATCAGACACTGAGTGAAAGGGAAAAAAAAAGAACAGGAGCACAATGATTCTTCTTCTCTCCTATTTCCATACAGTTCCACTTTCCCACATAAAAGGACTACATTAGGCACACATGTCTCTGAGCCAAACTATTGTCCTCATTCTCTGTGGATGTGGGCCAGTGGGGGGTAAAGCACATAGTGGGTCTGTGCACATCCAGACAGCGAGGGTAATATTGAGCTAATGTGAGAGGGTGCACTCGACTCTCTATTTATTTTCCATAACCTGTTTTTTTTTTTTTTCTTGGGTTGAATGGCAGTGGGGGAGGGGGTCCAGAGTTGTATGATGCATGTAATGTATTGCAGGAAATAGCCCTCACTAACCAACAGTTCAACACAATCAAAACATAAATACCAATTTTTCTGCACGTTATAGCATTAAGTTAAAGAATAAAAAGATAGAGACAAGTAAAAAAAGTGCCTGAATATCTTTTTTTTTGTTTGATGAATTGATGTATAAGGTTTCAGTGCACACTGTAACTTACAGTACATTTGTGACTAAATATAGAGGTGTATAGATGCAGCAGCAGTAGGTGAAGATTTTGCATTTTTCTTGAGGATACACTGCTGGCATATCATCACACACAGATGATGCCCTAGCGGCCTGTACAAGTGGCTGCCAGCCAACCAGTGATTTTAACCTGGTGGACAATTTTTCATTTTCTTTATTTTCTTCATATTTTCTTTAAATCAAGGTGTCTCAAGTAGTGCCTACTCTGCAGGTAACAGTGAATAACATTTAATATTACAACAACTCTTGAGGCTGCTCATACATCTTACACTGTTTACTGTATACTGGAGTACCATTTGTGCCCTTTCAAAATAAAACTCAAAAACAGGAAATGGAGTAAAGCACCACAAATAACACAACCTTGAGATATTAATTTAAAAAAGAAAACAGTATCATGAACCAAGCAGTGTGATTTAAATCATATTAAGTCAAACATTTACCTCTACAACTACGACACAATTTATCTCTTTAACCATAAAGATAGTTTATTAATCTTTAATAATCATTTAGAAACAGCATATAGACCAATTATAAATAGCAAATAGGTAGTTTATTAAAGTCAGTTAACACTTACTTTACCATTACAAGCAATGAAATTATGATTAATAATTTTAAATAATTATTAATGGACTATTTAAAGGTTTATACAAGGTTAAAATATTGGTTGTAAAACATCTAGATTAAAATGTGTGTCAGTAGAATTTTGTAAATGGTTCATATTTGGTTTTTAAACCATCTATAAACATTACTTAGATGGTTGTCGTAAACTTAGGGTGAGAGTTAGGGTTAGGTTTTTTTAAAATTTACAATTTATTAATGATCTGTATGCTATTTATAAATTATGATTAACATTAATAAACTATCTGCTTACCATTTATAAGTTGTCATTTTACTATTTATAAGTTATGGTTATTGTAAAGTGTTACCGAAGCTTCTTAAATCAGTATGTTATTTTTAAGCATTGGAAAACCTCAATCAACATTTTTTACCATTATTTTATACAAATTATAATTTTTAAGTGATTTTTTTTGTTTCTGTGTAAGAAGGATGGAAGTGTGGATAGAAAAGGAAAGTGGGAGAGAGAAGGGGGATTGCTATGTGGGTACAGGGGTGCAGTTTCATCTAACCCAGCCCATCCACTTGAGGACCATAGCCTCTGGTGATAGAATACATATCTGGATCATTAGGCCAAACCAGCACCCTGATTGTGTGACGATAAAAACAATCTTAAGTTGCATCTCTTTGAGCGGATCACAGCTCAGAGGATGTCATAGGTGACAAACCTCCAAAATGAGACCCCCTGATTTTGATGGATGCTGTGGTACAATCCTGACGTCACCTTTCCATCGGGATAACTGCCAAGTGAGACCATCCCCCACCCCACCCCCCAAAAAAGAAAAAGCTCATTCACGTGAAGAGAAAACACGCACATGCACACGCACGCACATCTTTATCTGGGGATATTCACAGAGGCTGTCAGTTTCTAAATTCAAAGGCTGATTCCTGTTCCATTTTCAGTGGCAGAAGGAGCGAAAGAAGAATAAGAAAGAGGAGGAGGGAGAGGAGATGATGACTCTCATGAGCAGATATATTTTGGGAGCCGGTATTGAGGCTGCCGGGAGCTATCTTTAAGCGGCCTACTTCTTCTCACTGCCTGGTGGATGCTGGGGAGAGAGAGGAGGGGGTTTTAACACTGCATTCACACACACTTGCGCACACACATGTCCCACTGCAAACTGCTTCTGGACATATAGTCCACTCAAACACAAGTGACGCCACAGACAGAAATCACAGCGTAATACAACCCAACTGACGGACGAGGAAGATGCTGCTTCTTCAACGGTGACTGTGCTCTTTGTAGCCTTGTTGTTTCAGTCTGCAGAGAAAACACCGCCCTCTAGTGGGGAGATTCAAAAGCACACACACACAAATTCATGCCCACAATGTGGCTAATATTGTAGTGTGAGTTTAGAGCAGAGTGTGTCCAGATTGACATGCTGATAGCCTCAGGTCTCCCTTAGAGCATCTCTTTTTCTTTGTTGTGCACTTCCATATGGTGAGTATTCGTCTACAATTCAGAAGCCATGGCACAGCGGGTGGATATGCGAATCTGCACACAAAGTAAGGGTTGTGTTGTGAGTGTTACGCTCTGAAAAATGTAAAAGTCAGGGGAAATTTACATCTATTACACAAACAAGAAAACTTTTTAATGTGTGAGCAGTTAAATTTTACATTTCTATTTCCTGCTTTGAGAAGAGGACACCTTTACCTGTATATCTTACATCAACAGATTATTTTCTATCAAGGGGACCTTTAGACCATTGAAGTTGAGTGTACCTTTAAGTAAGAGTTAAGGTGCAGTGGGCAGGTGATCACGTGAAGTATAGGAATTGGACAGTCAGAATAATAAGGTGAACAAGAAACTCCAGCAGGTTGACTTAGCAGCCATAAAATATGACGTTAGAAACAAACTTCTGTCAAACTTCCAATAATTCCTTGCAGTGAGTCATGAGTTTCACAAATCATCTGGTCAGCTCCTCTAACTCAAGTCATTTCGCTAATTTCTCCACATTAAAGAGGCAAAGAAATGAAGTACAAACACTCACACACAGCACAGTTACTGCCTGGTCAGTGTTGAGTGCTCGTAATTCATCCGGACATACACACAGGTAAGCAGCTTGCACTTTCTGTGCCTCATTACTCTGAGGAACGCACAGTTCAGAGTAATGTCTGAATGTGTGCACTTTGTAAGCTGACGGAGTGTATGTTGTGAAGTTTGTGTGTGATCAAAGAAGGTAAAGAGACAAATTGAAGACACTTAGAGTGAATGTCTAAAAAGAAAAACAAAATAAATAAATAAAACAGTGAGATTATGATCATCTAGTATGAACACCAAGTGCTTGTGTATGTTTGTGTTTGTGTGAAGCTGAGTGATAGCCCATTAGCTAAGTGGTGTGCGTTTAATTGATGAGTGTGTGACCTGTGACCTCTCTTCCTGCACTCTGACCTCAGCTGCTTCACCAGGCTGACATGTTTTAATGGTTTTCTTTACACATGGGGCTCAGCAACACTTTGTAACTAAGTGCACCGACAAAACGTCCCAGTTCTTGTTTTTTCAGGCTTTTCCAGCACAATTTTGGAGGATGAGACAGCTGCAGTAACACTTGAGACGATGCAACACTACAGTATTTTTATTGTAGGAATCTTGTTTATTCCTAGATCATCTATAATGCAGAGATTTGAGCGGCAACATATCTTCATAAGGCATCCAGATTCAAAGGCTATCCCAGACACAGACGTTTCTAAGTTTAAGTTGTGTTTCACAATAAGAAATAACAGGAAGATCCACAAACACAACTCTGTCTCACTCACGGCAGCACACAGAGAGTTAGAGAGCCAAATTACCATTTTATTTCATCATTACCATTTCATGCTCCATCAATTTTTCTGTGATCATTCTCATTAAACACGATGGAACAGTTTTGTAGCTTTCATTTCAGTTTTTATGTGCATTATAAGAGTTTTTACAAGCATGTTTCATGCCCATTCACTAAGCCAGATGCTGAAGTACCCTCGATAGATGTCTGTGATTTCAGCTAAATGACATAAGAACATAAGTTGGCTGCAGGGTGGTCATATTTTCCAGAGCTGATACTCTAGGACACATAAATCGGAAGTCTTATGCATAAACTCTGAGGTATATCACTACAGTTACAATATGGGAGGCAAAGAGTCTCGCAGCTAAGACAAAGAGATGTTTCTTTAAAACGTTCAAAAAGACAAAGATCAACTGATACTTTGGTGTTTAAGGTGACTGCCTTCTGTCTAATCACCAGAAAGAATAAGTTGATCGGGTGTTTTTCTACAGGACTATGACCTGCCAAAGCAGTTACATAATATGCGGATTGACATAATAATAATAATAACAATAAAATAAAAATAACAATAAAATAAAAATAAAAATAAATAAATAAATAAATAAATAAATTAATTAATTAAAAAATAAAATAATAAAACAATTGTAAAATAGATTAATTAATAAGTAAATAAATAAATAATGAATATAATAATAATAATAATAATAATAATAATAATAATAACAATAATAATAATAACAATAATAATAATAATAATAATAATAATAATAATAATAAACAGGGCTGCTTCCTTAGCTGTAAGGCTGACACCTACACCCCCTCACACCAGTTATAGGATATAAAAATCCTCAATATGAATTTCAGTCTATTTTACAAATGTCAAAAAACTCCTCACAGGAGCTTCAATATAATTTCCTAAAATCACAAACACAGCTACCAAGTAATTGCTTTCCAGTCTTGTCTTTGAAAAAGCCTGATGACAGGCTATTTCGTTTTGACTTATTTCATGTCAAATATGGTTGTGGCTCTGATTGATTCCCTGACCTTTGACCTGGTGGGGACAGAGAGACCTGTTTGTCCACCAAGCACAAATCAGTGCTGCTTTCCAAATATTAATTTTACATGAGTGAAAATTCAAAAAGCGGCAAAAAAGGGGAAAATTCAAGACATTTGTTTGTTCTTGAGTGATTCATGTAAAACAGCAAACCTTTAACTGATCATAAATAGGATCCAGACTTTGTAAGGATATTGATCTCAAAGGCAAACATGAGATTGAGCCAAAGATTCAGTCTTTTCTGCCACGAGTCATGAATAAAAACTACTACATGGCTATCCTCTGTTGGACAGGATGAGAACTACATGCCTAACACTCAACATGCCTGACACACATTCACTCTTCCTCACTTTCACTGTCACCTCACTCTCATGGTAGGACTCGGGTCACCAGAGGTCTGTAGCAAAGCAGCACACTGGGAGGCAAAACACTGAAACACAGACAAATAACAAGACGTTTCTTTTTTTTTTCCATGCTGAGCTAAATAAACTGCATCGGCCACAAGCCGAGAGGGCGTACAACAAAGAGCGCCCTGTGTTTCCAGTGCTCTGTGATCGAAGAAGAAAAAGAAGACCATGGTCCCCAGTGAGCGTTACGTCAACATAATGAATATCATAAAGCACTTTGTTTGCAGAGAGTGCTGTAATGCGACTGAAATAGCCTGAAATTTGTGGTTGAATTGTTAGATTACAGAGTTCATGTTTAGACTACATGGGGTCAAACAGCAATCACTCAAAAAGGGCAGTCAGGGATAAAAACAGGCTGGAAAAACGAGACTGATTTATAATAAGAGTTAAAATATGACTTTTTGTGGAAAAAGAAAAACTTGATAAATGTGAAATCTAAACCATGAAATAAAGTGTATGCTTTATAACAATCTCCCAATACAAGCAAGTGTCAGACAAACAACCAGCATGTTATTTTCCATGAAAACAAAGAGCCCATTGTCAAAAAGTGCACAAACTGATTTTACCCCTAAATACACCATGACAAGTGTTATCAATTCAAAAGTAGGTTATAAAACAGAGGACTGCACTTAAAAAAATCATTTCTTTTTCAGTCAAGAAAGAGCTGACTTGTTTGGTTTATTCACTGACTAAAAAAAAAAAAAACAGTCCAATAAAAGTAGGCTGGAAAACAAGCCTTTAAGAGAAGAAACAAGGTTTTATAAACCAGAGTGATATAAGAAAGTTTAAAATAGTTTTTTTGACGATTGTACAGTTTTCCAACAAGCCTTTCTCAGAAACCAGCAACCTCAACCTTTTCCACAAATACAATCATGAAAGAGCTCATTGAAAACTCTCTCTGAGTTTAACCTAAAATGATTCATAACAAAAACAATCAACCCCAGAGTTCGTTCTAAAGAAGTGACTGAAATTCAGTGAGTAACTCCAACTGATTGACCGCTTTAATTTTCACATATCTGTTTAAAGTTTACATACATACATTTATACATTGCGTTTTTCAATAGGGCCATTGCATTCTAATGTTAGCTAAATACTGTACATGTGCAGCAGTGTTTGGTTCAGTATTTAACCTAACTCTTGTGTATAACTACATTTCTAGAGTCCTCTAATGATGCGTTCGAGTTACCTCGGAGGTCAGATGTCAGAGCTGAAAATGACGTCACAACTGAGTTCCCAGAGTTTCATTTACCAAGTCGGGAAAATCGGAGGCCTGAAACATCTACGAATATTATTTTAGCGCTTGCCTTATATTCGGATTCAGATGTAGCCATCTTGTTTCTGCCTCCGATTCTGCTTTTTACCGACTTGGTAACTGAAATGCTGGTAACTCGGGTGTGACATCATTTTCAGCTCGGACCTCTGACTTCCGAGGTAACTCGAACGCAGCATAAATCCTTGATTCTTCTCCTGCTGCTAGGTTTGTCTGAATGAGGACATCAGTACTGCAGATTTCTTAGTGTTTACAGCAGCAGCAGCTGGAGGAGGAGGCCTTGATAGAACAGAGCAGATGTATGGACTATGAAGAACACACATACACTCATAGATTATATACACACATTCTCCAGAGATTGGGTTTGGTGTGCTGAGGAGATACAGAGACAAATACCACGTGGCCATCTTGCAAGCTTAAAGACGACAAAAGAAATCTCATACTGTCAGGATGATCATTAATTCTGCTCTGTTTTAACTGCATTTACATCTATCTATCTATCTATCTATCTATCTATCTATCAGTGAGTAGACTTCAGTTTACTTCTCTTGTTTTCAAAAAGGCTGATTACTTTCAGTCAGCGACGTATTCCCTTAAAGAGCGATCAAATCAGTTTCGGACAGCGTTAAAGTGATGCAGCGTTTAGCTTCGTAGTCTTGCTCCTGCACAAGGTGTACTAAAAGTGACAACACTGAAAAAGACAGTTCAAAAGGAGCAGCAGTGAGACTGTTTATCTTACTGATATCTCTCCCTTTCACATTTATGAAAATCACATTTTGCCCTCCTCCTCCTCTACACCATAAAGAAGTTTTGTTACGATTTCTCCATCTGTGTGACCTTGTCATGAAAATCTGCCAATTCAAGGCACAAGAAATTAGGAAAATAAGTTTTTTCTCCCATCAATTAGCCAGCTGCAGCCTTTCACTCCCAACATTTCACCCTGAGTTTTGCGTTTCAGGCTACATACAGACTGTCCTTATGTAAGCTGCAAGAAGCCATCTGCAACTCAAGGGATGAAAAAAGACTTTCTGCTCCCTTTCAAAAATATTTCATTTCAATAACAAGTTAAATTTACCGTTCACAAGCACTTGGTTGTTGGATACAAGAGAGCCAAAGGAACATCACAAGCTTAAAAAGATGACATGCTTGAACACGCTCATTTCAACAAAACGATGAACTCCAAACAAAAAGTCTGATTGATTAATCAAAGAATATTTTTACTTTAAGGGGCTGTACAGTTAAGGACAATTGATTTGCACTGATAAACAAGTTAAAGTAGGAACAGTAGGAATGAAGCTGCCACTGCCACCTCACTATTTGTAATAAGTAATTTAAAATCAAAGGGAAAATTAGGGTTGAAGTTTCCTGGTTGTCTGAGGTCTCAATCAAAAATAAATGTTCTTTTTATTAGCTTGGTTAAAATTTGTTGACGGTGCACTGCAACATTAGTGAGTGTTAATTTGTTTATTCTGCATAAACGTGGTAAAAGTGTTGCAAAGGTGAAAGAAATGAGCGGGGTGAAATAAAGTTGGTATCACGGGGATAAAAAGGGGCAACAATGAATTCTAATTTTCACCGGAGATGAGACCTCCTTCACCTCTATTGTCCAGAAGGTGGCAGTAGAAAGTGACTGAGCTGAGTAGCCTCTTTGGCTGGGAGAGACGCCTGTCCTCAGAATTACATGCCCTAATAATGCCTTTTCCACAGTGACCCACTGGCCTGCAAACGCAGAGCTGGACAACACTTGAGAGAGTGAGAGGAACAAATCTGTGCCTCTTGTGCCCTGCTGGACAAATCCTATTTGGACCTCACACGGTCTGGACAGAGGAATCCCTCCTTTATAAATCCACTCTCTTTCTGTCTCCTCTTTCAGGCTGATTGACTCAGCAGATTCGCTCCGATCTTACACTTTCTTTGGCTGGCATCCTGAGAGAGCAGGAGGAACATCCTTAAGTTTGAGCTTCCCGAATTAGACACACGTCTAAATTGAAAAAAAGGGAGCAAATTCAGAGGAAAAACGAAAACCTCAAGTCCTTAAATAGACAGGTAAAGGGGCAGTTCATATATTAATGCCAGATTTACATACAGAAATCTGGCATTTAGCCTTTTAGGTGCTCAGTCTAGAGAAATAAGGTCTTTCACGTCACCAGTACACCTCATGAACTACTGGTAGTTAAATGAGTTCCTACTTTAAAACACCTGAAGTGGCCTAGTTTCATCAATGTATCTAATTAGACAGGCAGACAGCAGTTATACTGGCACTGTGGTCACAAGGGAGGAAATCATTACCGCTAAGACATCACAGAGGAAGCAGTTTATATCAGATTTCACTTCACAACAAAGACTCATCTGCAAGGATGGATGGGCAGTCTGTTTGACAGGATTAATATCCATAAATCACACTTCTGTTCCTGTAGGGGAAATTTATTAGGAGACCGTGGTGTTGTAAAAATGGTAATGTCAGCAGTAACTCTTGTGTCAAACAAGAAAACGGATCAATCTGGAAAACCATTGGCAACTATCTGACAACGACACAGCCTTTTGGGGTTACAGCCAACTTTTCAAGGCCTCTGGTGTAGCCAGTGTTTACGTTTAACAAGCAATACGCCAAGAGTTTGATTTGTGAGCATTTCCTTTGTGTACTGTTTGACAATTCCCTTGAGGAGCAAAAATAGAGTTTAGAGAGGACATCTAAGAGCTGCTTGTTAGTTGCAATCAAAAGCAGATGTCTGTTTATAGAGACCTGTGTCTGTTAACACTGTCTTTGCACTGGGAGCTCCTATTGTATCAACAGAAACAAATGCAACTCAATCTTCACTTTTCAGTGAATTTAGAGCTTGTTGTGCTGCCCCAAAGTAGTAAAAAACTCTTTCAAATCAGGCTAAAAAAACTGTACACAACAGTTACTCAAAGGCTATTCTTGGATTTAACAGTGAATACAATTCAAAGACCTTTTAAGTCTTTAATGTGTTGTAACAGGTGATTAATTCTGCTCTGCGTCCTCTACAAAAATCCAGCGCTGCAGGCTGACATTAAATCAGCTTCACCGTATGATCCCGACATGACAGACGGTGGGTGTGGTGGGCTCCTGCATGGCCTTTACAATGAACTTTAAAAACACAAACATGACACTTTCTCCAGTCCCTGCCCTGCGTCAAGCTGCAAAGGGGAAACTGTGCGAACTGTTGCCCTGCAGGTCTGACTTGTAACGAGGCGTTTCAAAACGAGTCCTCTTGATGAACAGCTCACACAAACCAAACGCAGCTCTCAAATCCGCTTCTATGTACAGCTGCTTAGCATTCATCCACCTCTGTCTGAGCATCTCCCATGTGTCCAACGCAGCAGTTTTTACCAACCCTCGTTTCCTGCCTTCAGCTGCCCTGTGGCACCCTTTAATTTCCACCCTCCACTCTCCTTACTCACTCTCTCTATCTCTGAATTTCCTGTTGCTGCTGGTTGGCTCACAAGGCCTCCTCCTTACACTCTCAGTTTACCTCCCTTCTATTCTTTCTCTCTTTATCTCCGCTCCACCTCTTCAGCTCTGAGCATGCCTTTCATTGTTTTTCTCACCCTCTTTCTCTCTACATGCAGCTCACACGCTCAGCTCTCAGCAGCCGCCATCAGCTCCACCCAGCCGGGCTGCAGTATTGATGAGGGAAGCACTATTGGCTGAGCGCTACAAATCTACTCGCCTGAGATCGAATCTCTGAACTCTTCCTCGTGTCTCTGCAGTATATTACATGCTAGTCATCAACCCACCACCGCTTGCTCCTTAAACCAGGGCGACAAGCCAACTCTATGGCTGCTGGGATTCATCCTCTGCTACATTAGATGGACTCTCCATCTCCCGAGGGAATCGATTCAATCTATTAGCAGGGAACCTTTTGCTTACAGCACGCCCATCAACAAAAGATCATTGATCAAAGCTGCGGTCTGATCTCACCCATGTTAAAACACACAAAAAGGCGCTCTGAGAACTTAGATATCATCCAAAGACAGCAATCAAATCAGAAAAACTGTATTTCAACATATTTGTGAGTCCTACAGCTATGGTTGGACAACTTGGTTCCGCCTTCTGTCAGTATACGGATTTGAAGCCGAACAGCTCTTGGTAATTGTGGCTACCCGATCCGTCCCCGAAACACGATTTGTACTGAGCATGTGCGAAAAAACGTCACTTCCAGTCTGCGTAGTCCGCGGCCCAATCCCAAACCACCTCCTACACACTCAGCCTTCACTATCGAGTGTCTAGCATCTAGCATTTATGTATACATATATACATATATATATATATGGTGATGACGCTCGATTCAAACAGCCTATCTCCCAGGTGAGCTAAGCAATCTTCGTACGCCCATAGGCTGTATCAAGCGGGGGGGAGAAAAATTTATGTTCTGTGTAATTAATTTCTAAAGTTTGTCCACAGCTCCATAGGGATTACTGGAGGAGGCGGGATTTATGACCTATACTGCAGCCCGTCACCAGAGGGTGCTGTTCTCGTGGTGGCTTCACCCAGCGAGGAGGCAGACGGCGTCCATTCTATATACAGTCTAATATTGCATGTCTTCTGTTGCATTTCAAGCTGCACTGAACTGTTTCCCATTGTCAGGTTTGGCAAAGATTTACATTTGACCTTATAACTTTAGGGGGAGAAAATCCTCCCAGAACTCTTTGACAGCTGAAGAAATCTCTGCAACTTCTTTTTGACTTTGCATCCCTCATCCCTTTTTTTATGCTTTTGGCCTTTCTTTTGTTATTCAGTTATCAGCTGATCATTTTTATCAGGTGATTATTGACACCAGCTGTGATTTATGTGCTTTCCTGCAGGATTTTGGTCTACACTGTACCTTCTTAGTACAAAATCAAACTTGCACCAATTTGTATTAAAATTGGAGGTTTTCCAACTTCCAGTTGACAACCTAAATATCAATACCAAAAAAGAATGACCTCTTTGCAGCTTTAGTAACAGTTAGCTTACAATAAGTGTAACATGAATAATCTTTGTCTCGTTTCTGCTCAGTGCTCCAGCCGGCTGCCATTTCATTCAGTCAAAGACTACCGACTGGAAAAAACCCAAACAGAAAATCAATGCAGTTTACAGTGCAATGTGTGGGAACATTAGTCAGGTTGGAGTCGGCTCATTTCATGCAGAAAGGTCTACAGTGCTGCATAGGGCACTGTGAGCTCACAGATTTACATCCCAGGAAGAATATTAGCATATAGACTCGCCAGTGCTCTGCCTGGGAAAGTTATGACTAATGAACGCTATTATACTGGTGCCTTTCAATATCACATTCACACTCACAACCCCAACGTGTTTTAGTATGCTGATGCAGAGTCATTTAATCTCAAAGGATATTCAAATAAAACTCTCAGCCACTTTAGCTTGCCATGAGTCCAATATTAAAAGGACGCTTGTTTATAATCTGTATTCAAGAGACAGATTCGAGCCTCTCAGGTTGAGTTATACCAGAGGATGCATTTCATTCAAATATAGGTAACCCACTTAGTGGCCAACTCTCCTGCCATGCCTCCAAACTACTGCATCATTGTTGTGCCCGTAATCATGGTGACTAGGCCTCGCTCTATTATTGTTGCTCCTGGTTTACCAGAGCTTCACAGCCAGTGTTTCTATGACAACTTGCACAACCAAAGGCATGCAGTTCATTTTAAGTGAGAGTCTAAAAGGAAGAGAATAGAAATCAATTGTCAAATTGTAAAAGCTTTGGCTTACGACTATCTTTGCAGAGGAGAAAAAAGTTGTGTTTGTGCTGCTCCTGCACTAACCTGCAGAGCACTCACTGTTGGTTTAAGTTATAAAACTCACTAAAAACAAAGGGGCATGTCAGAAACCGTCATCTGACTGCTTACAGGATAATATCGTTAGAGGACTGTATTCATAAGAGATAATCAAATATTTCCATAAAAGCCGCTGCTTCAGGCTTTAACACACCAGTTTGGTCTGGTTCTGTGGAATAATATTCTACTTTGATGTTTTATTCCCCGCTCAAAGGACCTGTTTCAGAGTGGACTTTTTTCTCGTGTTACAAGTTTTTAAAAAGTGCCTCGAAGCTTAATTTCAGTATTGATATTTATAAACACAATTAACCTGATTGATGTAGAGACAGAGCATCACGTCCAGACTTAGAACCGTGTTAATGTTGAGAGCAAACTTACAAGTTTAAAGCAATCCTACATAAACATGCAATGGCCAGTTTCTCTGATTACACATAGTTGGTAAAAAAAAACCTGACGCCTTTGCAATCATAACTATCAAAAACACCAATGAGTTTGTGTGACCCAGCCTTATGTATAATTATGTATAAAGATCGAATTACTGGTCGATCTACGTGCCGATCCTCACCTAAGGCCATGAACTTTGGGTAATGACTGAAAGAACACCATTGCGGATACAAGCGGCCGAAATTGGGTTTCCTGCGCAGGGTAGCCGGTTACTCGAAACTATAGAATACTCATGAAGATTGTTGTTTTTTTAGTTGAATAGTCAACACCTAATCAATAAAACAAATGATTTTTCCTGCCATTATTTTGTTTGATCCGATGACTGGTCTTGCGTTAATATTTACGGAATCATGAACTCAATATCCCTTAGATGCAAACACCTGAACTCCAAACAAATGCCTTTATCGCTTCCTCTGTCTCACTTTCACTGACACACAAGCGTATTGCTCAATACCAACAGCCAGATAAACACAATGCACCCAAAAGACCCTCTGTAGATAAAGAGATGGGATCAGGTTACTTGGTGCAGCAGATACTTTAAACTTCAAAGGGTGACTAAACTCAAAGTTGGACTACATAAATAGACGGGGAGTCAAAGTGAACTTGTTATGAACTTTTCTTCTTGGCCAAAACTAAGTTCAAAGCATCTTCTACACACAATCACAAAGACAAACACACTCCAACAAAATAATGCAGAGGCCCAACAACGCTAACGAATCAAAACTGCTGTCTTTGAATTTTGCTGGCAATGCTCCAGCTGGGTAGTGTTTGGTCAGCACAGTGAAAAGATGTGATAAAAGTTTTTTCAGAAGTCTTTGAAGACTTTTAGCTGCGGGGCTAATAGATTGGTTTCTTGGTAACAGACCTCCTGCTCAGCAATTAGGACATTTGCTCTCAAATATGTGTCTGATCTACTGCTCATATTATCTTCAGGATGAGGAAGAGATAAAAGTGTCATATTCATTTTCAATCTGTGAGAAAGAAAATACAATTGCAATAGTTGTTCAACCGGTATCTGCTTGACATCAACTCATGTACGGTGCGTAATAAATGAAAAGACGGCTAAATATTCCAAAAAATAAAGAATGAATATGAGCTGAAATAACTCACATTTTCTGATGTCTATCTACTGTTCTTCTTGTTTCAATATCACCAATTGTTATGAGGTTAGCTGTCAGCGAGTGTAAGCTCTGTGTGATTGTTTAAAGATGATGTAAAGGCATGGCAATAATACCCTGGTGTCCATCAAACAGAAAACAACTGACTGTATTCTTTTCAAATTTCCAAATAAAGAGTTTTGCTATCTGTGTATAGTGAAGTCCTTCCTTTATCTTCACTGCATGATAATGATTAAACATGACACTTCTATTTTTATTTTATTTATGATTATTATTATTATCTTTTTTTTTTTGGGGTGGGGGGGTCTACAACTACAGGGATGTTTTATGTACATACATGAATTAAATGTTTACGGATCTGTATTTGGATGATTGGGTTCAGTCACAGGAAGTTATATCTACTCAAATCAAAAACCATCAAGTCAAGCAACAATGCACGGTCTCAACCTTTTCCTCCTGAGTACACCAAGCCCTGAGTGTTACAGCTCATCCGTGGATATGTGGGTGTGTGTGCGCATGTGTGTATGGGAGTTTATTGTGGTTTCCGAGCACAAAGCTTGTCTCGGCTGTGGGAAGCCCTGCAGCAGAGTCCAGGCAGGACTCTGGATCAAAGCAGATCACACCCCTGGAGCATGAACTCTCTCTTTGAACACTGAGCATGGGTGCAAGAGGAGTCAAAAGAAAGAGAGTAGGTTGCTGATATTTGTGTGTTTGTGTGAGTGTATAGTAGGTGTGTCTGCCGGCCCTGATGTGATAAACCTTGATGTAGAAAAATGTCTCTTAACCAGAGTGAATGCATAGGTGGGTATGTCTGATCACACTGATCTATATATGAAGATTAGAGCCAAACATCAAGAGACAGAGACAGCAGAGAACAAACGGAGATGCTGCAGTCCCATATCAATCTTGTGAGACTTATGTGGATGATAAATCCTGAAATTCAATTTTGATAGCTTTCAATGAATAGTCTGTCATACGTCATTTCTTTCCAGACTCTTCTGTGGCTGAACTGAGACTGTGTCTATAATCTTGTACCAAAAAAGGGTTGTGACCTGTTTACATTGTCACTTTAATCAAACACAAAGCAGCCCTGGGTCCTGCCAAACCTTATTTAACAGAGTTGATCTCAGAAGAGGATGGCAGCAGAAGCAGAAGCAGAAGAAGAATTCAAGGTGAGGTGCCCCTAACCTCAATTTCAGAGCCTTACTCACAGGCGATTCTTGTTGCTTTCATCAAATGTTTTTTTTTTTTTTTTACAAAGAAAACCTGAAAACGATTTTCAGAAAATTATATCACAGAAACAATAATGGCTCTAAATCTGAAAATTGTACCTCAATAAAGTGACTTTGATCAATTTCTCTCCCATATACAGACCCCTGCCATCATTGTTGACAAAGACAGAAGTCAAGCAACCTTCTTGATTCTGATTGGTCAGTGGTTAAAATCCAACATTGATGGGCACAATGGGGTTCCAAAAGTTAAGCTATTTTCAACTGAAAGAGCATCTTTGTGCCAAAGGCCAGCACTAAAAAGTCAACAAAGCCCCAAGATCATTTTCCAGTGAACAAGATCACGTGTGAGCCTGAGAAAGCTAACAAAATGCAGAAAAAATAGCCCATTTAAGTTGCTAAAAAAGTTGTTTCATGGGAGTTACTCACAGGAAAATCTAAAAATAATACAGTCTGTGATGATATATTTGCAAGAGAAGCTTAGTGTATAGAACTTAGGCCTGATCGGCTGGAAAACAAAGTAAAACAGCATTACAACAGAGGGAGAAACCATTCAGTTTACAGGCTTGGTCAATGGCATGCAGTAATGCTGATCTGCTGTTACACCGAACATGGAATATTTATGTTCTGGACTTTGTTACTTTTGATATTTGACTTGACAATATGTGATATTTGACTTTTGACTTTCATGACTCTAACATGAAAGCAGGTATCATTATTACCTTCTAACCCTCCGGGGGAAAGGGGGGTAGTGAGTTTGACTGAGAAATTATGCAAATTAGGCGATGATGTCATCTAGCGACTTCTAGCTACTTTTGCGACAGCCACTAGCAACTTTCCTTACTAAGGAGTTGGCAACACTGTTTTCTTGTGCAGCGCTTCAGTAGCTCATTAGCACCTAACCTCTGAGTCGTGGGTGGAGACAGCGCTGCTCTGCATACTTCTCTTCACACTTCTTTTCACACTTCTCTTCACGCTAGCTTGTAGCCTTACATTTCTGGTGTCGTAGCAAAAGCAGGTCACATAGAAGCTATTCAGCTCTCAGACACTAATGTCTTTAGGGGCATGATGAAAGTCAATATCATAATTAGCTTTCTTACGAGCACTGCAATCCGATAACGCACATGCTTGTTCCGCGATTGTCCTCTATTTCTCCGAGTCTGGCCTTCATTGCGGGGCTACAGGAAATCTAACTTTATGTGAGTCTGCCGTTTGGGTTCAATTACTCGAGTAATCGGTAGAATATTCGGTAGAATACTCGATTACTAAAATATTCGATAGCTGCATCTCTAATCAGCTATGAGCACATTTACATGATCAAACATAGTGGAAATGTGCGTGACAACAACCAATTTCCTGCTCACCTCTGTAAGTTGCTGGAGAAGTAAACAGAATGACTGAACTTGGAGCTAAATGCAGAGCTGAGGGCAGCAAAATAAATGTCAGCCATGACGTCGGTTATGTGGCGGTGGTTCTGGTATCTCCAAAGTGACGTCGAGCAGTCAAACCAATGTGCAAGGTATGTCGGCGGTCAGTGCCCTCGAAAACTGGCAACACAACAGATCTGTTTAATCATATGAAGAAGAACTTCCTGAGTAATTATGTGGAAAGCATGAACATGTGAGCAGTCTGCACAGCCTGCCACTGCTGACGGCACATGTAGCATAAGCAATTGAACCACAACTAGGGGTGCAGTTACCAGACCAAAGCAGCGATCAATTGTCTCATCTACGTTTACATCATTTAATGTTTACATTTTAAGGCATCCTCATTATCCCTGAGGGGGCCATTTGTTTATTTTGGGTCTTGCATACCTGCAAAAACACTCAGGACTGTAAACCAGTTCACTGTATTATTTAGTATTTATCTACTTTTGTTGTACAGTTCAGTAAAAATGTTTTTTATATTTTTCTGTTTATCTTATTCAATTTGGTTTGTTATTTACTTTTTATGTTAATGTAAGGAGGCCGAGCCCAGGTTCACACTTGAAAGAATGGAAAGTCCACACGAATGGTCAGTTTGACAAGCTTTAGTGGTCGCAGATCTGGGTTACAGCCTCATCATGCCACAAGTGTTTCAAAGACTGGTCTGAGACTGTTCAAGTAAATATAGTCGTCAACATTTCCAAGCATTCTGCTGGCATTTAGTTGACCTGAAGAAGAGTCCATGTAGGGTAAGAACAAAGGACAATATATTTTAAGGAGCCTTAGTTGAACATATGGAGAGCCCATATAGGGGAATACCATAGCATAACATATTTTGGAAACCTGAGTGATGTCAAAAATGTACACCAGGTTTTTTGTTGAGGATGGTTGTCGGAGGCCCCCGGCTCCAGGAATCTAACGCCAACGTATCCATGGTATCCGAGTTATATGGTTCCACCGCCCTAAAGGCTGATGGGATTGGCTAAAGAAAATTCTCATAACAGTTAATAAAATGTTCAAATCAATCTCTAGTTTATTTAGTTTTTAGTACAGATGCTTTAAAACTGGCTGTTTAAAAAAATACAAAAAAATCGTGATAATAATCGAGGTCGGACAATATGGCAAAATATATCGTGATCAATCGCCCAGGCCTAATCTGAATGGAGCAGCCCCCCTCGGGTGGTCGCACCTTTGGTATCACCTAATTGATGCCTTCTTAGGCTACTGGTGACGTAGGTCCAATAGCATCATGCCATGAAGTCAAAGCCCCCTCTCTCTCTCCACTCCCATTCGCATGCACTTTACGGAGCCACTGCGCTGCTCACGCCGGGGAAAATCACGCTGACATACACCGAGCATTTTCCCAGCAAGGACTGCCTGACCAAACCAGAGAAACAGACACACTGGGAAACAATGCTCCTCCAAATTCCGGAAAAGTTGCATAATCAAGCATCATGTACAGAGAGTACTCCTTATCCGTCTGACACTGCCATCTCTGCTGCAGAAGGAGCCATGGGAACGGGCTGTCAAGCCTGTCAGAGCTCACAGTTCAACAGCAAATCATCATTTTGAGAGTCTAAAAGAGATGAAATAAACTGTCAAAAACTGTGGGTTACTGTGCATGCAAACCGTCGTTAAAGAGTCAGGGGAGACCATATACCCCGCCTGGGTTCACTAACGTAAATTCAACGTCCTCTCACTGCCATTCTGCAGGATGGAAATACATGCCTATCTGCCGTATGTGCATGCAGTCTATACCGCCAACGCACCGGGTAGCCCCAGCGTCACAGGGAGAGCCGCCCGCTGCCAGCACACCAAACCCCGGCAAACAAACAATACACTCCCACCACGTCTTACGGTCAACAACCGCCGCCGCCCCGCTTACCTCCGATGGTAACCCGCTCGGTCTTTCTTCCCCTTCGGCCTTCTTTTCCTGGCCTGAATGGCCATCACTGTCGGGGTGAAGGTGTGTTTATCCGCGGACATGACCAACGTCCGAGTCCGGGGAAGGGTGTAAGGATAGTCGGTGGGGTAGAGAGAAAACAAACACACACAGCATCAGTCTCTGAGGCTGACTGGCACGGGTCATGAAGCGACGCTTACCCTGCACCGATATGCAGGCTTTCTAACACGCGTAACTTCCGCCACATTTTTATGTTCAAAAACCAAACCAGAAGTCTGTTGTGCGGAGCTACAGTAGAAGGCAGATGGATACACACCTTTTCTGGAGCTCATGTTTCCTCCTCTTCCCCTTGGAGCAGGAGCGGGCAGCTCGGTGGCAGCAGCCGGATCCTCTTGCTCACACACACATAAACACGATCTCTCTCTCTCTCTTACACACACACACACACACACACACACACACACACACACACACACACACACACACACACACACACACGAATACTAACTGCTACCTTTAAGATGGCACGAGCTCCCTCTGCCGCTTGAACTGGGAATCGCATGGTGCTGAGGCACGCGTAACTGCAGTTTTCCTCTTGAAGAGAGCTGTTAATCTACCAGCTAGAACACTGTAAACACCTGCAACCAACTCAACTCACACTACGACTTCAACTAAGGCAGTCTAAAAGAAAATAGAAATGTAGCAGCTTCCTAAAATGGTGGGTTTTATGGCTGAATTGGTAATTAGATGTCCACAATCTTATGGGCATACACTGTATACACTAGTGCTGGGCGATATGGAAAAAAATGTATATCACGATATGGATCATTTTATATCACGATAACGATATATATCACGATATAGCTATGGTATGCTTTCAGTTCTATGAAAAATGTAAGTGTATACAGCTGCACTAGTACAGTACCAGTACAGGACCAGCACTTAAAACTAGAAAAATGAATAAATAAATACGTGGCTGAAGTGCGTTCATGTCTGTGCTCACCCAAAGTTATGCAACACTCACAGAAAACGCAGATAGTGTGAGCCAAAGCACTCCATAATAATAATAATAATAATAATAATAATAATAAATTTAATTTGTAATGCACTTTACATTTACAAAAAATCTCAAAGTGCTACAGTACACAGTAAAAAAAAGAGCAGCAACAATAAAAAAAGCAATAGAATGACAGTCACAGATTGGCATAAAAAAAGAATTTAAAAAAATAAAAAATATAGAGTTGCAATGTAAGAGGCAAGGTAGTAAAAGCATAAAGCATTGAGGAAAACTAACCAAAGGCTTTATTAAAAAGGTAGGTCTTAAGGGCTCTTTTGAAGAGGTTGTTCACACTGCTAGATGTTTCTCCTCCAAAGCTGCTCTCTGCCTCCATCATTGTTTACTTTACTCTTGAAGCACGTAGCAAGACCCGAGCATAAATCCGAGCGCTTTATTCGCCTATCAGGGGCAGACAGGTAAGGTGATTTGATTCGCCACGACTCCAGAAATGATTGAAAAACTACAGAATGTCACAAAATTACGTTTCCTCGCTGCTGGCTTGAAGGGTAGAAATGCGCAGCCGCGCTCCCAGCTGACAGGAAGTCACTGTTGTAGTTTTTTTGTGTTGCTAGCGCGGTCAAGAGTGTTGGCTCTCACTGAGAGATGACTACAAAAATGGACGCACCTGTTCATCTGGTTGTTAAACACGGCTGAAAATGATCATCTTTTAATGTTGTTCCCGCTCCTGCCCACTCCCGTTGCTTTTTTCCCGTCCCGTCCCGATCAAGGGATTAATTAAAAAATGACTCCCATCCCGTGGGATTCCCGCGGGAATCACGTGACCCACGGGAATTTCCGAAAAATGTCATCCTCTACAGCAGGGGTGTCAAAGTTACGGAGCCCCTAAAGGGACATGGATGGACTTTTTTTTTTGCGAGATCTCGCAAAAGTATTGCGAGAGCTCGCAATAAGTATTGCGAGATCTCGCAAAAGTATTGCGAGCGCTCGCAATAAGTATTGCGAGATCTCGCAATACTTTTTTGCGAGATCTCGCAAAGTTCTGTCCTACTTCGGTGAACCGGAAGTAAAACAGACACACATGATGAAGGAGCGTACACATCATAGACATAATAAAAGGGTAGACCCCGCTGGGGGTGCTGCGCAGCGAGAAATGCGGCCGCCATCTTGGTCAGGTCAAGCTTCCCATACGCTCCGGTCAATCATATTCATTCATTCATTCATTCAGCGATGCCGGAGCACTGTGCGGCGTATTCCTGTGCCAACAGGCGGACAGCAGAGAACAGGGCTCAAGGAATAACTTTTCACAGTTATGATTACACGTTTTTTCAACATTACACTTGACTGTAGAGTCATTTGTAGGCCAAAGAGGAAGACAGTGGTGCAGAGTGAGGCGGATGACCGCACCAAGATGGCGGCCGCATTTCTCGACAGCGCCCATTCGTGGTAGCGGCCGATGCGGGGTCTATCTTTTATCATGTCTATGGTACACATCATCCGTGCTCTGTTGCTCCTTCTTCTTATTATTATTATTATTTTAGGCTTATTTTAGGCTATTTTAGGCGTGTTTTACTTCCGGTTCACTGAATGGAGAAAAAACTTTTGCGAGATCTCGCAAAAAGTATTGCGAGATCCCGCAATACGTTTTGCGAGATCTCGCAAAAAGTATTGCGAGATCTCGCAAAAAAAAAAAGTCCATCCATGTCCCTTTAGGGGCTCCGTACAAAGTCAAATGGACGGAGGGCCAAATAAAAAATTTAGCGACAAGCCGAGGGCCGGACTGATCGAATGTTCATTTAAAATTTTTTAAATGACGCATATAGTCTAGTGAACCTAATTGAACCTACTGAAAACCTATCAAATATATTTCAATATGATCAGATAAATAAAGCTATATTTTCTTATGGCTCTGTCAGTAATCTTTAATTTTCAACAGACACAAAAGACAAATTTCCTTTATATAAAAATCCCCATAACATGAACATTAAATGAAAGAAACCGGTATTATTCAAGGCACCATCAGTAGCCTATATTTTCTATTTTAGCAAAAGTGGGCTAAATTTACTTCAAAGAAAAAAATAATAATAGCAATTTTCTATCATCCACTCAACTGAAATATTTTTAAAATATCGTTTTAATTCCTCGGCCTTCTGTAGCCTTTGTTCCATGTCCATATTCTTGTTTTTGTCCGCGTGTTTCGTTTCATAATGTCGTCTCAGATTATACTCTTTCAGTACCGCCACACTTTCTCCACACAGAAGACACACAGGTTTTCCAGCTACCTCCGTGAACATATACTCCGACTCCCACTTTGTTTGAAACCCCCGGTTCTCAGTGTCCACCTTCCGTTTTGCCATTTTTGATGGGTATCTGAAAGTTAATTTTACTGTTATGCTGACGACTGCTGTGCTAATAAATATTGATATGGAGCAGCCTACTGCTCGGTGTGTCACCGTTGCATTGTGGGAAATGTAGTATTGGTGCGTGTAAAAGATCTGCGGGCTGCCGGCTTGCTGCGGTCTGCGGGCCGGTTCTAATAATAAATCAAGATCATCCCAGGGGCCGTAAAAAACCTTCTCGCGGGCCGGATGTGGCCCGCGGGCCTTGACTCTGACATATGTGCTCTACAGGGAAGGTCCCGGAGCAGATGAAACAGGTGCCGGAACGGCTGAAATAAGTCCCGGATCCGATCAAAAGAGGTCCCGGATCGCGCTCCGACTCCGGCACAAATTAAGCACCGCTTACAATGATCCCCTCACGTGTGTAACTCAGGTAACCCGCAACGGCAGGAGACGCTGGACACAAAGAGGGCACGTAAAGCGGCGTTATGTCGCAAAATCGAAAGAGAAATGCAAGCCTACATGTCAACGCATCCTTTTCTTTGTAAGAAAATATTGTTTTCTTTCCCGTTTGACACCAAATACACTTACTGAATGTGCAATTATTGTTGTTGTTACTATGAATCATCTGATGGCACAAGCCCTATGGATAAAATACAGCCTATCGCCCGAAACGATAAAAATAAAAATGGCACGATAGACATTTTCTATCGTGCCCACGATATCTATCATCCAATCGCCCAGCACTACTTCAAACTATGTCACAATCAAAGCCACAATATTCTCAATGTCAGTCTTTTACACATTCACTAATCAAACAGTACAATGCCACACCCTACTTCAATCTTAACTTGCGTCACCATCCAAAATGCAACACTTCAACACTTGTTCAAATAAACACACACACAAAAACCTGATCCCCAGCAGTTTTTGTGAAATTCTCCAAAATTACACAATACAAAGCTTTTGCATTAACTGAAGTCTCACAGCAATAGTCTGTATTAACAGCTTTAACAATATTCGAAAAACCACAGTATTTTGGCAGAAACAGCAGATGTATAGAAGCAACTCTTAGATTTGATGTTTTCGAAGTTTTACACATGTGGTACCTCATTTCTCTTTCCATTTTTGTATCTTTTATACTTTCACAAACATTATTTCAGCAGCTTCACCACAGAAAATTTGCTAGGGAGCATAAGTCATGCGTTAACAACAAAAAATCATCATAATATTCAAGCATAAGCTAAAACCTTTATATCAAGAGTGTTCATCATGACACTAGGAACAGAACCTCTTTCCCAGGAGTATTTAACCTTCTATGTTTAAACTGATGGCATAAATGCAACAAGCACAGTATTCACATAAACAACTATGAGATAAACACGATTGAGGAAAACACAAATGTATGAAAAGATTCTACTACAATTTTTGGATTTTTTTTTAATGTAATTTTTAAAATCTTTTTTCTATTTTTGTTTTTTTTTTCCTATTTTTGTTCGCCGTTAATTTTTCAAATTTTATTTGTTTTTATTTCTCTAATTTCATCGTGAAATTTTTGTCGTTGTTGTTGTTTGGGACTTAGGCGGACATGGGTCTTAGTGTGGGTGGGTGTGGCTTATGCTGGTTGTTTGGGACAACTCAGCCTCATGTCCATTCTCTTTGTGTATTTGCGGGTGCATTGGCGTGTGTGTGTGTGTGTGTGTGTGTGTGTGTGTGTGTGTGTGTGTGTGTGTGTGTGTGTGTGAATGTGTGTGTGGGTGGGGAATGTGGGTTTAATCAATCACTTTATGCTTCATCTTCTTCAATATTTCTGAATGCCCCACAAATGAAAAAGTTAAGGAACTTTTTCTATCTTGAAATTCGCGGAGGAGCGCGTTCAATCACTTCCTCCATTGGTGGTCAGTCTGTCAGGACCTGACATGTTCTTCTGTGCCTACTTGTTGGTCAGTGATGGCCTGTGTGTGTGTGTGTGTGTGTGTGTGTGTGTTGTTTGTTTTAGGGTGAGGTTGGAGTTTTCATCTCCTGTTCCGACATCGGCTGCTTGTACTGGCGCTGATGTTTAGAAGTCAGTCCCTTTTTAACACTCCTCCACCAGGAGACCTTCATCTCAAGTGTTTCCTCAGTGGTCTTGGGTGTTGCTCCAGAGATCTCCTCCATCTCGGGTGTTGCTTCAGAGATCTCCTCCATCTCGGGTGTTGCTCCAGAGATCTCCTCCATCTCGGGTGTTGCTCCAGAAATTCGTGGAGGAGCGCGTTCAATCACTTCCTCCATTGGTGAGGTCTGGGTAGCTCGATGCACCACCACCTTTTCTACCAGAGGACCATGTTCAATAACTTCCTCCATTGGTGAGGTCTGGTTAGCTTGATGTACCATCACCTTTTGTACCAGAGGACTGTGTTCAGTCACTTCCTCCATTGGTGAGGTCTGGTTAGCTCGATGTACCATCACCTTTTGTACCAGAGGACTGTGTTCAGTCACTTCCTCCATTGGTGAGGTCTGGGTAGCTCCATGTACCATCACCTTTTGTACCAGAGGCTCAGGGTCTGATTTAATCACCTCCAGGGGCTGAGCTTCCAGGGGCTGAGGGGCTTGTGCGATCCCCTCCTCAGTGACTAGGGGCTGGGGGGGCTTTTTCCTTCCTTTGCAAGGAATCAGTGGTGCCTCAGTTCTGATTCCTTCTCTGTCTTTTGGGTTTTTTGCCACCCCCATTTCTTTCCTTCCCTCGAGCTGGTTAGAACTTTGTTCAGGTTCTAACCAGCTCTCTGGCCAGTCCTCAAATAGCTGGTTAGAACTTTGTTCAGGTTCTAACCAGCTCTCTGGCCAACCCTCAAACCACCAATCACAGTCATGTCCTGTCCAATTCTCTGTGGGCCTGCTATCTGCCTGCTTGTCGGCCTGTTCGTCGGCCTGTTCGTCGGCCTGTTCCCTTGGTGGTGCCGCAATTCTCAAGCATTCACCGTCTTTTAGGTTTTCCACCATCTCTCTAACTTCCCACGCATGTATTGGTCTTTGTTCAAGACTTGACATGCTCTTGGCCCACTCCTCAAACCACCATTCATGGCCAGGTCCTGTCCAATTTCCTCTGGGCATGCTATCTGCCTGCTCACAGGCCTCTTCTTGGGCCAATTCGACTTGACCTCCTGCGATTCTTTGTACCGTTTTTGGCATCGACACTGTGTTTGTGTTAAAAAAAGAAGTAAATGTTTTTAAGTTGTTTTCACCTGCCAGTGAACCAACAGCTCAGAAACAGTACACCACTTGCTAAGTTTCACTTAGAACACTTGACAGTTGATGACATCATCATCAAAGCCTCTGTGATGTCACAGAGGCTTCTGTGATGTCACAGATATCATCAAAGCCTCTGTGACATCATTGCCTTTTTTAAAATATTCAATTTAGTTTGAATACCTTTTTTTTTTTTTAACTTTATTGAACATTGTGTGTGCTAAAGGATCTGGTTACCGTCAGCCTCAAACATAGAAGTTCACATGAAACATTAAGATCTGCTGTACTTAGTGATGGGCGGATCGATACTTAAGTATTGATTCCTCTGATACCAGATTTTAATGCTCTAAAATCGATTCTCAAGTCATTTAGGGTAACATATATAATTAACAGGAACACAGTGGAAAGTAACTTAACTGTTAAGATCTTGTCTAAATGTCTTCATGTGTTAAAGCAGCGGCATGCTCCTCAGTCAGCCCATCACTCAACATTGTGGCAGAGCTTAAACAGTCATGTGTGGAGCTATTCCAGCTTCACAAACAGCCCCGATGTGGTTTGTGATGTTTGTGAAACAACAACAAGGAGTTATAGTAACAAAACAAACTTCGTAAAACACCTCAAGTTAAACCACAACACAGAATATGAGGCATTTATGATGAGGCGGACACAAGAGGAGAGCACATTGTGATCATCTCACATAGGCAAAAAAGCCTAGATTTTTTTCAGGTAAGGTTTTGAAAAGAATTGATCATTTAAGTGGATGACACAGACGAGGTGTCATTAAATTATACAGAGCAATTGTGATGAAACTGCCATGGTGAATTTAGAAAAACATGAGACTAGGGGTACTTGTTTATAAAGCTCAATGGTCTGGCACCCTCATACCTAGTTTACTGTCTACCCAGATATGTCCCAAACCGCTCCCTCAGGTCATCCAGTGCTGACCTGCTTGAAGTACCCAAAATTGCATACAAAAAACATGGAGAAGCAGCGTTCTGCTTCTATGGGCCGACAGCATGGAACGAACTCCCAGTCTCCATAAGACAGGCAACCTCTGTTGATAACTTTAAAACACATCTTAAGACCTATTTCTTCACCCTTGCTTTTATTTGATCATGTCCGCACTCTTTGCTATTATTATAATGTTGTTTTATGCTTCTGTATTTGTTGTCTGCTTATTTTTATTTTATTTTTATTTTTAATTGCTAATTTTATTGTGAATTTTATTGTTTTATTGCCAATCATCTACCCTGTCTGTAAAGCACTTGTGCTTTGTTTTTAACCTGTAAAGCAACTTGAGCTGCATCTCATGTCATGAAAGGTGCTATACAAATAAAGTTTATTATTATTATTATTAGAGGGCTGGTTTCGGAGCCCACGCTACGTGTGGAGGTGAGTCCAACTATATCTAGTCAGAACTTCTCCGGGTCGCACACCAGCCCAGGCTCCTTCCCCGCAAGAGAGGTGACATTCCACGTCTCTGGTGCTAGTGTCTGCAGCCTGCACTCTACTCCTTTGGCCCCTCCTATGAGTGGTCAGCCCATGAGCAGGAGGTCCCACGTTGCCTCTTCAGCCCAGCTGGGCCCCAGGTGTGCAGGCCCGGCCACCAGGCACTATCCATTGAGCCCCACTCCCAGGCCTAGCTCCAGGGGAGGCCCTGGTGACCCGTACTAGCGAGGGAAACACATTATCAAATATTATATTCTTCATTAGGTTTCTATTTGGACTACCCTTAGTCTGATCCCTCCCCCAGAAACTGTTTGCCATGGGTGACCGTAACAGAGGCATTAAGCCCCCCGACAACTTAGCTCCTGGGATCAATGAGACACGCAAACCCCTCCACCACGTTAAGGTGGTAGCCCGAGGATGGGATTTTTTTAAATTTTTTTTTTTGTGTGGGGAGACCGGAGCTCCCGGAGAAAACCACACAGACATAGAGAAACATGTAAAGTCCTGACAGACAGAAAGCAGCAGCTTCAGTCTTTCAGGACCTGACATGTTCTTCTGTGCCTACTTGTTGGCCAGTGTGTGTGTGTGTGTGTGTGTGTGTGTGTGTGTGTGTGTGTGTGTGTGTGTGTGTGTGTTTGTGTGTGTGTGTGTTTGTTTGTTTTAGGGTGGGGTTGGAGTTTTCATCTCCTGGTCCGACATCAGCTGCTTGTACTGGCGCCGATGTTTAGAAGTCAGTCCCTTTTTAACGCTCCTCCACCGGGAGACCTTCATCTGAAGTGTTTCCTCAGTGGTCTTGGGTGTTGCTCCAGAGATCTCCTCCATCTCGGGTGTTGCTCCAGAAATTTGTGGAGGAGCGCGTTCAATCACTTCCTCCATTGGTGAGGTCTGGGTAGCTCGATGGTGAGGTCTGGTTAGCTTGATGTACCATCACCTTTTGTACCAGAGGACCATGTTCAGTCAACTTCCTCCATTGGTGAGGTCTGGTTAGCTTGATGTACCATCACCTTTTGTACCAGAGGACTGTGTTCAGTCACTTCCTCCATTGGTGAGGTCTGGGTAGCTCCATGTACCATCACCTTTTGTACCAGAGGCTCAGGGTCTGATTTAATCACCTCCAGGGGCTGAGCTTCCAGGGGCTGAGGGGCTTGTGCGATCCCCTCCTCAGTGACTAGGGGCTGGGGGGGCTTTTTCCTTCCTTTGCAAGGAATCAGTGGTGCCTCAGTTCTGATTCCTTCTCTGTCTTTTGGGTTTTTTGCCACCCCCATTTCTTTCCTTCCCTCGAGCTGGTTAGAACTTTGTTCAGGTTCTAACCAGCTCTCTGGCCAGTCCTCAAATAGCTGGTTAGAACTTTGTTCAGGTTCTAACCAGCTCTCTGGCCAACCCTCAAACCACCAATCACAGTCATGTCCTGTCCAATTCTCTGTGGGCCTGCTATCTGCCTGCTTGTCGGCCTGTCTGTCGGCCTGTTCGTCGGCCTGTTCCCTTGGTGGTGCCGCAATTCTCAAGCATTCACCGTCTTTTAGGTTTTCCACCATCTCTCTAACTTCCCACGCATGTATTGGTCTTTGTTCGAGACTTGACATGCTCTTGGCCCACTCCTCAAACCACCATTCATGGCCAGGTCCTGTCCAATTTCCTCTGGGCATGCTATCTGCCTGCTCACAGGCCTCTTCTTGGGCCAATTCGACTTGACCTCCTGCGGTTCTTTGTACCGTTTTTGGCATCGACACTGTGTTTGTGTTAAAAAAAGAAGTAAATGTTTTTTAATTGTTTTCACCTGCCAGTGAACCAACAGCTCAGAAACAGTACACCACTTGCTAAGTTTCACTTAGAACACTTGACAGTTGATGACATCATCATCAAAGCCTCTGTGATGTCACAGAGGCTTCTGTGATGTCACAGATATCATCAAAGCCTCTGTGACATCATTGCCTTTTTTAAAATATTCAATTTAGTTTGAATACCTTTTTTTTTTTTTTAACTTTATTGAACATTGTGTGTGCTAAAGGATCTGGTTACCGTCAGCCTCAAACATAGAAGTTCACATGAAACATTAAGATCTGCTGTACCTAGTGATGGGCGGATCGATACTTAAGTATTGATTCCTCTGATACCAGATTTTAATGCTCTAAAATCGATTCTCAAGTCATTTAGGGTAACATATATAATTAACAGGAACACAGTGGAAAGTAACTTAACTGTTAAGATCTTGTCTAAATGTCTTAATGTGTTAAAGCAGCGGCATGCTCCTAAGTCAGCCCATCACTCAACATTGTGGCAGAGCTTAAACAGTCATGTGTGGAGCTATTCCAGCTTCACAAACAGCCCCGATGTGGTTTGTGATGTTTGTGAAACAACAACAAGGAGTTATAGTAACAAAACAAACTTCGTAAAACACCTCAAGTTAAACCACAACACAGAATATGAGGCATTTATGATGAGACGGACACAAGAGGAGAGCACATTGTGATCATCTCACATAGGCAAAAAAGCCTAGATTTTTTTCAGGTAAGGTTTTGTAAAGAATTGATCATTTAAGTGGATTACACAGACGAGGTGTCATTAAATTATACAGAGCAATTGTGATGAAACTGCCATGGTGAATTTAGAAAAACATGAGACTAGGGGTACTTGTTTATAAAGCTCAATGGTCTGGCACCCTCATACCTAGTTTACTGTCTACCCAGATATGTCCCAAACCGCTCCCTCAGGTCATCCAGTGCTGACCTGCTTGAAGTACCCAAAATTGCATACAAAAAACATGGAGAAGCAGCGTTCTGCTTCTATGGGCCGACAGCATGGAACAAACTCCCAGTCTCCATAAGACAGGCAACCTCTGTTGATAACTTTAAAACACATCTTAAGACCTATTTCTTCACCCTTGCTTTTATTTGATCATGTCCGCACTCTTTGCTATTATTATAATGTTGTTTTATGCTTCTGTATTTGTTGTCTGCTTATTTTTATTTTATTTTTATTTTTAATTGCTAATTTTATTGTGAATTTTATTGTTTTATTGCCAATCATCTACCCTGTCTGTAAAGCACTTGTGCTTTGTTTTTAACCTGTAAAGCAACTTGAGCTGCATCTCATGTCATGAAAGGTGCTATACAAATAAAGTTTATTATTATTATTATTAGAGGGCTGGTTTCGGAGCCCACGCTACGTGTGGAGGTGAGTCCAACTATATCTAGTCAGAACTTCTCCGGGTCGCACACCAGCCCAGGCTCCTTCCCCGCAAGAGAGGTGACATTCCACGTCTCTGGTGCTAGTGTCTGCAGCCTGCACTCTACTCCTTTGGCCCCTCCTATGAGTGGTCAGCCCATGAGCAGGAGGTCCCACGTTGCCTCTTCAGCCCAGCTGGGCCCCAGGTGTGCAGGCCCGGCCACCAGGCACTATCCATTGAGCCCCACTCCCAGGCCTAGCTCCAGGGGAGGCCCTGGTGACCCGTACTAGCGAGGGAAACACATTATCAAATATTATATTCTTCATTA